TAAGTTTGAAGAGTACCGTTGAAACCAATTTGGTTCAGACTCTTGTTTGAGTCATTTGAAAAATGAAACTGGGAAGCAAGTGATACAATGTTCTTTTTCTAAAAAAAAAGAGAGAGTTAAAAACATCAAAATCGATTTCAAAGATCTTGAGGTTGTATATGCATCATTCGACTTATTCCTTGATTTCTTGGATTTGTACCGTTTTATCAAATAAATATATAAAGACTGAAAGGACTAGATTCATGATGACTTTAAAATTAATCGCTGTTATTAAGCTTGAAATTAAGTCCTTTTTTTCAGGCTAAAAAAGCACACATTTCTATAAAAGTTAAACAAACACATTGTGTTCTCACGTCTGGTCATTTTCCTCCTCTTTGGACCCTACTCTTGTGAACAAACTCTTGTATGACATATCATGCACGTTTGATTCGAATGGTTATTAAATAGTAATAGAGTGCTGAATTTTTTTATAGCAACAACCGTATTGAAGCAACTCATCCGATAAAAACCAATATCAAAGTGTAGACATTAAGCTCTACACGTACCTAAGTCTTCTAGAAGACAAAAAAGCTGTATTAATTACACGCTGTCGTAACACGCAATCCCACTTTACAGCTAGTCTCAGTGCATCTTCAAGTTCAAATTCTGTGGAACCTAGTTTTTTAGTGCATCTCAGTCACTACAACACTTGAGGGGGAGATAATTCAAATATTAAAAAGCGAATATAAAGCAAACTTCAACCATTTGAGAGATTGTTGAATCGCAACAACAAGCTTTTATGCTAGAATATCTTATTTTATGGTATTCATATTCAAAAAAGAATTGTGCTTTTTATGGAGTCCCAAAAAATATTTATATTTAATTGCTACAAAATATCACTGGTTCATCTTTCTTTAAATGAGATATGATCATAGTGTTACTTCTTTTTCAACTTATACTGCATACGTGCTTATCTAATTCTTTTTTAGAAACTAATCCAACAGAAAAAATTGCTCTAGGAGAATAAGGAGAATAAGGAGAATCATAGAAACAATACAAATGATTAGTTGCATCAAAACGACGCACGGTTTTGAGAAAATATACGTGCTTACTATCTATAAAGTGGAATATCTATATTGCTCTCATTTAAAGCCATGCACCATGATGTTATTACCGACTTTCGGCAAAAAGGAAACGAGAAACTCAAATTCTTTACTGGCTTGTGCTCTTTTTTTTTTCCATTGATTTAAGTAGATTCACTCAAAAAAAGTCTACAAAACTATTCTTTTAAAAATCATTTTTAATACGAATTGGTCTCTGCTTTCTTTAAATTAGAAAAAGAAAAGTTGAACAATCGTTAATTTTTAATAATTAAATTAAAATCATCATCTAGTTTCCAGGTGAGCATATTTTCGTAAAGACAATGACAAAAAGAAACTAGCATAGTAATGATAGAGGCCTTTTTTAGCATTGCTAACTAACATTGATTCCATTATAATTTTTTGAAAATAAATTTAATATTGTCTAACCTCAAGATCAAAATATTGTACGTTATAACCAAAACTGAAAATAGGCATGCTTTAGCAAGTCCTTTGACAACATAATAGAGACTTCTGATTGAAGCCGCAGCATGTCGTTCTTTGCTGTCATCTTGAATTATACAAAAAAATGTAGGCATTTAGTCGTCGATCAATTTTATTTGCTGCTCTCAGATCATTATATGATTGGCGTCCGTCTAGTAAGCGCTATTTTAAAAAGAAAATTAACCCTTGTGTTTTCGCGGCTAACGAAAAAAAATAATGTGCTTGTTGTGTTCATGTAGTATTATCTATATCACTCTTTTAATCTGGCACAAGATATATTCATGTCCTAGTCCTGGTTTCAGGAAGTCGGGAATGTCCCATTATGAATGTGCTTGCAGAATTTCTCACCCTCTTTCTGCAACTTATTGGTTCAGGTACATTCACTCAAGCTTATATTCAATTACATAAGCAAGTAAAACCTAGAATTTAGAAAAAAAGTAGTATGTGAAGCATTTCTTGAATAAAAAAAAAAAGATGGGCGCTTGGCTTTAAACTAAAGTCTTTTCGAGTATTTTTTTCCCTTGGACAATATACAAAGTATTATGACCGTCTCAGATGTAGTTCTTCTTAATATACTTGGTGTATAAAAAACGATGCCATAGAATATAATTAATGCAGTGTAAGTTTGAAGGCCAGCCACCCATCAATTATTGCTTGCATTCTATCTGACCTCCGACAATAAAAAAAGGGTCTTACCGTCAGCATGCGATTCCTCAAGCTGCTTTTTCAATTCTATCATTTTAAAACCAATCTGATAGAATAGAAAGAATTCTATCATGTAACGTCATACATATGTTTCTTCACCCAAATAATTGTATACTTTTGCGTTTTTTATAACCTCTTTAGACCAAAGAAAAAGCTTGTGTAACTGTACATCATCAAATGAAAATTAAATTCAATTCAATTCATGTTGCCGCGGATTGTCAAGTTGCATTATTCATTTTAGGTAAGCGTATGTGATATGTGTAACGCCGGTGCCACCAGACTGTTGCTCGAGATCAAGTATAAAAACGTTGACCAAATTGCAGGATTCGTTTTTTCTACAATTCAATCAATTCCACTTCCAATCCTTTAGTCTAATAATGGTCTACATTCCCTCTCTTTCCTCTTCTCTTGCCCTTATCACTGTCCTTGCCTCTGCTGCTCAAGCTGCTACTTGTACAGTTTCCAACAGCGGTAACGTTGCCAACAACATTGTCACTGCCTTCAACAACTGTAAGAACGGTGGTACTGTTGTCTTCAGAAAAGGTGCTACTTACAACCTCAATGACCTTGTTACTGTCCAAGGTTTGAACAATGTCAACGTTCAATTCTACGGTACTCTCAACTTGCCCTCTTACAACAAGAAGTACGATGGTAAGAGCGCTTACTTCATCATCAAGGGTAACAAGATCAACTTCGACGGTGGCAACACTGGTGTCATCAATGGTGGTGGCCAAAAGTGGTGGGATGCCAAGGACAAGAAGGCTCCTACTGTTCTCAGAATTACTGCTACTGGTGGTTCTACCTTCGCCAACTTCAAGATTTACCAAGCTCCTCGTGCTCACATTGGTATCACCAGCTCTAATGGTGTCAACCTTAAGAACGTTGTCATGCACACCGTCTCTTCCAGCAGCAACGATGCTCACAACACTGATGCTGTCGACATCTCCAACTCCAAGAACATCAATTGGACCAACTCTCAAGTCACCAACGGTGATGACTGTATGGCTATCAACGGTAACACATCCAATGTCAAGGTTGACGGTGTCACCTGTAATGGCTCTCATGGTTTCTCTGTCGGTTCTCTTGGTAAGGGTGGCGAAACTGATGTTGTCTCTGGTATCTACGTCCAAAACAGCAAGTGTACCAACTGTCAAAACGGTCTCCGTATCAAGACCTGGCCCGGTGGAAAGGGTTCTGTCAGCGATGTTCACTTCACCAATGTCCAACTCAACAACGTTGATAACCCTATTCTCATCACCACTCACTACTGTGACAACAACCAAAAGTCTTACTGTAACGGTAACGACAATGCTTCTTTGACTATCAAGGACGTTGCCATCAACAAGGTCACTGGTTCTGTCTCCTCCAAGGGTAGACCTATCCTCAGTGTCAACTGTTCCAAGAACACTCCCTGTTCTGGTTTCTCCTTGTCTGATATCAACATCTCTAAATCTTCCAAGACCAAGAAGAACGAATGTATCAACCTTAACGGTTCCAGCAGCATCTCTTACTGTAAGCAATAAGCTATTTACTGATACATTTCTGGTAAAACGTTGCAACAATAAACAGATATACCAATTTACATATTTAAAAAAAAGATTCTTCATTTTACTTGTAATGAAGTAGTTGTATTTTTGGCTAATAGTTAGCTATAGTTTGAGGAAGCAAATCGTCCTTTTCTATTTAAAGCTTGTCATAAACTGTATATTATTGTCTTGTTTACACAAAAGATATAGAATGCTTCTTTTATTTTTTAGATCAGAGGTAATAAGCAAATACATCAAAGCTAAAATAACTAGTAGTGCATTTTCAATAAAAATAGGGCTAGAGGTATGACTGAAATACACTAAATGCTTAAAAAATATGACTGACACACTAAGGTTTCCTTGAAAAAGGATGAGCAAGATAGCGAAATACCTTTTAGGAGGTCCTTGGACTAGGCTTAAAAGATGCGCCTTCTTCACCGCTAAATGGAAATCGTCTTCTTGCCCTGATAATGTAGCAAAGGTCTGTTACAAATTATCATCGTGAATAAAAAGTCGTTCCTGATCTTGACTAATTCCTTTTTTAGGTCATTATATAAATCTTTCTGTTAGCCACAAGGTTTTGAATCGATTATAGATAGAGTTCATTGTTACGTCATTCGATTCTCAAAGTAGATGTGACAACCAAATATCGCTCAGAAGACTTCAAGAATGCCATTGTATCTTTTCTTCTACGTTTTTCGTAGTATCATATCTAAATCTCTTGATTTGAGCCGAAACCAATGACCCTTTCACTGATTTTCAGCTGAGCATGGATCATATGGATAACTGCAGGTTTCTTTGTATAGTAGACAAACATAAATATAGCTCTTGTTTTTGTTTCGCTTGCCTATAACAAATAGCCATCTAGAAGTAATTTTTTTTTAAAAAAAGAGCATGTAATTTTCACTGAACTCGATCATTCACACACTACATCATTCATAATTTCAAGGTCGTGAGAATTAAATCCACTATGCTTAATTTTCATTCGTTAATATTAAAATGTGGGGTAAACACGTATACAAATTAAACATAAAACAGTTTATTACTCTGCATTGAAACATGTAACAAACGCAACAAGCAATATCTAGCCGTTTTATGGCTAAATGTATCTTTACAAAAGGACAACCGGAGATTATCTATTAGAAAACGATAGGTTCATTCTTTGTACTACTATACAAATTGACAAGTTTGTTCCTATCTGGAAAGGATCACACGTATAAATTCTCACAAAGTTTTTCTATTTTTTTTCTTTTTCCTTTAACAATGACTACAGCCGGTTTAATTTCCCCCGAAATTTCGCCCACATGCAAGAACTCTATTTTACCCATGAATGATGTGCTTGGAGGAGAAACGTTTAAATTCCAAGATAAATTACCTAAATTACCTATTCCTGAACTAAAAGACACTGCTCAAAAATACCTTACTGCATTAAAGCCTTTACAGGTAAATACAATGACTTCATGATACATCTCTAACATTTTACATAGTCAGCAGAAGAGCACGAACAAACAAAAATAGCAGTTCAAGAATTCCTTCAACAAGAAGGTTCTGCACTTCAAGCCAAGCTCCAGACTTATGCAACTGACAAATCATCGTATATTGAAGAATTCTGGCAAGTTAATTTTACAAAACAACTTTATGTTCTGACCTAGTCTATAGGTATGATTCTTACCTTCAACACACAGACCCCGTCGTGCTCAACTTGAACCCTTTTTTCTTGCTCGAAGATGATCCTACACCTTTGCGTAACGACCCTATTGTCCGTGCTTCTTCTCTAATCTATTCCACTGTTAATTTTATCGAAGCCCTGCGCAACAAAACTTTGGAGCCTGATGTTTTTCGTGGCACACCTTTATGTATGTCTCAGTTCAATCGATTGTTCAGTACAGCCCGTGTGCCTACACAGAACGGTTGTTATATGGCTCCTGCTGGCGATGCACGACACGTTGTCGTCTTGGCCCGGTCTCAATTCTATCACTTTGATGTGTTTGATGAACAAAACAACAATATCCTAACTGAAAAAGACATTGCTGCCAACTTAAAAGCCATTATGAAAGATGCAGTGGCTACACCTGTGGAATCTGTGGCTCAACATGCAATTGGTGTCCTGACGACTGAGAATCGATTGAATTGGGCCAGATTAAGACAAGAGTTGAATTCGGATCAGACAAATGCAGATAATCTAAGGGTAGTTGATACTGCTCTGTTTATTGTATGCCTTGATCATGAAGAACCTGCAGATACGAATGAGTTGAGTACAAATATGTTGTGCGGTACTTATCGACTTGTCAATGGTATGCAAGTAGGAACATGTACTAATCGCTGGTATGATAAACTTCAGGTAAGGAAACCCTAAAAGTGCGTTTATAGACTAACACTACACAGATTATTGTATGTAAAAATGGCAGTGCTGGTATAAATTTTGAGCATACCGGCGTCGATGGTCATACTGTACTTCGGTTCGTATCTGATATTTACACAGAAACTATTCTTCGTTTTGCAAAGACAATCAATAGCCAGACCAAATCTATCTTCCACTCTTATAAGCGAGAATCAGTGGCTTGTAATCAACAATCGATTGATATCAATCCTCGCAAGATTGAATGGCATCTGACTGAACCTCTTCACTTGGGGATTCAGTTTGCAGAGACTCGATTGAGTGATTTGATCTTACAGAATGAAGTCAAAGTATTAGAATACAACAAGTATGGCAAATATTTTATTACCGACATGAAAATGAGCCCCGATGCTTTTGTGCAGGTAAATCATGTTCATTTCATTCATTGAATCTTAATACCTTTTAGATGGCATTTCAAGCTGCTTATTATGGCCTATATGGTAAATGTGAATGTACCTATGAGCCTGCCATGACCAAAGCCTTTTTACATGGTCGCACAGAAGCCATTCGCAGTGTGTCTGATGCCTCTGTTCAGTTTGTCAAGACTTATTATTCAAAAACTGCTTCTAGTCATGAGAAATTAGAATCCCTAAGAGCTGCTCTCAAGTACCATACAAAACTAACAAAAGAATGCTCATTGGGTCTGGGCCAAGATAGACACTTGTATGCTCTTGACTGTTTATGGGATCGTCTATATTCAGATCAAAAGAAGCCTCGTATCTTTACAGACAGTGGATGGAAGACATTAAGTCATACAGTCATTAGTACATCCAACTGTGGTAATTCCGCACTTCGACTATTTGGTTTTGGCCCTGTTGTTTCAAATGGTTTCGGTATTGGTTATATTATTAAAGAAGATGGTATTGCTGTAAGTGTATCATTTATTAGTGTCCATATCAACTTATATCTTGATCAGTTTGTAGCCTCCTCAAAGCATAGACAAACACAACGTTATTTAGACACACTCAAGACATACTTGAATGATATTCAATCCTTATTGATCAAAGAAAAGTACCCAACAGGCATTTCTCATCGTCAACGTGTGTTGGAACTACAAGAACAACAACTTCAGAACAATGTAAATGGCTATAGTTACTTTGATAATGGTGACAGTAGTGAGTCAGATGTATCTAGTCTAAGCAGTGCTTCTACACTGCGTAAGAAAGTGGGTAAGCGACTTGTTTTGCATGAAACAGATGAATAAACAAAAAAAAATGTTATTTATTGTGACCCATTGATGCATGTCGCTTTGTTTCTTTGGTTACTTTTATGTCTTTTTAAAGCATCCAATCTAACAGACTGTTAGTCAAAGAATCTATATGTATATTTTGTATATTACCTTGAGAAACTCTTGTTACAACCGGTGCATTGATAAGGTTTATCTCCACCATGAATCTTGCCATGTCTTTTCAAGTCATGGTTTCGACTAAAAGCAACTTGACATACATGACAAACGAATGGTCTATCGTCTGTATGTGTTCTTGAATGACTTTTGAGATTGTAGAGCCTTGCAAATGTCTTGCCGCAATCAGGGAATAAACAAGGATAATACGTCTGTGTTTGATTATCAACCGTGGTTGTAATGGGGGTAGAAGAAGCATAAATGGACATGGCATCACTCTGGGTATTGGCTAAAGCAGGGTCTGATCTTTTTCGCTTTTTAGAAGGGGAAGATTGTCTTTCCAGTGTAGGCGATGGTATAAAAAAAGGTGTTTGTACAGAGGGTTCAGATGATTTAGCTTGTTGTTGTTGTTGTTGTTGTTGTTGTTGTTTCTGAAGTGCATTTGGAAACAATAAAAGTGCATCTGCATAGTTTAATATAGGTGGTGTATCATTAGAAGAAGAGGAGGAGGAGGGGGAAGTAGTAGTTGCTGCCGCAGCAGTGACAGATTGAATTGAATTCAATAAGGCTTGTGAAATTAATGCTTCAATAGCTACTTGATCTCCTTCTTTTAGTTTCTCGCTTATTTTTTGTGCGAATTGCGTCCAATCAGCCGGCACTTCCATGACATTGGTTGTATTACTGCTTTTTGGTTTACTGACTTGCATAGTTTCATCTCGAATTTTACTTTTAAGCCATTCTTGATCGACATATTTAGCAGCAAGTGTATTATCCCATCGTTGCTTAAGTTGTTTGCCTTTTCTTCCGGGAATAATGGTTGCAATCTCTTTCCATCTGCCATAACCAAATCTCTTTATACCAGCCAATAATAGATCATCTTCTTCACGTGTCCAAGCCCCTCTCTTTTGCTGTTGTTGTTGTTGTTGTTGTTGTTGTTGTTGTTGTTGTTGCTGTGGTGGTGGTGGTGGTGGTGGCGGTTCTTTTGTCAAATAGTGTTGATTATCAATTTGTTCTGGTTTTGATGTTGCTATTTTTTTGTTCGATTGTTGAGCTAAACCCAACAATTGAAGTGCTGTAGCAGCAGCGGCTTGATCCATGAATTCTGTATTTTTATTATCTGCATTGAATTTAGAGGCTTCAAAAATTGGCCCTTCTTTATTCTCTTGTTTTCTCAGTGAAGCCAATAATTGCTGCTGCGATGTTTCATTCAACAGGTCTAACAAATGAGTATAAGCAAGTCATATCATTTCCTTACCTGGCTTAACACTAAGGGCTGCTGCCACTGCGCCTACCATATCCATACTGTTCGATGCCTTTTGTAGCAAAGCCGCTGCAAGTACCGCACTATCATTGCTATCATTGTTCATTTCGGTTACTGTTGGTATATCAAGACAAGATGGTGGTGATGGTGGTGTCTCTTGTTCATGAACTGTGTTGTTTGGAAGAGATGGTGAAGCAGGTAAATCTTGTTCTTCAAGGACTACAGTGTCCTTATTTTGTTTATCAAAAGACGGTTTAAACATGTGTACACGAGCCATTTTATTTGAAGTTTATTTATGCAAACAAAAAGCAAAAAAAAAAAAAAAAAAAAAAAGAAAGGCTAACCAAGCCATAGACACTGCTCCACATGAGGAGAAGGGGGGAGGCGAAGGAAAATAATTTCAGCCAATCAGATCGCAAGCATCTTTATTTCGGCTGAACGTAGTTTGAAGGAAAGATACCCTTTTGTCCATTCAAGATACCTTCCCACCATCCACTATCATCTTTCTTTGTCACATAGATGATATCGCCTTCATGCATATTTAGTTCTTCTACATTAACAGCTTCAAAATCATAAAGAACAACCACTGCTTCTTGAGCTTGTTTTTGATGATTGTTTTCTGTTAATTGTTCCACATAAGTGGCAGGAATAAGGCCGACAGTGTTTCCTAGTTGTGCCTTGATCCATCCTGAGCCATCATCGGGGTCAATGGTTGATAATAAATCACCTTCTTTTATGCTTAATTCGTCTTCATTTTGTGCATCATAATCATAAAGAGATCGTATATCTGGCATAGCAGACGTAGGCGGGATAGAAGTAGGTGGAGCAGACATAGATGGGATAGAAGTAGGTGGAGCAGAAATAGGCGGAGGTGGAGATGTAGAAGAGAATGATTCAGTACTAAAGGAAGAGTCATTGTTGATACTCCTTGTTCTTATGGATGAAGAAACAAAAGAAGAAGGTGTAGGCTGAGGATTCAATTGACCCTTCACTTTGCTACAATTAGGTGCTACTTTCATTTCACATTTTGTATGACAATTAAAGCCACAAGCTATAGAAAGTTCAATACACCATCTGTTTATTGCTTACGTTACCTTTACAAGTCAGTCCCTTGTTGGATAGTCCCCATATAGTGCTGTTACAGAAATCACACGTCGTTGGAATAGTGAAAGAAGATGACTTGAAGTCATGATTTTGTGCTCTTAATCCATCATCACCAATATTCTGTATAATCAAGTCCAGTTCACTCTTAACTCGCACTTTTTGTGTAGACAAGAGTGTAATTTCTCTTTCCAACTCCATCATTTTCTAACATAAAATTAGCCAGGAATAAAGTCAGACAATAGCTTACTTCTTTTGATTTGTCATAATCAGGTGATGCTTTGTTGTCTGCTAGGTTTAGTTGACTCAATTCAGACGATTTCTTTGATAAATCATCACCCAGTGTATTCAACTGCTTACGATTCTTGACGAGTTTGTTATTCAAGAAAATAATGGCTGAATCACTGGCTACTAAACTATCATCCTATTATGTATCAATATATCTATACAATAGACTAATGATCATTTTACTCTGTCAATGATTGTGTCTGCTGCATTTGCACCACCGTTCCAAGGCATAAAACTGAATGCCACATTAGCTGCTTTTTCATTTACATCTTCTGTATTCAATGCATTTCGAGTAAATACACTTGCATCAATGAGGGGGTCTATTTTTTCAACAGTCGTCAAAACATCGTCATGGCATTTTTGAACAGTAGTCAAGAGTTGAGATTCAAGACTAATATAATGCCTTAAAATTGCCTTCAAAGTCAAGGTACGGGAAGCATCCAACTCTTCTAAGTGCTAGAATGGCACACATTAGATATAATCCATATCGACTTCTTTACTCACATCTGCTAAAACAGGCATATCTTCTTCGAAATATTTTGCTCTTTCTGCATTGGCTACACTAATGGCTAATAAATACAGATTCTATAGATGATTATCAGTCATTACATACAACACAAATGCGTTACTTTTTTATTATCACAATCAATCAATGCTGCATCTAATTGTCTTTGATGCTATAGAGAAATAAGTAAGCATGGTAAATCGTACTAGTCTTTTTTTCTTACCTTTTCTCGGTCCCCGCTGGATTTATTTGTCTTGGCTTTCAAGTTTTCAATTTCTGCACAAGCATCATCATACAATTGCTTGGCCTTGTCTTTCTCTGCATATGTCTTGTCTCTTTCTGCTTTTAATTTTTGATAGAATGCAGTATGCTACTTATTGTCAATGTCCCTTCTATGCGTTTATGTATGTATTCTTACTTTTTTCTTAGCTTCTTCTTTTCGTACTGCTGCTAGTCGAAGCGATTCTGCTACTTGAACATTTAAATCATCTACCAATCGAAGTCTTGTCTTGGCAACCATCGAAGTCTGGTTTAGTAATTGGCACCAAGCAGAGGCAGTCGTACTACCATAAATTACGATAGATATTCAACCAGACATACTTACCTAGAAGTATCTTCCCAATCCCAGTCGTCTTGAGCATCCATATTCGTGTTGGCCGATTTTTTACCAGGCTTATATTTCTTTGTTAAACTCTCGAGTTTCTGAGCATATTCTCGTTCAATACTACTCTTGTCTTTAATAAAGCTACGAAACTGTTGAAGAGAGGATATGCCTTCTCCAACATAGTCAAGAATAGAAGGTATTTGGTCCTATGGATATTAGCAAGGCAGTTGGTATAGACAAGTGTACCTTGAGATCAGTACCAAACGTCATTATGAAGCGAAAGGAAAAAAGAAAAGAAAAGAAAGACAGACGTGTTTACGGACTCAGCAAAATGAAAGAACGAAGCGCATAATTTGCTATGTGTAACTCGCGTTGAGTCTTGGTTGTACAAAAAGTGGCATCATTTTAGTATATATACAACGCTTGTTTTATTATTAATATCTAAATACTGAACTATACAAAAAAGAAGAGAAAAATAAGTGATATTATTCATCATAATAATCAGCTAATTGATCAATAATATCAGTTTGAATACGAGCATAAAAATCTATGAATTGAATATGAAGTTTCATCAATAAATTTGTCTTCAATTCAGAAAGATGTTGTCTCAAAAAATCCAATTCCATATCCGAGTTTTTGAGTTGCTTTGTAATCAACATACGGTCACATTCAGAGAACAATGGAACCCAATCAAAGAACCATGAAAACCGTGTCTTTGTTATTTGCTTACATGGAACTGGGCTATAGCTTGCTACCATATCAACCACGTCCTGTTTGACTCGATCAATAAACATGTAGTTGTCCATCCGGTCTATTAATCTTGAGGCCATCATACCATTCAAAGAAGACAAGAGACTGATTATTTGGTCTTGTTTGTCTTCCAATAGCTCATTGTTTGGAATAGTCCACAAGGTTTTCCAATAACGTTGAATGGTGGGTTCAACAGACTCGCATACTTTGGTATTCATTGCCTGAACATGCTTCCCAATCATAGCAGGTATCTTGAGCAGTTGTTTCTCTATCATAACCTTTTAATATTCTTCATGTATCCACTAAAATAGCTTTACCTGAAAGCGATTGTTCAATACCCAACAACTTTGCTTGTGTATCCAAGAGTTGATATTTGGCATCTGTTGGCATGTGAATCAAATTCAATAAGAGCTCTTCACTTTGAGAATTGAGTGCTGTGTCGACCAGATTTTGATAGTATTCAATCACACTGGAGTAAACACCATACTCTTGAGAATCGTACCAATAATCCTTCTTGTCAAACCATTGTGTCTTTTGAGTATAAAACACAATTTGAGGCTGTGATGGTGAATTGATACCTGAGACAGGTAAAGCATAACTGATAGAGCAAAAAAGGCTGATAAAAAACAATAATGTACAAGAAACCATGGTAAAGAATAAAGAAGAAAACAAAAATGGAGACGCTTTATATACTCCTCAACGATCAATTCAACCGCGTATTTTTCTGCAAGTATTCAGAGATCATCCCGTTCCGTCTCTCCCCCTTTGGATTGTAGCTAAAAAGGGGTCAATGATGATGATTGGCTAACTATTGTTTCGGCCAAACCAAAATTGAATAGGAGATATGTGTGACACTTGGTCTTGAACAAGAACGCCAAAGAACAAAGTTAGAATTTTGTCTAAATAGCATGCATAGAGGTAAGTTTATTTTATGTTTGTTTATTTGTTTGTTAGGGTACTCAACTCAGGAAATAAACAACAACCATGACTTTATACCCATGATCTCACATGTTTTTAGCCGAGGTTGACATAACGATATGGATGAAATACGGTCTTTAAAACACAATTGTAAAAGCAACATGAATAATTGTGATGACGCTATTTGCATCGTATGTGCTTCTCCTTGATTCTAACTTTTGCGTTTATTAAGGGACAATTGCATAAAGACATATACATATATAAAGATCAACTGTTGCATATACATAGAATGCTTCTAAACAAAAAAAAATAAAAAATCATAAAATATAATATACAATGGTGCGTTTCAATCAGAGACTTATTTACCAATAGCATACCTAAACAGAATAAGAAATACATACCCATTATATGCTTCAGCTTACCATCTTTCTCTACAATCTACTGCATTTTTACGAACAATGCGTTTCTTGTCATCTAATGCGACAGATAACTCTTTGACAACGGAGGGTTTGAATGGAGACAAAACTTCCGGCCTTCCGTTCTTTGCAATTAAACTCAGACAGTCCAGAGCAAGGATACGAATACTAACACAAGGAAACTGCGTATTTCTTAAGAGCGCATGAATAAAGGAGCCCAAGTGTTGCACAACAAGATCTTGAGCATTAGGCACAATGTCATGCGCGACATCCAATGTGGACTTTACTAGACTGACATCTTGAATAGAAAGAGCAACAGTGATCGGCAGCATCAACTAAACAAGAATGCAATGTCTCCCGTTAATCATTGTAAACACAAACACTATTTTACCTTGGGTAATTCATTGATAGCTGCTTGACTAGGAATGTTCTTGAGAACATTCATCAATGCAGATAGATAATGGATTTGAAGTTCTATTTAAATGAGATTATACGCTTTTAAGTATATGTATATTTACCTGGATTTCGAATGTCCATTTGCTCTGCACCTTGCATTAGCTTTCGATAACAATGATTGAATACTCGTTGTTTATATAAGACCTAAAGACAGTGTGAATACATACAACTACTTCTTTTTGCTGCTTACAGAAACAACAGCGTGTGAAGCCTTGTTTAAAATCAACTCATCTTGTTGTAACAAGATAATAAAGCTATCAGCAGCCTCTTTCCCTAATTCAAGAGATCCGCATGCTTTGATCACATCATCCAGTAACTCAAATCCATACTTATGGCCTCGAACAATCAACGCTTTCATGATCTATAAAAAAGTTTAGCAACGATTTGCCAAAAAGAAACCCTATTGTTTACCCATACTAAAATATCCAGTAAAAAGCCTTTTTCTAGTGTTATCTTTTGGATACAGGCAACAAGTGCATCTAGACAATAATATGAGTATAAACGTCATTTTTTTTAAAGTTATGATACCATCAATCCATTTATTAATAATCGAAGCTGCGATCTTAACCAGGGCTTGTTTTCTTGTTTTAGAAGGTGTCTGTGTCGCTGTTTCTATTAATTGTTGTAAAAATGTAGGCACGCTAGGGACAGGCAATTGCACCTATCTTATGTATGAGAAGAAGTCGTTTTGCATAGTTCTACTTACATCTTTGCGACAATTACCAATCATGGCTGCAAAAAGCAACGTAATATCAACTGCATCTTTTTCAATGCTACTAAAAATAGACAAGGGCGTATCTTTAGACATGCTGTCTTGGTCAAACAAGGAAAGATCACCATAGACAAACACTTGAAATACATTTTGAATGCTTTGTTGCTGCTCGCTAGATAAAAGGCTTTAGCGTTTTGTTTACGTATACATTTAGGTCATACCTGGAACTAGATAAGCGTGTTGTGATAGCTGCAATCATGGCAAAGATATCGATTAAGACGTCATCGAGGTACCATTGTCCTTGACCCGAGGCAGACTGAACACAATGGAAAAGGAGTGTCGGCAAAATTGTTTTCTGGCCAATCAACATCACTTCCGTATCTTTGATGGCCGTATGATAAATGTGTAGTAATGTAGCTGCGATTTCATGAACATAACTAACATGGCGTTGACCTAAAGAAATAAGTCAAAAAAAGAGGAGAATTGGTTCTTTTGTACCTATGGATGTGCAAGCAAAATCTAATTTCTGCAAGAGTGCAGAAATGACGATTTTAAATACAGCAGGAGAGGTTCCCAAAACTTCAATTGCATCTAATGCGTCTCTATATTTCTCTGATATCATGGGTTGTTCTGAATAGGCAAGTTCGTTTAAGAGAACAGGAAGAGTGTGTTGGCCAATAACAAGGGGGTATAACTTGGACACAACGCCAAGTGTTGATAATGCAAGATTCCTAAGTTGGTTTTAGTACCATTAAGGCTTTAAAACGGTATCCATACCTGATTTCTTTATTGGACAATATCAATTGTTGAGTAAGATGACCAGCAGCAACGTTTATCTATCGATACTAGCATTAGATTAACTTCTCTTTTGTGTGAATTTGCTTATACCTCTTCTTGTTTCAAAAAGTGCTTCATCAATACCATTTCATGAAATCCCTTGAGACTTGCTTGTTTTAAGGTTGTATCGGATGCATCTGGTTCTGCTAACGAAAGTATAAATACTTGCAGAATTTGTTGTTTGTACATCAATAAAGGTGTTTGAAAATCACGATCTAAAAAAAGGGGGGATGAGTTGATTATTTTGATTGTTATGCATAAGTTACCATAGCCAACATCTTCAACTGATCCATAGAGTGTTTTGCTAGCAATGAGCAATTCTGTTAAAATGTCTATAATGGCTTTTTGTCTAATAGATGGATCTGTAGGCTTATATTGTTGGCATATGATAGGCACAGCAGTATGTGCTACAGAAGTACAGGCTGGATCAGACGCTGAAGCAGCAGCTCTCAGGATATAAGCAGCTGATCTTGCATTCTTTAATTCAGGCTCTTTGAGTTCTTGCACACATTTTTGCAAAAGAAAATCAATTGCTTTTTCTACGGGGTCGCGAATGTTGGCTATACTGATACCTGTACCCAACGTAGCCACAACATTATGAATCGTTTGTAATGCAATGTCTACCATCGCAGCATCGACACCTTGATAGACTTCTTTAACAAGCGCATCAAATAAATCTTGAGAATGAGGTAGAATAGCATGAGCACCATAAGCAGGAGCACAAAGACTGATGGTTTCCATTACATCTTTTTTAGCACTGCCTTTTGTTGTCAACAACTTCTCAATTAGCAAAGGAGTAGCGTAATAAGCGAAATAAGGTGTGGCTGCAAAACATCGTCGTAAACTGTCCTTCAAATCTTTTGTTGTGATACCCAGTAGATCATTAGCAGGTGCTGCAAAACTAATGGGGAAATAACAAAAAACCACTTCAAATAAATCCTCAATGTGACGAGAAATGTCAAAACGATCAATAATGGCACGCACAAGTTCAAATGCAATCATGAGATTGCGAGGATCTTTTTCTCCATCTATGCAATTGATAAACCCATCAATAAAACTCATTTTGGACCGTTGGATTTCTACAGGCGTAAATAATTGTGCATTCTAAATTTTAGTTTACCTGATGGATACTTGTCAATTGATTTTCCTAGGATGACAAGCACTTTGTATCTACTTTGTTGCGATAATTTCTTTACTTTGATTTTGTCAAAAATACTATAAAAAATGAGTCATTCTGTATATTTTTTTTTGTAAATCAACCTACGCATTACAAAGCTGAATGGTGTCTGTACTTGAAATAATGCTTGTGTTCATGAGTACCGAGAAAATATCAATACACCGGGGAATCAACACATTATCCCCTAAACGGTCTCCAACAAATTGAATGATTGCATTGACTATATAGGTGAATGAGTATTAAAGATATGCTGTTCATACAAAAATATTTTACTTGTATTAGAATCAAGAGAAGACTGACTTGGTGTCACTATTTGTGCTAAGAGTTCAATACCTATTGAGCAAGCAGGTTAGTATTGCATTTTTGAAACCCTCTCACTTACATTTTTGCTTGCTATCCACTTGCTCTTGACTCCAAAAGCTAGCCAAATGTTCTAGGATATGTTTAAGACCTTTGTCCTGTTGAGTGGAATCTAGAAAGTGCTTAGCGATGAGGAACTTTATATTTTCTCTTACATAGTAATACATAGGCTAATAAAGAAGGTTCAATTTCTGTCTTTCCAGAAGCAATCCAGTCTTTAAGTCGTTCCAACGCGTCCATAAGATCGCTTTCTTTTCAAGAAGTTTTTTTCGTCTAGGGCAAAAAAGAAAAATCTGATAAAAATTATTATCAGATTTTTATTTTATGTGACTTGAAATGACATGATTTTGAAGAGGAGCTTGGCCAATGAAATTAATCTCAGGGGGTGTCATCAAGGTAACTAACAAAGAACTGCGAAAAACCCCTTTTTTTCAATAGTCTTTTGAGCTATTACTACCACCTTTTGTTTTGTATTAGCTTCTATTGAAAGCTATTCAGTGTCTAAACGTATTCAAGTAGCACCAAAAATGCTTGCATATTCAGTCTTGACAAATACCGGTGATTGAAATCATAAATTCAGTTATCAGATCATTTGTATTTGATATTCAAAAGTGACGTTTTTTCTATAGATCAATCTAATGAAGCTGTAGAAATACGGAAACGATTTGAAGAATCCTACTTATGAGTAGGTGTGTTATACCCTGTCTCTTGATTTTCTATGTTTAAGGCAAGTAATAGGCATCTAAAGATAAAACAATAGTATAAACGTTGCTCTCTTGTTTCAAGGTAACACTATGCACGTCGTAAAAAAAGAGATTGTCGGGGAGATCATTTCCGAAACTTATTAAAGAGCCTCTGAGCTTAGAGCCACAAAAGATGTACCATCTTTTCAAAAATTTTCTCAAGAATCCTTTAATGAAGTATTGTGTTTATAGCCTTTTTTAACGGAGTTTATGTTAGTGAAATCTCCTTATATAAAGATGTTGTGATGAAACTTTTTAAGATTGATCGATACTCCAAAAATATAAGTAGATGGCCTATTCGAGAGATCTGGGTATTGAGAACAAACCGAGATGCTACACTCTAAAAAACCTTTTTTTTTTTTTTTACTAATGATCGTTCCTCATAAGCAAACGCAGATATAATCACAGATAAATAATGATACAATACTCAACAGAAGTTGTCCCTTCCTGATAGCATCGTATTGAATGTATTATAGGGAGCCTTTTTTAAGGATTTAATCTCAAGGACACATTATGCTAACATGATTCGATAAACTGACCGACTTGATAACATTTAAAAGAAAAGAAATGAAGAAAAATATATTGTTTCTTTTCTATCTATATTGTTATTTCATTATGAAATTCTAAGAATGCAAAGCTTTAGCCAGGTCTGTTCGAGAGGAATGTGAGGTTCAAACAGAATTATTGTAATTGAAGTATACTGATTAACATGTCTAGACAAAAGACTTAATTCTTGAAAACAATTTAGACGATGAATTCTAGACGTCAGCTCTTTTATTTGTCAAGAAGCCATGAAAAAGATTCTTTTCCTCTAATACTTATTCTATCGAATGCATCTTTAAGATGGCCTAGAGTCAAATATAACACGAAAAACTTATTTGCAAAGATCTGAGGCAAGTTGCAATTATTCGAACTTTTGATTATTTTTCTTACGAACAAAGCTAAAGAATACGAAAGACATTCTACTACTGCTTTAGACCACTTTATAGAGATAATTAAAGCTCGTGATAAAGACAAAGACGAAGAAAAAAGACTTAAAGGTCTATCGACTTTTGCGCTTTGGTTAGACATTATTTTGATCACTTTGGCTATGATTGTTTTGAAGGTTGAATTTGGACGAAATTGAGCTAATACATGGTAATGACATATGCACTTCATTACTTAAAGGCTAAAAGAAAACATGTGTAACTTAGAAGTCTTAGAAAGCATTTAAAAGATATATTTCTAGGAGCCATGATCTTTTTTCAAGCTGCCTCTTTAACTTTAGGGAGATCTAATTTAAGGTAGTACTGCTGAATTATTTTCATAAATGGAGGCGGTTTGGGGAAGGCAAAAGCCCTATTGAAATTTAGAAAGATCATAAAAGAAAGTACCAAGCTTATTCTTCCAGTGTTTAGTATACTAAAAGTTGATTTCAGATCAAAAAAGCTAGCTATTCAATATCACATTAGGGGTATGGCTAGTACGTCTTTAAACACATTTCTGCTAAATAATTGTTTTATATAGGATGAATTTTTTTACGTTGACAAAGCTAAAAATCTAAAAGTGAATTTCGAGCTATAAAAGGATATAACAACCTAGTCTAGTTACGATGCCATAAAAAAGGAATACATGATATACTTTATGAAAGGATGTCATAAAAAAATAGCTGCTCAACCCAGTGATCGAATTACAATAGAAGAAAGGAGAAAACAACGAAGTTTGTGAGATTCAGAATATGATTTTCCTTTATTCAGCTAATTAATGAGTTGTGTTTATAGAAAAATAACCTGTAGTCCAGTTAGTAAAAATGGGAGTGATGAGAATGATGTGATTCGAAAACACGAAATTGAAGAAGTGTCTGTATGTAATCATCGTTACTTTGAGTGATAAGTAATTATTATACGATTACATATTTCTACTTGGCAGTCGGAAGTACTTGCATGTCTAGCCTATTTATTGCTTTATAACATCTGTGTTTAAGATGTGTTAGAACGGAGGTTGTAATTTGTCTAATGCGGAAGAGAAAGTGTATATTTTGTAGAGTTGATTACAAGTGTAGTGCGTATCTAAGTATTGTATATCTATGTTTGTATAATACAATAGCTATTGAAAATAGTACTATTAAAACGTTTGCTGTTGAAATATCAGAAATCAACCAAACTTTTGTTTGTACAAATATAATTATTGAAAAGAAAAAAAAAATATTGTCAAGATAAAAAAAACCAAAAATCAAAAATGTTATCAAAAAATTAACAGAAAGTTAACAGAAAGTCAAGATTTTTGTTTTTGCTCCGCGTAAAGATGACCCAACGGCACTCAAGAGGTGAGTGCAATTCATTAAGAATCATATCAAACTAATATGTGTCATGTAAACTAATAAAATAAAATCAAAAACAGGCCACTGCTATGAGTAGGTGAAAGTGATAGAAGGATTACAGCTTTGCACGCACTTGCTTTTCATCTGCAAGCAGCTGTAAAGCAGTGAGTGTTTGTTGTAGGGTAGAGTAGGAATTAAAAGAGATGCTACCAAAGAAAAATCTCTAGTGTGCTTTCTAATGTAGTGAACTACATACATCAATTCAATAACAACAGAAATAATACTCCCTCAAACCTAATGAGCTTACACGGTGTGTTACGCACAGACCATTAATAGAATTTTGACAAACCTTATTGAGAACAAACAATAATAATAAAGGATTACCAAACAAAGACATAGACCTAATATGTTAATTCTACTCGGAGAAACTATTAATCCCAGTTAAATAATATAACTTTCTACTGGATGCCACTAATGAAAGGGATATTGATATCCTCACTAGATTTAAGGCAACTCAAATATAAACAATCATAGTCTCTAGAGCAACGAAGACACAAATTTCCTTGAATTAAAAAATTAAAGCCCCCTTCTAATCGAACCACCTACTACCTCTATAACAAGTGTTTTTTTTTTGTGAACCAAATTACTATATCCAGACTTGCGAAAGGGCGGTAATGACAATGTTAATGATTTTAAGTTCTTCTTCTGTGATTAATTTATTTTGGAGAAGTCTGGTATAAGAAGTGCTTAGATAACATCCTCTACAGTGGCTGTAGGCCATAGAAACTTGAAAATAAGATTATTCCAGAAAAACGTCTCAGGGTGGAGTTTGCAAATGGAATAAAGAGGTGAGGGGAACTTATTAGGAATTATGTAATAGAGAAGTTTTCTGGAGGATGGTTTCGAAACCAACGGCAGATACATCATATTACGAGCCACTGGCTGCAGAGACTAACTCCAAACCTCAGCCCAAAAGGCTCTAGAAATGGCTTGCAAGCGCTCGGGGGTAGGTATAGTACTCTGACAGTTTAACCAAAACTCCTTTGTTGACACTCTAGTGACTAATACAGTCAGAGCAGCGAGTTGTAAAGAGTCGACAAATGAAACAGTAATATCAAAAAAAAAAAATATCATCAGAATATTTAATTAACTTGAAGTCAGCTAACATTTATGCCGACATGGCAAGTATGCCAATTGTGTACTCAAAAAAATATTTTTGAGAAAAAAATAGAAACCACTACTTTAAAATAAATCAAAATTATTTTCTGCAATGACAAAAAAAAAAGTAAAAAATTATTAATTTTCTGTTTTAAATTAATAAAAAAAAGTAAAAAATTATTAATTTTTTGTTTTAAATTAATAAAAAAAAAGCTTGTTTTTCAATTTTTCTGTTCTAAATTAATGAACAAATCTACCAGATGTTGATTTTGCTTTTTTAATTTAAACAGATATTACTACTTGGTATACTCGTTCATTAATTTAGAACAGAAAAATTGAAAAACAAGCTTTTTTTTTATTAATTTAAAACAAAAAATTAATAATTTTTTACTTTTTTTTATTAATTTAAAACAGAAAATTAATAATTTTTTACTTTTTTTTTTGTCATTGCAGAAAATAATTTTGATTTATTTTAAAGTAGTGGTTTCTATTTTTTTCTCAAAAATATTTTTTTGAGTACACAATTGGCATACTTGCCATGTCGGCATAAATGTTAGCGGATGTTAAAATGCACATATATTTTTCTGTAAATCCATTGCATTCATGAGAAGTTCCTGACATCTACGGCTACTACCGTGGCCTTTTTATAGGTCTAGCTTTAATTTGTATATAGATATCACATATTCTAGTAATCCCCTAATTTTTCATATTTTTGATTTGTGTTAGTGTTGGCCATACACGCCTCACTGTTGACAAGTCGTACAAGTAGTCCCGATTCATGAGAGAGGCAATCCAGCTGATCTAGTCAATTATTACCTAATTGCTCTGACTACTACTTCCAGAAAAGCGCTCTAAACATGCATCAAGGAGCTTCTCCAAGGCCAAGATTTGCCCTTAGACACCGCTTAAGATAGCTTGAGAGAATGTAAAAGTGCCTTTGACCAAGCTCTTTGTCTTTTAGAGATTTGTGGATTGTTTCCTCACAAAGATACTCAAGACTAACTGCTCTTTACTTAATTAAAGTACCAAATGGGCCTATATACATTCGCTTTTATCCGACATCTAATCAAATGCTTTCATATCTTCTCTGGCTACAAACCCATGCCGGCACACTATTAGATCAACACTCTCCTCTCTCTTCCTTTTCTGCTGTTGTTTTCTTGAGGTATTTTTAGCTTAGTACAGTCATTTTTATGAATTGGTTGAGTCCGAGTAGTCAAAGGCCACATTAGGCCATGTGTTCAAAAGGATCTTTTCTGTACAATTAATAAATTAACAAACTTCGATTATAAAGTTGACAAAATCAATATCAATGCGCAAGTATGCTATCTGTGTCAACAGAGGAACATTTCTAGAAAATATAATTGTTTTTAGGGTAGAAAATACACTCTTGCCACAGCGTAAGCGATTGCATTTTTTTTCTATATTTGAGTGAAAATTTGACCAAGATTTTTCTTCAATGAGTGAGGAATTCTTATACTTTTGATGGAAATTTTCTTCTATCGCTTACGCTGTGATGTCTTTAATTTTGAAAGAATAAAATTAAAATTAGAAAAATGAAAAAAAAAAAAAAAAAAAAAATGGAGTTAAAATGATAAAAAAGAAAAAACGACTACATACAAACACTTGTTTCACTGAAGAGCAAGAAATCGGATATGCTTCTATGCCAAGTAACCAATATACCATCTCTCACCTTTGAAGAAAGCATAAAGACATGAAATTCAAGTCCAACTATCACCAAGCGATCTGAACACAACATTGCTCAATAATCAACTTTAACAATGCCTTAAACCTAAAGGATGCCAAGGTATTCAAAAATAGAAGAATGAGAGAATTGTTATAAATAGTTTAGAAGCCATGCTAAGCCAATTCAATAAGGTCGTGTCTAAAGATGAGAATGACAGTTTGATTGAAGAAAATTACTACGAAGACATTATACTAGGTACACAAAGAAGTCCACGTAAAAGTAGTCCAGATTTTGATGACATCCCATATGAGATACTCAATATTGTTATCAACCAACTGAGTTGCTGAGATACCATAACATACGTTTACAATAATGCTATCAAACTAAGAAAGTCATTAAGATCATGGTAGTAAGCGTGTGTTGTATTGCTACCAAAAAAAGAAGACTCACCAAACTTAGGAAATTGAAGGCCAATCAAACTGATAAGTACAGACTGTAAAGTTTTCACCAGGCTAATAAACGCAAGGATACTAGAAATTGCCAATCGGCTTATTACCAAATTCCAAATTGAATTTGTGTTAGGGTACTGCATTGGAGATCAAGATTCAACACTTAGAATGATAATCGACAATACCAAAATGACCAAAGCAGGAAACAACAAAGTATTTGAAGAATATGTTGGAGTGATGCTTGATAATAAAAAGGCTTATGACAGAGATTATCCACGCTGTCTTGCACAAATACTATTGAAGATTGGCTTTCATAATCAATTCGTTAGATTCATACATAATTTTCTCTTTGACAATGAAATATTTATCATCATGAATGGGCCTCTATCCGATCTAGTGAAACAACAAAGAGAACTAAGACAAGGAGATTCTATGTCACTAGCACTTTTCAATCTTGCCATAGAGCCATTCTTTCTATCAATTATCGATAATAAAAACATCTCTGGATATTCAGTCTAAGCTACCAAACCATTAGATCAAACAACTGTTCAGCTTACTTCACTACCACCTGCCAAGATCATAGCGTATGCAGATGAAATCATCATATCTGTTAAACCTAAATCAGAATATATAAAGATGGAAGAATACTTCAAGACATACAGTCAAGTCTCAAACACGAAGACAAACTATGAAAAATCCATAGACTTCACACTATATGGAGGTAAAGAGGATATATTTTTTGGGGTGAGATTAAAGCCATACATTCAACAATGTATGAAGTGATACGACTATAGCAATGCTGACTATATCAAATACCTGAGTCATCTAATATACGTAACAAAATAACCGAGAGATGATTTTATAGCTGAAATGACCGGAAAAGTCAGAGCTCAAGTGTTTTAAAATGAGAAAAATTTCCATGTACTGTAGAACAAATGTAGCCACCACAATCATACTCGAAAAGTGTAGCATGCATTCAAACTGACACCACTACCAAAAGCTGTATTGTCAACCTTGAACTCAATTATCTACCAGTGTATTATCGGTAAGAAGAAATTACAAGTTAACAAATATGTCTTCTATCTGCCTAGGACTAAAAAGGGGCTAGGACCACCAAACGTGTTTGCTTAATAAGGATCTCTACTTAACTATGAGCAGTAGAAATGAATTTGAAAGTACTTATATGGTATAATGGTGTACGCCCTTCAAATGGAAACCAACAATCCAAGTCTCAAGCCCGTTATGTTCTTTCTTGATTCTATATATAAAAAATCCCTGAGCAAGGATGGTGTCTTTAGATTGATCTTTGAAGCAATGGATGTATTAGCAAAGCCTTATAGACCAAAAAAAAACAAAGCCTTAACACCTTTATCAGCAATCAATTGTATGACTCTGTCTCTTTCAGCTGTATGCAACCATTGGGAAGACGGTATTGAATTGACGTTCTTCGATAACGCATACGCGAAAAAGTTTAGCCCAACACTTTCTCAATCTTGACTTGGTGACCAACCATATTTCTTTGAAAAGCAGATGGAAATGTAATAAGCCCGCAATAATATCCAAATTAGAGACATATATTCAACAACGCACTGCGATTCAAGCAGTTTTTCCTACGACACATTAAAGAAAATACTGAAGAAGAGATTCAACAACTCCTAGATTTCAAGACATATTTGAAGGAGATAAAATAGAAAACAAAGCGATTTTGTCCCTAAACAATCAAGGCATTCGTAAAATAATGTTAGGTGATTTCAACAATAGTATCAAGCCCCGCCAATGGACACAATTCTACAAGGCAGCAATGTATCAGTCTGTTAGGAGCATCTGGCTCAAAATTATACTCAACAAAACCCCTAGTAGGCAACTCCTGTACCAAAGAAGAATAAAAGACGTTGAAGATAATCGATGCTTCAGTTATAGTGAAACAGAAGATGACAAACACCCACTGATCTCTTGTGATAATAAGGCAATGATTTGGCAAGATAGAGTCAACAAGTTCCTTGGCTACCTAATTAACATCGATGCAGATAAAATATTTAAAGATCTTAAGAACCTCACACTGTCGAGATATCTCATTTATAACCTGCGTTACAATACAGCCGGAGAGATGCTTCTCCAATCGAAATATTGCCCCTGCAGTTTGTACTAAATTTTTTATAGCTCCTTACGGGAAAGCAGAGCAGTTATTCCCTTTGAGGTATGATGAAGTTCTGTCTCTGAGTTTGAAGCGATGAAAAAATACAGTTTTTAGGTTTTTCATCAAATATGTAATACATGAAATACATAAGTAAGATTTATATTATTACTTAAGAAAGAGCAGAGAATAAATTAGTAACATGTGTTAATCAGTATATGTAAAATACTTACACAGATACGGGGAGGTAGTTGAAACCCCTCCCCCTCCCTAGAGCCATGCATCATGGTAGACTAGGAAACATTGATGTGTCTATAGGCTTAATACTACTTGCATAGTTTTGCGAAGCAATTCATCAAAACTCAAACTCAACCAACTCTTGTTCTGAGCAATTACAAAGAATATAATCATTAAGGAATATGTTGTTTGTTTTTCTTTGCGTTATACTATCTTCTTACTACATTCATACTACTACACATGAAAAACCAATACCAAGATGTGATTTATGCCAAAGGCTCTATCACCAAGTACTGATCTCTTTCTATTTATATTGTCTTAAAATCAACACCTCAACAAATCATTAGCAAAAGATTAAGCGCGTTTGAAAGGCCCTTGGATCATGATACCTTTGTTGCTGAGTTCGAATGACAAAAAAACGGAGCTGGTTTTCATCTCATTACTCACAATCAGTTTTTTTTTATACTTTATCTTTTTAATTTGCAGTTGAAATGACATTAAATCTGTATCCATGGACTACTAAAGAGCAATTAGACTTATTAAAGGAATACTTGATTCAGTCTACACCAACTACTATGCAATTAGTTGGTTTGTTTATTTGTGATGGTTTTCACAAGATGGACCCTATAAATAATACGAAGATCTTTTGCTCCCATTCAGATCCTTTCAATACCAATGATATTGTCGTATGGATTTTTTATACAGAAAGAAATACTCGTGTATTAGTCAGCACTGAAATCCAATTAGACAAAATATCTTTAAACCCTGAAGCTCAAATAGTAGCATATAGCGAGGATAAATATACAGAGACCCTGCCTCGCTATTTCTCTGATAACAAACATGAAGAATTGTATCAAGACAGTTGTAAAAAGCTAAAGCAAACATTGCAGTACTACGATACTTATAGACATGCGCAAAACGGTAAACAAAAATTGATCACACGCATAAATAGTTCTCATTATTTTGTTTGTTTGTTTGCAGATTTCGAAGATGTATATTACCATGGTATTAATCCGCTATGGGCCCCGGTGTTCCACGAGATTTATAAGGTTGGGTTTCAATCTCCTTGCTTCAAATACATCAAACCAGCTTCCGCACACTCACCAAGTCCAATTCAATTAAAATCGGGCTTGAAATTAACAAGCGCTTCAAAGGAAGATGTTGATGTCATCAAGGCTTCTACCAGTATTGGGTATACGCTCGAATATTTACAACAATGCGCTTTTATCTCTGCAGCTCTCAAAACCAATGATGCAGACGAACAATTAATAGGCTGGGTTCTGACTCACAGAGACAGTAATTATCATCGAAACAGAGACTGACTAATCACATGTCTGTATAGTGTTGGTAGGTGCTCTTCAAATACTGCCAGCCTGGCGTCGTCAAGGTTTGGCAGATATTCTTATGCAAGATATTTGCACAAAATATGTTGAATTCTTTAAACAAAATTTGCCTGAAACTCCTCTTGATCGACTTTATTTTGTTTCAACAGTTCAAACATTCAATGATGCTAGTGCGAGACTATTTGAGAAATTGGGATGGAAGCGCTACGGATCTGGTGTTACATGGCTTTTGTGTTCAAAGAAATAGACACGCCATTTTTTAAAATAAAGAGTTTTTTATACATAGCTTCTTTATTAACATTTATAACAGCATTTTATTTAAACTGATAGATGGGTTGAATTATTTGCAACTAATATTAGTGTTTGCTTTATCATGATATCTCTCCTTCAAAATCACTCTTGTAAAACACATGAGCATTAGTGTAATTAGTAGAGTTAGCTCTGCTCAAGCTCTAAATCCTAATGAAATTTAGATAACCATGTATTTCCATCCATAATTTATCATTATGTACCAACATGCAGTCAAAAAGAACACAGACTTCATGCCTCAAACTTTAGTTTGTGTGACTGTATTTCACTTTTTAAAAAAAAAACAATTTTTTTTTGTTCTTTTCTTTTATATTTTTATAATGATTAGCAATAAAAAGACACTTCATTTAGAGTCACAAGGAAGAAAGTAACTAAACATGGTTTATCTGATTCTATGTGTAATTACTAACCATTTTTTAGGCCTTGGTATCAGTAAGTAAAGAAGTATTCGTATTTCTTCAAGAGTTGACCTTCTTTTTTACTCAAGCGCTGATGGTTCTATTGCTGATCCTTATATGATTGGTATCGCAGGTAATTCAAATTCTTACTTTTTGATGTTGTTGTAGCCATATGTTAATAAATCATAATAATAAAAAAAAGGTGGTAGTGCTAGTGGAAAAACAAGTGTAGCCGAGTAAGTACATTCAATACTTATAATGACTTGCTCTAATGCAGTCATAGACGTATCTTGAAAAACTTGAATGTACCTTGGGTTGTGATCATTTCAATGGATTCATTTTACAATATTCTGTCCCCTGAGGACAGTAAATTAGCACACCAGAATCGATTTGATTTTGATCATCCTTCTGCACTCGATTATGACTTGTTGTACGAGACTTTGGTCAAATTGAAAGAAGGGTAAGCCAGTTACAAACACCATGAAAAGATATCGATAACTATTCTTAACAGCAAGTCAGTCACTGTACCTATTTATAACTTCAGTACACATTCAAGAGAAGAAAAGACAACGACTATTTATGGCGCCAATGTTATCATCTTTGAAGGTATTCTCGCCTTGTATGATAAGCGAATTAGAGATTTAATGGATGTCAAGGTAAAGCAGCCTGCATAAAAAATGATTTGTGAGTTCAAATAAGTGTAGATTTTTGTTGATACCGATGCTGATATCCAATTGGCCAGAAGAAGTAAGCGAAGTATGATAATGAGACGCCTATTTATCTTTCTATAGTTCAAAGAGATACACTGTTACGTGGTCGTGATGTGGGTGGTATTCTCGATGTAAGTATGCGAAAAAAAAGTTTTGTTCATATGCTCAAATGGTCATTAGCAATATACCAGATATGTCAAGCCATCATTTGATAACTATGTGAGACCCAGTATGAAGCACGCTGATGTGGTAATGTACAACAAACAAAAAATACGAAAAATTTGCTCATTCTCTTCTTTGCTATCTAGATCATCCCAAGAGGTCTAGAGAATGCCATTGCTATTGATCTCATCACAAAACATATTCAAAGCCAACTTCAAGAAAACATTATCAATTTGCGTTGGGGACTTGTAGATACCCCTGTGAGTGATAAAATACCTGACACAGTCAACATCTTGCCTCCTACCAACCAAATGAAGGTAGATAAAAAAAAAGATATGGCTGCGAATGTATTGCTGATAAAGAGAGATATTTAGGGCATTCATACCATTTTAAGAAATCATAGAACACCTAGAGATGAATTTGTGTTTTATGCCGATCGTCTGGCTGTTATGCTGATGGAATTGTGAGTAGAATCTTGTTGGTAGCCTGAAAATACTTATTTTTTTTTATCTGTAGTGCTATCAGTTACCTTCCTTCTACCCCGCATACAGTTACAACACCTGTAGGTGCTGATTATCATGGTCTTAAATTTGTTCAAAAGGTAAAAGACAAAAGAAACACATGATCATGTATTTATGCATAAAGAATAGATTTGTGGTGTTTCTATTTTACGTGCTGGTGGCACTATGGAAGCTGGTCTGAAGCGTGTATTCAGTGATGCTGTTATTGGCAAATTATTGATTCAAACAGACCCTCTTACAGGTGAACCCGAAGTAAGTCTCTCTAATTACTTTCATACAAAAATACTGATCATAATTTTAGCTTCATTATTGTAAATTACCCAAAGATCTTGTCGACTATGATATTATTTTGATGGACGCTATGGTTGGGACAGGTGCTGCTGCATTAATGGCGATACGTGTTTTACTAGACCACGAAGTCCCTGAAGATCGCATCATTTTTGTCTCCTACCTTGCTACTCAAGTTGGCTTGACGGTGATTACAAATGCATTCCCCCGTGTCAAGATTGTCACTTCAATGGTTGATCCTAACCTTAACAAGGAAAAGCTTTGGATTGAACCTGGTATTGGTAACTTTGGAGGTAAGTAGCAGATATAAAGAAGAATTAAAGTCCTTATTTGTTTAACAGATCGCTATTTCGGTACTGAAGAAGACGAAGAATAGATAGAATAAAAATATAAATATAAAAAAATATAAAAAATAATCATCTAGTTAGTTTATTAAAAATATTATCATTGGTTAGTATAGTTATTATTAGTTGGTTGGTACTGGTGGTTGTAAACACCACTGCTATTAGACCAACCAAGTGAATTGTCTTGCATAATAGGTTGAGAAATACTCTGAGCAAAAATATGATGGTCTATAATAGCTTTTTGTTGTTTGATAGCACGGCGTTTTCGATAAACACGAATAGTTGCAACAGTAGCAGCTGCATAAACTACGACGCCGACAGAAACACAAATACCAATCAAAGCACCTTTAGACAGGCCACTGGCACCACTACTAGAGTTGAGTGTAGTACTTATGCTGTCATCGGAACCATTAGAGCTATTAGGATCGCTAACTTTACCACTGGAAGCGGCTGAACTTGTGTTGATAACTATCAAGTAATGAGTTTTTCTTTCTATCTACATCTAACTGCAACTTACTATTGGTACGAATAGAATAAGAAGAATCAATTAATGAAGCCAATTGCCCGTTTGAGTTGGAATAAAGAGCAGAACTAGGTTGACTAATTAAGCCTTGCAATTTATCTACTTGATCAGAAGGAATAGCAATAGAAACAATGACACCTGAGACATTTTCTTCTCGCTTGAAAAAGAAAGATCTCTTTCTCTTGACAGGAGCAGCTGCTGAAGTGATAGTTGCTGCTGTCACGGAGTCACTCTTATTGTCATCAGCACTACTAATGGTTACTACAATGATATCATCTGCTGTCATCTCCAAAGATTTACTAAGCATTATAGGTAAACTTTGGACAAATTGAGCTGTCATGAGTGCATTATGAACCATGTCAGCATATGAAATGTATTTGAATTTCATGTAAACAACAGAACTTGTGGAAGGGATGATAGCATCAACATTGGGAGCAATGAATTCCGGCAAACTAGCAGAGGTAGAAACAGTTGTGGTTATGGTTGTGGTTGTGGCACCATTAGAAACAATGGCTGCGTTATTACTAGCTGTAGCAGTAGGGATGAGGATACTGAAAGTCTCTGTCAACCAAGATAGAGTTTGGTAATGATATGTAGAAGTAGGAGTAGGAGGGACAGTAGGGTTCTCTATTGTCCATGTAGAAGTAGCTGTCATAGTGTTTCCATTGGAGTCAGTCATAATGTTACTATTGCTTGTAGTATCAGCAGTAGTGGTGATTGGTGTATTTTGATCAAAAGAAGTAGTGGTAGCTGCAATTGTCTCTGCTGTAGTTGTTATTTGTGTTTCTTGAGAAGCTGTTTTGATAACTGTATTTGAAGAAGTTGCAATAGCTATGTGAGAGGTGGAAGTTATATCATTAGAATATGTAGTAGGTTGACCTATAGTTGTTTGATCTGTTTTAGTTGCAACGAATGTACTAGTGGTGGCAATGTCGGTGGCTGTAACTTCATTGGAAGCGGTTGTAAGCTTATCAGTAGTTGTTATGAACTCATTGGAAGTGGTTGTGTCTTTTACAGTAGTGGTGTCATCCCTTTCTATAGTTGTCGTAGGCTCATTCATAGTGGTAGTGATGGTTGGTTGATCTGTAGTCGTAATGGCTTTATTTGTAATGGTAGTAGAGTCATCTGAGGTAGTTGTAGACCTGTTCAACATTGTTGTAGTAATGGAGTCACCGCTTGTAGTAGTAGCCTTTTCTGTAGTAATAGGCTCATCCGTTGTAGTAGTTGGCTTCGTAGTAATAACAGGCTCTTCGGATGTTACAGTGATCTTCTCAATGGTAGTGGTAGGTTTTTCCGTTGCAGTCAACTTTTCTGTAGTTGTGGGCTGATTTGTAGTTGCGGTAGGCATGTCAAATGTTGTAGTAGCCTTCTCAGTGGTAGTGATTGGTTCGTCAGAAGTAGTGATAGCCTTTTCAGTAGTCGTGGTAGGTTCTTCCGTCGTAGTAGCTTTCCCTGTAGTCGTGGTAGGCTCGTCAGAAGTAGTGATAGCCTTTTCAGTAGTCGTGGTAGGTTCTTCCGTCGTAGTAGCTTTCCCTGTAGTCGTGGTAGGCTCGTCAGAAGTAGTGATAGCCTTTTCAGTAGTCGTGGTAGGTTCTTCCGTCGTAGTAGCTTTCCCTGTAGTCGTGGTAGGCTCGTCAGAAGTAATGGTAGCCTTCTCGGTAGTAGTGGTAGATTCTTCTGTTGTGGTTGACTTTTCCGTAGTAGTAGGCTCATCTGTTGTTGTTGTAGTGGTCTTCTCTATGGTAGTAGGCTCGTCTGTTGTTGTAGTAGGCCTGTAAGAAGTAGTGGTAGCCTTTTCTGTTGTAGCGGTAGACTCTTCAGTTGTTGTGGTACTTTTTTTGGTAGTAGTAGGTTCATCCGTAGTGGTCGTGGTAGCCTTTTCAGTAGTAGTGGACATTTCCTTCTTGGTAGTCGTGGTAGTGGCATCTTCGCTGGTAGTGGTAGGCTGTTCCTTCGTAGTAGTAGGCTGTTTCTTCGTAGTAGTAGGCTGTTCCTTCGTAGTAGTAGGCTGTTCCTTCGTAGTAGTAGGCTGTTCCTTCGTAGTAGTAGGCTGTTCCTTCGTAGTGGTAGGCTGTTCCTTCGTAGTGGTAGGCTGTTCCTTCGTAGTGGTAGGCTGTTCCTTAGTGGTTGTCTTTTCTGTAGTAGTGGTAGGCTCTTCTGTCTTTTCAGATTTAGTTGCCTTAGTCTCATTTTCGGATGAGGCAGTAGTCTTCTTTTCAACAGCAAGTCGAATATTTTTGAGCGAATGTGTGGTCTCGGTTGCAACAGAAAGAGCCAACTGCGTGGTAGTACGATGATCTGAGGTTGTCTTGGTTACACTCAAACTTATGCTTGTAATCTTTTCCCTTTTCGTCGTGGTCGTGGTTTTTTCTTCTTTTGTAGTTGTAGTGGCGTGGTCATGGTTTGAAGATGTAGTCACAGGACGAGCTGTTGTATGCTTTGTAGTGCTGCTAGCATTGGATTCGTCTTTTGCAGTAGACGACTCTTTTTTGGTAGTTTTGGATTTCTCAGCTGTGGTTGATTTGTGTTTAGTAACAATTGATCGTGCCTGAAATGTTAATAAAACAAGTTAGTTTGCTTTAATGCGATTGTTACTATCATTGACGTTTACTTTTAATGCATTAGACAATGAAGTCGTAATTGATTTATAATGCAATTCTGTTGTTGCCTCCGGTTTTGCTTCGATAGTTTGAAATTGAATACAAATAAGAGCAATAAGTATAAAGATTAGGTAATGATTGAGCTTCTTTTTTATCATCTAGCGAATTACAATTTTTAAAAATCTAAAAGTACATGTAAAAACTACAGAAAACGAAAGGAATGTAATAGGAACAAGAGCTTAATGAAAGAACAAGAGAAAGAGAAAAAGAAAGAAAGAAAACCCGGGAGAAAATAGGCGAACGAATTGCAAATGTTTGTTCTAGCATCACTAGAGATCACAAGAAATATCAAACAAGAGTACAATGGAAATCTGTCCCACCTAAAATATTAAAACGGTACATGGTAGGGTGCCATAAATCCGCTAAAATAGTTGAAGAGCACGTTTTTCTTTTGTTAATTATATTTGAACGAAGTCTATTTTATGAGAAAAGAACACCATTTACTTTATTTTTTTTTAGAAAAAGACGATATTTGTTTATGTGATATGTCAAACTTTAAATTTTTTTTCTTTTGATTTGCTTACTCTTTATCACCTGCTGAACTACGACTTCTAGAACGAGAGCGCATAGAGGAATCTTCCTGGTCCTTGATATAGTCACCATCATTCAAAGGAACATCAATTGTAACATCTTCACGCTTGATGTCGTCACGGCGTTCAGCAGATCTTCCTCTTGAGCTTGAGCGGGAGCGAGAACGAGAACGAGGTGTACGGGAGCGAGAGCGGCTACGAGAAGGATCACGTTCACGACGAGGTGGTGAACGAGAACGGCTACGAGAAGCGGAACGACTATCGCGACTACGAGAACGTTCACGACGACGTGAAGAGCGACGAGGTGATCTGCTACGGTCACGGGAAGATCTTCTTCTGCTACGACCCTTCATATATAAAAATAGAATATTTTGTCTAATTAGTCATGCAGTTTAAAAAGCAGGGTATAGAAGCAACTTACAGCTTCTTCAAGAGTGACACGAGTGCCATTCAACTTTTCATTATCGAGTTCTCTTAAGGCATATTTCATGTCATCACGACGAGCAAATTCAACAACACTAATTTAGAGTTATTTACTTATCCGAATGGGCCATTTTACTTACCCTTCACCATCACGGTCCTTGAGGATATCAGCAAATGTGACACGGCCAGCTTTGCGCATAAAGTCTTTGAGGTCCTTTAGAGTAACAAGAGATCAGAGAGATGGATTTAGTTTCACGAGCATTAGACACATGTTTCAAAAGAGATAAAAAAAGTAGAGAGAAAGAACCTTAAATCACTTGTATCTTTTTTTATCAATGTAAGATAAAAAAAAACAAAGCGATTGGTAGTACACAGTCGGAATCAACAAAGGATAAAATGGACAAACCCAAGTTGTACCAGACCCAAAACCGGGGGGGTTATATCTCTCACATTTTTTTTTCAAAGCAAGTAGTAGCAGCTTCAAAGGAAAAAGAGAAAAAAAAGCATACACATATACGTGGACAACCTTTTTTCTTCGTCTCTTCCCAAAATAGAAGAGTTACATTTCTTACTTTTTGAAAAAAGTAATGTAAAAAGGCATGGAGAGGGGGAGGGAAGAGAGAAAAAGGAAAATACATAGCCTAAGAGCAGCATAGTAAAAGAGAAGGATGCTTTACCTGCCAAGTGGTCTTTGAGGGAATGTTCTTGACGATGATACGGTTAGTGTCTCGACTAAAAAATTTAGTGCATATTAGTACATATTTTTCACAACTAAGTCTATTCTTTTACTTTTCAGAACGTTCAGGACGACGGCGACTCATAGCAAGTTCAACAATGATTCTAACATGTTTGCTTAATTTTAATGTGATCATTTTTATCGTTTATATTCACCTTTGGCCCATAAATTTCGTGTCGTGCACATCATGAACAGCGTCTTCAGCGTCAATTTTGTCTTGGAACTCAACAAAACCAAATCCAGTTTTAACTGTGACGTCAAGAATTCTGCCATAGTCTTTAAAGAGATCTTCAAGATCTCTTCTATTGGCGTCGCGAGGAAGACGACCGATATAAACTCTGTGTCCACCCATTTGTATTTTTTTTCTAAGAAAAAAAAGAGACGAAAGAAGGAAAAAGAAAGAAAAAAATACGACGACTACGTTAAGACAAAAAAAGTCACAGTTAGGCTATACATAAAAGGCGGAGATACTTCAGATCTCTTGTTTATTGATTCGTTTGGCTGCATTTGCGCATTCAGTATCAAAGTTGATGTAAAAGACGATAAAGAATCCTTCACATAAGCATTTTAGTAGACCAGATAGTGCAACTCCAGACCAAATACCAATGAGACCTAATTCGTGCTTCGATGTCATATAGACACCAAATGGAAGTCCAATGATATAGTAAGTGATAATATTAAAGGCAGCGACAATGTGTTGCTTGCCAAAAGCATTAAGTGTGCCTGATAATACAGTACTAATGCCCTGGTTTTGTTGCTCACGTAAGACAAGTATATTTGGATATCAAACTTACCATCATCAAATGGCAAAGACTTCCAATGCCCATCAACTCTTCTATGGCTGCAATGACTTGTGTATCTGTACTAAAAGTATGTGCAATAGCTGATCGATATACATACAACAGAGTTGCATTCATAGTGACAAGTATAGATCCTATAGCACAGGCCAAGATAACACAAAGCTTTGTTCTCACTGGCTTATTTGCACCTAAATGATGTCCTAATCTTACACTCAAAGCTGTTGTAAGTGCACTAAAGATGAGTTAGATATAAGAAAAGAAGCACACACATTTCTCTTAAGCTTACGTTGGTATCATCAACAGCAAAGTATTGCAAGAGATTAGCACAGATTGAGCAGCTAAACTGGTTTGGCCAAGCAGACCAGTAATGATAGCACACACTTCAAATGCCCAATCAGTAGAGACACTCAGCATCCCCGGAATACCTAATTTGTCGAGTAAACATACAGAAAAGTGGCAATATATCACCCTTACCTAGTTTCAAAAATTCTCCCCAATACTGAAACGCTTGCATGCTTAATCCAGGCCAAAACTTTTTGATATCAGAAGTAATGCTGGAAATAAACAGGATATAGACAAAGAGCAAAAATACACTAAAGAATATATGGTGATAAGCAGCACCAATATACCCTAAATTTAAATAGATAAGAAAGAAATAATTGGAAGCAATATTGACTGGAAACAAGACAAAAACAAGGTACATTGTCACTTTCATTTCTCCTATAAATGCACGCATGGTTAGTTGGACAGAACACTTATTTTGCTCTGCTTACCGAGTCCTTGCAGAAATTTTCTGATGGCCACAGTAGTAAAACTTAAAAAGATGTTGGGTATAACTATTACAATGTATTTGTGTGCCATCTCGGCCAATTCGGGAGATTGACCCATTGCCAGAAGTATTTTATCTGAAAAAGCCCTAAATACAAGATATGATTAGATTTGGGATAAATTGATTCATGCTTGTTTACCACAAGATGGATATGCCTAGACCGAACAAATACATGATGACTAATCCTCGTTGGAGGATAGCACCGACAGTATGTGGGTTGCTGGCCCCTGTGAATGCTTGAGCCACAAGTGTGTCAATAGCTTCTCTAATGTGGTTAATATACACACATCATTCTCTTTGATGCAAACCTGTCAAAACGCCATATCCTATGGACAATCCAGTCACCATAGTAAAAAGGTTGCCAAGACTAGCAACAGCCATTGCTTCGGCCCCTATTTTACCTAAAAACCAGACATCAACTACTCTGTTTCCTACACCCAAGAGAAATGTGATAATTAATGGAATACAGAATCGAATGATGCCAGTTAACTCTTGACGTACAACACGAGTATGGCTCCAAAAGTACTTGATATCTTTTTTCAGATCCAACTGATATGTATTCGGGTAATAAAAGGAAATGTCATTTGTCACTGGAGAAGGAAGAGAAGAAGATGATACAGAATCACGGCTTTGAGACCTTGTGTAGTAAGAGTCAAATTTTTCTGATTTTGAAGGCAACAAAGAAGTGGTCTCATCAATGTCACTATCACGTTGCTCCATGGTTTGGCCATTCTCTTTCCAGATAGATTTTGGAAGATTGATTAGTGTTGGCACACGAAACATTTGAAATGTAAAGGAGATAAGAAAGAACAGAATCGGTGATTTATACCAACAAAAGTGCCTTGAAACGACAGAGGAATGACGCTATTATGGTTTACTCTTGCTATCTGGATCATGCTGTATACAGTCAACCCGAAAATGATTGACGGGGACTTTTTAAATAGACTGACAGCCTTGATTGGATGAAATATCGACTTAAGCTAACTCAAATTGACGCTTTGATGCCCCAACTTGTCGGTCTTTAGTTTATACAGCCCATACGGTCCCAAATGACGAAACGCTTTGTTTATTGTTTCATCCAAGAAAATACACAAAGAAGCGCGATTTAAGGCTTAATTGAAGATAAGATGCTCTACAGAGTTTGTTTTTATGTTCCAAAATGACCATATTAGCCAATGTTCCCAGAGATAGAAAACCTTCTTATTTTCTCAGGAATTATCTTTGTAGCATCAAAATTGATTGATTGCTGCCCTTTCAAAACAAGTATGTGCTGAGATTCTTTAGGAAATCGATCGGCATAATTGTTTGGGTGAACGCAAGGTTAATTATTTTTAGCATTTAGAATGTTATGACTTTGAGGGTTGAAATCAATAATTATGTTTATAAAAATAAGAAGATTTTCTGTTTGTGTACATAATACCTTGAATTGAAATAAAGAAAATCAGAGACGCGTTCCACAACTACAAAAACGCGAAAATTGTGACTTTCTTGAAAAGGGGAAGGGGCAGAAAAGAAAGAGAAAAAAAGGGAATACTGTTTTTTTTTCTTATTTCATACCTGAGATCTATTCACGCTAGTTATGTCAATAACTAAAAGTAACCGTCAACGTCGACAACTGAACGTAAGGAATTTGAGTTTGTTTTTCTATGTTTTATTAATACACTTTCTTCAGTATACTTTGGGCTTATGTTTTATCTGTAACGGTTACCAAGACTTTGACCATGAAGGACAATCCGAAGACCTTTTAAAATGTGTCGATTGCCATCGTAACGGTCGGTATGACTAGGATAGAATGATTGTAGGCAAAATTTAGACTGACAATGATATATAGTTCATGCTATTTGTTACCAATTAGACAGAGCTTCAGCTAAAATTATACAAACATATGATTGGCAATGTAATGACTGCAAAAGTTGCCTAGTTTGTCATTCAAAAAAAGATGAGGTATGACAGTCTTCTCTTCTTCCCGTCTATTCTGATTCCTCTTTCCTCTCTATTTTATTATTCTTGTTTTTATTTCTCTTTAGAGTAAAATAGTCATTTGTAGTCAGTGTGATCGAGGCTGTCATACATTTTGCTGTGATCCGTCCCTAAAAGCTGTACCCGCAGGTAAGCAATCAGTATGACTGAAACAATCGGGGTTTCTCACAAAAAAAAATTAGACGACTGGTATTGTAAAGAGTGCTCAAGCATGCCTTCGCCTCCCACTTCTTTACCTTCTTCACCTATACAGCCATTGACACCTTTATCTGATAATCAACCACAAAAAGCAGCTATCTATCAACTCAGAAGGTCTCCTGCGCACTCAGCCAAATTTATTGAAAGTACTATTATGGCTAGAGAAAAAAGAGCTCCACAAAAAAAGAAACAAGCCCTTAGTGCTGATGAGAACAAGACAACAAAACCAACACGTATAGAACCTCTGAAACTCAAGTTAACCGTAGCGCCACCAACTATTCCAACTACTCCAAGTCGCAAACGAGGCAGGCCCAAGTATGCAGAACAAAAAGAAGAGGAAGAAAAGTTTTTTAAAACGTTTGGCCATAAGCTTACAAAGACAGAGGCTAATATAAAACGTGGTACACCAGCAGAAGCAGACTTTGACAAATTCGAAAAGGCAAAATCTAAAACAGAGGTAATGCCCAAAAAAAAAAAGAGAGATATATTAAACAATGCCTTATTTTTTCCATTTCTTAGAGCCTGTTGAATAAACAACTGAAAGCAATAAATGACAACAATAGTGATAGTGGAGATAGTAATGATAGTAATCCAGAGCAACAAAGCAACAGTGAAGATAGCATGATAGATGTGCCTAAAATCAAACAAATTTCATTCAACAATTATCTAATTGATACATGGTATGTGGCACCATACCCGGAAGAATACAGCCAGAGTTCTACATTGTATATTTGCGAATTCTGTATGAAGTATATGAAAAGCAGCTTTATTGCTGATCGACACAAAGCCAAATGTAAAGTCAAATATCCGCCTGGTGATGAAATCTATAGAGATGGTAAAGTGTCAGTATTTGAAGTAGACGGGAGAAAGAACAAGATATACTGTCAAAACCTTTGTCTGATGGCAAAGATGTTTTTGGATCACAAAACACTTTATTATGATGTGGAGCCCTTCTTGTTCTATATCATGACAGAATCAGACGAACTTGGGTGTCATTTTGTAGGCTATTTCTCTAAAGAAAAACGATCTGCTATGAACTACAATGTTTCTTGTATCTTGACTATGCCGATTTTTCAACGTAAAGGCTATGGACAATTCTTGATTGACTTTAGCTATCTACTCTCGAAAAAGGAAAGCAAGACTGGCTCGCCTGAAAGACCATTATCAGATTTGGGCTTGATTAGCTATCGTAGTTATTGGAAGAATGTCTTGTTTCGTGAGTTAGAAAATCAAGATGGATCTATTAGTATTGACGGTATGTGTCTACGTGTACATCGATATATTTAACCAAAATATTTCAGAATTAAGCAATATTACAAGCCTGACACCAGACGACATTATCTCAACACTACAGAACAACAACATGATACACTATGACAAAATTACAAAGCATTATTCATTGGTTATTAACCCTCAAGTCATCCGAAACCATCTGCAAAACCTGAAAAATAAGAATCATCTTCAACTTCACCCTAACAAACTCAAATGGACACCATTCGTACTCTCAAGAGATCGTTTAGCAGCTCTACTAGGACAAGCAAAGATGACCATCAAAGACGTAGATGAATCAAATGATGTTGATATTGACTAAGACATTGTATATCATATACTAGCATTTCAAAGTAATAATTAATTTATTTAAAGAAAAAAAACTCTCCTCTCACACCCCTGCAATAATACGCACACACATTTTCATTTTCATTTCTTAATAATAATAAAAAAAAAAGGCATACAATAACTTGAGAGAGTAAGCTCCATTCTGTTAACTATTTTCTAAAGAAAATAGTATCCGCAATAACTATAACTATGACCAGAAAAAGGCATACCTTCATAGCTTCTGAAACTCAAACTTTGTTCGACCAGAAGATAAGGGTAGCACGTTACCAAAGGCAACGCATCTTTTGTACCCATTACAGGTACAGCACTTTCACAAAGAAAAATGCCGCTATAGTCTGGAGACCTTCCCTAACGTATACAAATGTATAATGGTATTGAATGATAAACATTCTCGTATGTGGAACTAATAGACGTCAAGTGCGGATCTTCTCTGTTATTGTATGCTAAAGAAGAAAAAAAAATAGATGGAGCTCACTACAGCGTATTTTATATTCGCAATCGGCCATTAAACTAGATCGAAAAAAATTTTCTTTATATTGTGACTGTCCAAGACAAGTTTTGTTGACAACAGAGAGACATCATTACTCAAAAGACACGCTGGCCACTCTGATTCTTAATGACTATAAGAAGTATCGTCATATCTTAAACGAATATGAGAAGGAATGTATTTCATATTCATGTGTAAGTAGGAGAATTATATTTACCAAGAGTGTGTGCGTTTATAAACGAAAGCAGAGTGTATGATAAAAAGCTTACTGACAATGAAATTTGATTTACATTACATCTTGAGCTATTGGCATTTGTTCAGAATCATTAATTATGTTGATCCATATCTTGGCCCAAATTTAAGCCAAGGCATTGGGCCAAGTGGTAACACAAGCCAAGAACTGTCAAGAAAGAGTAACCTGATACAATCCAGGATCACACCGAACCTTATATAAACGAGTCTTTTTTCTTTTCTCATGCTTCATGCACACAATGGCAAAAATAACAGAGGCAACACCACTTTTAGATTCAGAATCAGCCATTGACAAAAAGCCATCGCCATGGTATATCATAATTCCAGCATTTGGAATTGCCTTTTATAATAGGTAGACATTAAACTTGTATTTACATAACTTTATTAAAGTTTTATCTAGTGCATTGATTGCACCATCTGTTGAGCTTTTCACAATGGTATTTTGCTACAGGTATAATGATAAGAAACACACAAAAAAGGTTATTTATAAAGAAATATCTATAGATATTACCAACCTCAAACAGAAGGTCTAGAAGATATACCCATTGAAAATTGCGCTATTCCAGAAGTTCAGTCTATCGTATCTCGAGCTCAAGCCATTATTATGCTTGCAACTTATCTAGCAAGTAAAGTAACTTATTTAGATGCAGACAGATCAGTTTATTGATGTTGTGTTCTTGTATAGACCTCTTGATGGCTAGTTATTATGGATCATTGTTGGACAAAAAAGGTCGACGTCTAGTACTCCAGATCAGCTCAACAGGAAATACTATTGCTTATATTTTCTTCATCTTGACAATCAGATACATCAACTTCTTTGGCATCTCATTGTTTGTTGTTGGACCTATTCTTTGCGGTCTTTTAGGTGGCGATACTATGTTGCTTGCTACTTCTCAGGCTTACATTGCTGACTGTACAACAACCACTCAAAGGTAAGAAAAAAAAACAATTTCAAATTAAAGAAGACAAATCATTTATGCTCTATTTCACATAGAACAATTGTGTTTGGTCATTTTATTGCAAGTCTTTATTTGGGTGGCACTTTAGGTTCTTCCTTTGCTTCATATCTGATCAAATCAACAGGGTCTACTGAAGTCGTTTTTTGGATGGCACTTACTATCAATGTATGCCTTCAGTTTTATGTTCACTTTGTTTTACCAGAATCACACAAACAAAAGCAATTGGAACCAAATGATCATAAAACAACGTTATTAAAGCGCGCTAAGTTCTTGTCTGCGCTTGATGTATTTTTTTCGGCTTCTTCTAAATACACACATCAATACACTCTGCCCTTAGCTGCATGCATTTATTTTTTAGCATTGCTTGTTGTGCCTCCTATACTGATGTATGCCATGCTCAAGTTTGGCTGGACTGCTTACGAAGGTGGAATTTTTACCAGTATCGCTTTCTTTACACGCCTTTTGATCATGATCGTTTTGCTTCCTTATTTATCTAAACTATTTCACAAGAACCGTGCTTCTACGACAAAGGCTTCTAGTTCTTCAACTACGTTATGTGATGCAAACAATGAAGCACAGTACAAAGATGAACCACAAACTGATCAAGATATCATACACGCTATCCGCTTTGACATTTGGATGATTCGTACAGGTATTTTTATAGAAGCAATTGGGCTTGTAGTCCTTGGTCTTGTCACGACACCTGGTGGTTTTATGTTTGCCGGTGTTCTTCAAAGTTTTGGAACATTAAGTAGTCCGTCTATTCGCTCTTTGCAAATCAATTTGGTCGATGCTTCTCAAGTAGGCAAGCTCATGAGCGCTTTAGCTGTTTTAGAATCCATGTCAAGTAAGTACATCTAAACAATTTGCCATAAACTTATTTTGCTCTCTTTCCTAAAGTGATTACATCACAATTAGTATTGAGTACTATTTACAGTGCATCTGTCAAAACGATGCCTGAATTGACTTTTTATATTTGCTCTGGCTTTGCTGGACTTAGCTTAATTTTATCATTATTTATATACCCACATTCCAATGACAAGCTTGAAGAAGAAATTTGATCTTATGAAAAAAAAAAAAAGTATTCTCAGATCTAATAAATCTTGAATATACTTCTTGGGCCTATCGATAATGTATAAGCCAAGCTATTGTATACTCACACTATTTTTTTCTATCGCTTGATTTTCTTTGCAAGATCTTTGACAATACACCAAACCGAAACTATTTCTTACTGTCGGCATAAAAAAAAGAAAGCTATAGACATTTCGCTTGTACCCGTTTTGAACATGCTGAGCCATAATAATCCATTTGCGTTTTTTTATTCACGAACAAAAGTAATCATAAAAAATGACAGCTTTTGTTAATTGCTTTGAATACAGAATAAAGATACTTTTGCCTAAAGCAGTTTTGTCTGTAAGTTTAAAAGAAACTCGCTCCTTTTCCCTTTAATTTATTGTGCATGAGCAATGCAAGCTTTGAGCATCCGAAAATGCTAAACACAGCTTGTCTTACTATTGTGTCTCTTTTAATATCAACTTATTCGACTTCTTTGAGTTATTTAAAAATGTATTACACCGCTGTTCTTTTTTTTTAGCAAAGGTATTTAAGCAATGAGCGCAAGCCGCGTTCTTCAAGCAAGCCTTGGTAGCTTTTCATTTTCCTCATATAGTCAGTTTTAAAAAAGCGTCATTGTAATCGCATTGGTTTGGGAACAGAGTGTAACAAATGTGTACACATACGGAAAAAAGTATAATTTCTCGAATTGCACAGACATTGTTCCACACGTGCAGCAATTCATATGTGGTTAACTTGGTTAAAATGCCTTTTGTTCAAAAAAGCTTGATCTAACGGAACACGAATGCCTTCTATTACTATTCTATGGCTAGACCATGTTTGTTGATTTTTTTCTATTTTAAATCACAATTACTTTTAACAAAAATTGTAAGCAACCTAAAATTGCTTTTGACCGAATAACTTCCTTTTTTGCATTATATGATCCACATCCAATATAATATGGTTCACTTTCAAATCAATTGCTGAAAGCTCATCATAATAATGACAAATGTCGCTAAAACATATAATCTGAACTCGATAAACTTTTGGGTTTACATTGATCATAATTTAATTTATTGCATCACAGTCTTTTCAAAGTACGTGCAGTAACCTCTTGGATGCACAATTACTATTGGTTCAGTGTGCGGTTTAAATTATACTAGTATGACAAAGTATCTCAGGAACGTGACAGTAGGATTTCCTTAAATCTTTGTTATTTTAATTGTCAATGATCTGCATAAAGACATCTTTTCCTTCTTTTCACGTCTGTTCATAACTTGTAAATAATGAATGGTTTAGAACAAAACAGCTTCAAGGGCTCTCAAACAACTTTATGTCCTAAGCAAATGTATCATGGTAGCCCAAACCCTTACGGTTTTAGTAAGCTCAATCTTATAACTTAGACAATTTCAAACTGTTACTGTAGAAGAAAATAGTCAGCCAGCATACCATGAATCAGATCAAGAAACATTAAATAACAATGATGACCAGGAAGGCGAACTAAATCCTTGGTTGATCGTTGTAGGCACTTTTCTTGTCTTGGTTGTTGGTTTAGGCTCTCTTCAATCATGGGGTGAATTTCTCTCTTTTCTTTTTTCTGGATAGTATAGCCTAATAATTTTATAGGTGTCATGCAAAATTACTTTGAGCAATATGACGGCTTTCAAGGCATAAACAACTTGTCTCTTCAGCTCAGTTTTGTTGCAACTATCTGTAACATCATCATTAATTTATTGGGCTTATTGGGACAAATACTTTTATCTTTATTTCAAACAAGAACTGTCTTATTCATGTCAATTGTGACATGTAGCCTCGGACTCTTATTGGCTAGTTTCAGTACACAGGTAAGCAGTAGCATAATATATGTATTTTGGTTGCTGATGCTTATCTAGATCTGGCATTTGTATCTTACACAGGGTGTTGTTTACGGCATTGGTTCCTCCATTATGTTTTATGTATGTTGACTCTGATTTCTTTATTATCTCACAAACTACTGAATTCATCATGATGATTCTAGATTGCGCTTTCTGTAGTTCCTCAATGGTTTACAAAGCATAAGGGTGTCGCTTTAGGCATTATATCCAGCGGCATAAGTATCGGCGGACTGGTCATGCCGTTAATTATAGAGCCCCTAAATACAAATTTAGGTGTAGCCTGGTAAACATATAGAATGTACTAAATGTTAATACTAAGATCGCAAAAAAAAAAAAAAAATTAGGTGTTATAGAATCATGAGTCTCATATGTCTTGTTGTTGGTGTAATTTCATGTCTATTTTTCAAAACCAAGAAGCAATCAAAAGGGGAGACTGAAAAAAATACCGAGAAAACCAAGATTGACTTTAAAGAAATGTTTGATTTCAGTGTGGCAAAAGATTGGCGGTTTTTACTTTGGGTGTTTATTGATATCCTACTAGAATGTGGCTATAATGTACCATATTATTTCCTTCCATGTAAGCCCATTACTTATTTGACAAAGGTGTATCCTTACATAAACCGAATAGCATATGCCACTTATTTAGGTTTGACGTCTTCACAAGGAGCCCTCATCTTATCAGTTGGATCTGGAATGAATGCTGTTGGAAGAATTGCTTCAGGGTAAATATGCTAATAAAGGAATAGCCACTAAGATATGCATGTAGATTAATAGCAGACGTGTTTGGTCATGTCAATGTTATCATTATCTATTCTATCATATCTGGTCTTACCTGCTTACTTCTCTGGACATACGCTTCTACTTTTGGTACATTAATGGCATTCTCAATAGTATTTGGATTCTTTGGAGGGGCATTTATTACACTGAGTAAGTGTTGCAATATGACGAATAGACTAGTTAATTATCTGAATTATGTAGCACCAACAATCACGCTTTTGGTAACAGGATACGAGAAATTCGAGACTGGACTTTCTGTGTTTCTGATCTTGACTGTAATTTCCATGTTTGGTCCCAATCTCGCAGGAGTCATAGAAGTAGCGGTTCATGCACCAAAAGAATTTGATAGTTACAAGTATTTTACCGGCACATGTTATTTAGCTGGTGCAGTATTGTTGATTGCATTTAAGCTTTCTTTAAACCGAAACTTTTTCACTAAAATTTAAGACTTTTGTCATTCATTTAAAGTCACACAATAAGGATATTCTTTTCCTTGTGGGAGAAAGGCCTTCACATGTGAAAAAATCGAGTTACACATATTTATCTTAGATGGCGCGGACTCTGATTGGTCTACGCGCGCTCTGTCTCTTTTTTTTTTATCTTTATCTTATTTACACGAGAAAAATATGCTAACAGAGGAAACAATTGCACGATTCAAAGCTTTTGAAAAGTACGACTTTGACAACGACGAGAGGTTCAAGGTAATAGAAAGCACTCGTTTTCTATAGTAGCGTTTTAACATATATATACATATATATATGTTTCTTTAACAAGGCGGGTATCAACTCCCTCTTGAATAACAAGTCAGAAGACCAAGACAAATTGCTCAAAAAAGCCAAGTTGTTTTATTATACAAAGTAACATTTGTGTAAATACTTTTGATATACACATTTATTAATGCTTTCTGTTTTAGGTTGATTGATCATTTCGAAATGCAAGAATATGAGGATTGGAAAAAAGACCCCGTTGCCATGGAGACCGTACCTGAATCTGGTAATGAAATCAATCAGAAACATTGAATTACTGATATTTTTTTAGACTCTGAAAAACCAACAAGGTTCACGTTTCAGGAGCTTGTTGATATGATTGAAAAAGGAATTGAGATTCCAGGTAAGCCATAAAACAAGTTGAACATCAATATATGTTGATTTGTTAGGCATCAAACAAATACCCAATGTATTGAATGAAGGTACTCCAAGTGAGGCAAAGATGACAGCACGCCCAAAACCGTGGGAAATCAAGAAGGAGCAACAACAAGAACAAGGAGAAGACAGAGCCTAAAATAAATGCATACACACATGCATATAGTGTACATATATTTATATAGTCTTTCTGGTTTATTATGAATGTACATCAAGCGGTATAATATATATATATATATATATATATATAGTGTATAAATAATGTGTATAAGTTTACATTGCCATTTGATGGTGAAATGACTCTGGGTCAGGTGTGCCGGGAACAGAGACGGAATACTTTGATTTAACCTTGGCTTTGTAAGGCAATCGGCTAAGTGAAAGTGAAGATGTTGACAATTTCTTTCTTCTCATGATGATGCTGTCAGTAGATGACATTTGCGTTGGTTGCTTTTTATGATGTGATTTGTAGTTGTTTAAATACCCTTTTATTCTCAGCATGCAGTTGTTTAATAGCCAGTTGGTAGACTCCAAGGTAAGCCCAGATATCACTTCAATTGTAAGCAAAGCTAGTCGGAGGAAAAGGAAAGAAGAGGTGAAGGTAGTAGTAATGACAGCTAGACAGGCAAGAAATATAATAGTCAACAAAACAAAAGGTGTTAAAAGTATACATCCAATTGTCGATAAGATTGAGATTCGCATTGAAAGTTTGAAAAAAAATATGAGAGAGAAAAGAAAGAAAGAAAAGACAGATAAATTAGATTGATTTGATTTTTCGAAACTGCTTTTGCCCCCTATTTATAATCTTGAGTACATAGACAAGTAATTTATTTTTGCCATTATTATATCACATGTCATTTTACCGGAAAATACAGAGAATAAGCTACCTTTGAGATAAATATGAAGCAAAATCGAAAATTATGTTCATACAACAACATATTCTTTTTTTTAAAATTTCAAATCCTTGGGAAACCATCTTAATACCTGACAGTTAAGAACAAATAAAATGTGGGGATGAAATCAATAATCGCACCAATGAAATGAAATAGCCTTATATAGTATATGTGACGTAGGTAATTGCACAAAAAACATGCTAGTCGATCTAGATGAGGAATGATTTTCATAATATTTACAGAATAAGACAGGCAAGAATTATGAGTAAATGGTATCATCGCCTTCATAAGTTTTTTTTTTCTTTTTTGCAGTTCACAAGCTATTTTCTCCCAATAAACAAGGCCTTATATTATGACGTATTTTATTTGATTACAAGGTATCATTATGAGTAGACTGTAATCATTTTAAGAGTATAGATTTCTTCAAGACAATCATCATTTTCAGAAAAGAAAATTACTAGTGAAAAAGAAAAAAAGGAAAGAAAAACAGTAAAATGGTTTTTACCCCATTTTATTTGCAACCAGTATGATGCATATGTAACATGGTCAATCAATGAACAAACCAAATGGTTTAGGATTTTAGCTCTGGAGATCATTGAACCTTGACGTAAAACTACAAGAGGACTGTTTCCTTTTAGGATATGACTTGTGCATTTATTTTTTTGACGATATCATAAAATTGGTTACTTTTGTTAGTACCAATCAACAATGAAACGTTTTACTGCGAACTCTCTAAACAATAGTGACACTTGCGTGTATATACATAAATGTTTCAAAGATCATTAAGCATTAAAAAGTATATATTTTTACAAGATGAAATGACCAATTTTGGATAAAATGTCAGGGAGATTATTTTATTTTTATGCAAGATGCAATGAATGTAAATAATACATTATGATTTTGGTTAACCTGGTCATGTATTATATACTATGTACACATACGAATATGCCTTCTAATGTGAAATACACACATATACAGACATAAATATAGATATATGAGTATCTGAGCTTGTTATTTATAGCATTCATAGCAATAGATAGAATGTTATCGTCACATTGCTTTCAATACGTAATGTGCACACATACACAGAGGAAGAAAAAGAGAGATACACTCACTCGCCGAGAATGCAAAGCTTAAATTGAAAATCAATCTACGGTGCTTGCATATTTATCCTGTAAACTGAAAGTGCTTGATAGCTACAATAAAATGAGAATATACAACACCTTGAAAAAAAAAAAAAAAAAAAAAAGATAAATTGCATAACGCCCAACATTTTATTACTTTTACGAAATATACATAGTCGTATACATATATGTAATACATATTCGTGCTGTTGTGATACTTACATGTATCCAAGTTGATCATATCTCCTTAACTTGAGCATATGTAGATACAGTATTATGCATTACTGTACATACATACACTCATACATACATATGGTATAGGATTTTTAGATTGGGGTAATGTAATAAGTATGCGCGTGTTCCACTCGATAAAGTATCAAAATACCATATACATACTTATTTTATTATATACTAAACCCTATAGTGTTTTTCTTATTTTTTTATTTTACATGCCCAACTATATTGTAACTTAAACATACCAAATGATCCATTTTTATCATCGTCATATTTATTCTATTATCTATAAGAATTAACAGCAAGTATGTATGTAGTAGATTGAGGAGGAAGAGGACAGGCTAAAAAGAAGAAGAAAAAAGATATATATAAAAAGGTGAAAATGTTATGCACATATCCCTACTTGCATTTTAAAAAAGAACAAAAACGAAATAAAATCACCAAATATGGGTTGTCAAAATGATACATATCAAGTAATCATAAAGGGGTACACTTTTTTTTTTTACTTTCTTCAAATTTTGGCGGCATACATAGACTAAAGTGCAGTTGAATGTATTCATATGGCTATAATCTTTTTAAAATACTAAAAAAGGATTTATATTTTTTTTTTTTTTTTTTGCTCTATAGTTTGCCTGCATTTTCTCCTGTAGGAACTTTTTTTATATGGGCGAAAACTTGGCCCCTTTTCCCTCTTTCTTTACATACAGCATTATAATGTACATATAAAGCGAAAATAAAAAGCAATCCGTACATATAAAGTAATAAAAAAAGACTTTACCCCTTGAATAAAAGACATATAAATAAACGCCTAATTTTCAAAGAGACCCTCTTTCTTTTTTATTCAAAAACATTGATGACAACTATTTTTTAAATTTCTTTATTCCCTTCTCTGCCTGTGTATTATCAACTTCTTTTTATATTATTGTAACATTTTATTTTATTGGTAAATACAACCTATATTAATTCGAAAAAGAAAAACTAAATTGTCTTCTAGAAAATGGATCTCAAGTACCTTTTATGTGAACCTGTATCAAGGCTTTCAGTCAAAGCAAATGATGCCTTCAAAAAATCTCAACAAAAACAATATCAACCAATTGGTTTGGAATGGCCCTCTGAATCAGTTTATCCTTCTGTATCTTCAAGTCAACAGGAATGGCATCATAATCAACCCACCATGATTATTAGTAGCCCTAAGAGTGTCTGTAGCAGTATCAGCACATGCAGTAGCGCAAGTTCAAACAGCGTCAGTAGCCATGAAGAAATAAATGCCATTTCTCGTGGACCTGGCAGAAGTCAAAGTCTTGGCTCATTAAGCAGCTATGCTCAAGAGCACTCTCCACAGAAGTATCAAGCCAGACGTCGAACTGCAAGTGACGTAAGCCTGACAAGACATCATATGTTTATCTACAGTCATCCCAACCGTAGACCAAGATCAGAATCTGCAGGAAACAACAGTTCTAGTCACAATAATAGTAACGTGCAGACCAGAACACCTTGGACGCCAATTGAAGATCATTTACTTCAACAAGGGTATGATCAGGGCTTATCTTGGGCTATGATTTCTTCTACATATCTCCCTCATCGTTCAAGAGGCTGTTGTTGGGGCCGCTTTAAGACCTTACAAAACAAAAACATGATCGATCCAAATCATTCACATATGCGCCATTTTAGAAGACCCTGGAAAGCCATCGACTTTACCAACACTAACAAAAAACTGGGATTGTAATGTTTTTTCTCTCTTTTTTTATGCATATGCTCAACACTCTTTCACGACATACTCCTTTATTTTATGTATTCATCTTATGGATATAGTATTATGGCTTATTATTTTTATGCTTTTATGATGAACTTATGCCCTTATGTCTCCTTCTTCTTTCTTCCTTGTTTATTTTTTCAAAATTACTATTATTATTCAAAAAAGAGCTTCGGACTACTGTGTTGATCTTCCCCTCCCCCTATTTCAAAAAAAAAAAAAAACTCTTATGGTCGATGCGGTCTCTCATTCTCTATATATACTTTAACCCTTAATTTATACCTCCTCTCTCTTTCTATTTTTATGTTATTTATACATACTTAATTTTCTTTTCAGCCAGGTAGCTGTCATTTTACAATTGAAGAAGTAACCTTTTCTCTTGTTCATACCCAATTTTGAATTAATAAACATTTTAGCATCTTTCTCTTTCTCTTTCTCTTTCTCTTTCTCTTTCTCTTATTTTCAATGGATTCACGATTTGAAGATAAAGTTAAAAAAAAAACAATGAAAATGACCATCGTGAAAATATTGCTTTAATACAACTGCGGCATGGTCGAGATCGTGACATAATCAGCAAGAATTAGCACCCCTTTTTGTTTGATCTTCAAGAAACTTTTCAATTGAATTTCTTGTACAGGATGAAGAAAGTGATTTAGAGGAAGAACTGGCATTTCTTTCTATTATTTCAGAAATGTGTCATAGATTTATCTAATGTTGCTCTGGGGCAATATGTCACCAAAAAAAAGATATGTTTTATGGCATATATTTTGGCTACATTTTTACCCATCATTGCGTTAGTCATTTTTTTTTCTTTTGCTGTTTATTTTTCGCCTGTTTCACTGCCTTCGATACCTGGAACCTCTCAACTTTTATTTTTTACAACATACATTCGTTTATTGATATTAAATATTTTTATAAAACTACCAGGCACTAAATGTGAAAAGAGCGATTACAACATCCTCTGGAATATTTTATCAACGGAAAGCCATTTGACACTTCATTTGACACTCCATTTAACCTATGCATTTATCAATTAAAATTATTGCTACAGCGAACACTCCGTCCACTTCATTGTTCACTCTAAAAAGAAGCATCAATGTATAGATTTTGAGAATAAATTTGTTGTTAGTTTTAAAGTATACAATGTTTTTTCTTTCAAATACACTTGTAAATGACTGGTTTCTTTGTGTGATAAACAATAAAGACTTGTTTATTGTTATAAAATAGTCAATTGGATTCCTATTTTTTTCTCTTTTCTTTTTTATAAATAGTTGCGATCACTTATTCTTTAAAAATGGATATTCGCGAAAATGTGGTCGTTTTTTTGGAATGGACGGAGTGTTCGCCATTCCTTCTCGATGACAGGCCATTCATTTGAAATTATTAATGACAATTACGACTCAAATCTTACCAATCAAAATTTCATTGGCTAAAAGATATATTTGTCCAAAAAAGTAAATTTCTTCTTACGTGGACGTTGTACTTGTGCATGGCTAAGATTTCGAAAAAAAATTATAAATAATGCAAAACACCAAATCAGCCTTTTTTTTTCTTCTTTATTACATATCAACATAAAATGACTTCTTTATACGATTTTACTGTCAAGAACATCGATAACCAAGATTGGAACCTTGCTGACCTTAAGGGAAAGGTAAGAAGTGACAGATAAAAAAGAAAAAGGCAAGGTATTTATTAGATCAAACACAGGTTGTTCTCTTTGTCAACGTTGCTTCAAAGTGTGGTTTCACTAAGCAATATGCTGGTTTGGAAGAACTCTACAAGAAGTATGCCGACAAGGGTTTTGTTATTGTCGGTGCTCCCTGTAACCAATTTGGTGGTCAAGGTAAGGTTTTCCTATCGAGTATAAAAGTATGCTTATCCTCTTTATTATGTAGAACCCGGCTCTGAAAAAGAAATTCAAGATTTTTGTAGCCTGACTTGGAGTGTTACATTCCCTTTGACTGCCAAGCTGTAAGTAGTTTGCTTATCAAAGCTTTTATAAACTAATTCGATTTTGCTTGTTAGTGATGTCAATGGTGATAATGAAGCTCCTGTCTACAGATGGTTGAAGGAATCCAAGCCTGGCATCCTTGGTTTGAAGCGTGTCAAGTGGAACTTTGAGGTAAAGAGACATAGTTTTATTGCGTCATTGTCTAATCTATCTCACATCAGAAATTCTTGATTGATCGTGAAGGCAAGGTTCAAAACCGTTATGCTTCCACCACTGAACCCAAGTCTATCGCTGCTGACATTGAAAAGCTTTTATAAACCTATCTTTAATTTATTGTAATAATAGTTCATCATTGTATTAAAAAAAAAACAAATCTTTCATAAATTATGTCTATCTATATTAACGAGAACTGTTTTCTCCAACAGCTTTCCCTTCACCTCCTGTTCTATCTGTTGTCCCTTTCAAACCTAACTTGGCCACTGCGTCCCATATGTGGTTAGGGATTTCCTCCTTCTTGTCTAACGAAACAGGATCCAAAACGCCACTAAGGGACTCTCCTTTTTTATGAGCACAACCTTCCATCATGAGTGTTTCACGTGCTCTTTTGAATGCAACGTCAAAGTTGGTCGGTAAATGATCCAGTATGATAGACTTCCTCACAACAACTTCATCGCATACTTTACTTGCTGTTGTTTTCTCCACTACAATACGAGTATCATTACTCGGTGTTGGATCCTACAAACTAAGTCATGTGATATGCACTGCAAGTGAACTTACCAGCCAAAATTGGTATATTTGTCCTGCAACATAAAGCTACACCGAGAAGAGTTAGCTTAAATTTGAATAAATGTGTATGCCAGACATACTCTGGGATTCTCCATTGCATCAAAACAACGTTTTCGTACTTGTTCAATCTGTTCAAATGCAGCTTTCCATTTCTCTCCTTCAAGTTTACTTGACCATAGAATCTCACTTACTCCCATATTCCTCACAGCTTCAGTACTTGCGATAATAAGTTCCTTTACATCCATCACAGATCCATAGCTTAATTTACTGACAATATCGTCTGCAAATACAAAGGACTGTATAATATCCTATCATGCATACATCAATAAACAACCAACAATAGATATTTTTACCTTGTATTTTTCAGCGAGATCAAGACTAAGACCACACGCAGGAGCATAGCAATAACACTTTAGACTGAATTCTTCTTTTCCTTTACGGAATTCATCTAGACAATCCATCAAGATAATGGTAAGAATAGCAGCTGTTGCAGCTCCTAAACTGTGTCCCACAATCACAAGTCCAGTAGTCGAATGTTCATTCGAGTAAGCCACAAGTTGAGGCACAACATGGCGAAAGAACTACATTGCTGAGTTCTGGTTTATAAGATGAATGAATTGAAAACAAGAAAAATAAAGCTTACTTTCATCCCACTATGGATAAATCCTCCTTTCCAGGGTTCGTATTCGCACACCAAATCAGTCAATGTATCCATCACACTCTAATAAAGAAAATAGTTTGTATGATGTCTATAATGGCTTTCTTCTTACCATAGTTCCACGAATAGATAACACAATGGAATTCGTAAAACGATCTCTTGCAATAAAATAGCTTGGACGAAAAGCCTCAGTAGATCTAAATTCATATGCTAAAAGGTCTTCTTTTGGAATAATCAGGTATTCAAGAATAGATTTTGCATCTGAATGTTCTCGCATAGCATCTGAAAAAATCCCATTTCCCTGCCCAATAAAATTCAACCCTTTCCAGCCATAAGATGCAATTGAGAACTTCCAAAAACGAGCTCCCATATCGATTTCTGACAAGTTCTCAACAAGATCCCAAGTCCGGTTTCGTGGCATGTCTGTATAAAACTTGTCCAGCACAGTAAATCCTGTCAAGACTTGCATATTTGTCAATTCAAATCCTTGCCCAAAGATAGCAAGTAGTTTTCCAATTGCTTTTATCACTTGGCTTGTGTCTGTCCAATCTTTTTTATCCTCTTGTTTCTTGGAAGAGCTGAACCAGGAAGAGGTGCGTTTGACAGTGTTTGGTTGAGGTGCAGCCACCATTTCACCAAACTCTTCATCGTCATCAATATTACGTAAAATTGATCTGCTTTTGTTCATTTTAAGTGGCCGGACAACTGAATCAAAATCATCGTCTGAATCGTCTTCAAAGGCATCACTTTGATCAGAATTTGATTCTTCATATTGCTTGAATGAGATATCAGCACCTGTCTTTCTTCTTTCACGTTGGAATTGTAAGTGTCGTTTGAATTCTGCTTCTGATAGCTCTTCTATCAACAAATTGGTCAAGCTTGATTTGGGCGTAGGCATGATCTCTTCCAAGTCTTTCCCTTGATCTATTATGTCAGAAGGTCGCAAATAACTGTAAGAGATTTCTACATGCAAAGCACCACGATTGTTGACAGCTGCTCTCTCCCTGCCGATACTTGAACTAGCACCTGTTGATAATTTCTTATCCCATATCTCATAATAACTACTAAAAGTCTCAGGCATGTTCACCAGGGTATTAAGGCGAATCTCAGCACGACCGATATGCTTGTCTGGATAGATAGCAAAGCTCTCATAAAGATCCATTTGTATCGTTCCAAATAATTGGGCATGAAAACTCACTATAAAGTCAAAGCTTTCTTGCCACTGACCATGGCGAGCTTCAGATATAGATGTCTGGTGTCGTTGGTCTATATAAATTAAATTCTCTTTTTCTCTTTATCTTTCATCAACATATACCTCCCAAGGTGATCACAACATAGGCTTTCTTGACCTTGACATTGAGAAAGGAACTAAATATGCGAACCTAGTAACTTATTGAGCCTTCCTTACAAGTGTATATATATATATATATATATAGTATACTTTTAGTTTTCCTAGTATAGGAGAAGAAGTTTTTACAGATTCTGGTTGTATTATGTCAACTGCGTTCTCATCAGACATGGAGAAAAACGGACAAAATGCATCCCTTTTTTATGGGAATATAGTATCATTTTGATTGGCTAATCAAAAAGGATAGATTTTAAACATGGTTAACACTCCGTTCATTCAAAATAGCTGATACTCTTACGCAAATAAATTGATTTTGAAAGGGCAGTAGCTATAAACACTTCATAAAGAAAAGAGAAAGCTTGTTTGCTGACATAATTTAAGGCTTTTCGAAATGCTTGTAGAAACTGATATTTCAAAATCAATGAATTGACTGCCAAATTAAAGACGGAAGCACTTACTATTACACTAGCCAGAGTCAAGCATATAAAAGGACCTTCAAAATACTCAATTGAAATTATGAATGCTTATCATATAACAGAGACACCAGCCAAGTAAATGCTTCAATAATTAGAGGCAACAATTCATGCAAACCTTCTTCTTTTTAGACTATATGAAGCTAGTTTAAAACTTGCTTATACATGCATGAATGATCCAAATACCTATAAACCATGTTTTCTAACATGCATGGTACCTTTGGAGTTAATCTGAACTAAGAAAAGCGACTTGTAAGAAATGGTCAAAATGACCATTCGGCCAAAGGGTATTATTGCCCATGAAAATTGCTCATTTGAAAACCTCTGAACTTATTTCTGACACTACAGGACGAAAAATGAAGCCATCGACAAGAATATATACTTAAAACGAGCTTCAGAGGCTCTAGTTTTTAGTGAATGCGTTTGTCAGACTGTTGTATATAAAAGCGGTATGGTAAGTGTGAAAAACCCATAAACATTTTTGCCTATTTACTCAATATTCTAGCAGCAAATTTGTTGTGTCCATTATATCAATAGACTTAAAAAGCAAAGATCTACAGCTTTTGTCACTACACCAAAGCAAGATAACTGCGTCTTCATGTTGTTCTCAGCAAAAGCTCCAATTTTGATGTGGCGAGAAGAATCGGAATTGCCTTCCATTTCAATCTTCGCAGCATAGCCATCTGGTATGTTCCATGTTCATTTGCTCCATATTTGTGTTAGAAAAAAACCTGTGTTTCTATTTTTCTATGCTCTTTAGCACTCAAAATAACATAAGTCCCTTTAGAGAGATCCATTATTGACAAGTTCTATATGACATCTATAGCAAAAACACTCAAAACACAGCCTAAACAAGCCATTCTTTGATGCGCCATTACTCGACAAACAGACTACTAAAATGGTTCATTTCCTCATTTAGAACATGTTCTTTCGAGTCAAGGAGTCGAATGATACCATTGATTTGACAGTTTTGTGAAATCTATTTTTTGACCTATGAGGGATCCACGGAGGTCCGTGAAGATGGAAAAAAAGCTCATCCAAAATTTTTGGAATGACCAATTGTAGGTCTGATCCAACCGAAATGAGCTGGGATCACGTTTAGATACTTCTGACAAAAAGAAAACGAGTTTGCTAAGACGAAAAAGTCGAGTTCATTTGAGCGTTGGCTTCAAACCTGCATCCAGAGTTCATTGTACACTGTAATTGGTAGAAAAGAGGCTTATTTCAGCAGATGTTGCTCACTAAACGGGTTCTTATTTATGCACTATCTGGCTCAAGAAGTTTCTAAGAGCCATTTTTGCTATAATACATGACACTCTTATAGCCAAAAGGACCAGCTTTGGACATGATAAGCAATGAATGTCATGCAAAAGGAGAGCTCAATGTTTCAAACACCAATTTTCTTTTTAGGCGTACTCTCTGCTTTGATGAGCTTTCTTTTTCTCTTTGCTAACAGTCAAGTATACAAAAGCAAAACGTGATATCATAACGCAGTAAAGGCAGCATCACTATAGTTTGGCAAGTGAAATGAGCCCTGTCCTGCTCATACTGAAGAAAAAAGACAGTAATAAAGTAGACAGACTTGAGTCGACAAAAAAGAGAGATTTATTCTTTTATACATCCCCATTTAAGATTTTGGTGGCATCGTCATTGTTTGTTGGAAAAAGAATAGCTTCATGATCATGTCTGCATTCCCATAGACTCAGTTGGTAAAGAGTAATGACAACCAAGAAATGAAGCAGCAAAGAATAGATGATAAAGAAATAACGAGACCATTTATGACTGAACAAGAGGCGTGTCAATTGTAATGTCAGTTTCTCCGCTGGATTTAACGCATTGTATCGACGGTTTTCTTCCTAAAGTCATGATACATATTATGTTTATACAACTTGACTATATTTACCTTTCGATGGAACTGTGTAAATGGATTCATGCTTTCTTCATATAGTTTGCTGTATTTATCTGAAGGATCTTCCTTGATAGAAGCACGTCTAAAGCTTGTCTTGGGATAATGGCTTGATTCCCCAGTATCCATATTCACTGCTATAGAAGACCGGTGGTTGGTCAGCTCGCCTTCTTTCCAGACATGCACAAACTTAAGTCGTTCATACAGCTTTAAATTATCTGCTTTCAAGTTTTGAACTTCTATACGTGCATCTTGTAAGCTAGCTTCAAGTGCCCGTGTGCGTTCTTCCAGCTCAGCATTGCGTTGTCTGAATCGATCACGCTGACTCATGACAATAGGCAAAATACTTTTGTCTTCTTTGACATGAGGTGATCCATCGGGTGTCTTGGGTGCATGTAAAGGAGACATGGAACCCAACATGTTGCCTCCAGGCTGATAACCTAATCGAAGCAAATCTTCTTCAAGTCGTTGTACAAGTACTGTCTTTTCTTGCAGTGTTTTTGCAACAGATTGAATCTCTTGTGTCTTTTGCTCACATTCATGTTGAAGATCAGCAAATGCCATTTTGATTTGGGTATAATCACTTTCGAGTTTCTTGTTTTTTTCCATCAATCGCACTTCAAGACTGTCTTGAACATCTTCTTTCTTAAGGACATCTGTTGCATTAAAAGCTTCATCTTCTTCACCTGTTGAGAATTCAACATACTATAACTCGTTGTAAGACAATGTCAAAAGGAGCCACTGCTTACCTTCATGATTTGTAGTTCACGCTTAATTTCATCATAATCTTCATATCCCTTTATCTTTTTCTTGAGCGAATCTCTTTCCTCTACCTAGACATGCTTTAGTTGATAATGTATGCAGCTTCTTTTTCTTACCAGTGTTTGTGTTTCCGCAGTCAAGTCTTTAATCTTTTTAGATAACCTTGATTCTGTCTTTTGATATAAATCTTTGTATGTTTCTACATCTTTCATTAACTTGTTTATTTCAGCTTCATGTTGTGTTTCTCTACTCTATAGTTAATCATGTAAAATGGTTCTATTCACTTACCCTTCAGTTGTCGGGTGTTGAGATTCAGAAATACGGGCTAATTCTTCTTTCAAGTCGTCCTATAGAATGTTAGTCTACTTTCCTCTTGTGTTGACAACTACTTGCATTCTTTTTTTCAAGCTGAACAATGCGACCATTAGCACGCTCAAGATCCATGGTCACCATGTCCAATTCAGCCAATTTACCAACCACTTCTTCATCTATACCATAGAATAATCAGCACACTTCTTAAAGCCTCTTTAGCATACCATAGGTCTGTCCATGGCTAATCAACTGAGCTTGTGTATCATCATGCGAATGCTGTAATTCTGTCAACTGATCCAAAGCTTGGTTTAATTGTCTCTGGAGATCATATTCGCTAAGGTTTTGATCAGTGTGTGGCATTCCTGTATAGACATGTACCGTTCTTTATATTGTTTGATCTTGTCACTGTATTGATCCTTCATTTCCTGTTCTACGTGGTTTGTTTCTTTTTGTTTTTTATGTTGCAAAGCTTCCTCTAGACTCGTCATTTTCTGAACAAGCTCTGCATTTGTCTTTTCCAATATAGGTAAACGTTCTATGGACGCATTGGCTTTTGCCAGTTGTTCTTTCAAAAGGCTATTTTCATTCTGAAGTGTTGTCATGTCTACTTGTTGCATACTTGAGTCGACCGCTGCTTCAAACAAAGGGGCTGGATCAGGCGCATCTGCTAGTAATTTATAGACCGTCAAAAATGCGTTTTCTGCGTATTTAGTACGTTTGGTGATATTGTCGATTTCTGCTTGATAACCTAGAGACCATGATGAGAGCCATACACTCTGCTTTCCGCCTCTTACCTTTCAATAGAGGCTTAAACTTGGACACTTTTTCTTCATCTGGGATCTTTTTGAACTCTATTGTTTATCAGCTTCCGCGCGTTTATTCAACTTGTTTACCTCTGGTTTGTTCTGCTAGTTTCTTTCTTGAAACAAGGCCATCTTTCTGATTCTCAACAATAGCAAGACCTTGCTGGTCGAGTTCTTTTTGAAGGTTGACAAGTTGAATACTTTTCCAATACTGGATAGCAGTAGAAAAACTATCTTGACTCATATTATGCTATAAAGGAAAAAGAAAGAAGGAGAATAGCGGCGATTCATTTAATGTATATATCAACCTTGGATCCATCTATCTATCTGTGCAAACCATAAAAAGGGAGGGATACTTGTTTGTGGTTCGTTTTTTCTCTTTTAATCATGTCTCGAGAAGTTTGGAGAATCGCTTGCTTTATTAAAGATATAGAATTTACTTGCATTATCGCTGTGTTTCAAGAGGAAACCGATGTGCTTAAATGGTTTAAGGACCATGGATTTAACCCAAGACATATGGATACCCATGGCGAAGAAGAAGAAGGAGAGGATGAAGAAGCTTCTCTCTGTTATACTGTGGTTTCTACAGAACATGAAGCGCATGAAAAAGGCTTGTTTACAAAACCACCCAGAGAAGACAAATCCGAGCCTGTTTATGATCATTCGCCTGCTAGTTTCATGATTATGGCAGAATATAAAAAATTGGAAACTCTCTATCTGTACAGATACGCCTAGCATCTAAAGTGACAACATTTGCCTTGTTTAACAATAAACACACTATTTTCGGAAATAGATTGCGCACTGAGAAAAACAAACTGCACAAAGGAAATGTTTGGATTGCATTAACAGAAAATAAAGATTGCGCTTTCGAGAAACAGAGATTGCATGCTATTAGGAAATCAATTGCACAACTGTGCAATCTAAGAGAGAAGTTCTCTGTTCAACATACTTGAAGTAGCTTTGAAGTTGCTAAGATTTTAGCAGTCTCATAACTGAGTTACAAAGCACATGCAACCAAAAAGATAACATTTTATGCAAAGTGATATTCTTAAAGACTTGTGGCGACTTTTACTATTCAACTATTCTCCAACTCCGGATATACGGGTTTAGTATACGGGTTTTATGTGGCACCCTTTTTTTCAGAAATCACTTCCAGAACAATTAAAAGATTTCAAGATCCACGAAGAAGCTGGATCTAGAAAGTTTTTTCACGATTATTCAATCAAGGAATGGAATTTCCACAATTATTACAGACTTACACATAACAATTTGAACAAACCAAAGAAGTTTGCCTTGATAAAAGCTAACTACAATAATGATATTGACTGGATTTCGAAGAAACGGAATATTCCAAGTGAAGTAGTTGATCATGCAAAGCTCCTTTTAGAAGAAACTTCTTGTAGGCAGTTGTATTCAGTTTCAACACAGAATGTATTTATAGGTTGATATTACCAGCTTTAAAAATTTTTCCAGAAGACAATGAAGATTATGTAAGAAAATCATAGGTCAAGAGCTTACTCGGCAACATAGAATGTTTATGACAGAGAAGCTATTTTCAACTCGCTATTGATATATCCATTTTTAGAAGCAGTTACAATTGGCACAACATTAAACCAATATGGTGCTTAATTCAACGTGGGTGAATGCACCCTTAAATCAATGAGTAAGCAATTGAAGAAGATGACAAGAGCCAACACAAGGCAGACGGTATTATAAAACTCTTCAAAATGAAAGAGATCAAAGTGCTGTTGCTGGAAACATCTGGATCTTTTGGCAATAAAGATAAAGTCAAGATCAATGTTGATCATCACACGGGAGTGTTTGGCTCACTAGCAACCTTGAAGGCGATTGCAGATGAGTTTAATTACGCTTCAGTAAAAAAAAAAAAAAAAAAAAAAAAAAAAAAAAAAAAAAAAAAAAAAATCAAGGCCTTGAAAATTTTCTTTTTGCATGCTGCAAGTACTTGTACAAGACTATATTAAATATATATATATATATATATATATATATATAGTACCTATTGTATTGATTTTATTTATAATCTGCATTTGTGGAGCGTATCTTACTGCGAAGAAGGGCATTTCAAGTTGTGGAGAGAGGAGCTCCTCGAAATCAGTTCGCTCTTTGATGACAGAATGGAGTTTCTCCCTCGATGTATCCAATTCTTTTGGAACATGCGGGTAACTATAGTCTTCCAAATGCTAAATGTGATGAACAGATGATATTACATCATTACAATATAGGCTTTGCTCAAAGAGGCTCTCAACACAGTTGCAGCCCTCAAAGAAGAGCACTTTAAGGAAATGCCAAAATGGCGCTACAGTCCCTGCCCTGCCCCCACGCTAAACATGCTTATAAATCCAGTAATTTTAAAGCTAGTGCAAGAAGAAGACAGCACTGGCATGGTTGATATGGGGCCATTTTATACCCTTTAATAAAACATTATATTTATCCTTGCTCTTAATTCTACAGTTAAGTCTTTCTAAGTATGTTTCCTCGTTTGAATTGCTCGCTTAGCTCTCTCGAAAGGAGTACTTTTTACTGGCTATTTTAAGGGAAGAGCACTTACAGACTATTCTTGTGTTTTATTTTAAACGAACTTAACTAGGTTCAAATCTGCAATGAGCTATTTATTCTGGCACAACATATTGATGTTTCTGCAGATAAAGAAAAAAGAACTATGGAAGGCGCACAATTGGAGGCGGTTCTTAGTATTATTACCAACATGGCAAGCATAGCATACAAAGCAACTCTTCGAAAAATAGAGAGCTATCCGTCGAATACTTTTTTCCCAATGCCAATGATTGTTATATTGTATCGAGAACTTAAAGAGCTGATTACAATGACAACAAATCGCTTAGTTATTTTATCGATACATATTGAAGTACTGAGAGGGTATTATGGGCCTGATCAAAACATACTGTTGTATTGAACAACAAAACAATAGACATGTAACCTCTGTCTAGACTCAGATCATAAACTACCAAATAAAGAGAGACGAAAGGGACGTATAATCTTAGCAACTTAAAGCTACTCCTACCATCAGCCCATTCAGCTTGGACTACGACATAGCTATTTTCAGGAATATTTGCGTCTATAGACAATCTATGTGTGTTGAATATATACAGCATTTTTGTACAAGTAATAAAATATTCTACTGACTAGAGAGTGAACAACCAGATTTATGATTTTTGGATCACTTGGTAGCAACTTGCTCACAAGATCTTTACCAGGCCTCCGTGTCTATTTGTAGATCTTGCCAATACTCTGACTCAAAGTTACAAGTATGTTGAACAGAGAACTTCTCTCTTAGATTGCACAGTTGTGCAATTGATTTCCTAATAGTTTGCAATCTCTGCTTCTCAAAAGTGCAATCTTTATTTTCTGTTCTCAGTGTGCAATCTATTTCCGAAAATAGTGTATATAAATTGTGTTATTCTTGCAAAAAGAGGGAACTTTGCGCGTGCCAATCCTTGTGTAAACAGGGACTGATTGGCCTAGATTATATTCCCGCCTTACCAACTAGTCATAATTTCTCTCTCTCTTCTCCCTCTCTTTTTCTTTCTCTCTATCTCTTTCTTTCTTTCTTTCTTTATATTACATACCTACTCTTTCTTTCTTTTTATTACACTATTAGACTTAGAAAATGGCTCACGTAAGCTTAGTGGTTTCATAAGCAAGTTGTCAATAACATACAAATAAACAATAGAGACTTGGAGGACGCAGAAAAAACGTAAAGAAAGGTTTTCAATTTACGTTAATGGTAGTTGGTATGTACAGAAAAGTGCAGATGACCAAGATGATGAACTCATTCCTTCTAGGTGCCTCTGGCACGGGTCGTACAACGTTTGTAAATACTCTCTGTGACGATCATGTCCTTGCTAGAAAAGAATCAGAAAACCCTGAAGACGCACATAATGAAGAAGGCATCAATATTAAGCCAGTCTCAGTTGGTAAGTGAAGCATACGTATGATATGTATGACATATGCTTAATGTTTAAATAGAATTAGATGAAGATGGTGTAAGGTAAAATATGATAAGGGGAACACAAAATAATATAAAGAGGAGCTATTTCATTTATCAGGAGTGTGGTGTTTATAAAAAAGGGGAAAATTAACACTTGCTATTTAATTTAGGATCTCTTTAACTATTGTTGATACACCAGGCTTTGGTGATAATATTGATAATGAAGCATGGTAAGTTGATCTTTATACAAGTAGTATGTATTGAACACTTGACTAGTTTCCATGAAATTGTTGCTTATTTGGAAAAGCAATATGATGACATTCTTGCTGAAGAGTCAAGAATTAAACGTAACCCAAGATTCCGTGATAACCGTGTTCATGCTCTTTTATATTTCATTGCCCCTACTGGCCATGCGTAAGTCATAAATGAATGCCACTCTTGCTGACTTGTATGATAGCTTGCGTGAAATCGATATCGAACTCATGCGTAGACTTTCTCCCCGTGTTAATGTGATTCCTGTCATTGGCCGTGCTGATTCTCTTACACCTCAAGAATTAAAGGACTTTAAGAGAAGAGTAAGTCTATACACTGTATTTTATATGTTTACTGATCTAGAAGAATAGATTATGGAAGATATTGAACACTATAATATTCCCATTTACAACTTTCCTTATGATGTTGAAGAAGATGAAGAAGACACGATTGAAGAGAACAGTGAATTAAGAGTAAGTCTATCTAAGTACTTCATGTTAACCAACCCTCCTGTTAGGCTCTTTTGCCCTTCTCTATCATCGGTAGTGAAGAAGAGATTGTTGTCAATGGTCGCACTGTTCGTGGTCGTCAATACCCTTGGGGTGCTGTTGAAGTTGATAACCCTAAGCATTCTGATTTTGGTCGCTTAAGATCCGCTTTATTGAGGTAAGCATAGAGTGTATTCTCAACAAAGTATGTTCATACAAAATAGCTCTCATTTGCAAGATCTCAAGGAAATCACGCACGACTTTTTGTATGAAAACTATCGTACTGAAAAATTGAGTCGTACTGTCAATGGTGGTGACCAAGAAGATGCTTCTTTGAATGCTGAAGATATGGCATCTCAAAGTGTTCGATTGAAGGAAGAACAATTAAGAAAGGAAGAAGAAAAAGTAAGTCCCAGATAAGGTTGAAACTTTGATCTGATTTTCTCTCTAGTTGCGTGAAATTGAATTAAAGGTTCAACGTGAAATTCAAGAAAAGAGAGCTGAGCTTTTGAGTAAAGAAGAAGCTTTACGTAACCTTGAAGCCAGATTAGCACAAGCTCAACTAGCTGATCAATAATTTTTATTTAATTATACTTCCATACCTTTACTTAATCATTATTAAAAAGACACTTTTTTTTTGTTGTTGTAATCAATGAAAGATCTATTGTATGCTAAAGAGGGAGGAGAGCCAATCAATGGATCTGGAGTTGGTTTCTCCATTTGTCTTTCTGAAATCAAATTTATAATTTATGCTTAAACAAATCAGATAAAATGGAATAAATTTCACCGTTTGGATTATTCATCATGGTTTACAGTATAAATAAGCAAAGATTTTGAACTCGAAAGATATTGTATCTACAGAAAACAATAACAATGAAGGAAGCTCTTGTTCTCGTTGACATCCAAAACGACTATTTCCCTGGTGGCAAGCTCCGTACTTGGCAGCCCGAAGAGACAGCAGAACAATGTAGAATCGTACTCGACAAGTTCAGAGAAGATGGCAAAGAAGTTGTCCATGTGGTTCATCATATGTTGCCTGAACATCTTGCTATATCCAATTTTTTTATACCTGGCACACCTGGTACTGAAATCCATGAAAGTGTCAAGCCTTTGCCCGAAGAAAAGGTCATTATCAAACACTACTCAAATGGTTTCTGGCAATCAGATCTCAAGGATTACCTCAAGAGCAAGGGCATTGAAAAGATTGTTGTGGTTGGTATGATGATTCACAACTGTGTTCCCGCTACTGTCTTTGCTGGTAAGGATGAAGGCTTTGAAGTAGTCGTTGTTGATGAAGCTGTCAACACCTTGGACCAACCCCTTCATGGTGAAATGATTAAGGCTGAAGATATCAAGAAGGCTTATTTGGCAGGTATTCAATTCTATTATGCCAAGGTCAAGAAGGTGCAAGACATTTTAGACAACAATTACTAGTTTAAAGAAAAGAAAATAAAATAGAATAAAATAGCTTTATTCTAATTGTTTAAGAGAAAGTCAAAGATAATAAACATTATTTCTTGGGACACAAGAAGGACATAAACTTGAAAATAAGCATAGACTTGCAGTCATCAGCAGGAGCATTTCCTTCACAGTATCTATCTTCATCTCTTGAGACTTCGACAGTAGCACCCTTTTCACAACCAACAAAAGTAATGCCTTTATCGGTGTATTCTTCACCATTGCCGCGGTTTTTACCAATCACTTGAGCCTTGCTAGTCCAGAAACTAGCGAAAGGACAACCTGTTTGCTCAATATCACCAAACATGATACATCTTCCTTCATCAGTACCGTATTCCATTCTCCACCAGCCACTGCCAGAGCATGTAGAAGAGAACCAGACTTCAGAATGAACGTGCTTGTGAGGACTAAGGCCTTGAACGACACAGGTCTTAACAGCTTCATTCGGTTTAGCAGTACTTTGACCATGTATGATAGCACTGCTGTCTTGACCGGTAGGGAAACTCAAGGCCCATGATCTCAAGTCAGCTCTACAGACATTGATACAAAGAAGCAAAAGAGTCAAAAGAGTAAAGTTCTTCATTGTTGATTGTTGCGAATAATAAAGCTTTGAGTAGAAAGACAGGCTCTTTTATATACACTCTTGTTGAATCAGAAATCACATCTTTATAGCCTAAAGTGGACCTGCATGCTGAGTTTTCATTATCAATTTAGCTGAAACCCAAGATGAAACATGGCTAAAAAAATGTATACATTGATTGCATCTCAAAGCTACCAGGCAACATCTTACCACCTTTGAAAAAAAAAAAAAAAAAAAAAAAAAGAGAGAAGAGAGAAGAAGAGTCACCCAAAATTACTCTGATGAGGTTGTATTATAATACATAATGTATGGAGATGACTTGAATAAAACAAATGTGGCATTGTGTCGAAAAAAAAGGATTTGAAAGATTGAATGTGTACCTGTTTGTATAACATTGAATTCTGCAAATATTAGAACCCGTTCAATTTGTCATACCAAATGCCATCATTCAAAACCATGATGAACAGGCTATAATTTGATGAGCAATATCTAGTAAACATAAGAAAAACATACACTTTAAGTTAGCTGTCAAAAAAAAATGGAAAGCTTCATTTTTCAGGAACCAGTGGTTGTTGCAATTGCCTTATCGTCGTCTTATTATACGTTCATCTTTAAGGCTTGTTTGATCTAGTGATTGCGATACATATGCATGATAAAATTTTGTGTGTGTGTGTGTGTTCTTGTTCTGAAAAGATAAGCCCTGATAGTCCACATATTACCGTTTAAAGTGGCAAATCTGTTTTAAACGTCTCCTTGTAAGTCACTTATATGCTGCCTGGGTTGAAAATATCATTTTTAGGAACATCAGCAATATCGTTTGAACCAATGAACAGTTGATCATCAAAAAGGAATGAATTTGTCTTACTTGATCTAGTTTAAACACACGAATCATAGTTGCACTTCGTATCAACCACATCATGAAATGTAAAGACTTGTCATTCTTCATCTCGAACTTTATTGAGAACATTTATACCAAGATGCAAGGCCAGAAAGTACCTTTTTTTTTATTTTAAAGATAAAATATTTGAATGTGATGACATTATTTTTATGCTCTCAAACAAAATGCCTATTGCATGTATTTCACTTTGACGAATGTACGTTTTTATCAAAACTTGACAGCAGCTATTGTATCATTTACAACAAAAAGGAAAAAGAATAGGAGTTATGCACAAGCAATGTCTGTTTACGTTTTCAACCCCTTGCTTTTTTTTTTTTTTTTTTTTTGCTTTGCCAATCAAATACCAAGTTGTAATCTTTGCATATGCTTAAAATGACAATATTTATTACAGCCATTTGAACCAAAAAAAAAAAGGGTTCTTGTCTAAACACAAGAAAAGAAAAGAAAATGCCTTGAATGAGCCATCTCGAAAAGAATAGATATACATATGTAGAATGCAGGGTGATGGCTTTTTATAAATATTGAATCATTTCTTGCCTGTCTATAAGGTTTAATCATAAAATCCAATTTCAGGGGGACCAAAAGACGTTTACATTTTTGTACATAGAATGATGAGCCAAGCTCAAGTAAACAGCAGGAGGCATGAATAACTAAAATAAGACTTTGCTTGGCTAGTTTAGAATAAAAAGAATTAAAGAGAGAAGAGAGAGAGAGAGAGAGAGAGAGAGAGAGAGAGAGAGAGAGAGAGAAGGAAGAGGAGTGATGCTTGAATACATAGAGAAGTGTACTGAGCTAAGTATTGTTTTCATGTCAATAACTATTCTCTTTTGATTAGAAGGAAGAAAGAAACGATTTATGGTGATAAAACAACTATGTCTGTATAGACATGCGCGATCATCATCACGACAACAAGACTAGAAGAAGTACATCACAACATGCAATCCCTAATTTTATATCTCCTTAACGATGCATAAAATAACTTGCATCAAAAGAATCATAAAGAAAGCTGTCTTTTTGTTTCTTTTCTTCTCTCTATTGTATTTTACATTAAACTATAGAATCCTGTAAACTAATCATGAAATATGGACAAGAACTACAACAAAATATCTTTGCACCATGGCGTCTGTCTTACATCGCATACGATGTCCTTAAACAAGAACTCAAAAGCCGCCAACTCGACCATTCCTGGACAGAGACAGATGAAACAGACTTTATCACCTTACTCGACAATGAACTCACTAAAGTATATGATTTCATCAATGCCAAGCTATCAGAAATTGATGCCCGTATTCTCTACTGTGAACGTACCATCCAAACACTTCAAAGAAACCCTACTATGGCCTCAGACACCAATTATGGTATTATGGATGAAGCACTAACAGAAATTTTGTTTGATGTGAATGACTTGTCTCGATTCACCCGTGTCAATTTTGTAGCTATTCAAAAGATCCTAAAAAAGCATGATAAATGGACTGGATTGAACCTCAAACAAGCCTTTGTGGCCAAATTGCGAGAGAAGCCATTGGACAAACAACGATTTGATATTGCCATTGTCTATATCTCAGCACTGAATGACATCTGTCGTAACCGAGGCAAGCAATCACCAGGTAACAGTGCATCAGGAGGCGATCAAAATGCGTTTGAAAGAGCCACTGCCAAATATTGGATTCACCCAGACAATATCACTGAAGTCAAGGCCATTATCATGCTTCATTTGCCTGTCTTGATCTTCAATAAAGAAAAGAAATGGGAGCCTTCAGATTCTACTATTTCGAGCACTTATTTCGATAATGGAAACTTTGATTTATACACAGGAAGGCTGCAAAGAGATGAAGAAGCAGAAGCCATACGGTTTAGATGGTAAGCAAAGATGGGTAGAGTCATATTCACTCATTTGTGCTTGAATAGGTATGGTCCTAAAGATTCTGATACTATATTTATTGAGCGCAAAACACACCATGCATCTTGGTTGGACGGTGCATCTGTCAAAGATAGATTTCGACTGAAAGAAAACCAAGTGAATCAGTTTGTGTCGGGTGCTTATACTGCCGAACAAATTGCCAATGACCAACGACTTGCGGGTGTAGAGAACACCACAGTAGAAAGCATTCGATTTACGGCCAAAGGTGTACAAAATTCCTTTCGAAAAAAGCGCCTGGAACCCATGTTGCGTGTATTCTATAGTAGAACAGCTTTTCAGTTACCAGACAATCAACGTGTGCGTATCTCACTCGATACTGATCTTACCTTTATTCGTGAAGATCATTTAGATAACAACTTTCGTAGACACCCTGCCCACCATTGGCGAAGAAACGATATTGGTATTGATTATCCTTTCCCTTATATGAAAGAAGCAGACATACTTCGGTTTCCTTATGCAGTGCTTGAGACAAAGATACAGACTCATTTGGGACAAGAACCTCCCACTTGGCTGACTTCTTTAGTCGAGAGTCATCTTGTGCATGAAGTCCCTAGATTTTCAAAGTATCTGCATGGTGCATGCCACTTTTACCGTGAAAAACTTCCTTTACTTCCCTGGTGGCTTTCTGAGCTCAATGTGGATATTCGAAAACCCCGTGCAGAGAACATTGGACTCACTCGATCCCGTAGTTTCAAGCCCTTGATTGACGGTAAATACAGAAGAGCCATGATTGAAGAAAGAGAACGACAGGCCATTGTGAATGAACCCACCAAACCTCAGGTTGAACCTTCCAGCCTAAAGACAATGCCTCCACTACCGCCCATCAAAGACCTCAAGGAACCTGCTTTACTACAACGCCTCTTTCGCCCACAGCATAAACCGCATGATATTGAACAAGCAAAACAGAGGATCAAGTTCAAGTCAGATCCTAAAGTCTATTTTGCTAATGAACGTACTTTTATCTCATGGCTACAATTTTGTGCATTGCTCCTGACAGTGGCTCTTAACTTGCTTAACTTTGGTGACATCATCTCACGTACAGTAGGAGGTATCTTTATAGGCCTCGCTGCTGGTATTGCCATCTATGCACTCTATCGATTTGAAAAGCGTGCATGGATGATTAATAGGCGTGTGGATGGTCGATATGATGATGTTTGGGGTCCTGCTGTTCTCTGTGTTTTATTGGTCGTTGCACTGATTGTGAACTTTTACCTTCGTTTTCGTTAAAGAATATATATATATATATATATTTATTACTAAAAACTAACACTATCAATCATGGTGCCTAATGCCATGACAATGTTGTTGCCCATAACAGACTCAACCTTGTCCTCCAAATGGCGCTTAGGATCTTGTTTACCAACGTGCCTTGTCTTGAGTTGTTCAGGTGTAAGCGTCAATTCTTCTTGCACAGATTTATTGTATGCTTCTGCTAATGACAACATGTTGCCAACACTCTTTTCGTTGACCTCAGTATGTTCAGTGAAATTCTCCAATGTGAGTCCATCTGTCCAGTCTTTTTTATGCAAGTTGAGCAACATCTTTTCTTCTAATTCGTTTTTACGGTAGTTGATTGCAATGGAATAATAGTGTCTGTTAAGACCGTGAATAAGAGCCTGAATAGATGGTTTGTTTAAATGGCCAATGTTGGATGTTGTCTGACGTGGTTCTTGGCCCAACATGACTGTTTGAGGATTGATCAATCGAAAAGCATCAATCACGACTTTGCCCTTGACAGATTGAATAGGATCAACCACAACAGCTACTGCACGAGGATTTAATTGTTCAAAACTCTGTTGGGTATTGATATCTACACTAGACAACCAACAGCCAAAACCTGGGTGAGAGTGGTACCAACCTACAACCATTTCAGGTCTAGAGAGCATATAAGTTGATCCAGTTCAGTTTTGTTTCTTGCACTTTACCTGCCAGTTTGCTTCAACATGTCCAACATCTTGGTTTGAAATACAGGATCAACAGCTTCAACAGACACACCAGTACCACTTTGAGGCATAGCAAAGACATCAATAACGCGAACAGTATAATCATCAACAAATTCACCCAACATCAAGCCCATGACTTCCATTGGAACACCAGCACGACCTATGCAATCTGATAAGCACATTCAAAAATACTATTGTTCATGGCTTACCATGTTTAAGCATCTATATCATCAATAAAAGTCAGTTATATAGGTATATATCACTACTTTTGCTTACCTTTAAAAGAGCAAGAGAAGAAATGTAAACCATTTCAGCATTATCAACAGTAGGTGTATCCATGCCAGGTTGCATGCCCTATATAAAAGAGTTAGCAAAGAATGTTGTGTTGCATTTGTTATGTCTACTTGCCTGACCCAAACCAGCAGCAGCAGAGCCAAATAAACGTTGGAATCTTTCCATTATAGAGTATTAAAGAAGAAGGAAAAAAAAAAGTTACGTTTGCAGTTACAGTGACGCGTAAAGCCAAGTTGACTGTAATTCGCATTCCGGTTGATACGTCATCTTTCATGCTTTATGCAGTTCTTTTTTGTTTGCAACACTAAAATCAGGGCCAACAAACATTTTTTGTTTTGTCAATTGCAGAAGGAGACATCACCAAAGGTTCTTTTTTGTCTTTCTCAGAAACGACTGATTCTAAACCTACAATACTCTATTTGAGTAGTATTGACTGGTTACAAGAGTAATTTGAGTCCACTAGAGGCATGGCTTGGAGAAAGATATTGATTGCTCTCTGATTTTATCTCACCAACATATTGTTTGCTGGATATGATAAATCAAGAAAGCCCCATGTATTCACACACTAGAATTGAAGTCTGTCTAAACTTGTTTTCAAATTAAACAGTAAGGGAAAAACAAGTTTAATAAATAAATCTAAATTGACATGTTAAATTATTTGATTACCTTTTTAAGCAAACATGTATTCTATTTGCGTGAATGCTTACGTGTACAATTTGAAGAAGAACACAGCTAAATGAGGTATTGGCTTCAATAAGCTATTTGTCGAGTTTCTTGTTAATTTAAAAACTTGTTTGTCCGAAATTTATCCAATAATCGTATTCCATTGAGCGAGGACAGTTTCTTTTTTATTAAGAGCAATAGATAAAAACAAAAACAGAATATACTCAGCACCTTGACATAAAAATGACATTCGTGGTTATCATTGGTAAATTAATCTTTACTCTATCCATCAAATACTGTTGTTGTCTATATCCTATTTCTATCTTTTTACAAGTAGCAAATGTACTCTTTATATCCATCTTAAGAAGAATGGATTACGTTAATTGTATGCCATTGTAAAATCAAATTCATCTAAAAAAAACTTTAGACTTTCTAGACTCTGATTCGTTTATGTTGATGAAATGTTACCCTGATTTAATCTCAGTAAACTCCCTCTTAACACCCCCTCCCCCCTTTTCCCCCCTTCTTTTATTTCATAAAAAAAAAGAGAGAGGATTCCTTTTTATCTCTATTTCACTCTAAATAAAAAAAAAAGGACTTTTTCTTTTTTACTTCTTTTTTTTTGTAAACAGAAAAAAAAAATCTCTTTAATTTTGTCTCTAAAGAGAAGCCAAAAGAAAAAGAACAATAAAAAAAAACGACAACACTTTTTATTTACAAACACTTTTTATCCCTTTGGGGGACCAAAATAACACTATGGATTTACATCAGCAACAGAGTGAAATACCTCCTCGTCTTGTGCATATGGACACAAGTAAGCCACCAACAAATACTGGAAGTGAGTTTTACGCAACCAACTTTGAAGAATTATCATCACCACATCAGCAAGTCTTTGATTCGCAGCAACATGTGTCTTTGACTATACCATCTGCTTCTGGTCAACCTAATGCAGACACGAATCAGATGCAACACTTGTTTAGTCCTGTTCCTAGCGACATATTACCAGTCACTGCCATAGCAACCCACCAGTCTGATCTGAACACTATGGCAGCACTCGCCAGCCCCACAACGAACCGTGTCTCTCCTGCTACACCTCAAGCAACTACAAACCTTTCTGTCACAAGCTCACCTACTCAAATGATACAAGTCTCTGTAAGTTTTTTTTTTGTTTTTATCGTCTTTTATTCATTCTTGTTTTTCCGCTTTTCCTGTACATAGAATAATTCAAGCCAGCTTACGGATAATAATTCAATGGGGGCTGACAATACCATGATGCTTCATAATTCTATGTTTGATGTTAGTCATAATGCACTCTTTGCTAGTCATGAACATCAATTACAGCAACAGCAACAGCAACAACAACAGCAGCAACAACAACAGCAACAACAACAACAACAACAACAACAACAACAACAACAGCAACAGCAACAGCAGCAGCAACAGCAGCAGCAACAACAACAGCAACAACAACAACAACAAATGCAAGCACAGGTCCGTGCTCAACAACAGCAACAACAGCAACAACAACAACAACAACAACAAGCTCAAATGCAAGCACAGCAACAACAACAACAACAACAACAAGCCCACATGCAAGCACAACAACAAGCTCAAATGCAAGCACAAGCTCATGCTCAGCAACAACAACATCATCAACAACATCATCAACAACAGCAACAGCATATGTTGAATGAAATGATGAACAACCAAGCTAGCATAGAACACCATCCAATTGTTCCTTCTCAACGTGTCATGGAACAACCTACTCATCGTTCTATAGATGAAGAACATGAACGGGTTGCTGCTGCAGCTCAACAAGTCATGGCACAACAAATTGCTCAACAATATGCTATGCTTCAACATCATCAACAACAAGCTATGACACCTACTGAATTGATTCAGACACCCTCTCAAGAAACCCCTCATGTAGTATTATCTCAAATGGCTAATTTAAACAATAGTACACCTACTACACCCATTGCAACTACACCCACTACACCAATACATCAAGTGAAGAGTGACAACATTTCATTACATAACGCAATTGTTCACCACCAACATCAACAACAAAACATGGTCTTTATTAATGAAACTGTTCGAGGTGCTAAGCGTAATATGTCTGATGCTAATAATGCTGAACTTGGTAAAAAGAAATCAAGAAGACATACTGTCTCTAGCTCTTATCGACCTGCACTCAATATTGACACCAAGAATCTGTCAAATACCATGGCTCCTCGTTCTGCTGCTGTCTGTACTCAACAACAACAAGCTTATCCTATACAACAACCCTATGTTGTGAACAGTGATATCAATATGCAAACACAGGAACGCAAGACATTGATTGAATGCCAAAAACAAGCATTGGGTACTATCACACTACCTCCTCCTCCTACTCCTCAGGAATTAGGCCTTAAACAACCTCAAGTTGGAACAACAGCTAAAGATTATGAAAACATGACAAGAGACCAATTGATTGCTCGGTTGATTGTGCTCGAGGCTGAAAAGCTAAATAATGAGACCAATGTTGAAAAGTCAAGTGTGAAATCAGTGGAAGAAGAAGAGGAGGAGGAAGAAAACAACAGTCCTGATACACTTATGGACATACAAAACCAAAAGCCATCTAACCATCAGCCAATTACAGATGAAGATAAGTCAACTATTGACGATGATGAAGAGGAGGACGAAGCAGCCTCTGTCGCAGAAACGGCTACAGCTACAGTTACAGCTGTCGAACCTGAAACTCAGAAGCCAAAGCAGTGTAAATGGAAGGATTGTAGCGAGATATTTATGGATCTGCAGAAATTGATCAGTCATATTAATGATACACATGTTGGTAGTGGCAAGGTAAATAAGTTAGTTTATAAGCAAAATGGTGCTTACCCTCTTTATAGCCTACGTATTGTTGTGAATGGGAAGGCTGTGCTAGAAACCAAAAGCCTTTTACAAAACGCCACAAGATGTACAATCATTTAAGAACACATACAGGTGAAAGACCTTTTGTGTGTAATAAGCCTGATTGTGGTAAACGGTTTTCTCGTCCAGACTCATTGACGACACACATCAAGACACATTCAAATATTCGACCTTTTATCTGTCTTGCCAAAGGATGTGGTAAAGCCTATTATCATTCAAGATCACTTAAGAAGCATGAAAAGACCCATGAAATGGCTACCACACCTGTATTGTCAACACCCAATAGTGTGATACAATTTCCTAATTCTTCAGGATCGACACCATTTAGTACGACTAGTGCACCAGCCACAGCTGGTATGCATCCTGTTGCGCCTGTTGATTATATTAATAGTCAAATGCCTATAACAATTCATAGTCAATCCCTTCCCAATTCACCTCATCCTACCCTACAACTACAACAGCAGCAGCAGCAGCAGCCTCACAATTTTGCTTTGTTGCAACAACAATCACAACCACAACAAAAACAATATACCCCAAATAATAATAACATGTTGTCATTCACTCCAGCTGGTATGGTTGAACAACAGCAACAACAACCACAAAGCAATGAGCAAATGTTGGCTCAACAGCACACTATGTTTGATTCTGTGAATCAACAACAACAACAACAACAGCAGCAGCAACAGCAACAGCAGCAACAGAGTTTTGAATTTAGGCAGGTGTAATTGATATATTCATCTCGTTTTTTATCACATATTGGTCTTTTGAAATATATACATAAATATAAAATAAGCCTATTCTTTATTGAAACATTTGACTCTTTACTATTAAAAAGTGCAATATGCCAGAAGCACCCGCTTGTTTCTCATTGTGCTTGATAAAGCTATTCATGAACAACACTATCTAACTTATTGACTGATGCTTCTTCTTTAACTACAATTTCAATTGAAGCGAAGTAGTTCTTATACAAGAAAAAGCATTGTAGAACAAAATAAGAAAAAAAAAGGGATATGTCTTAAAGCTTGGCATAAGTGAAGTTTTCCCTGATTCAAAGTAACAAATCCTTTTCCTGCAAACCAATAACCATCTGTGGTATGGCTGAGACCGATTTCCAAAATCTCACCGTAGCTTTGGAAGATTTCAATTAACTTAGGCTTCAAAAAAAAAACCTGATCCTCGAAAGGGATGTTGGAAATGCCCATTCTGACAATAGTAGAGTCTTTCTCGAAAGTGTGGTTCACTTGAATACGTCGGTCATATAGGACGAACTCTTTGTTCAGGGCCTCTTCACGTTCTTTAGTGGTTCGAAAGTTAATTTCGACAAAGTGCTGCTTTTGACCAATGTTTCTGGTACGAAGACCGAGTCTATTAGGATACTGATATCGAAGGAACTTGTTCAAACTTTTCTCCCTAAATTTCATTCCGTTAAATTCACTAGTAGCGATGACAATGGAGTTTTTGGCTGTAGCCTCGAGAAATCGTTTACGAGACTGAAGCGATTGGCGATTAGCTGTTTGATCGTCGAGATCGAAGGCATATCGACTTTGAGATCTTACAGTTTGTGCGCAGGATCGAAATGCAAACAGTTGGTTGTTGGGTTTATGGTGTGAATTGTTGGTATTTCCACCAATCAGATTCCCACTTTCAGAAAATGTGTTGCTTAGCGGAGAAACCATGAAGATTTCGTAAAGGGTATCGTAAGGTCTTTACCGAAAATCCGATTTTGCAACTCTAGAACATGCACAAGATACTTGCCTGCGACTCTGTAACAATAGCCATTCAAATGAAACAACCGGATCATTTAAACTGATGACCAACCTTCCTTCCATGGTCAAACGCAAAGAGCACCTCGTCTTCAAGATAATGATCCGTCTCGAAACGCTCCCAGAAGACACACTGATAATGCAACTAATGGCAGACATTGGCACGTGTCCTTTTGCTCGGAAACAGCAGATCTTTCTTTGGCCACAAGTATCAAACAAGCGTCACATCTGGTTGCACCTTAGCGATAGCTATAATACGCTTTCCGGCTGAGTTGAAGCCGATGGAAACGCAAAGAAGCAGCTCTTAGGACTTCGTCAGCGTAACTTGGATGCTCTTCGTGCACAAACAAATGCCCCTGTCCTCATCTCTACCTACAGGCCTTTTGTTGGTTGGATTGACCCTATTTTGCTGCTTATGTTCATCTATGGCCGTCAAAGAATCCTTCGTTGGCGCCCTGGGTGGATTTCAAAGTACACCTCTACTTGCTCATGTCGTTCATGATCTATCAGTAGAAGATATGTACTTTGTTGCCTGCGCACTGCTGAACGCTTGCGGTTACCAGCTGATATACAGCCTAATCCAATTGATTATGTCTTGAATCAGTTGCCTAGAATATCACACCCTCTAAGCTTACAAGCTCAAAGACTTGACCGCTACACACGATGGTCAAATTGGTGGCCAATCATTTGCCAACTACTTCTTGAAATTGAGAGTATGGATCTTCCCGACAAGACTTTCTCAAACGAAGAAAAAGATACCTCTGGTTTGACTTTTCTCCTTTGGCTGATAGCCTCGCTATATCCAGTACAAATTGACAGCTAATTCTCTCCTCCATCCTGTGGTGTGTATATTTCCATTATGCACCTGCTCTTTCTTTTATTTCTTTCTTATCTCTTCTTACCTGTATACACTGTAGTACATCATCGTCTATATTTCCTGCCCTTTTTTCCCTATATTTATCACTCTATAATTTTTTCTTCTTTTGAACTGATGGTTAGACATTTACCCCGTAGGGCTCAGTCTTCAAAACCTTTCAAATAAATATAAACTTTTATCGGGATCATGAGGGCAAAACGATGATTTTTTGACTTTTTCACAACTTACTATATTTTTGCATAAATATGTTCTTTTGTGGATGTTTTAACATAAGAAACTCAAGAGAAGGGGATTAGAAGGCAGAAATGATTATTTATTCTGAAAAACACTCGTACCTGCAGCGGGCCGCCAATCCGCCGCTAGTATTATGCCAATAATTGTTTGTCAACTATATTCAAAAGCAAAAGGTAATTTGTATTGGAGGCTTATTTAAGAAAATCCAGACTATGATTTACGATTGTATAATAAGTCTGATGCTCAAAAAAGGCATAAATTAAGGATCAAAAGCATATCAAGTGTGTAATGTGTCAAATGGAATCAAAAGCTATTTAGTACTCACAAAGTATGTTGGTTCCATCGCCTATCTACGATTTTACACTCTATATAATTGTGCTTTTTGCTTTATAAATGCAAAAAAAAAAAAAAAAAAAAAAAAAAAAAAAAAAAGCAATGAGCACACTGAGTAGCTCTGCACAGCTTATTATATCAATCGAGACGTAAACCTAACTTTTTTGACTCCATTCGATCTACAACAAGTAATTTTATGCCACTCTGATAGAGAAGTAACGCAAAGACCACTTGTCTGTGCACATTTCAACAAGACAGAGTAATAATCACTATGAAAGTGATTGGCTAAGCCGCTCAGCCCCGAATTTAAACATCCTAGAAAAAACCATCTCTTGTCTTTTTTTCTCCCTCGTCTTTCTTAAGGTAAGTACATGTTGCTCAAAAGGCTTGTGTTCTCATTTTTTTCTGCTCTATAGACATGAAAGAATGGTGTCTTTCAACAGTGTAGTTGTGTCTGTTTGATGCTTTGCTTTTTTGGCGCTGTTCAGATATGAGGTTGCACTGAGACTTGTGTAATCAAAGGCTATGCATAACAACTGATTGATTGCAAGGTGTACTCTACTCAGTCTGGTTTTCCAGGTGTTTGCAAAGCGTTCGATCAAGTGATCTAGGGTTTTCAAGATCTCTTCTTCAAGCTTTGGCTCTCTTATGCGCTTTAAAGGTGTTTATTTAAGGCTTGGTAAGTTTTCTTAGTGTATGTGGACTTTTTTGAGCCTTCTTGTTGCTGCTTGAGAGACTGATCACCTTTTGCTCAGACAGGAAGAGGACCTGAAGAGACTTGATTATTCTGATCAAACCCACAATATATGCGTATTGTAATAAAAGCTATGCGTGTAATCCAGTTGTATTAACGGCTTTTTCCACTCAAGTCTGTCTACTTTATTGCTGTCTTTTTTCTTCAGTATGAGCTGGACAGGGCTCATTTCACTTGCCAAACTATAATGATGCTGCCTTTACTGCCCTATGATATCACGTTTTGCTTTTGTATACTTGACTGTTAGCAAATAGAAAAAGAAAGCTCATCAAAGCAGAGAGTATGCCTAAAAAGAAAATTGGTGTTTGAAACATTGAGCTCTCCTTTTGCATGACATTCATTGCTTATCATGTCCAAAGCTGGTCCTTTTGGCTATAAGAGTGTCATGTATTATAACAAAACTAACTCCTAAGAACTTTTTGAACCAGATAATGTATAAATAAGAACCCGTTTAGTGAGCAACATCTGCTGAAATAAGCCTCTGTTCTACCAATTACAGTGTACAATGAACTCTGGATGCAGGTTTGAAGCCAACACTCAAATGAACTCGACTTTTTCGTCTTAGCAAACTCGTTTTCTTTTTGTCAGAAGTAGCTAAACGTGATCCTAGCTCATTTCGGTTGGATCAGACCTACAATTGGTCATTCCAAAAATTTTGGATGAGCTTTTTTTCCGTGAATCCCTCATAGGTCAAAAAATAGATTTCACAAAACTGTCAAATCAATGGTATCATTCGACTCCTTGACTCGAAAGAACATGTTCTAAATGAGGAAATGAACCATTTTAGTAGTCTGTTTGTCGAGTAATGGCGCATCAAAGAATGGCTTGTTTAGGCTGTGTTTTGAGTGTTTTTGCTATAGATGTCATATAGAACTTGTCAATAATGGATCTCTCTAAAGGGACTTATGTTATTTTGAGTGCTAAAGAGCATAGAAAAATAGAAACACAGGCTTTTTTTCTAACACAAATATGGAGCAAATGAACATGGAACATACCAGATGGCTATGCTGCGAAGATTGAAATGGAAGGCAATTCCGATTCTTCTCGCCACATCAAAATTGGAGCTTTTGCTGAGAACAACATGAAGACGCAGTTATCTTGCTTTGGTGTAGTGACAAAAGCTGTAGATCTTTGCTTTTTAAGTCTATTGATATAATGGACACAACAAATTTGCTGCTAGAATATTGAGTAAATAGGCAAAAATGTTTATGGGTTTTTCACACTTACCATACCGCTTTTATATACAACAGTCTGACAAACGCATTCACTAAAAACTAGAGCCTCTGAAGCTCGTTTTAAGTATATATTCTTGTCGATGGCTTCATTTTTCGTCCTGTAGTGTCAGAAATAAGTTCAGAGGTTTTCAAATGAGCAATTTTCATGGGTAATAATACCCTTTGGCCGAATGGTCATTTTGACCATTTCTTACAAGTCGCTTTTCTTAGTTCAGATTAACTCCAAAGGTACCATGCATGTTAGAAAACATATTTCTTAAGTATTTAGAGCGTCTATTTGTGCATAAACAGGCTTTAGCTACCTTCATTTGCCAGGAAAAAGACAAAGATTTGCATGAAATATTGAATCGTTTGTTTGTCTGGTGTCTCTACTATATGAACAAGTCATACACTCCGAAACTATTAATTCTAATCAAAACACATTTGACCCATTAAGCTGGTGGATTTGATGAACCGAGTTTAAGTCGAGTCAACTCAAGCATTAGATTAAAATTTTGTAGCGAATTGAAATGAAATGAAACGTTCTGTGTGACAGTCAACGCGTGACGTTATGACCAAAGAAAAAAAAAGTTTGTTCCATTTTGCTTGCTTTTCCTCTTTTTAAAAAAGAAAAAAAAGACGTTAAGCGAGCCAGGACAACAGGGGCACTGAGCGTTTCGTTCCGCCATATAGGGGAAAGAGCTCATTCAACACTACCTCATAGGAAAGGTAGATATCAGGTGTTGTTTTCGATACATACAGTTACGGAAATATACGAATGGAAGTAGTTAGACCGGCCCTGAAGCAACAAACAATAAACAGTTGGGATCAAGAAAAAACATATGATAGGGCGTGTCTTTGCTGTCTTCCATGTTTGGGTAATAGGTCTATAGAATGGCTAATGGTCTGGTCTGTTCTAACGCGTCTCGTTGTTTTTTGACACCAGACTCTTCTGCTCACTGTGAACTCTATTTAAAGAGATAATCCTGCTTTCTTTCTATAGTAGGTTTTTTTTCTTGAACGATCTCATCTACATTTACAATAAAAGCCTCTTCTATAAATGAACATTCGCTTTCATAAATTTATCTATTGTCTTGTTAACTAATTAATATATAAAACTATGATGAAGAACATAAGCCAATAGACCTTTCTTGACCTGTAATAAACGGTTTTTCTTCTTTTTTGTTTCTGGCCTAGACTGAAGATTTGTCCTTGTGCATCAGACCCTTGTGAACCAACGTCTAAAATAAGCAATCAAGAAGATCACTGTTTACGTGTAACTAAATATAAACGATCTGTTTACACACATACTCTCTCCTGTTGTCTAGAAATAGGTTTTTAGATGAGAATGTTTTGGTATTCAATCTGTATTATGGAGACTTCCAGTTCATGCCTGCTCATCTGTCACTGGTATTTTTATGCATACGAGCTAAAAATCAAAACACAATCACACCGCATGAAAAGAAATTCGTAGTCTTCTATACAGAAGACAGATTAAGTTTAGTAGTAGAAGTAGTAGTTGTGACAAAAAAAAGGGCATTATTGACCATTTTAACGAGTTGCAGGTTTCTTTGTGTGATCAACTTAAACTCGTCTCCATCTAAAATTAAGATGCTTTCCATTGATTCCTTGTAATACATTCAAACAGCCTATATCCTGCTAGACAAACCGTCCTATTCCAAGATACACAACATAAACAGGAGGCATATTTTGATTTAATTCCCATTCCAAACTGTCAAATGCAAAAAAATTTCTGCAAAAATTTTCAACCATGATTGGCTCCGTTTTATTTTATGCAGCCAATGAAACTGTCGAATAGACACACGTGAGTTCATTTTTTTTCTCTCTCTCTATTTCCTTTTGTTTTATGGAATTCTCCATTCATGGCATATAACCAAGCAACGTGCTTAGAATGCCTTTCTCTTATTTTGCACTGGTCGCTTTACCCAGAAAAAGAAAGGTGTCACTTGAATAAGTATGATTCATGGACTTCGGAGCCTCAACATTTAAATCTTCCATTATCCCCGTTGTCATAAATGCATTTCTTCTATCTTTTTCTCTCACTTTTTTTTCTTTTCTTTTAACTTTCGATGAAGATACTCAGTCTTTATTGGGCTTCCTTGTTGCTGTCTTGTACAGTATCAGCAGCAGCAACAAATAACCAACAGGCATTTTTTGGTGTTGCTCCCGTGAATACTGTTCATGGTCGCTTCCTTCATATCACAGATATCCATGTAATAAGACTACAGTCGCAACACAATTGAGCTAATCATAATTCTAGATGGATAAACACTATATTACAGGCGCAACCATCAAATCAGACTGTCACCGTGAACCTAAAAAACATAAACATCGAAAAAAGAAGGAAGGATTGCTTGCAGGCTATTGGGGTGCACCTGGCACAAACTGTGATTCGCCAGCTCGATTAGTGTATTATTCCATCGACTATATTGCTAAAGAATGGAAAGACAAGATTGATTTTGTGATTTGGACAGGCGATAATGCTAGGTAAAAAAAAAAAAGGATGTTTTTGTTACACTACTTCTCATCACAACAAAGACATGATGGAGATGCGTATATTACTAGAACAAAAAAGGAAATTGTTGGGTACAATCAAAAAGTAACAGACGCATTAAAAAAGGCTTTTACAACAAAGCATAATCGTACATTGCCTATTGTGCCTTGCATTGGTAAGTTAAGTTTCTGGGTCGATCTCATACTCATTTTTTTTTTTTTTTTTTTTTTTTTTTTTGGTAGGCAATAACGATATTCATCCTCATAATGAATTAAGAGGCATGAAGAACAATCCTCAATTGTTAGAATTCAGTGCGATGTGGAGTGATTTTATTCCTAGTGATCAACAAAAACACTTTAAGAAAGGTGGTTATTTTGCTGTGGATGTGGCTCCTGGTATGCGTGTCTTGTCTTTAAATTCACTTTATTTCTTTGGTTCAAATGATGTGGTCAATAGCTGCAGTGATAAATCTAGTCCTGGTGCCCGCCATGTTCACTGGCTTAGAAAACAGTTAAAACATGCTCGTCGAGATGGTGTTAAAGTGATCATGATGGGTCATGTCCCACCTACTGTCAAGAGTTTCAAGGATAGTTGTCTGGATGACTATATCAAACTATCTACCAAGTTTGCAGATATCATTACTGGACATATGTATGGTCATGCCAATTTCGATCATTTCCAGATCATTAGCAAAGCATTGGATAATAGTGCCAGTGCTTTCTTGAGCAATGGCGATATCCATGCGTTACAAGACACAGGCCGCTTTGTGTCTAGTTTACATAAACAATACAAGCAAGTCAAGAAAGTGCGTGATCACAAGAGTTTGGTGGTTGTGAATGTGGCTCCTCCTATGCTTCCTTTGTTCTACCCTACTTTCCGTATCAATGAATACAATGCCAACTTGAGTTCTCCTCAATTTGGTGACTGGCTCAAGTACACACAATGGTATACAAACTTGACTTACTGGAACGAACAAAGAAACAAGTTTGGGAAACATGCTCTGCCTACATTTGAGATTGAATATGCAACAGACAAGGATTATCATATGTCTGATCTGACAAGGGAAAGTTGGCTTAAATTCGCTCAGCGTATCAGCTCTAAAAAGGGAAGAAAACTATGGAAAGAATACATGGCTAATATGTTTGTAAGAACAAACAATGACTGGTATGGCCAAAGTGTGCCTGATGATGAGCCTGGATCATCAAGCTGGGATCATGTCTGGGATACACTTAGAGATATCATAGACAGCTATTTTTATTAAACTTCTACTGCTTCTTCTGATGTAGCACTTGAAGGTGCACCCGACATTCGTGTCCAGACATAGTCTTGAGCAATAGTGGTCACAGCCATACGAAGCATGTCGACCATTTTATCTTCTACCCATTCATTTTCTTCATATGGAATGTCTAACCAACTTAAAGGCATGGTTTGAGACCATGTCTTGAATTTGAGATTGTGTGTAGGATCAACCATCAAAATCACAAACGACAATTGAGATTGCTCCATGTCTTGTTCGTCCATGGCAGGCATGGTCAATTTGACAGGCTGCAAGGCCATAAAGACAGGGCAATGAATGACAGGCACAGCACCTATGGTTGGGTGATAGGTTTCGCTTTGTTTTTTGATGGGATCATGATACTGTTTAATTAAATGATCTATATTTGCCTTGGCAAGCTTTGTTCCATCAAGGGGACTATCACACATACAAAGATCTCTTTCTTTTTGTTGTTCTTGTTCTTGTTCTTGTTGTTGTTGTTGTTGTTGTTGTTGTTGTTGTTGTTGTTGTTGTTGTTGTTGTTGTTGTTGAGCAGGATTACGAACAACCACTTGGCCTGATTCCGTGTGTTCCATTACACGGGAAAATGCACGATACACAAGTGCTTCTAATCCTGTATAGCCTACCATATCATAAGCCAAATAGACTTCCACCAATTCATGTTCAGAAATAGGAGGTGCTACTGTCTCCAAAAAAGTGGTGGTCAAGTTCTTTAAGCCAGTACCTTTATATCGATATCAGCCCCATGGTATATATCTATCTCTACCTTTTACCTAGCTTCTCAATATTCTCTTTATTGACCAAGTCTTGCAAAGCTTTGACGCGACTTTCAAGCAGTTTACTGGCAGCATCTGAATTAGCAACAGAACGATTGATTTGATCTGTTGTTGTTTTGACAGCAGCACTTGCTTGATTCCAGAAATTGTTTCCCCATGACTTCCAACCAGTTGATGTTTCTTCTTTTGCTAGTAATGGTGTTGTCGTTTTAGGTTCATCATTAGTAGGATATTTCGAAATCTCATCTAAAAAAGACATGATATCATTAGGATCTGTATTTGTATCAGGCGTCTCTGTTGCTTGTGCATCAGGCAAGTTTAAAGACTCAAGAAACTTTTCAGCTTCTGATAAACTGCTCTTGCTTTCTTCTGCCATAATAATAATAAAAAGAAAAAAAAAGAAGGATTTTTATTTTTTAAAAAGTTGGGTATATGGCTTTAGAAAACCATTGGTTATAGTCTAGTTGCATTAACAAGACATCCATTCGACCACTGGATTTGACTTCAGGTTGTTGATTTGATGCTAAGGCAAAGAAATGCTGTGTTAAATAATGAAATTTCTATAGAGAAACATAAAGAATAAGTGAGTAGATAGCATAGACAGAATATCAGATTTACTTCTTGAGTGGCATAGACATCTTGTAGCCATGATTGTTCATGCGTTGCATTTGTCCATTGATTCACAATCTCACTTGCTGTCTTGGGTGCAGTCTTTCTTTTCTTACTTCTTCTCCAATGACCTTCTTGTGATATTTTTTCCATTGTGTCACAGAACCCTAAACAGGTCTTTAGGATATCATACATTGTCTTGACACATTCATGAGACAACAGTAAACAACCTCTTGTTGTATTCTTCAAGAAGGTTTCATGGGCGAATTGGATCTCTTCAAAATCAAGCTTTGTGTTCTGCCTTGATTTACGCTTGTTTGTCATGGAAGGAGATATGGTATGAATCATGGTTTGATAATGAGCATCAATAACATGGATCTAACATGCTATCAGTCATGAATATAGTTAGATTGCTTACTTGAATATGATTCCAAACTGTATCAATCCAGAATAACATCAAAGACCTTAATTGCCATACACGTCTTTCATCATGACTCTCAATCTGTTCCCCTGTCCTCAAGATCTTCCACAAGTTATTCAATGCCATTTGAGTAGCCTTCAGGCTGATCAGAAAAGACCATAAATGACTATATCGCTTCAGGTCTGATGGGCTGATAAATAGATCAATAGGCCATTCAAGGTCAAAAGTCATCACGAGAGGTATATCAATCAACAGTAGATCAGCAAACGGATATTCCTGTGTCTTTTCTTGTTCCAACAATAAACTGAATCCAGCCAACTGATCTTCTGCTTCTGTGCCAAGGGAAGCCTTAACAAGCAATGCATTCATTTCTTGACGCTGAAAAATCATGGCTGTTCGACCGGGATGTTCTTCAGTCGACATGGACTGACGACGCCATAAAGCACACGCCTCAATAAAATGAGTGGCTAGATCACCATAGTTAAGCAAGAACATGTGTCGAAACGAACTGAGGTATCGATAGAGTCCATAGTCGCCTACAAGTACTTGAGAGAATAACCAATCTGCTGTTGATTTTCTGACTTGATGAACTACGTTGGTCAGTTGTTGAGGATAATAGATCCAAGGTGAATGAGGATGAGTTTTGTCTGAATAGAGTGAGAGTAAGAGTTCTAAATGCTTTTTTTGCATCTCACTGGGTATCCTGAGTTTATTTCTGGAAGCGTGTTTCGTGGGTGATGTGAAGGGCAACATGGTACTATGTTCATATTGACTGATCGAGATAGGCAGTTTGTCCATAGCATTGACAGTAGCTATGGCTTTGCCTACAAATAAGATGGATTCCACAAGTGAATGAGACAAGTGAAATGGAATCCGATCATAATCAACCACATAAAGTTGATGCCATCCAGATATTTGTTGTTGTTGTTGTTGTTCATAAGGCTTGATAAAAAACTCGCCATCAGGATCTACCCATTGACCATACACCATCCATGCTGTCAGTTGTCGATAGAGCACATTATGCAATTGAGTCATCATCTTTTCAATCTGAGCACGGAATACGGCTACTCCTGTACGAGATTGATCCATCAACAAGTTAAATAACTTGCATCCATGATACTGAGTAGGATCTTGTTGTAATACAGTAATGAACTTGTACAATGCAGGCAAGAGAAGTTCCCATGTATTCAAATGAGCTGTCAAAAGAGAGAGAGGGACAATACCCTGACCAAACTCATCTTCTTTGTTTAAGATACGTTTCTCAATATCCAAGATATCTTGATGATATTCGTTTAAAGTAGACTCAATACATGTGGCAAGTGCTTGAATATAGGCCCCATGAAGGTCAGTATGGTCTGTACTGGGTTTTAGATCTTTGATGCGATGAACAAACTGGTGAATCTGCAAGTAAGTCCAACCTAATTGACCTAATCGATTAAGACATGCTTTTTCGGCTGGATGTAAAAGAGGAAAAGAAGAAGGGATAGCAAATGTAGTGGGATGAGTAGGTGGTTGAGCTACAAATACATCGCCTGGATATCCTAATAAGACAAACAACAATTCATGTAGCATAACTAGAAAGTAATAAAAAAAGGGGGGGTACAAAACACGGTAACCCTAGACGCGTTATCAAGAAAAAAAAACGGAGTTTAATTAAAAGAATGCATTGCCTGTCTGTTTAGGTTGTAAAAAGGGATTTCCTGTAGGTTGTAAGGGTTGACTGGGTGTAGCAGGTGGTGTCATTACAGTAGAAGAGAATGGGTTATTGTTGTAAGGCTTTGCAACAGGAATTTGTTGAGAGTAAGAAGGCTGTGTCATGGATCGGAAGGGGTTATTGCCACTTGAGATAGTGTTTGCATGGTATAATGGTTGGTTTGTAAAGAGTGGCTGTGAGGGTTGAGTAGGCAATGTAGCAAAAGGATTCTGTGGTGAATAGGGAGCTATTGAAAGGCGCGAAGGCAAAGTAGATCTTCTATTGATTGTAGAAAATGCTGCATCCATCATTTGTTCTTGATTATTATTATTGAATGGTTGTATTTGCTGTTGGTTGTTGCTGAATGGCTGTATTTGTTGCTGACCAACATTACTAAATGGCTGTGTTTGCTGCTGACTAGCAATACTAAATGGTTGCATTTGTTGTTGACTAGCAGTACTAAATGGCTGTGTTTGTTGCTGACTAACAGTATTAAATGGTTGTTGTTGTTGTTGTGTTTGAAAGGATGATTCTACCAATAAGTTAAATACACTCTTCTGTTTCCTTTATGTTACCTTTCTTTTGATTATTGTCAATTTCTGCTAAATATTCTTCCAATGCAGCAGCAAGTGACAAAGGTGCCTAAATAAACCTCATAAGATAATCAACAACATAAATAGATGACTTACATGCTTAACAGAAGGAATATTCATTTGTAATTCTTGTTGCATTCGCTTTGCTTCATTAAGATAATCAATCGTCAATTCTGTCTGTTGAGCAAATTTCTTGTATATCTTGAGTGAACCAGTCGCATCTTTTTTGTTCATCTCAAAATAGTGTTCTATTAAATAAGCATCTCTACATCCTTTGTATGATCTCTTACCTAATATGTTGACGACACTTTCATTAATGGCTTGAAAGAGAGACAATAAGTCATCAATTGTCATTTTATAAGCAGCAAATGAGATAGAAGGATCCCCATCACTGAAATTAAACTAACCAAACTATCTGAATTCAATGTTACCAGTCAGTCGTGGGCTTACTTTGCACTTGAGAACTGATTCCATTTGACGCTGAAGAGCAGCTGTTTCATCAAGCAAGCCATCTGCTACAGACAGATATCTAAGTCTCTTTTGTCCATTTCGAATCTCCTTGACATAATCCCTATGTAGCTGTCGATAAGCAATCACTCGTTCATCCAAATACGCTCGATAAAGATAGATATTTTGAATATTCGAGGGTGCTATCTAAGTTAAACAAAAGGCTATACGTCATCCATGACTTACAAGATGATTTATTCTTAATTCGACTAGCATCCAATAGACTTGGTCTATGGAGAATAACTTCTGTTACACGCTCACTATTGCCTTCTCGCATAAGATAATGTAGAATGACAAACACTTTATACGTGATCTAGTGCACAAAAGTGTTGAGTTTAGCTTATAACATGCCTGTGTTACTTACAATCCATGATCTTTCTTTTAAGCGTCTTTCAAGAGAACCCAGCATACTGTCAATCAAGTGTGGGCTTTGAAATGTTAAGCTCACCAATGCTAATTTTATGCAACAAAAGTGTAAATGGGATATACATATAGACATATCATTATTTTACTATGAAGATGCTTTTCTTTAGGTGGACGATATTCAAGTCGAGTCGCTTTACGTACTGCTGTTTCCATGCTATAAAGTAAGAAAAGAAGAAAGAAGAAAAAAATATATAAACGAGGCGATAATCCCATTATGGCGAAGGATAAGTTTTACCCGCAAACCAATCAGAACTTGTTTACCGGACGACACCGGGCATTTTATTTTTGCAAATATGCAGAATGATATAGTGTGATATCATTGTTGTATTCTAAACGATTCAATAAAGTGTAAAAATACTCTTGTTTAACAGCCATTGACTCAAATTGCATACAGTATAATATCTACATGGTATCTATCGAGATAAACTAGTTGATGTAGATTCTTTTCTTATATATAAAGAGTACATATCAAGCATAAGAATAGATGCTTTTCTTGACAATAAGAAAGCAGCTATTGTTCAGAGTTAAGTCAATAGGAGGTTGAATAAATTCGAGTCACGGCTTTATGTAAATACGCTACAAAAAAAAAAAAAGATGGCATTGGCTCAAGGGGCTGTTATTCTTGAAAAATAATTCACTTACCATTAAACCTAGGACAAAGCATCCGAAGGTGCTTCTCTATCTTGACCTCTTGAGAACTGTTGTGACCTGCTGTTGATGTCATGGCCCGAACATATATATATATTTTAACGCGCTCTCGACAAATGCGCTTCTATTAACTATTTTAGAAATTCACTCAATCAAAGCCACAAACTTGGTCGACGTCACTTAAAGTGGGGGGGGGAGATAGAAGGACATGCCGAGTCACCAGCTACGTCATACTGTTGTTTGGGAGGTTGTGAGAGAGGGAATCCCGGGCAAGATAAGCTTCGCCCTTTTTTTTTTTCTCTCTTTTTATACCAATAAAAAAAAAACTCCCCACTCTTTTTTATAATGGCATCTAGATTGATCAGCACCAGTTTGATGCGCCTTCCTCGCACTATGGTTGCAGGTAAAAGCGCTTTCCTTACTAATGACTCGATTTGACATTTTATAGCAACCACAGTTCGTTCTTTTGCCACAACTTCCACTACTTTGCAAGGTAAGCGAATATGCTTGTCAAACAAAACAAAACAAAACTAACATAAGCAATGTAGCTGCTCAAAAGAACTACAACAAAGTATCTGCCGATCCCAACTTCAAGTCTGGCAATGACGACTTTCACAACTATGGCAAATATTTGATGTCTGTTTTACCAAAATTCATTCAACAATACAGTGTTTATAAAGATGAGCTCACTCTTTATGTTGCTCCCACCGCTGTCTACCAAGTCATGCGCTTTTTGCGTGACCACACCAATGCTCAATTCAAATCTGTTATGGATATCACAGCTGCCGATTTCCCCACTCGCGCCAATCGTTTCGAAGTTGTCTACAACATGTTGAGCATGAAGTACAATGGCCGTATTCGTGTCAAGACGTATGCTAGTGAAATTTCACCTGTTCCTTCTGTTGTCCCCTTGTTTAATGGTGCTAACTGGCAAGAACGTGAAACATATGATATGTTTGGTGTCTTCTTTACAGGTCATCCTGATTTGAGACGTATCTTGACTGATTATGGTTTTGAAGGTCATCCTTTGAGAAAGGATTTCCCCTTGACAGGTTATGTTGAAGTGCGTTATGATGAAGAAAAGAAGCGTGTTGTTCAGGAACCTGTTGAATTGGCTCAAGCCTTTAGAAACTTTGAAGGTGCTCTTTCACCCTGGGAACAAACTGGTAAGTAAACAACAGAATCCTGCAGCATTTACTGATTCTTTAAGGTCCTGGACGTGATGATACTCCCAAGCAAATTGAAAGTGATGAAAAGAAGCAATAGATATAATAAATTGATTATTTATTCAAGATGTTCTTTTTTAACTAACCATAGTTTATGATCAAACAAAACAGGCTTTTTAGCAGGATAAGGTAATAATTTCATAGGGTCACTCTGCATACTATTGCTGCTGCTGCTGCTGCTACTACTACTACCGCTGCTATTGCTTGTTCTTCTTTGTTCAGATAAAGGAGGTAATTGAGCCACACGCCATTGAAGTGTATTTAGTTTTTCAGTCAGATATGTGTTGCGTTTTTCCAAATGTTGAATAAATTCAGCTGCTTTTGTCAGCACAGTACTCTTTGAATTACTGATCTTTTGAAGTGAAGGAACAAGCTCAATGAGTCCTTTAAAACCATGACGAATATTGCTTCTTCTCTTTTGTTCAGAAGCAAGATGATTTTGTCTTTTTTCTTCTTTTGTTAATAACAATTTCTTTTTACGTGTGTTCGTGTCCTCTTGAGCAGGTCTCTTTTTCAAGAGTGTATAAGATGGTTCAACAGAGTGACGTAAATAGATAGGTGTTCTTTTGTGTTGATAGGATCTTTTTTGTTCATCTAATGCCTGTAGAATAGAATGTCTTCGTTGCTCTTCCTGTTGTTGATCTATTGAAGGTAATGTTATATTTTTGTCCATAGAAAAAGCATCTAAAAAGCTAGTAAATGTCTTTTGATCTTGTTCATTCAAGACTGCGTTTGTATTGGAAATAGAAGAAGAAAACAATAATGGTGGTGGTGGTGGTGGTGGTGGTAATAGTAATAGGCTATTATCTTATACAAAATTATCACACTGTGTATTTTGATTTTTTTTTTCTTTACCCTCAAATGGCACTGGTTCTGGTACGATTTTATGCTGATAATGAGTTAAATCTCGATGTTTATAAAACCAAGTGTTTAAAGAAGTCATGTTAAAGAGAAAGAAAGAAAGAGATTCACACAAGCCTTGAAACCACGTTTCTTAAGGTAACACGAATACTGGTTATTATTATCACATGTGAGAAAAAAAAAAAAAAAGCAAAGGTATTACCCCATGACTTTTTATTTTAAAGCCGAGACTGAGGAAGTATTTGGCGAGCAACATGCAGAGCTATTGCTTCAATCGTCACCATAGGATTGACTCCTACTGCTGTGGGTAACAAGGATCCATCAGCAACATACAAATGCTTTACTTCCCATGTTTCACCAGTAGGTTGAATAGCAGAGACCTTGGGGCTAATACCCATTCGACTAGAGAGAGAGAGAGAGAGATGATAGATATACAGTTAGATGACATCATATTAAACAAATAGATTACCATGAACCCAATTGATGGACAGAGACAAGAGGCGTAGAGATAGAACTGATGCCTGCCTTTCGAACGGATTCAAGCCAATGTTCAAAGCGAGGATGATCAACTCGAATGTTTTCTTCTGGAGAGAACACAAAGGGTTCCACATTAGGTTGTAACGTATAAAGTTCACGGGCACCAGCAGCAACCATCAACTTCATGTTACGCTCTAAACTTGTGATCATGACTTGTTGGTCGAGCTTGGATAACACATAATCAAACACTGGATTCGGATTTTCGGGATCATGGATTACTGTGCCTATAGAGTCTGTATCTCGGACGACATTGATCAGGGAAAGAATATGGTCATGTCTCAGCATGAGTTCCTTATGTCTGGCTGCACCCAGCCATGGCAATTTAGTAGCCAATCCACCGGGTAAAACTAACCCTTCTTCTATCTTGACATCGCCTCCATCTGAGACTCTTGAAATAAGTGGGCCGTCTTTTTGTCGGATGGGTTCATCAAACAAGCCAAATCCAAACAAGATAGGCTGAAGAACAAGATGTCGACCAATATGAGGGTTCTTGAGTCCACTTGCCCAGAGCAAAGAAGGCGTTCGAAGTGCTCCACAAGCAACAATAACTCGTGTGGCCTGAATGGTGGTCTTTTGTGTACGGTGTACAACGCATTCTACACCAACCACCTTTTGGTTTTTTGTAAGCACACGAGTGACTTGCGTTCTGTCCAAGAACCGAGCTCCGTATTGATGTGCATCTTTAAGCCAACTATTGGCTGTACTATGTTTGATACCTGATCGACAGCCATACATACAGCGACTGCAGTGATGAGGTTTACCACCTGTATTCACATAGACTTTTTCAATAGGATAACCCAGGTCCCTAAAAAATAAAGGTGCTCAGTATACAGTGCATCTCTGTGTATGTGTCTGAGTGTACCTGCATCCTTTCTCAAACTTTTGATTGGTGAGTGTTTCCAATATGTTTTCTTGACTGGCACCAATTCTATCAAATACATAATCAAGATCCTTACTAAACTATACACATTGTTAGACATGGTTTTAATCTACCTATTTTACCTGAGGAGAATTAAAATGAGAAAGCCCTTGAAGTATCCATTCTTCTCGAACAAAATGTTGTGGCTATTTTATGAATCAGAACAAGAAAGATTCCCCCCCCTTTTTTTTTTTTTACCTTGAGTGAGACCAAGTAATTCACAGCAGTACCTCCACCTAAACAAAAAGGGGGGTGAGACAAATTTGCATAAAAAAAATCAATGGTTACCTAGAGTAGCACCTGACAAACACTCAATCGAATTATTTCTGGAAGTCATGGCAGTACCCGTATCATACATGTTTTTATAAGCTTCCTCTTCATTAGGAACCATTTCACTCTGATGATAGTATTTGCCTTTCTCAATGACCAACACAGAGTACCCTGCTTTAGAAAGTTCAGCAGCCACTACGCCTCCTCCAGCACCACTGCCAACTACCACCACATCAAACGAGAGATGGCCTTGCAACGCTTCTTCTGTCGTCATCATGGGCAACCTTTCGTGTTCAATAGTACTATAATCTTGATGTTGTTCAAAAAAGATATCCCGAGAAGCATGATAGTTTAAGCACTCATTCAAGACCGAATTCTTTCTGTTGTAAGCATGAAATAGACAAAGTGAAGCAAATGCTTTGTAAAGTGTGCGGAAAGTAAGGAACGAGGATTTTTGCCAGCCAAGTAAGACTTGTTCTCGTTTCTCACGATCCAGTTCAGTCAAAGGTTGCCAATGGCCCGTTAAGAGTAAAGCACCCGGACGAGTGGCCAACATGTCCAGGATACGCACAAGTTCTTTTTGTTTGGTAGGAGGAACAACGTCTTGGATGAATTGGATTACCACAGGTGTAAGACGAAGTGAAGTTGCAGAGACGTGAGACATAGTCGATATGTGTTTGGGAGATATGCCAGATGCTTGGAGTTTTTGTTCAATTGCATGTTGTTCAGTAGGTGAGAGTGGGGCAATGAAGGTATCAAAGATAGCACTCAACATCTCAATCTGCGATTTATTAAGTACGAAGGGCATGTTGCTTGGCATCATAGAGAAAAAAACAAGAAGAAAAAATAAGAAAGTGTGTGAACAGGACAATCTATAATTCAGTATAATGGCATGATGTTACATGCATTTTAAATCAATCTTCTGTGTGATATTTCTTGTACATTGTGTATGCGAAAAAAAAACCCCCCTCAGTGTTTGTTGTGATCCAGAAAAGGGACAATCCCATTATCCTTTTGCAACACATCTCCTGACTCGAAATAAAAAAAAATTTTTGGCACAACAAATGCCTCTGGGATTTTAAGATGATAATCATAAAGATTTATTATTGCCTCTTTGTGCTTGAACATTTTTTATTGTAATATAGACTCCACACATCAGAGCTTTTGGTTGCTTTATAGAAAAAAAACGGATTAATATGATATCAACGTACTTTACAGCAGAATTCAAGTGAAACAACGTAAAAAAGTGCTTTTAGAATTTACTCAGATAAAGAATCATTTTCATTGCAATGGACAGATTTTTATACCAGTCGGAAAACTCTTTTACATATATATTCTCTTTGTTCTTCCATGTGAAAAAGCAATGAGCACACTGAGTAGCTCTGCACAGCTTATTATATCAATCGAGGCGTAAGCCTAACTTTTTTGACTCCATTCGATCTACAACAAGTAATTCTATGCCACTCTGATAGAGAAGTAACGCAAAGACCACTTGTCTGTGCACATTTCAACAAGACAGAGTAATAATCACTATGAAAGTGATTGGCTAAGCCGCTCAGCCCCGAATTTAAACATCCTAGAAAAAACCATCTCTTGTCTTTTTTTCTCCCTCGTCTTTCTTAAGGTAAGTACATTTTGCTCAAAAGGCTTGTGTTCTCATTTTTTTCTGCTCTATAGACATGAAAGAATGGTGTCTTTCAACAGTGTAGTTGTGTCTGTTTGATGCTTTGCTTTTTTGGCGCTGTTCAGATATGAGGTTGCACTGAGACTTGTGTAATCAAAGGCTATGCATAACAACTGATTGATTGCAAGGTGTACTCTACTCAGTCTGGTTTCCCAGGTGTTTGCAAAGCGTTCGATCAAGTGATCTAGGGTTTTCAAGATCTCTTCTTCAAGCTTTGGCTCTCTTATGCGCTTTAAAGGTGTTTATTTAAGGCTTGGTAAGTTTTCTTAGTGTATGTGGACTTTTTTGAGCCTTCTTGTTGCTGCTTGAGAGACTGATCACCTTTTGCTCAGACAGGAAGAGGACCTGAAGAGACTTGATTATTCTGATCAAGCCCACAATATATGCGTATTGTAATAAAAGCTATGCGTGTAATCCAGTTGTATTAACGGCTTTTTCCACTCAAGTCTGTCTACTTTATTACTGTCTTTTTTCTTCAGTATGAGCTGGACAGGGCTCATTTCACTTGCCAAACTATAATGATGCTGCCTTTACTGCGCTATGATATCACGTTTTGCTTTTGTATACTTGACTGTTAGCAAAGAGAAAAAGAAAGCTCATCAAAGCAGAGAGTACGCCTAAAAAGAAAATTGGTGTTTGAAACATTGAGCTCTCCTTTTGCATGACATTCATTGCTTATCATGTCCAAAGCTGGTCCTTTTGGCTATAAGAGTGTCATGTATTATAGCAAAAATGGCTCTTAGAAACTTCTTGAGCCAGATAGTGCATAAATAAGAACCCGTTTAGTGAGCAACATCTACTGAAATAAGCCTCTGTTCTACCAATTACAGTGTACAATGAACTCTGGATGCAGGTTTGAAGCCAACGCTCAAATGAACTCGACTTTTTCGTCTTAGCAAACTCGTTTTCTTTTTGTCAGAAGTATCTAAACGTGATCCTAGCTCATTTCGGTTGGATCAGACCTACAATTGGTCATTCCAAAAATTTTGGATGAGCTTTTTTTCCATCTTCACGGACCTCCGTGGATCCCTCATAGGTCAAAAAATAGATTTCACAAAACTGTCAAATCAATGGTATCATTCGACTCCTTGACTCGAAAGAACATGTTCTAAATGAGGAAATGAACCATTTTAGTAGTCTGTTTGTCGAGTAATGGCGCATCAAAGAATGGCTTGTTTAGGCTGTGTTTTGAGTGTTTTTGCTATAGATGTCATATAGAACTTGTCAATAATGGATCTCTCTAAAGGGACTTATGTTATTTTGAGTGCTAAAGAGCATAGAGAAATAGAAACACAGGCTTTTTTCTAACACAAATATGGAGCAAATGAACATGGAACATACCAGATGGCTATGCTGCGAAGATTGAAATGGAAGGCAATTCCGATTCTTCTCGCCACATCAAAATTGGAGCTTTTGCTGAGAACAACATGAAGACGCAGTCATCTGGCTTTGGTGCAATGATAAAAGTTGCAGATTCTTGTTCTTTTAACTTTATTAATGTAGAAAATATTGTGTAAATGAGCAAAAATGTTCTAAGGATTTTCGTTCATATCTCAATATTTCCATGATACAATTAACAATAAAACACATTCACCAAAAACTATAGCCCTTGACGCACATCTTGAGTAACTAGACTTGTATATAGCTCTATTTTTTGTCTTGTAGCGTCAAAGAACAAGATTGAAGATTGTCAAACCAACGATTTTCATGAGTAATACCCTTTGGTCGAAACGCATATTTTGGTCATTGTGGATATGTCGGATTTTTTGGTCTGAATCAACTCCAAGGATACCATGTATGTCAATGAACATGATTTCTAAGCACGTAGAGTGTTTATGCGTGTATAAGTAGGTATTATGCTACTTTTGTGCAGCGGTGCTACCGTGTGTATTTGTCTATTCTTTTAATGAGTTGAATCTCATCATTGGCTTGATCAGTACATTAAAAGGGCTTTCAAAGAAAAGACACATCCGTTCAAAAGGCACAATGTTCTTTGCGCCATTTCATGGAACTAACCACATCTTCTGGCTGAAAAGAATTAATTCATTGTATGTATATTATACTCAGAACATTTCTTTTTATCACTGCATTAAGTCTGCGAGAGTCTTGGTAGTAAAACAAACAATATTAGAAGCAAAACGACTAATTTGAACGCTTGAGCAGTCGGTTGTTTTTATACACGCTACTTCAATAAAAACCACTAATCTTGGCATTAAAGACCAATTCTGCAAAAAAATTGTTCTTTTATGCTTCGTATTAAACATTATTGGTAGCATCATTATGTATTATTGGATCATATAAACGCTTCTTTTGTTACACTTATATACATACATCACATGACATCTTCTATCCACCACCATGGCTGGTTGCATGGATCCAATCATACACTAGTACATCCATATCTTGAAGCATCCTCGAAAGACAAACACAAAAGAGAGAAGCCGAAAAGAAAAGAAAAATATATTCGGTGCATATCAGCAACTCAGCCTTGAAGACAGCATTCAATAAGAAAACGACCATGAAATAAGAGCAGAAGCACAAGTCTGCCTATAGAATAACATGGGTTGTTTGCGCATGATCCATGTAACGTTACCTGTTATAATAAAAATCCTCACAATTGTATAGGTTGTTAAAGAAAGAAGGTCATGGCTGAAACCTCTAAGACACGCGAGAGATACAGTAAGCACTAAATTGTCAACATGGTATGCCACAGACTTTTTCAATTGCCATCCTATAGCCAACGTTACCTGTAAAAGAAATTTTAATCAATGTTTTATCTAAAAGTTGCGTTTAACGACAGTACCTCGCCAACCCATTCCAATCACAAACAGGTTGTTTCCCTGCTCATCATTAATGGGTATAATATGGCAGTATTGACTCTGATATTTTTTATTTACTGGTAATCTCCAAGCCTTTTATCAATGTTGGCTTTCTTCCACTCTGAGGAGTTCAACTCCATATTCATAACTTTCGTCAAAAGGTCAATCCTTCTTTCAATTGTACTGCTAGTAGATTCTTGATCATCGCAAATTTCTTTATTTAATTCTCTAGATGTCTTTGTAGCATTGCTATAAGCGTCTTCACTATTAAATACATTAAAATGACTAGTTATTAGCAAAAAGATCCTATTTCTAAAGACTTACTCTTTCATCACACATTGCTTTTTACGGAAAAACATCACAATGATCATTGTGATTGGTCTGTAGGACCCAAGCTCGCCTACTCCTTCATTTACCTTTATCCTCTCCTTTCTTTTTCTTTCTTAGGAACCATCTCCTATTGGGCATCAGCTGCATAAAAAACAGTAAATTGAGTGAAAAGACCAAGCCACGTATTTAACAGCATGGACTGTTTTTCTTCTTGAGGTATTCAAGAGGAGAAAAATCATCCTTCTCTTTTCTCTAAACATACTATGGTTAAAGTCAAAGTTCTATCTCGTTCTTCCAATGACTATGTGAGAGAACGTGCTCAAGATATTCACAAAGTACAACGCAATTTTGACCCAACTGCGCATCCTTTCGAACAAGGCAGAGAATATGTCCGTGCACTCAATTCAGTCAAGTTGGATCGTATGTTTGCAAAGCCTTTTATTGCATCACTCAATGGTCACATTGACGGTGTCTATTGTTTAACAAAACATCCTTCTAAGCTCAACTCAATGATTTCTGGTAGTGGTGATGGTGAGATTCGCATTTGGGAGTTGTCAGAACAAAGCACTACTTGGAGAGTACAAGGTCACCGTGGCCTTGTGGCAGGCGTCTGTCCTGGTAAAGAAGAAGGCCGCTTTTTGTCTTGTTCTACAGACAAGACTGTCAAAGTATGGGGAGAAGATACAGAGCCTATCGAAACTTATATGGGCAAGCATTCCTTTACGGGCTTATCACATCATCGCTCAGAACCTCTTTTCGCTACATCTGGTGGCACAGTGGAAGTTTGGGACGAGAACAGATCTGAACCTATTCATGATTTTGCTTGGGGAGCAGACTCTTATCAAACTGTCAAATTTAACCAAGTTCAACAAAACATTTTTGCTTCTTGTGGTACAGATCGTACTATTGTCTTGTATGATTTAAGAACTAGTTCACCTATCACAAAGCTGGTCATGTCACTCAAGACAAATGCGATTGCTTGGAATCCTATTGAAGCTTATACGTTTACGAGTGGTAGTGAAGATCATAATGCATATACCTTTGACATGAGAAACATGAAGTCTGCTAAGAATGTATTGAAGGACCATGTCTCTGCCATGTAAGCAAGCTTTTTTTTTTTTCGTATAAGACGAACTAACGTGTACGTATATAGTATGGACGTCGACTATTCACCTACAGGTCAAGAAATTGCTACAGGTTCATATGATCGTACCATTCGTTTGTATGATGTTGGTCAAGGCCATAGTAGAGATTGTTACCATACAAAGCGTATGCAGAGAGTGTTCTCTGTTCAGTTCTCTATGGATAGCAAATATGTCTTGACTGGTTCTGATGATGGCAATGTTCGTATTTGGAAGACACATGCTAATGAAAAGATTGGTATCAAGGACTGGCGTGAAAAGAACAAGCTTGAATATGCTAGCAAGTTGAAGGAAAGATTCGGTCATATGCAAGAAATCCGTAGAATTGACAAGCATAGAAGAACACCTAAGGACATTAAGATTGCAGACAACAGAAAGAAGGAAATGACAAATGCTGAAAAGAGAAAGGATGAATTAAGACGCAAACATTCCAAGAAGTTGGACTCTGTTAGACGTGTACCTGAAAGAGAAAAGTCTATCATTGGTATCGCTAAATAATTCAATTCCATTTCATATTCTTATTGTACATTTCTTCAATTGCATCATTTAATAAACCTCTTTTTCTTACTTTGTATCATATAACTAAACAAGTTGAACAACTAGACTAAATCTTTCTGTAAAAGCAATGGTGCTATTGTTAATATCAAAGCTAACAAATGTTGTATGTTTTGTCAAGATTGTGTTGACTATCTTATGTTGATTTAGTATGAGTGTTGCATTGGTATATTGATCAAGAAAAGCTTTGTCATGACTTATGATAGTAATGCGATCAAGGTATTCTGTCTCTGAAAACCCAAACTGACCATTCACGCTTAATGTATTGTTGGTGAACACAAAATTGACATTGTTGCTCTTGTTAGATGAGTAACCGTCGTCCATGTAAAGTCGACCCAACGCTTGATAGTTTTTGTCGAGAGCAATGATCAAGCGATAGGGTGTATCAAACGTGTCTTTTACTGAGAATGTGGAGGTCTTTGTGGCAATGATTGCTCCGCCTCGTATACATACGGGAATATGTAGCAAAGGTGCATCTAAATCCAGTGTTTGAACATGATCGTCTGCAATAGAAACAACCGAATGATTGCCATACCAGTCATACCAAATGCCAGGAGGAAATTGAGCAGACTTGACTTGAGTTGCGCCTTGTGTCAGTACAGGCAAGATCATAAGGTCTGATCCAATAAGGAATTGCTGAGCATTGTCCGATAATTCATTGACAAACATTGGATACTCAAACACTAATGGTCTCCATACACCCGTACCCAATCGATGCGCTTCTTCAAAAAGTGTATAGAAATAAGGCAAAAGAGTATATCGAATCTCAAGTACAGTACGACTTGCATTAGTCCATAATGATTCTGTATGGTCCGTATTCCATGTATCTGATGTGCGTGCAAAAGGATAAAAAGCGCCTACTTGTATCCATCGAATACAGAGCTCTTCATCTTGAAATCGGCATATACTAATACCAGAAAACACGATGCCCAGCATTTGAAAGTTCAATACTTTGGGTATAGACAGTGCCAAACTCTCCCAAGTATACATTTCGTGGCTGACATGACCCATATACTGCCCACTGCCTACAAATGTAGATTGGCTGAACAAGAACGGCCTTAGAGTAGAATTATAATTTAAGATAGCCTATGATTGATGTGAGTATACCTATATAATAAAACTGACCTACATTTCTTGTAAAATAGCCAGAAGCATGTCCATACAAGCTATGAACATCATAATGTCTGATATTCCCACTGTGTTTTGCGTTCATGGCTACTGTTTTGTCGGATAAGTCATTAAGACCATGATGAATAGTATAGTTTGGATACAAAAGATGGTATGTCTCTCCTGCCATTGCATCTAATGCTGCTTTTTGAGTTGCATGTATTCTTTCTTGTTCTTCAGGACTGTAAAGCCATGGAAATGGAGGCTTTTGAGATTGAGATCCACATGAACCCAGGCAAAAGGAAGTTGGCTGATTCATGCTGATTTCTAGACCATCCAATGGAGATGTATTCATCAAAGAAGCAATGTAATTATCCCAGAAATGTGTGATATTGGCATGCCACCAATCTGGATACACAGCATAGTCTGTCCATCCTAGTCCTTGATATTCAAAAGCATCGACATTTTTGATAAAGACATCCAATGCTTGACCTTGTTTGTAGAAAGTATCGTTTACAGAAATAGCTGAATTCACGATGCCTATCTTTTTTCTGTCTTGTTGATACATTACAGTATTCATATCAACACAATGAGATTCAATAGGGATCTCATCAAATGTAAGTTTTGTCTGAACACAATCATGGAAACCCAAGGCCCAATGTGCTGGTAGCATAGATCGACCGATAAATGTAGTATAAGATTGAACAACTGCATCAGGTGTACCATCCTCAGGAACAAAAAAGTAAAATTCAAAAATGCCGCCAATGGCTTTAAAAGTAATTCTGTCTGCAAAAGTAATGATATCCATCCCATTCGCATTCAACAGAAGAGTACCAAACGCAAGTCCATTGTTGCGAATGTCCATATAGAACGGATGTGAATTATTTGCATGTCTAGCAAAGATAGTGGTGACACTATTCTCTGGTGCTTTAAATCCTTGTCCAAGGCCATAGATATGTGCTTCATGAACAGGCAAATGCGTACTGATTTCCAAGTACTGACTTTCGAAAACAAATGCAAGATCTGTTGTGTCAAATAAGATGGAATGATCCAATGTTCGAATAATCTGAAATCCAAACGGATCCATGGTGTAATTGAAGCTATAATTCGTTCTTTTTCCTGGTGAGCGTCTCTGGCCTGTTTGTATCTGTGTATCTGGTCTTACAACACCTAATGGTGAATTTGGTACCACTGCTTGTGTGCCGTTCTTGTCATAAATCTGTTCATTTGAGTTAGATAATGTTTATACAACACACTGACCTTGATTTGGACTCGTTCAGTCGTTTCATAGGTCACTTGAACGACAAGTTCTTTGATAATAGAACTAAAGTATTCCGAGTCACTGTTAGAGACAAGAGAAAACTGTATATTTGTTTCTGTCTGTTGAATACTGCCTTCAACTACTTTATAGGATTTTGCGTCTACAGAATATGAACTCTTGAAAGCAACTCGCAACAAAGCTTACCAAGACTCGTAGTGTCATAAGACTGCTGACAATTGACAACAAAACAAGACAAGACACAAACTAATAAAATGACATTGTATCTCATGTATGAAAGGATTAAAATTTCAATTTCAAAAAAAAAAAGAAAAAAGGGAAAATTAGTCTATAAACACATAAAAGGGAGTTTTTTTCAAGATATTTTTATTATATAAGAATTAAGAAAAAGAAATAAACCAAAGAGGCCTAAGAGAAAGAGAAAGTAAGTATAAACAACTAAAAAAAAAACAAAAGGAAATATACATAGTCGAAATCACTCAGGGTGTCATTTGAATCATGTAGTTCATGTGAAGAAATTCAACAAAATAAATTTTGCTAAAACATCATCGTGATTTCGACCAAGTATACCTGTTAAATAACTTACCAAAAAAGAGTTTAAAAGAAAGAACAAGAGAAAAACAAGGTCCAACTGTCATTTTTATAATAGAACGGAAAAAATTTTGCAGCGTATGGATATCACAGTCCAGAGCAGTCATGCTCCATAAATAGAAATCGAATCATTTGAATAAAAAGAACCCATTTTTATCTGATCTAACATGGTGATGGATTTCTTTAGATCCTTTGATTATCAGATCTCTTTCTCTACTTTTTGTCTGTTTTGGCAGATAACCCATTGGGTTTGCATGCGTAAAATATACGGCAACTTGTGTAGTCGTTCATTCTTTAGTATAATTAGGATGATATTGCATGATACATTTGCATATACCAGAACATGAATAAGGATCAATTATTTTTAAGTAAATATCGTCAAGTGCATAAGGCTTACAATGGTACCTTCATGAAAAGGAGATATTAACATGGCACATTGTCTATTTCATTGTCTTCGTCCTATCTCTTTCATAATAGAAGCTTTACGTAAATACACTACAAAAAAAGGTGACATAGAAAAAGATTCACTTACCATTAAATCTAGGACAAAGCATCCGAAGGTGTTCCTCTAGGCATCTTGGTTATCTTAACCTCTTGAGAGCTGTTGCGGCCCAAATGTATATTTTAAGTTTTAGCGCGCTCTCGACAAATGCACTTCTGTTAACTATTTTAGAAATTCATTCAATGAAAGCCACAAATTTGGTTGACGTCACGAAAATCATATTCAAGCGCGTGAAAAAGTCGCGTATAGAAAATTGTTTCTTTTCTATCTCTACCTATACAATGACTGGTTCATATGACTCTAAAAAGATAATACACGGCTGTATTCAATATGCAATACGAAACACCTTGACTAAAAAAAAACCTTGCATGACTTATGCTTATTCAAGAGTCGTGTCATTTAAAGCAATTGAGGGCATGATGGGTTCAGCCTTTGCAGTAGAAAGCTTTGAGATACTATCCGAGTTCCCCAGTCTCCATGACTTCTTTCTGATAGCCAAGCAAAAAATAGAACCAGAGCAATACATCGAGGACTTTGATGGCTGGTATTTTGATATCATGAATTTATTGGAATACAATGCGAATGTCAGAGCCTTTCAGCCTATCTGGGACTCTGTTTTACAAAAAGCGGGAATCAAAGACCCAGAAAACGATTATTTGTTTGTTGTCTATCGTGCGGATGATGCAGTAAAGCTAAGGGATTTTGATCTGGAAGAAAACTACGCGTCTATTCCACTTGTTTCGTTGGATGAAGCATACAGTGACGAAGAAGACGCCAAGGAACTTGATCACAAAACTAGTCAGACACCATGCAACAATCAATCCATGACCATCAAAAAGATTAAAGAAGAAAAACTTGTTCATCACCCAGATTCTGATTTCGACTATGATGAAGAAGTAGTGAAAGATAAAGTAACTATTGAACTTGTCCATACCAAACAAGTAGAAAAAAGACAAGAAGAATCTAATGAAGAACCAAAAGAAGAGGTAGATCAGACAACACTAGAAGCCCACAAAGAAAGCCCGCAAGAACCCATTCTGGTGAATAAAAAATATATGCTGGATCAAGAATTGATTAACTTAAACAAAGTAAGATATACAACACTCACTCTGCTTGTTTAATCCATCTTCTTTAGCAACATGCCATGTCAAGAGAATCATTCTTGGCTAGGGCTTCTATAGTTGATAGATTGAACCATTTGATTAACGTTGTTTGGGGACAAAAAGGTCTCTATGTCTCTACTTTTGGGTAAGCGACATACTATAAAAAGCACAAAGCGGCTTATAAGATTAGATCTTCACTCAGTGGGTTAGGCACAGATAAAGCAGATGTCGATCTATGCATTGTAGTTCCATACTGTTCTAATCATACTGAATACGAAATGCAACTCTTGAGATTACTGCCAAATTCAGTATTTAACATGAACTCTGTAGCAACTTACTTGGCTGGAACAGGCATGGTGAATATTGAACCTATCAACAATGCCTTTGTGCCTATCTGTAAATTTACTGATCCTGTTACTGGACTACACTGCGACATAAACACAAACAGCACACTAGGCATACACAACACGAAACTGATCATGCAATACATGAAATTAGATGTTCGAATCCGACCTTTTCTGTTTGCACTGAAATATTTTGTTGAATCTCAAGACATCAATTATACAAGAGGTGGAACAATGTCTAGTTATGCCTATCACTTATTGGCATTGCACTATCTGATGAATGTACAACATCCACCTGTGATTCCCAACTTACAACACCTCACTGGTGCCACTTGTGAGAGCAAACGCTGTCTATACAAAAAGAACATAAGCTTAGTAGAAGGATGTGATGTACGCTATCATGACTGTGTGGTGATCAACAATACAGAAGCAGAAGACCTTGCCATTACATACGAATTAGATGAATACTCAACGTTATGGCCATCAAATAACACAAAAGGGGTTGGTACTTTGTTGGTTGAATTCTTTGAACATTACTCGAATCGTGACAACTTGTTCAAGACAATGTCTATATCACCACCTATTGAACACCTTCAAATGCAACAGAAATGGGAAAATAATCTGATTGTCTTGCCTGACCCATTTATCAGGTCTCGAAATGTGTGGTAAGTAATGAAAGAACTGTGTATCTATAACATCTTTCTCTAGTAAAACTGTGACTCTTGTTGGAGGCAATACTATTTGCAAAGAATTCAAACGTGCTTATGATATGTTAAAGGAAGGCAAGAGCTTCAGTCAAGTTGCCCAGTCTAAAGATACCACTTCCAGACCAGTGGATAAGCAATGCCTAGACTATAAGTTTGGCAGAAAAGACCTTCGTCATATACAACGCTATAGACCAAGTGTAATTTATTAATATTCCTTAAAAGATGGATATTTAAGGAGCATTTGAACATAGTCATTAGGATCGTCTGGTAAATCGTTGTATGTAGCCTAATAAACATGAGTTTGTCTATCGTCATAAAAATATACTGTACTGCTTCGTTTTGCGTTCTTTTATGTTCTTCTTGTACTTGTTTTAATCGTTTCTCTAAATCCTCCAGCCTTTTTGCTGCTTTTGTTCTTTCAAACTCTAAGCGAGCAGCACTTTCTGTAATGACATTATACTCTGCAAAGGTTTCTTCCTGTCATAAATAAAACATCAGCCATTCAAGATGAAACATGTTAAGCTTTGACATACTGCAGTCGTACGTTTATCAGGCCTCAATAGATACTCGCTAATAGACCCAGGAAATAGCTTCTTGCGTGTTCGCTGGTGAATTTCTTTACCTAAGGGTTGTAGATACCGTTTACCAAGTTGATTCAAATCTACATCATCACTTGTGGAACCAGCAACATGTAATAATGTTTTGCTATACACATCGCTCAGTACTTGCTTCAATTGTGTATCCACAGTCTGTGACATTGCCTGCCATTCTAATTTCTTTGGAATGTCTTTAACTGACTCTATTGATCGTGTTAGTCCATCACTGATAAGAGAGCGATGTACCTCTTCCATAACGAATAAGTGAATAGCCTTCTTCTCGCTTATCAGGTGTAAGGATGTCTTTCTTATAGCCAAGCTGATTCGGATTGTATCGTAAGCCTGTTAATGCATGAGATGGTCTTGTTGGTTTATAGGGTCTTTTGTCTTCAGAATCTTGATATTCTTCGCCAGGTTCAGGACTTAGAGAGACCCGATTGCTCTCCATGGCTAATTTTTGTCGTTTGGTATACATGCTGAGAAAGATAATGCAATACGCGTTGAATTTTCTTTTTTTTTTCTGAAAAAAAAAAAGGACGTGTAGATCAGTTGGCTTATGTAATCATGCCAATACACAAAAACGAGTCTTGGCATTGGCTTGGTATTTTTTTGACGTTTTCTGTCAGATCTGATCAGTGAATTCTGCATTGTTTTTCATATTCTTTTCTTACTAAATTAATGCATGTATTTGTATCCTTCAGAACAAAGACTTCGCTTGTCTCTTTTTCCAGAATAATGCAGCTTAAACATAATGCCAATGTTCATCTTGGCGATAAAAGCTTTCTTGGGTCGGAGGAAGAGCGCCGAAAAAAAATATTATGTTTTAGGCATTGATTTCCTATTTCATACTGTGTACAGATCGACCGAGCATTTACTTTAACATCATTGCATATCATTTTTACTAAACACGGTATCCATTGCGTTATTTCTCAGCATGTAGATAAGCTGATTTCGATCCCAAGAAAGAAAAAAGAGAAAGAGAGATAGGCTAACCGCAGCAAAAAAAGGCTCTAATCGAGTTCAAAACAAACGACGTACAACACACATCGTCAAACAAACAAGACCATTCCCTCTCTCTTGTGTTGCACAAATCAATTCTTGGTATCTTGGAAGTTTGGCATTCACAACGATTAGAAATAGGCACTACTAAAGCTGCATAAAAGAAGGATCTCATTTGATATGATTCTTTTAAGCGTCATAATCAAGGAATATAGGGCTGTATGTCAGCTTGGATTTATAATTCACATTGTTTGCATGATTGGTGTTAAACATAGTTTCCTGGTCTGTACTACAACCGAATGATATAAATACGTTGTTGTTTTTTTTTTTCTCTATCTCTATCTCTCATTTTTATTTTATATACACACATATATACTGGGAATGAAAGACTCGATACACTCTTCCCAATCTTCGTCATCGACTACTACATCAATTGACAAAGATGTAAAGAAGAATGACATAATAAACAAAAACAACCTGTTAAGCAAAGAATTAGAAGACATTCCGACTCAACAAATTGAGTCTATAGAAACAACAAAAAAGAAAAAGAAAGAAAAAGGAGAATCAGTACCTATTTACAAACTTTTTCGATTTGCTACTCCTTTGGAATTACTCGGTGTCATTATTGCCGCTGTTCTCTCTGCAGCAAGTGGTTCTCTTCAACCTGCAAGTATTATTATTCTTGGTAAATTCATGGGCACTATTTCGTACGCAATGGCATCTGGAAACATCAGCACGCTTGCGAATGATGCTCATCCGTTAGTGCTTGCCTTTGTCTATATGGGCACAGGTGTTCTTGTGGGTTCTTATTTCTCTCAATGTCTGTGGATCTTGACAGGCGAATACCAGGTGCGTCGTATTCGCAATCTCTATGTGCACTCAATTCTTCGTCAAGAAATGGGTTGGTTTGACAAGGCAGAGGAAGGCTCATTAACTACCCGGTTAGTGACTGACACACAATTGATTCAAGATGGTATCTCAGAAAAACTCGGTAATTTTGTATTGTGTGTTGGCCAATTTGTTGCAGGTGTTGTGATTGCCTTTGCGACTGGATGGAGACTTGCTGGTAAAATAAACCCCCATCTTCATGCAATTTATTTATTCATTTATTCTAGTTGTTATGCTGGCTGCTATGCCTGTCTTGGGTGCTGCTAGTGTGGCCATGGGTCATTTCATTACAAAATACACACTGAAAGCACAAAACTCATATGCCGATGCCGGTTCAGTAGCTGAACAAGTTTTTTCTGGTATCCGCACTGTCTATTCTTTTTCTCTTCAGAACCGATTTGCTATCTTGTATGAAACCCAGTTAATAAAGGCCATGCATACAGGTGTCAAAAAGGGTCTCGTCACTGGATTGTGCTTTGGCGTGTTTATGTTTACGCTATTGTCCACCTATGGTCTTTCGTTTTGGTATGGTGCCAAATTAACACGTGATAAATCGATGGCAGGTCAGGATGTGGTGGTTGCTTTCTTCTCTATGATCATGGGCGCCATGGCTTTTTTGGAACTACCTCATAATCTTGCTGCTGTCTCTGCTGCCTGTGGTGCTGCCTTTAAAATCTATGCTGTGATTGACCGTGTACCTACGATCGACGTCGATAGAAAAGATGGCCTTATGTCTGACAAAATCCTGGGAGAAATCGAGTTTAAGGACGTCAAGTTTAACTATCCCACTCGACCAGATATCACCATCTTAAAGAACCTCAATTTAAAAATCAAGCCTGGCATGACCATCGCTTTTGTGGGTCCATCTGGCTCTGGAAAATCAACCAGTGTCCAACTGTTGCAACGCTTTTATGATCCTTTAGAAGGTTCCGTCCTTCTTGACGGTAAAGACCTCAAGGAATACAATGTCGCTTGGTTAAGAAGCAAGATCGGTGTTGTTTCTCAAGAGCCTGTCTTATTCAATATGACAATCAAACAAAACTTGTTGATGGGTGTCACTGAACAAGTCTCGAATGAAGATATTGTGGCTGCCTGTAAAAAAGCCAATTGTCATTCTTTTATCTCTCAATTACCCAATGGTTATGAAAGTCTTGTCGGCGAACATGGTGGGATGCTCTCGGGTGGCCAAAAACAACGTATTGCTATTGCCCGTGCTATTCTGAAGAACCCTACAATTCTTTTATTGGATGAAGTAAGTCATAACATAAAAAGAAAAGAACAAGATTTAATATGTAACTTTAGGCCACTTCTGCTTTAGATACTCAGTCAGAACGTTTAGTACAAGCTGCTTTGGATGCTGCTGCTGCTGATCGTACTACCATTGTCATTGCTCACCGCCTTTCTACCATTCGAAATGCAGATCTTATTGTTGTCATGCAAGCTGGTGATCTTGTGGAACAAGGTACCCATACGGATCTTCTCAAGCTTGATGGTATCTATGCTGACTTAGTCAGAAAGCAAGAAATTGCCACCAAACAAGCCGACCATGAAGTAGAACAACTTGATTCTGAAGAACTTTTAAAGTGTGAACAACAAGCATTGATGACTGAAAAACAGCATAAGGAAGATGAATCTGTAAATGAGAAAGAAATGACGATCAACTTGTTTAAATCGACCAGTCGTGCTTCAATCGATGCGCATGCATTGAAACTTCACAAAGAAAAGCAAGACCGCAAGAACATAAAAGACAAGCGCGTGCCCCTTGGCAAAGTTTTGAAGCATATGCGTCCTGAATGGCCCTATATTTTTCTTGGTGTGGTAGGTGCCGCTGTAGCAGGTACTGCTTTCCCTTTGTTTGGTTTTATCTTTGGTCGTGTGGTTAACTTACTTGTGATTCCTAGTCCTGATGCACCTGGACCTATGGACGGTACCAATCTCTATTCATTCTTGTTCTTTGTGATTGGTATTGCTACATTTTTTGGATTCGCTACTCAAGTAGCCGCCTTTGAAATTGCTGGTGAGCGATATACAAGACGCCTTCGTGCAAGTATCTTTCGTGCTATGATGAAACAAGAAATTGGCTTTTTTGATGAAAAAGACAATTCTCTCGGTGCACTGACGGCCAAACTCGCCATTGACTCTAAAAACGTAAATGAATTAGTGACCAAGACATGGGGAGACATCACTCAGATCATTGTTACTGCTGTCACAGGTCTGACCATTGCCTTTTATCATACTTGGCTGCTGACCTTGATCATTCTTTCTGTGACACCCTTTGTTGCTGGCGCTGGTTATTATCAGTCCAAGATTGATGAAGGTTTTGTAGACAAGAGCAAAAAAGCCAATGAACAAAGTGGAGAAGTCGCTGCTGAAGCCATCAAAGAAATTCGTACTGTTGCTGGTCTCAACAAACAAGACTATTTCGAAAACAAATACTACCATGCTACTGAACATCCTCATCGCCTTGCTCAACGAAAGGCTTATTTGTCATCCATTGGTTTTGCGCTTAACAAGGGCATTGTTCGTTTTGCTAATGCCATTGGTTTTTATGCTGGTGTTCAATTGATTTTGTATCATGGTCTTTCATTTGAACGCATGTATGTATGTATGATGGCCATCTTGATCACGGCAGAAGGAGTGGGTCGATCAAGTACGTTTGTGTCTACGTTTGCAAAAGCCAAGTATTCCGCCATTGCTGCTTTTGAGATGCTTGAACGTCAACCCTCGATTGATCCTGAACTTGAAGGCATTGAGCCCAATCGTTCTCAAATTCGAGGTGATATTGATTTCAATGACATTACATTTCGTTACCCTGCTCGTCCTGATATGGCCGTCTTTGATGGTGCATTTAATTTGCATGGTAAAGCAGGCCAAAATATTGCTCTTGTGGGTCCTTCAGGTTGTGGCAAGTCAACAACGATTGGTATGTTACAACGCTGGTATGATTGCGCTTCTGGCAGCGTCTGCTTTGATGATACCAATGTCAAGAACTATACCTTGGGCAATTTACGATCGCACCAAGCCCTTGTTTCTCAAGAACCTGTGTTGTTTGATCTCACGATTGCTGAAAACATTCGGTTTGGTGTAGATGAAGACAAGGACATCAGTCAACAAGATATCGAAGATGCTTGTAAGGCTGCAAATATCCATTTGTTTATCTCTGGTCTTCCCGATGGATACAATACGCGTGTAGGTGATAAAGGCTCTCAATTATCAGGTGGTCAAAAGCAACGTATTGCCATTGCTCGTGCCTTGATCCGTAAACCTAAGCTCTTGTTGTTGGATGAAGCTACTTCTGCTCTTGATAGTGAAAGTGAAAAATTAGTGCAAGCTGCGATTGACAATGTGCTTGAGGAAGGTGGTCGTACAACCATTACTATTGCTCATCGTCTGTCTACTATTCAAAATGCTGACTTGATTTGTGTTGTAAAAGATGGCCGTGTGATAGAACAAGGCACACATTGGGAACTTTTGAGACTGAATAACGTATACAGTGAATTGGTTCATCAACAATCACTTAATGTACACTAAGTATAAATACCTCTTAACAATAGTAATTATAATAAAAAAAAAGGGATTTCTCTTTATTCAAATTTAATAATGATATTATTTAAACAGAAGCTTGAGGAGTGGGTTCGACGAAATCCTTGGAAGCCTTGGCACCAGTGTCATCACCAGCAGCAGCAGCACCACCGTGAAGAGCCAAGAGAGCAGAGACATCGAACTTGGGAGCCTTGAGGATCTTGACCTTACGAGTGTAAGTGTTTTGGAGAGGGTAGATACCTTGGCAGGCCTTTTCAATGCGGACAGCAATGGCATCTTGAGCGGATTGAGAAGCAGAGGAGGTAACCTTAGCAACCAATTCCTTCAAGTCACAAGCAGAGGCTTCTTCAGTCATGATCTCGAACATCTTCTTACGGATTTGACGGATTTGAGCAGAAGTAGCATAGGTGGTCTTCTTGATTTGGTTACGGCGACGAGCAGTGAAGGAGATGGCAAAGAGACGGACGAGGTAACCGTCAGTGGTCTTGACATCAACGAAAGCTTCAACCAAAGATTGCCATTTCTTGACCATAGAACGGAGCTTGTCGGTGGTCATGTCCATACGGTAGAAGTTGGTAAGACAGTTCTTACCTTGGATTTCGTCAACCTTCAATTGGATCTTACGGAAGGAGCGAGATTCGTCCTTGGAGAGATCACCAAGAGACATTTCGACGACACGACCTTGGAGGGAGTCGTTGGCGTTACGGAGACCTTGAGTACGGTTGACAAGTGTCTTACCGACTTGACGAACATCGAACATGGAAGGAGCCTTGATATCATACCAGTCCTTACGGGTGAAGGGGTCAACGCTAAATACAGAAAAAAAAAGTTTAGTCTCAACGTAATCTGGACATGTTTTTCAAGCAGCAATAGCATTCTACATGCATACAAATGGTGTTTTTCTTTTCCTATTCTTTATGAATCGAAAGTCATGTCGAGTTGATCTTTTATTCTTGGTGTTTCTCTTTTAACAAGAACTCTGTTCATGCTTCCCTTTTTCCATTATCGCTATGAATGCTTTTGCTGCCTGAATGAATGTATCACTTACACCTTCTTCTTCAAACCCTTCTTTCCTTTACTAAGGCGCTTGTTCTTGCCAACAGCTAATGAGGCATCAAGTTAGTATGGTCATATTGATCTCTATACACAGATAGAAGATGGATGGATGGTTGATACATACCCATATTGTCGATTAAAAAGAAGGATTGATAGGTTCTGTGGTCTGTCAGTCTATTTGCCATCGTCCCCCCCCCTCCTCTAGGCCCAGTGCGAACGCTGTTTGAAAAAATAAGCCAAATAAGCGTTTGTTTTAAATCCCGTCAAAAAGTACTTACAGTTGAAGAAGCTCTTTCTCATTTAATACAGCATTCGCACGTCTAATATTCAAATGTCTGTTAATTTAACATATCAAATTAAAAGAAAAAGAAAAATACTAAAAATGCTTATGAATGTTCTGTACCGCGAGTATGAGTATCGATCACTGCTTGGCATATGCTAGACACCAAATATTCAATAAGGTCAACTTTGACCTTCTTCCACAAGCACTGCATTCAATTCAACAGTTTATCTGATTCCAGTCTTTGTGGTTTTTATTCTCTGCTGTTTTTCATTACCTAATGCAGATAACAATATTTTATTTCTTCAAATATCATGATACTTTAGATGAATAAAAGTCGTCTGTACTAGAATAGACATTTCTAATACTTGTAGAGATACACCATGAGTAAACAAGCATTCACATAGCATGGTTTATATACAATACATGCTTATGCAAAAGAATGGATCAAGGTTTATTTTCTTGTTTCTGATTAATTGCATGATATTCATTTGAACATGTGTGAGTGCGCAATTAACATCATAAAGAAAATGGTCCGGCTCGCACTTAGCCAACATGCATGGTGGTACAGCATTACAGTCAATAAGAAATGCATGCAAAGCTTCTCAATCAAGAAAGCGAAACAACATGAGTTTTCGTTGTGAAGACAGCATGATTTTGCAATATTCCTGAATATTCTGTTACTTCTTGGCGATAAGCTTAATACGATTCAAGGTTCGGAATAGACAAAAAAAAAAAAAAAAGATCGGGATTTTCTTTTTGTAGCGATTGTAGCTGAATTTTTTTTTTTTTAAGCTGGGATTATTACCGAGAAAATAAGCCGCAGTCAGAACAGATCCCCTTCTCTTTGTATTATCATCCACTATGGTAAACCATCCATCCATCCATCAACAAACAGCTCATCAACATCGATATTCTTTAGGGTAAAGTTCACGGTTCTTTGGCTCGTGCCGGTAAGGTCAAGTCTCAAACTCCTAAGGTCGCCAAGCAAGAAAAGAAGAAGGCCAAGACTGGTCGTGCAAAGAAGAGACAAGTCTACAAGTAAGTCCTATAGCATTTTTTGTATATCGAACTCAACATTATATCTCTTTGTAGCCGTCGTTTTGTCAATGTCACCGCTCAAATTGGTGGTAAGCGTAGAATGAACCCTGCTCCTACTGCTGGTCCTTAAATTGTATCATAATAAACACACACACACATATCTCTTACAAAATCTCGATTTATTTTTCTTGTTTATAAGCATAAATGCAGTCCGAATTATTCCTATAGACAGTTTATATGCCAACTGAAACCAACGTAAAGGTATACACGTGATGTAAAAGACGATATATAAATATAGAAGTTCATGCTTGCAATGTCTTACCGGCTATGATGACCGTGTGCGGAAATAGCTTTTTGTTGAGCCACAGAAAGAAATAGAGTGTGTGGTTACTTTTAAGGCAGTCAACATCAATTTATTAAAGGTGATACTATTTCTTTTTTTGAACCAATACCTTACTTTTATTAGACAATCTAGATAATTACCATTTTGTTTCGCCAATTCTTTCATCCGTCAATTAAGAAATTTATATCTTGATCTTTGTTGAATTAGACAGGCAGAGCATATCAACAATAGATCCATATCAACATCATTATCATTATTATCATCTTGAGAGACACAAAAGAAGAAATAGAACAGAACAACATCAATGACAGTCATGTTCATTGACCCTTTTGTTAAGTTAAAATTAACCCGTGAAACATTGCTATTTCGCTTCAAAGCGAAAAATAAATAAATAAAAAATGGATGATCAACCCACTGCACTAAAATAAAATAAAAATAAAAATAAGAAAGCATTGTTTTATATCTAAAACAAACAGAAACATGCTATTTACTCTCTTCTAATTCACCTTTATTCTCTTTTATTGAAAATAGATCCAAAACTTGACTTGTACTAAACCTGATTGTTTCTCAGCCTTGTACCTGAAACATGCGCCTATTTTTGATAGGATAATAGAAAGACTAAATTCGATTGCATTGGTTACCAACTATAATTGCAGCAAGACATTAGTAAAAAAAAAAAAAAAAAAAAAAAAAAAATTACTATTGTATAGAGTATAAATTCTTTTCTTTTCTTTTTTTGTTCCTTTTTATTTTCTCTTTTTTCTCTATACAAGAGTATGCTTCTCAATCCTATTCTTCAACAAATCTTTTTTCATCTTTCTTTACCTGATCGACTAAGAGCTTCAAGGTAAATAAAGTTAAAACAATCAATTCAACTCATAATTCATGTTTAATAGAGTATGCCGTAAATGGTATATGAGTTGCAATGATCCTTACTTATACCAACACATTGTATTGGAAGATCTTGAATTCAATGTTCTTTTACAGGCCATGGAATATATCACCATGATCCGCCCTCGCATTAAGTCAATTACTATCAAGGGCTGTTATTCAGAATTCATTCAGAACACGATTGTGCCTGTCCAATTCATTCAGCAACATGCTAAACAACCCCTTTTGTTTTCCCCTATTCGAGTCTTGCAGCCCGCTCGTCGCCGTCAAGAATACCAAAGCCGTGGGTTTGAATTACATAATCATTTCTCAGACCTCTTTTCCCAATTTCTTGAACTTGGCCAGTCCACTTTGCACTCAATTAAAATTGTGGATTGTGACCTTGATTTTGAAATGACTGAACTCTTTTGTTCTATTGCTTGTCATGCTCAAACACTCGAAACATTTTGCTACATGAACAACAACGACAAAGGTCTGGCCTCTTCTGGACTTTTACAAGCCATTGTCTCAGGTAGTCCTTGTATGCGCCATTTCCAAGGAACTCATGCAGGAATGAATGACACTGTTCTCATGACGATGGCTAGGCATTGGCCCTTACTTGAATCTATCACGCTCTCTAGTCCCAAGTCCAAAGATTGGGTAAGCGACAATGAACTTGATTTAGTCCATGACACTTCTCCGACACTCGCTATTTCAAATCGCGCTTTTTGGGAACTACTCTGTAAATGCAGCCATTTAAGAATATTGGAGTTGCACGATTTAGCCTGTATGACCAATCACGATCTAGCCCTGTATCTTTCTTATCGAGATGCTTTACGTGATCAAAAAAGGACAAGGTATAGTTCTTACGATACCCCACTCATGAAACGGCACTATTATAAGCCATCCCACACTCCAGCCAATACAAGTTTGCCTGGTGCATCCTTAAAAGAACTACGCATCTATAAATACATCACTACGCCACTCTCTATGCCTGGTTTCTATGATACTCTGCGCCTATTCCCAAATTTAGAATACTTTGAATATGCCACTAATTTTCATACATTCAACAATCAATTTCAAGGGGTAACACCCGATATGTTTGAAGCTGAACAAGAGGCTGTTGCTAGATTTATGGCGACACAAAATTCGCTAAACTATGTTGATCAATGGAACCAACCAATCACTAGAGAACAACGCTTAATTGCCGGCATGACAGTGCGCTCTGACCAACATTAAGCAAAATTTTATAGATAGATAGATAGATAGATAGATTATGTATGATACCTTTTTTACTTTTATTATTATTATTGTTGTTGTTGTTGTTGGAAACTATGTAGAATAAACTTTTTTCATGCTTTAGAAAGTAGACGAGTCATTTGAGTACTCATATGATCTCCCTCCTTTTTTTTTACCGCCTTCTTTTCTTTTTTTCTACATGAGAAAAACCACCATGAAACACGTCCCTGCATGACTGGAAACAACATGGAATTGTAGATCGTTTATCACAATAAACAACATTCATGGTTACTTTGTCGTCCAAAAAAGACTTTGAAACTCAAAAGGAGAAGGGAATTTGTACAACTTACGCTGTGTTGTCATCATCGCTGGCAAAAATAGAATGAAATCATCCTATATAACTTTCTGTCAACAAGGTCAATTCACATGTTGTACAGTCATAATTTAATAATCAAGAACGAATCAACGTACCAGAATTTTATTTTCCCTCCCTTTTTTGCTTGTATAAATAAACTGAAATATTTTTCCTTTTTCTTTTTTTTCTTTTTTCTTCTTTTTCTTTGTTTTTGACCCTTTCTTCACTTTTATCAACATAGAAAGAAAAAGCGCATTATATATCAACTTTACGACCTATTACAACCAAGAACTTTAGTTCTCTAAAAAAGAAAAACACTTTTTTTTCACCCAAAAAAAAAAAACTTTACCCATTCCATTCACTAAACCCTCCCCCCCCCTTTATAAGATGACCGACTGTTACAATCCAGACCCTATTATGCTTCGCAATCCTTCCTTATTAGAAGATAATAAGGTAATGATCATTCTTGGAACAATGAAAAAACGTGGTTGGGTTGGGACACAGATTTCGTGTACTGTAGTACAATATATCTGTTATTGAATGGGGTTAATTGACTCGTGCAGTTAGAATATAAAACTAATATAAAGCTATTAATTATAGGAGCAATCAGAAATCATTGAAATCACTCAACATCTCGCACCCGAACTATACCAATATGAATTCCCACCTAAATCTCGCTTATTGGCCCTTGAAGCTGATGAAAGCCATGAGAATGAAGACTATTCTTACTTTGACGAATGTTCTTTTACTACCACCTCAACTTCGACCGCAGCTTATTCTAATATTCTTTATGAAGAAGATGAGGAAGAAGACGATTATTACCAACATAAAATACCTGATATTGATTCCTTATTACTCAATGATTCAGAACAATTCTTAAACCGCTATTTTGATTCTTTTGATCAACCTAATGATAATGAAAATAATGACAATATGATGGAGGAAATGTCATTTGTTGCTGACAATCAATTATCGCCTCTTCAATTACCTATCCAAGCTAATTATGACCATCGCAGCAACCGTGAAGAATCTTATGATTCAACTGGTACTGTTGTGATTCGCAAACCATCTTACCAACCTGCTCGTCCTTCTTCTTTCTTGACCCCTTCAGCCAGACACAGTTTACAATACTTGGAACGTGTGGCTGAACAAGACAGAATCAATTGGGACAATACTTCATTTGTCTTTCCAGATTATTCATATCCTCAAAAAGGTATAAAATCTATAAAAAAAAAAAAAAAAAAAAAAAGCAATGATACTAAAAATAACCAATCATAGGCTACCGAAGTGTCCACCCATATCAATGCAGCCGAGTAAGTTCAGAAGCCGACATCTTTCAACGTATTGAAGAAGAAGATGATGACCAAAGCCACTTTTCAACCAGCTCTAAAGTGGTGGTCATCAAGATTAGCAAGAACATGCCACCTCAATTCATTCATCCTTCTTCCAATGGCAGCTGTATCAGCACGGATGAAGGTTACGATGATGAAGACGACGATAACAACAGTTATTCCAAGGAATTGCCTATTGAGTCCGCTTCTGTCTTTTTGCCCTTGTCCGACCAAGAACAGGAACACATGATGGATTTAGACCACCGCCGTTATTTGGCTGCCGTCAAAATCCAATCTGTCTGGAGAGGCTACATGGGCCGTAAACAAATGAAATCAAGCTCTTTGAAACTGTCACATCGTGTGCTGGCTGGTCTTGCACAAATCAACGATAGTATTCATCGCCGCAACTGTAACCAACTTCAAGAACGCATTCAAGTCCTTGAAAGACGTCTGAACGAAGAAACAGCCATGCGTATGGCTTTTGAAAAAGCAATGGAAGACATGACTATTCTGATGGATCATCAACAACACGTCTTGCATGAGCGTGTTGAGCAAGAAGTCAGTATGAGACAAACCTACGAACGCAAAATGGAACAGGTTTTAGCTCAAGTTCAACCCCTCGAGTCTCGACTTCGACATGAAGCTAAAGCCAGAGCTGATCTAGAATCCATGATGTCCCGCGTACTTGATCAATTGCATGATATGAAATCCCAAGCAAGAGAAGAAGTTGAACACCGTAAAGCATTGGAACACAAGTTAGATTCTGCTGTTGAAGAGATTCAAACTTTAAAGACAAAGAAGCCAACATCTGCTGTCAATACAACCCAGCCTTCTCGTGCTGTCTCTAGACTCTCAACTGCTAGTAAGAGTACTAAGACACAACCCAATACCTCCTCTAGACCTTCCACAACTCCATTATCTCGCCCTGTTTCTCGTCCTGTTTCTCGCCTTTCTCATGTCAACAAATCATCTGCTACCACGACCACTGCTGCTACTCGAAAGACACTTACGCCTTCTCGGTTATCCACCCGTCCAACTGAATCAGCTAAACCAGCAATGAGAAAGACTATCGTGAATAGAAAATTATAATTGCCATTTATTACTTATTAAACATTCTGATGGTCGTTTATTATGGATAAAATACCATTTTATACATCACAACAATCATCATCCTCATCTTGCTTAGACGTGTAGAATACAACACACACACACACACACACACACACACACACACACAACACATTCATATATATACTCATCTCTTTTTTATTACCTGCATCCCCCTCTTCTCCTCTTTTCTTTTTCTTAATTTTAATACCTACTCTTAATAATTCAACTACCCCCCTTTCCCCACCCCCCCCTGTCCCCCTCCTCTTTCTCATAACACATTTTAGAAAGTACATATAAAAATAAATACTTTTTTTTCTGACTTGATAATATTACACAAAGTGCTGATTGGTTCTACGATCTTTCTTTTGTTAATTCACTGACAACTACAGTTGCTTTAAAACTAATTAGCATCTTCATCGTGTTACTCTAATAAAAAAAACGTACCAACCACAATCAATAAAACCATGATAAACACAATTACAGTTCGAAATCTCCATAAATGAGGATTATAATGATGTTCTTCTGGTTCTTCTAGATAGTCTTGTTCTTTATAGGTTGTTTTCAATATATCGTCCATCATTTGAAAAATCAAACGGTCTGTTTCAACCACCGATTGCTTCGGTTCGCGACTACCATAATAGGGTACAAAAGAAGACGAATTTGATTTACTGTCACTTTTTTGTTGAGACATCTAATAATAGATGTTAGTTACAAATTGTGTCATCAAAAGTTCTTGTTTAGAATATTCTGTTACCCTCCTTTATTTTTATTTTTAAAAAAAAAAAGACAGAAGAAAAGAAAAGAAAAGAAAAAAGATACTAGAATACATTTTGTAGATTGCTTTACAAGTTCATTTCAAAATCAAACCATCATTCCTTTCTCTCCTCTCTGGAGATGCTTCAGTACTACAATACATCTCATTGGTGTAGCATTATAAAAGGCACTTTTTTTTTTTCTGCCACGTTGTCATTTTACTCCGAAATTTTATTAATTACTCAAGATTTTTTCTCCCGCCATTTTGACATTGTCATTTGACAAGTGCATAATTGTTTATCATAAAAGAAAGAATGACACAAGAAGAGTAGAACTTTAACTCTAAGAAAAAAAAGAATAACAACAAACATGAATAGAGGAGAAAGGGGTTGCATCTGATAAAGAAAACGGTGTAGTGCAAGGCAAGTCGGAATGTGTTGTCTCAGTCATTTATCTTTATTTATTTACAATAAAAAGAAAATTGTGTGTGTGTGTGTGTATATACTATGAAAAGAAAGTGATCGATTGTACGTTAAACACATATCATCATTATTTGTGATACAATATTATGTTTGCTCGGAACTAAGGATGTTACATGCAAAAGAGAAACAAGGTTACCCTGTATACAATTTGATACTACAATATGTCATCACTGGTACAAAAGAGAGTATTTGAAATGTTACCTTCTTATTCAATCATGTTTGTTTGGACAAATTATGTCCGAGAAAATAAAAATAAAATAAAAATAAAATAAAAAACCAAATGGAGCTTATCATTCAAGCTATCTTATAGTTTTTTTTTCTTTTCTTTTTTTTTTTTTTTTTTTTTTTTGAAAGAAAGCAATGAAATCATTCTTCTTGTGCAATAAAAGGGTATTTCTTTGTAACAATGTCAATGCGCATTCAGACAATAAAGATTAAAAGTCAACCAATGTATAAGATGCCAAGACGCTTTAATACGTTGATCGACAGTCTCATGATAAAATATATAATTTAAATAAATTGTTTGATAATGAATGTATGCGTATAAAATATGTGGTTATAAATGAATATGCATGCAAATAATTCTTATCATGCAGCAGTGATCCTTGATTGATTGTTCGTATTTAATTTAAGAAAACGATGCATTGAGCGTATGCACATATCTTTTTTTTCTTTCTTTCTTTTGATTAACATGACTGTATTAAAGTGGGGCTGGGTATTGCATCAAAAGACAGGCTTCAGATTTAGTCCTTCTGTTTGGAAAAAGAGATATTTAGTATTAACAACAACTTCCATTCATGTGCATAAATCAGAGGTATATGCAAACGCAAAAGAAGGGATATGATTTACATCGTCATTTGTAGAAGGGTGTGATATCCTCTTTGTTTGATGAAAATGCAAGCAAAATTTATGTCTGGTCGAATTATCAAGCAGCCAAAAGTCAAAGCACACATGTGTTTATGATTGAACCAAGGAATTCGAAACTACGTACGCTCAAGTTTAAAAGCAGCGATCAACAAGAGAGAGAGAAATGGCTGGATGTCATGAACGAGCAATTGAATTTAACAATGAAAATATGGTCCTCACCACAAATAGCTCTTGAAGCGCATTTGTCAGAGCCAGAACCAACCTCTTCTCTTCCTACAGGATCTGTACTCGATAAATGGTTGGTTGGTTTAGGATTTGAAAAGACAAGCCATTCATTGACCAAAGAGCATCATGATTTTCGGGATAAGGGAAGTATGCTTCATATCCTATCTCGCATATAAAAAAACAGACAATAAATTGCTGCTCATTGTGTAAATTGTATGATTAGAACAAGTTTGATATATTAGTATGTAAATCTGCCTTTAAAATTCGCATTTTATAGTCTTTTGTCAGTACCTCGAAATTCGTCGATTTTTTAAGGTACATCACTTGCTTAAATAATTGCAGCCCCGACTTTTTGGCTTTGTTTGGACTTTGTGGATCAAGAAATAGAGTAACATGCATGATAAAGTGTTGATGAGAGCAGCTGAGCTTTGAAGTCTCTAAAAATGGTTTAAGATTACAAGACAAACGCCGGAAACGTATTATTTTGGTCAAAAAAAGTAAAAACAACATATTGCACCTTTGATCTTTTATTTTCTTATAAAGCCTCAATAAATTCTACATCATTAGATCCGTAAATCAAAAATATACAATGCTTGCTAATATAGCAAAGTAGGAAAAAGCTCTTTCTCTGCCACTTTTGATGGAAATTAGATGTCTTTGATTCATTTTACATTAATTTTCGTTTGAGAAATAGCGGTGTTTAAATAATGACTTTCTTTTTCTGAAAAAGCCTCCCCCTACAAGGCTCCTAGCCATTTTTTTTCCCTCTTCAGACAGCATGTTTTCAACCTTTAAAAAGAGTGCTTTAAGCACCATCCACAACACCTCCAACGTTATCTCCAATGTCTTCCTCCAACACAATAAACCTGCTGTCATCACACAATCCGTTCGTTTTGCTTCCAACTTTTCACCCAAGCGAACAAAATACAGAAAAGCACACAAGGGCAAGATTCCTATTCCCATCGGTGGATCTACCAAAGGCACAACTGTCGAATTTGGCGACTATGGATTGCGAGTCAAAGAGGGTGTTCGTTTAACAGCTCGTCAATTGACAGCTGTTCACAATGCACTTAGACGTAAGATCAAGCCTGTCAAGGGCTCTCAATTATGGATGCGTGTATTCCCTGATATCCCTGTTTCCAGCAAAGGTAATGAGGTTCGTATGGGTAAAGGTAAAGGTACTTTTGAATACTGGGCATGTCGTGTGCCCTTAAACCGTATCATCTTTGAAATTGCTGGTATGAGAAAAGAAATCGCTAAAGAAGCTTTCCGATTGGCATCTCATAAATTGCCTGTCAAGGTGGAAATGGTTGAACGTGGTGCTAAACCCATTGTTGGTGCTGGCTATGTGTCTCCTGTCAAAGAAGTCAAGACTGCTCAAGAAACATCATCTTCTGCTTAAACATCCTCTCTTTCTTTCTTTTGTGTAATATATATTTTTAAAACAGATTATTTTGTTTTTTTTATTATTTTCTTTTTTTATATTTACAGAAAAAAAAAGTATCATCTATTGTTCAGTAGGAGTACCTGGGTTGCTTGAGTTCCAGACTTGAGGTTTTAAATTAAGAGGTGAATCAGTAGGAGAAGATCCAGGTGTACCATAAGCAGCTGTATTAGGTGTACTGGCACCACTGTTAGTAGTGTTGGTAGGACGATGGGTTAAATGACCGTTGATGTAAGTATGAGGTGAATCAGTACCAAAATTGGGTCCGGGCATAGTGACTGCAGGAGTGCCATTGTCATGAGAAGTTTCTCGAGAATGAGGACGACTGGGAGGAGGTGTGTTTTGGTGTGATTCTTCCAACTTTTCAGTGTGATTCGTGTTGGCCGTGTTGGATCCTTGCTTGTTTTCGTTACCATCCAAAACAGCACTGCAGAGTTGAGAAAGAATGTTCAATTTAGATCCTTCATCATCATCGTCTTCTTCTGTTTTGCCTTCAGTAGTAGTGGTGACGGCACCAGGAGCAGGATTAGTAGAAGGTGTAGTGGCATGAGAAGAATCTGCAGTCGTGTTGGTTTCGGTACCTTGTTGTTGAATAGATTCTTGAGGTCTATAAGTATCATTGATACCTTGTTGTTGTTGTTGTTGTTGTTGTTGTTGTTGTTGTTGTTGTTGTTGTTGTTGTTGTTGTTGTTGTTGTTGTTGTTGTTGTTGTTGTTGATGTTGTTGTTGTTGCTGTTGTTGTTGTTGAGGAGAAATGATGTTCATAGCAGCTTGATAAGTCAAAACTGGAGGATTAGAAGGATAAACATGTGAGAGTGAAGTAGGCACCATATAAGCCTGAGGCATCATTTGATTGCTGTTCACATAGCCATAAGCACCGTAATGTTCTTGAGCGAAAGGTTGATAATGCATAGGCATTGCGTTGTTGGAACGAACAGCAGTACTGTTTTGAACATACATGTTAGGATTAGGCATAGGAGAAGCCATGTTTGGAGTAGAAGCACCAGAAGAAGGAGCACTTTCAACACCTATAAAGACCACTATTAGTATATATATATACACACACACACACACACACACACACACACACACACACACACACAATTGAATATCACTTACCATTCTTGTTTCTCTTCTTGTAAGGACCACGCTTAATACCCTTCTTACGCTCCTTGCGAACTGAATTAACACATGTTTCTGTTAAGCCATACTTGATACATCTTTGACAAGGCCTTCCAACGTCACACTTTTTACAAGCCTTTTGACAGTTGACTTCAAAGAAGAAGAAAAAAGATGAAAATAAGTCATCGTGTACAAAGACTTTGTTCCACTTACCACAAGCATTCTTGACTTGCTTTCTCTTGGGCTTACCATGAGCACCAAGGTCACCAGCTTGAGAAGGACTATCAGCAGTCTTTGGACTCAAGACGGGTAAGGCAGGCATAGGACTGTAGATGGCAATACTTTGACCGTTCATGGCTAATGGCGTTTGTTCTTGAGGTGGACCATTAGGTGCTTGTGCTTGTTGTGCTTGCTGAGTAGCGTCATAACCAGGAAAATAGGGTGTAAATTGTTGCATAGCTTCTACTCTGATAAGTATAAAGTACAGACATACTTGTATACACTTACATAATACCTTAGGAAGAATAACTTATGTCAAAAAGAAGGAAAGAATATAGGATTACTGTAATAAGGTTTTCTTTTGTGTACAAGTAAAGAATAGCAAGTCTTTTTTGTGTTTACGCTTTTGCGAGTAAAGTAACGGAGTATCTCTTTAATAAAAAGAGTTATCGGAGCACCAAAGGAAACTTTGTTTAATAGCAGCAGAAAAACAACTCGTATTTGTCTTTTATACAGAAAAAAAAATTTTCTCTCAAAGCCATCAGATGAGCAAGTGTTGTGACTGTTTGTCCTGTGATGTGATTGGTGTAAAATGAGAGACAAACTTGGCCAATGCCTTGCAACTCGCAGCAGTGGAAGGAAGATAATGCCTAAGGGATATGTTCATGATACTGTCTTTTTTTTTGTACTATCAACATTACCCTCCTGAATGACGGAAAACAGTAGGTTTGACAAAGGCTTCTGATAGTGAATTCATGGCTTCTGGCAAGACAAGTGTATCCAATTCACCAATGTAATGCAAACTGGGCGTTTTAACCTTATTCTGTTTGGTTAACATGATGTTAGTTGCCTCTTGCATAGTTGGCTTGAATCCTGCAACGATAATTGAGAATTGAAAAGGTGCATGATTAAAAGAAGGGGGAATCAAGTCTGGGAAATAGTTTCTGTCTTGTAACATATGAGTTAAAAGAGCAGCAAAGCAACCACCTATTATTATTATTATTATACCCCTAGATCATCTTGTTTACCTTGTGAGAAGCCTAGAATACCATCAAAGGGACCCTTAAATTGAATAAGAACAAGTATGACCATGATGTATCTTACCTCTTTTATCAATACTTGTTTGATGTACTCAACAGACTCTTTGAATCCAATAAAGAAATTGTCTTTTGTTGGCTTGTATTTAGGTGAATACCACCATCCATATGGCTTGTGTTCTTTTATATATATATATATATATCAAAGATATAGTCTACCATTGTCATTTACCTTCAGATATTTCTTCTTCTTCCTCTTGTTGTTGTCTTTCCGAGATGCCAAAAGTAGGTGGACTAATATGATGAGGTGCAGTAATGTAAACTAAGATCTGTCAATATCATCATGATACCATCATAACTTTACTCAAGTCAGCAATGCCTTCTAGACTTTTACGTGCAGCAGCTGTCTTTTTACGAAACATAATTCCATTTTGTGTGTATCCATGAAGGCACAATATCCTCAACTTGTTAGAAGCCATAACCAAAAGGGAAGGTGGTTCTAACATCATTAGATTTGATTCGAATCGGAAGTTGAATTCATGATATCAAAACAGATACACCGCATGATCGTTTTTGTTTCTTTTCTCTTTTATTCGTCATGAATAACTCTTTTTTACTGCTGTTATTACTGCTATTTTCAACTGTACATGCCTATAAAACGATTATTGATGTCTTATCAGAAGATGCTCGCTTTTCAACCCTTATCAGGCATTTACAATACACACGCTTAATACCAATGATCAATAATCTGGAAGAAGGCACATTCTTTGCTCCTGATAATGCTGCATTTGAGAAATACAAAGGACCTTCTATTACAAAAGATATCTTACTGTATCATTTACTTCCTTATCAATACACAACAAAGGATTTTAATGATGGCCAAGTACTCGAAACAAGTTATCTAAGACCAGGTTTATTAGGAGATAAACCAACAGGACAGAAACTTAAGATTACTGCCACTTTTGATATGTTTTACCATGTAAATGAAGCAAGAATTAAGGATAAAGATGTCTTTGTGAATAGAAACACGACTCTAAATGTGGTTGATCGTGTATTAGAACCACCCAAGATGATATGTAGGTAACAACAAACAAGTGAATGGTATTCATTCTATTCCAGCTGAATTAGTCCCAATCTATGACAGCAAACTGTACGGCCTTTGGAAAAAGACAGGTCTAGATCGACTTGTTCAAGAAAAGCGTCCTTTTACTGTATTTGTGTCTGCCAAGTATCTATTGGACAGGTTCAGTCATGTTGAACAAGACTATTTAATATCCAAGCATGGTCTTGATGATCTTCAACACGCATTAAAATACCTTGTTATTCCTCAAGCGGTATTTTTCGATAACCATCCTCAAGATGAAACAAACTGTAAGTACAGGCTGTGCTTCATATTTGTTTGTTATTTACCTAATTTTGTTAGACACATCTGAATCAGGTGAAGATGTCAAGATCTCTGTGAATAAATATAACCAAGTGAGTATAAATGGCATCAAAGTGATTGAAAAAGACATTCTAGCTGCCAATGGTATACAATAGAGAGCATTAAAATAAGCGTCTATAACTTCCTCTTTTTTTTTTTATAGGTGCCATTCACATCTTGAATGATTTGCCTTATGCAGATTCAATTGTGTTTGATACAAGAAAGTATCTGTTTGGGCTAAATGCTACCAAGTTTGTCTCTTTAATTGATGCTTATGGACTAGGAAGGTTCTTAAACAAAGGAACAAACAATGTCACTATTTTAGCACCCACAAATGAAGTGATTGATGAAGACAGTATTCCTAACAATCAAAAAGTGCAATGGCTAAGTTATCATCTTGTACAAGGTGCTTATAATCCCTCTGATCTTTCAGATGGACAGCTTCTCAAGACAGAATATAATGCCACACAACTCTATAATGACTCACAAAGACTGTCTGTCAGTATTGGAAAATCAAAAGATGATCCTGTCTTGGAATCACTCATTAAATCTATTCGTTTTGGTGACTATTCCAAAGTGATTGGGGTTGACAGTAAGTCTGCATATGCTTATGTATCTTTAATTTATACTGTATCAGTGTCTATCGAGGGAAATGTCATTTACCGTATTTCTGATCCACTTGTGTTGCCCATGGACATCTTTTCTCGCCTGGTTGTTGACCTTGAATTATCTACGTTTATTGCTACTCTTTATGTGTCTGGTGTTGTTGATCAGATCAAGAAAGCCAAAGCGATTACTTTATTTGTGCCTACTAATCAAGCCTTTAAGAATCTGGGACTTGTGTCTCGTTATCTTGTTCATCCTACAGGCAGAACAGATCTTCAAAATGTACTTTTGTTTCATGCTGCTACTCTTCCTCTTTACTATCATGACCTTCAAGGTGACGTGCTTCAAGTGACTACATTAGCCAATGAATCCCTTATTATTAATGGCAATAATCCAGACAGATCTGTTTGGATTGGCACAGACACAGAATCTCAAGACAATGCATTAGATGAACATGGCATGATTCAGCAGTCGAATATGATTGTGTCTAATGGTGTTGTTCATAAAATTGATCATTTGCAGATCCCCAACTGTGTCAACGTTACCCATCGCAACTTACTCAAGGGCATCAATGCCAATATCATGTTCAACATTCTCAAGCGAACCAACTTGTTGGATCAATTGGACATGACTGACAATTTCCTGCTTGCACCTACAGACAAGGCATTCGAGCACATTGATCTTGAGTCGTTATGGAACGATACGACTAAACTTGAACGCATAGCTCGATTGCATATTGTGCCTAAATCCAGTGGTCGCAAACCATGGTTTCTTCATCCTCTGTTAGGGGATCAAGAATATAGTACATTGCTTTCTGACCGAGATAAGATTGTTGTGCGTGAAATGGGGTATGGACTGACCATCATTCGAGTCAAGGGAGAGCCTTATGGTGTTCATGCTCGTGTGCTCGATATGGGTCATGTCAGCACAGGAGATCGAAGTGGCGGTGTGATGGAAATTGATGCTGTCCTTTTCCCGCTTGAAAGAGGTGCCTTTGGATTGCCTTGGATTTGGTCTCTTGTGACTGTTAGTTTGATATCATTTGTATTTGGCCTTGTTATATTAGTAGGTAGTATTGTTCTATTTAAACGATGGAAGAGAGCTGGATACCAAACCATTCAAGAAGAGAGTCTTCATGAAGAATAAAAATTCCTCTTATTTCTTTTTTGGAGATCAACGTCACACATTGAGTCCGTATAAAAAAGCGGTGTTTTTTTTTACTTTTTTTTTTTTTCTTCTTCTTCATCCATTATGTCTGCTATGGAAGTCGATCAACGTATGCCTAATGGCCATTCAAGTGATGGTCCTGCAGTAGCTGGTATTATTTATCCTCCTCCAGACATTCGAAGTAGGCTTGAAATAGACACGTTGACACGTTGACTTATCCTTGTTAGAAATGATTGACAAGGCTGCAGCCAACTTGGCTACAAAGGGGCCAGAACTTGAAAACCATATTCGTGAAACGAACAAAGACGGTCGATTCAATTTCTTAAACCCTAATGATCCTTACTATGCATACTATCGATTTAAATATCAAGAAGTAAAAGAAGGAAGAGGTAAAATAGAATATGTGTGTTTATATATACTTACTTGGCTATAGCACCACAACCTGGTACTCAATTGCAAGAGAGACCTATGGAAGTACAACCACAACAACCTGTTCATTTAGCACCTAAAGAACCTGAACCATTTGAATTCTCAGCACTTATGCCAGCCATGTCTGCACAAGATTTGTAATGCAAACGATACACCAAACACGCTCACTCACCCTCCTCTCTCTTTTTTTTTCTTCTTCTTCTAGAGATATAATGAAACTAACAGCTCAATTTGCTGCGCGTAATGGTCGTGCCTTTATCAACCAACTCGCTCAACGTGAATCGAGAAACTATCAATTTGATTTTTTGCGTCCTTCTCACAGCTTATTTCCTTACTTTACTGAACTTGTTAAACAGTACACCAAAGTCTTTTTACCGCCCAAGGACTTGCCAGAAAAACTAAATGCCAACAAGGACGATAAACAACACATTTTAGAACGTGTCAAAGAGCGTGTTGAATGGATTGCATATCAAGAAGCTGAAAAGAAAAAGAAGAGTGATGAAGATGAAAGAGAAAGAAGTAAGCAAAAAAAAAAATTTTTTTTAAAAAAATGAGAACATAGAGCTGATGGAGATGTAGTTGCTTATGCCAGTATTGATTGGCATGATTTTGTTATTGTCGAGACGGTCGAATTCACAGATTTAGATGAACAAGCTGAATTACCACCACCTATGAGTTTAGCTGAATTAGAAAGCATGTCTTTGGCTCAAAAGCGGTTGGCTGCGATGCCAGCTGAAATCATTCCTTCTAAAGCGGAAGAAGTCGAAGATGTGGACATGGATCAATCCGACGATGAAAGTGCTCAGCCTGTTGCTCCTTCAGTACCTAAGCCCAAGATTCCCGATACTTCAGCACCTATCAAGATCCGTACAGATTATAAGCCTAAATTGTTGGGTACAGCACCTATCAAGGCAGCTGTTCCTACTGAAGTCTGTCCTCGTTGTGGTCATGCTATCCCTGTAGCCGAAATGGCAGAACACATGCGTATTGAACTACTCGATCCTAAATGGAAAGAACAAAAGATGGCCATGGAAGCTAAACAGAGAGAAAGTAACTTGTTACAAGAAGGTAATGATGTGGCCAAGATCCTTAAGAATATCTCTGGTTTGCGTCCCGATATCTTTGGCTCTGATGAAGCAGATGCCAATAAGCGTATTCGTGAACAAGCAGAAGAAGCCAAAAAGAAGGATCGTATCATCTGGGATGGTCATACTGCTACTATGGGTTTAGCTAACCAAAGAGCACAAAAGACAAGCATTGAAGAACAAATTGCTAATATGCATAAGAAAGTGGTTGGGTAGGCTTACCTATGTTAGATAGACTGTTATTCATGCTTTTTTTTTAGAGACGACATTGGTCCTCAAATCCCAGGACAGCAACCTTTTGTACAATACCCACCTCCTACAGCCTATTCAGCACCTCAATATTATACACCTAGTCAACAGCAAACATTTGCAAACCAAGTGCCTGGTATGTACAATACACCTCCACCTGCTTCTGCTGTTGCACCACCACCTCCTCCTCCATCATCCACATCCGCTGTACGAAAAGCAGAAGAAGCAGAGACAGGGCCTGAAAAGAAACCTCGTCTAGAAGAGCCTGAATGGCCAATTCCTCATGATGTAAGTTTTGGCGAAAATAAGAAGCAAGGATCTTATTGTTGTTATATAGCCTACATTCCCTATTCTGATCCAAACACCCAATATCCCTGATAAACCTGAATGGAATTTGACAGGTGCTAATGTGACCATCAGTGGTTTATTACCAAATACTTTGATTTCGACTGTAAAAGATCGTATTGCTTCACAATTAGGTATGCCAGCTGGTAAACAAAAACTCATGATAGGACCTTCAAACACAGTATTGAATAACAGCAAGACCTTAAGTTTTTATGGTATTGGTCCAGGCATGGCATTATTACTTGAAGTTAGAAAGAGATAAAATTTTCTAAATATATATATGTCTTTTTTTTTTTTCCTGCTGACAAGATTGATTTTACTTAATCCTATTCCCACGAAATGTAATGCGTTTACTATAAAAGAGAGCTCTGTCTCTTTTTTTTTTTTTTTTTTTTTTTTTTTTTTTGCATTTTTTCAATGACATTGAACAATCATTTACCAATTAAGTTTCCTAACCTCAAACCCAGAGGACCGGGTGGAAAAGCACTTTTGGCTGCAGAAAGAGAAAAAACGAGTTTTAATGTTGAACATCTCTCCAAGTTTATGTATACTGAAGAATGGCTTAATAAAATGAACCGTATCTTACAGGTCATTGAAAAAGAACCTGCTTTTGACAAATCAACTCGCTATTTCCAAAGTCGTAAAGAGAAAGTCTCGACTGGTCTACAGAAAGATAAACGATTAGCTGAACTTGTCAGGTATGATAAAGAAAAGTGTATATCATTCATTGACAATGTATCTTGTTAGAGAGCACCATTGGACTGAAGAAGAGGCTCAGATTGCAAACTTTTTGTATGATCAATCTACACCTGTAAGTTGTGTTCGTCTTGCTTCAACAAAATTAATGTTATATTTAGTTTTCTCTTCATTACAATATGTTTATTCCTACCTTAAAAGACCAAACGACACCAGAACAAAAGGAATTATTTCTTGAACCTGCATTAAGGAACGAAATCATTGGTTGCTATGCTCAGACAGAGGTAAATTAATTAGGAAAAAAAATTTTTTTTTAACACTTTAGTTGGGTCATGGTTCCAATGTACAAGGCTTGGAGACAACTGCTACTTATCTTCCTGAAACAAACGAATTCGAAATCCATTCTCCCACATTGACTGCTTCTAAATGGTGGATTGGTGGCCTAGGAAAAGCAGCTAATCATGCTATTGTTATGGCACGCCTTATAACAGACGGAAAAGATCTTGGACCACATCCTTTCTGTGTTCAAATCCGTAGTTTGAAGGACCATCGACCTTTGCCTGGTATTACTGTAGGTGATGTTGGACCCAAATTTGGTTTCAATGCTACTGATAATGGCTTCATCATGTTTGATCGTTATCGTGTACCTCATATTGCTTTCTTGGCCAAGTACTCTCAAGTTCAACCTGGTACCGGTGCTTATAGTAAACCCCCTAATGCTAAACTTTCTTACGGTACGATGGTGTTTGTACGTGCCAATATTGTGATGGGTAATGTATTCTGGATATAAAAACAAAAGAAAAATTCATGTCTAAATTTACTTAGGTGTTCGATACGCTCTTGCAAGAGCTACTACAATTGCTGTGCGTTATTCTACTATACGCCAACAGTTTTTTGATGCTGCTAATCCCAAGAAGTGGGACAGCAAGGTGATTGAGACGCCAGTTCTCGATTATTCCATGCAACAATACCGTCTACTGCCTATTGTGGCTACTGCCTATGCTTGTTTCTTTACAGGTCGAGAAATGTTGCACCTTTATGATTTAAATCAAAAGGCCATGCAGCAAGGAAATTTTGGGCTTTTGGCTGATCTTCATGCTAGTTCTTCAGGTCTCAAGAGTTTAACAACAACCATGGCCGTTGAAGCCATCGAGGATTGCAGGCGCGCATGTGGTGGGCACGGCTACAGTATGTTTTCTGGTCTAGGCATGTTTTACCAAGACTATTTACCCAATGTCACATGGGAAGGCGATAACTACATCTTGACGCAACAAACAGCCCGTTACTTGCTCAAGACATTCCGAAATGTCGTTGCAGGCAAAGCAGAACCTTCTGAATACAACCCTACCATCACTTATTTAACACACTATCTTCAAAACCCCCATGCTAAGTGCCCCGCTTTATCTGCTCGAGATTTCCTTCATCCCGAATTGATCTTGTCTGCTTTCGGTTTCCGCGCTGCTTATGGTATTGCTCAGGTAGCTGAACAGATGGATCGTCATGGCCGTTCCTGGAACTCCATGTTGGTTGAGATCAGCCGTATCTCTAAGGCACATTGCCAGTTTATTTTGGTGCGTAACTTTTTAGTGACACTTCAGAACGATCATGCGCTCACACTGTCTGAGCACAAACCCATGCTTCAAGTACTCAAGGCACTGGCTTCTCTGTTTAGCTTACATACCATGGAGAAGGAACTCTCAAACTTTTTATTATCAGGCTATGTATCAGCTCAACAGAGTGTAATGTTGAAAGAACAAGTGATTGATTTATTGGATCAAGTGCGTCCTAATGCGGTAGGTCTTGTGGATGCTTTTGCATTACCTGACTATTACTTGCATTCTGCTTTGGGCCGCTATGATGGTCGAGTTTATGAGGCAATGACCAAGATGGCAGAAGACGAGCCATTAAATCATACACTTGTGGTAGATGGCTACGAAGAAAACATCAAGCCTTTTGTTCACAAGCAGTTCAAGAACAAAATACAACATGTTGAAATTGCTTCTAAATTTTGAATGTCTATTTCAAATAAACAATGAACGTCTTTTTTTTTTCTTTAGAGTACGTAGGCCTATTAGTTATTTTTACTGATCTATGTTTTAATTTGAGAGAGAAAAAAAACTGAAAAGCATTGATGAGACTTGAAAAAATACCTTGCAAAAGCTATCGTCTTTTTTTTTCTCAGAAATCAACGGCAACATAATATCCGAGAGAAGATGCATATTTATGATTCGAGAACTACGTCAATAAAGAAGAAGTCTGTACAAATTCTTCCTTCTTTCATCCACGCCTTGTGTGTGTATGTGTGTATGTGTGTAGTATCACAATCGAGATTAATATGTAAATAAAACACATGAATTAAGTCAAGTTCGCTTGTCCATCGCTAATCAACAATGTCTCTAACGCTTTTTTTTTTTAAAGTGCTCAGTGCATAAAGCATGACTTCGATAAAAAGCAGGCTGCTTTGAGTAGTTAATATTGAGTTTATGCAAGAAGTTTAAGTCATTTGTTGTTTTGCATGTCAACTCTAAAATACCTTGTATAAAATGCCATTGGGGCACATTCAAACGGTAGCAAATAACCATATCCCTGAGATATGCAATATATTTTTTGGTCAAAAAATTGCTTTTTCGGCACATGAAGTTGCTCCAGCTGAGTGTATTTGGACAAGCTACTAAAGTATTGGATTTCTATTTGGCTAGGTTTAGGTATTTTCAAGCTTATTTTTAATTCATCCTGAAGCATTCAGTATGGTCTGTGTCTGTGATATTTCTCTTTTTTTTTTTTTTTTTTTTTTTTTTTTCTGGGAATGCACTATAAACCATTCTAAGCTTCAAATGCCTATCGGCCAGTTTGACAAGAATAGACATTGTTATTATAACAGGCTACACGAATGAAATAATCGTGTCACCCACATGAAGAAAGTGACATTTTCCTTGTGTCTTTATGAAAATAGAGTTTTCAGAAAAAAGTCTGGGCTGTATATTTTAGCTGAAAGGTCTGTGTCCTCCAATTGTATAATAAAGCCTTGCATTATTAGTATCGCAATCTATCTATATTTAACCTAATGGCTCGTTATTAAACTAAACATACTAAACTAACAGTATCGTACTTATTTATATTTTTTTTAGCCATTGTCAGGGCTAACCGTACAATCGGTTTTACTCATTTTGTGTTATTTAGATGAGGGTAACCAAATTCTGATAAGGAGGGGAAAAGTAACAAACCTACACTTCTCAAAATCGCGTTTCGGCTTCTACTCTCCTTTGGATGCCCTTTTATGTATTAATTGATAAAAAAAACAAGACATCGCAAGATACACACGCTTTACACACTTTATACTTTTTTCTACCCCCTTTTTTTTGTTGGGTTGCATCTGTGCGCACATCTATTAGCTCACATGAGACAAGAAGGAACACTATGGTTATTATAACAAAATAAAATTATCTTCATCCTATACTGCAAAGGGGTTTCTCTCTCTCTCTTTCTTTTTTCCTGGGTTATCAAAAGAGAACCCTCATTGAATTCATACATTGTGCATTGCATAAGAAGAATAGGAGGGTTTGTAATACGCATTCAATCCTGAGTTATTAAACAATGCAGCTAGATGATGAAACGCCATTCAGCATAATGCTACTCCATGAAATCTGATTAGGTGAATGTGATAAGCACTGAGTTATGCCCTCCTCTTTTCTCCTTTGACATTTAAGCTTTCCTTCTCTCTCTCTCTCTCTCTTTTTTTTTTGGGCTGTTTGCTTACAATCTCCCTCTTTGTATATTATAAAATTAAGCTTATTATCTTCATGTCAGTGTATAAATATACATATTCAAGGAGACAGCTAAACTTTAGAAAAAAAAGAAGATAGAAAGAAAGAAGTCATTTATTTAAACTATATAAAGTTCATTAAGCCAGTATTTAACCACTAGAGTAGAGTAAGAAAAGGAGAAGGAGAAAGCAAAGAGAGAGAGAGAGAGAGAGAGAGAGGAAGAATAAGCTGTCACTTATTTTATGCTGCTTTTTTAATGACAATAACAATTAATGTAAATCGATTTGTGCACCGATATTAAGCATTTTTTTTTTTACTCTTTTCAAAGTATGGTTATTATTATTTTGATCCTATTCTTCACCACAAAGATTAGGGAGTAACTTCTCCTTAATCTGGAGCAATGGGGTATCTCCAAGCTCCTCATGTTCTCGATAAATCTTGTTTTCCTATATATACACATTATAGTCTATATTGAAGCGTAGCACTGTTATCAACAGTAGTTGCACACAATACAAGTTGTCAAGTGCTGCATTACAAGTCTAGTGCAAATGGTTCAAATAAGCATTTTGTGCACGGTGACATGACTATAATCGTTGTCATTGCGTGCGGTGATATAAAAATAAATATATCGTCGGGATTGATCCGTAATTAGAATGGCTCGTCGTTATCCATCACTTGATCTGGAATGAACAGTTGGTTGTGATCGGCATGAGTAAATTACAAGTGAACAGACACACATTATCGGAGTTAATTTCGAAGCAGAAAGAGACAAAGAGATGGTAAACACGCATTCAACATGTGAAACAAGCACTGCGATCGATGACAGTCTGCTCTTAAAAGGGGGGAAGAGCAACAAAAAAAAAAGGCAATTTGATATAAGGAAAGAAGCACACCATATATATAAATAGAGCGAATTGAGGGGATTCAAATTCAATTGATAAAAAAGTGACATTATATGTCGTTCTATACACATAAGGTCGATCTTCCATCAACTTTAATTTATACTATACAACTCCTTTTTTTAAAAAAAAAATTCCCCTATTAAGCTTAGGCTGACCTTTATGACAAATAGTAATTTATTCTTGATTGACAAATAAAATCATACAGTGAACGCGTTTAAACAGGAGAAAAACACAAACTTTCTGTTGTACTATCTAGGAGTTTTCTCATAAAGGAGAAGTCAAAGAAAAGTTATACCTCATCTTAGTATAAATATTCGCTCATTCTCTTTTCATTTCCCTCTCTCTTTTTTTTTTCTTTTTTTTTTTCTTCTTAATTCAAATTGCTCGTTGTCTTGACAATCGGCTTTTTTTATATAAAAATAAATTGAGAGAGAAAGAAAGTTATACCCAATTACATAAGATACGACATTATGGAAATTCTTGAACTTGTACACCAAGAAACTGCACCTAGTTTGGAAAGACCTTTTGAATGCACTTTTAATGACTGCAACAAGACATTTGGTAAAAATAATGAGATGAATTTCAATCAAAATACTGATGCATTTTTTTAGGTCGACGATCTGATCTTGTTCGTCACTCTCGCATTCATACGAACGATAGGTGAGACTCATATTATTTTATTCGATGAACAGAATTGACTCATATCTTCGCTAGACCCTTCAAGTGCCGAGAACCTAGCTGTGGTAAAAGTTTCATACAGGTAAAAAAAAAAAAAAAAAAAAAAAAAAATAGAATCACGCCGTTTATTCATCCGAGATGACTTATATTTTATTTAAATAGCGTTCCGCTTTGACCGTGCATATGCGTACTCATTCTGGTGAAAGACCTCACATTTGTGAATTTCCTCATTGCAACAGAAGTTTCAGCGATAGTAGTTCACTTGCTCGACACAGGTAGACAAACAAGAAAAAATAATCAACTCAACTAAATTTGATTTAGACGTACGCATACAGGAAAGCGACCTTACAAATGTCCCTTTGATGGCTGTTCAAAGAGTTTTGTTCGCAAAACTATTTTGACAAAGCACATGAAGAGCGATCATACCATCAATGGTAGAAGACCTTCTGTTCAGTGGCAACCATTCATTGAGGAAAGACGTCGAGTGATGCTTCAAGAACAACAACAATTGCAACAACAATCTACAGCTACCTGTGCTTGCACAGACTGTTATTTTGGTAACACCGCACACAAGCCTTATTTGTCTCCACCATCTTATTGGTCACCTCCTACACCCGATTTATCATTGTACGAAAGTCAAGATGATGGCTCCAGCAGCAGCAGCCCTTCTTCTCCTTCAACTGTGTCATGGCCATATACACATGCACCATTTTCTTACTATTATCAACCTCCTTCTCAACCAGTAAGCAATTGGACAGCTGCTATGGTTTATGACCGTCAAGACCAAATTGTCTTACCAAGCTTATCTAAATTGATGATGCCCAAAACTTTAGATCTCTCATTACCATCCAGAAGAGACAGCAGTGTTTCATTGTTTTACACATGAGTCACTAACAAACAAACAAAAGTGTAAATACTCATACAATATACCTCATTCATCTATGCTCAATTCATGACACATACAAAAAAGAAGAAAACAAAAACATCTCCTTTCTTTAAAAAAAAATTTACACTTCTTTTTTTATGAAAGCTATTCCCTTCATTTCCTTGACCCTCTCCTCCTTTTTTTCTTATATCTTTTTTCAAACATATGTTCATTTATGCCTCTTTTTTTTTATATGCTCTTTCTCTTTCTATGCCTCTTTCTATCTCTCTCTCTCTCTCTCTCTCTCTCTCTCTATACTTTTGCTCTTCATCTTTTTCTGCAATAAAGCCATACTTCATTTAATATTCTTTTGTGTCACGACGCAAATAATGGTTATGATGCGTTCAATTCGTCTTGAATAGAATCAAGCTCGCATTGAATGACTTGATTTAATTCAGCATTGTCATTTGTCTTTAGAATTTCGGTCAATGTGTATTTGATTCCTTCTAAATTAACTTGCAATTCTTCTTCTACAAATTCAGGTCATTAAAAATGGATGATTTACATGCCAACCTACTTGATGTAGTCTCCAGAGTGATAAGATCATCTTGAAGAGATATCAACGCTTTTTTCTCTTGATCCAATCGTTGTTTATCTGCCTCTAGATCATCTCGAGTGTCTTTCTTCTCTTTCAAACTTGTCAAGGTTGATTTTGTATTCTTGATTTGATTTGACATGTCTGCTGCCATTTCAAATTCTCCATTCTGAATAGCTAATTGCTTTCTTTTTTCCAAGCTTCCAAGGTGACTCGTTAATCTGTTGATAGACTCTTCAATTTGAATGCATGCTTGTTCATGCATATATATTCTGGACTGAATTTCTTTTATTGAATTCTTCTTTTGAAAAATAGTTTTTGATACTCTAGAGTCTTGTTAGTTTTGCTTCTTTTTTTTTTTTTCTATCGAGTCACCTTTTTATTTGTTGCTGATGTTGTGTGTTTGCTTTTATTCTTTTTTCAAGCACGTCTGACAAGATAATATTCAGCTGTGTGTTTGCCTTTTGTGCATCTTGCTGAGCTATTTTTGCTGCCTCAATATTATCTTGCAGTGATTGCAAATCGTGCTGATGACGATCTTGTTCTTCTTTATGATGCGCCATATCATTCCTTAAGCTTTCTTCTTCCGTATCCAACATTTCCTAGGGATACAGATTAAATCATCTTTTATGTGTGTGTCTTTCTGACTTACTGCTTTTTCATTTGTTTCTTCTTGTCTTTTATGAATCGATTCCAACTCTTGTTCATGTTCTTTGACTTCTTGTTCAAATGGCTTTAATTTTGTCGTTATTTCACTCTCCAATCCCTGGACTTGATGTTGAATGGATTGGTTTTGACTTTCTAATTCTCTTAGTCTTTGTCTTAGTTGATCTATTTCGTCCTAAAAGCAGTCTGTAAGAAAGAACATGTTTCTCTTATGGTAAACTTACTGCTAATCCTTTTGATTTTTGCTCCAGTTTTGTCTTTTTCTCTTTTTCTAAATGCACCACATCTTCCATTCTTTCATTCAAATCCGCATCGCTTTGATTCCACATGTCTAAATCAAACACAATGGCACTGCTTATAGTTAGCTTACCATGTATAAACACATTCAAGGGTACCTTTTGGCTTGTTCCAGACTTGAGCGACGTTCTTCCATACGACTTATGCTCTCATGGTGTTTCCGTTTCATATCTTCAACAAACGTATTATAGTGTCGAAATCGTTCTTCCTTGGCTTGTTGATGATATGTCACAAACTGTTCAATACATTCAGCTTCTTGATACCATACATTGGACTGAAGCTTCCATGTTTTTTGAATTGATTCATAAATTGCGTTTAACTTGTTCTCTTGAAGATCAGTCATTGTGTTCACCATCTCTTTCTTTTGCAAAGATAGTTTCTGGGCAGCCAAATAATCTTCTGCCTCTAATGCTTTTTCCTTGTCCAATTCAGTGGTTTTGATCTTCTCTTCCAACTAGATACATAGGCACTGAATAACACATACATAAAATAAAAAAACAATTACTTTTTTCATTGTGTCTTTGATTTGCTTGTGTTTGTCATAAAGGTGCTTGAGATTGTCTATTGATTGCGATTTTGCTTTTTTGATTTGTTGCCAGTTTGCATTGGCTTTGATGAGCTTGACTTCGTTATCGGGCTTGATCACTGATTTTGATAAGGAAGGGGATTCAAATGCTTTTTTCTAAAATTAGTGGAGAAAAAAAATCACAGCATATCTTACTAAATACATCTGCATTGGAAGCTCCACCAAAGACAGTTTCAGTTGAAAGTGTAGGACTCGTCTTTTCATGCATGAATGAAAAAGCAGACGGTTTTGGCTGAATATCACTATGAGGTGCCTTGAATGATAACCTTCAATATATACATACATACATATATATATATATATCTTCAATTGCTTTCTTACCTCTTGTACCATATCTTCCACAATAAACGAACTCGAAAAGCGAATAGGTTTCTTATGCTTCGGCTTTGGTCGAGCAAAAAGGAAATCAGATTGACTTAATGGTTCAAAAGAAGGCAATTTTCTGTCCATTTTATCAAATGCAGAAGACGAATTCTTTTTATCGAGTGAACCAAATTCTTTGAAATTTGATAACACTGGGACACCATTAACAGCATCACCAGGAGGTGTAATACCCAGTTCTTGGTTTGTGAAGTCTATATGGTGCCCAGGGTGATTTGAAAAAGGGAATCTCTGTCCAGTCTTTAGATCACCAAAAGAAGGTTTTTTATTTTTAGAAGACGCGTTGGCTTGGTTAATAAAAGCAAAGTTAGACATAAAAGAAAAGAAAAGCAGGATTGTTTGGACGAGAAAAAAAAAAGGGATTTTGTGTAATGGTTTTCATGCGAATGCTAAGTTACAATTAATAATCGGAAATGATAAATGTATTATTTAAGCAAAATAACATTCAAGCCAAGGAATTTTATCAATCAAAGACCAATTATTATTAGCCACCAATGTTCTCTATGAAACAAAAGAGATAGTGTATAAATAAGATAGAATACGAGCTTTTTACGATACAAGGCAACTGTAACGATGAAACAAAATCATAAAATTTCAACGTTGCTCTAACAATTCTATTTTTATAGTGCTACATTCGTAGGAGTCCCTCTTTCTTTTTATTCTAGCCACAAGTAATTTATGATAACACTAGGAAAGTATAATTAATAAAAAAAAAGGATTTCTCGGTGATTTCGCCAGAAGAACGATTAGGACACTCCTTTTGTTTTTATGTAACAACAGACTCTTCCTTCAATGCATTTAACTTGAACATAACTCTCGAATTCAGTCCTGTACGCCATTGACTCAAGGCTTCTCGGTGTAATCCCCAACTGCTATAGTAGACTGCAGCCTGCCTATAAAATCTAGAATACCCACTTTTCATCGCCAAGATGTAAGATATGCAGAATCTATGTAAAAGCTGATGATCATATGCTCTTTTTGTACCCTCCCAAAGCTTTTGTTCTAGAAGACAAACTCATTTTCTATAGTCAAAGCCAGATATAATTTGGTCTAACCTGCCCTCAACCATCATTTTAATCAACTGAACAAAATATGTTTTATTTATCTTCAAGCCATTCCAAGTGTCTGATAAAGATCACCAAATGTCTTCAAGTTTAATCCAGCTAGTAATTTTAGTTTTGTTCCAAGTGATAATAGTTCAGTCTCTAATCCTTCAAGTGCATGTACTTGACAACACACTCCATGCTGAGCAATATACATGAGTTGATCACAAACACGCTTATACATGATATTGAATATAACTGAGCCTGGCTTCATATTTTGATAGAGAACACGGTCTTTTTGTGTACCATCACACGCTTTCCATACCATAAATTGAAACTGGTGTTGAGTGATGACTCCTCGATAATGCTGTTGATGTAAGTGACCAATGGTCTTTTTCAGCTGCTCAAAGTGTTGGTGATGACGATAGGGTATAGTGATGATAGCAAGTAACAGGATCAACTGAAACTCGTATCGAAACTGATGTGTCATGCGTTTTTCATCAAATTGGAGTGTGATTGGCCATTGTTCAAGTTGTTGTATGCTTAATGCCTGTGTGATATCTTTTGTATCTGATATCAAATAAACTAAGCCTAAACGTGCATTTGAATAAGAATTACGTTTTTTCTTTTCTCTCTCTTTCTAAATTACCAGCGTAGTATATCTCCTTAAAAGAAGCTTGATCTCCTAGTCGAGAAGCAGTCAGCCGCCACCATTGCACCACACTGTCCAAAGAGTATGCATTTTTAGTAAACCATCGTAATTCAAATTCAGCACATGTGGTTATAAGGAAATGCCGATAGTAACCAAGAATAAAATTGGCGCCATTCTGTTAAATGAGCTTAAATCATGCATATCGTGCCCACTTACTAGTCTGATGGCTTCTATGAGACCAAAGCAACACCTTAGAGCCATGGCATAGTTTCCTTTTAGAAACAAGCTACACATGGATTCAATGTTGTCTTGCTCTTTACCCATCAAGAGTTCTGTAAACAAAGCCTGAAGAAACTCAACCATGCGCTGTCCTTCAAAACAGCCTGATTTTAGTTGCTGAACAATAAGGTCCTGATCTAACATTTGGAGTATACAGTCTTTGGTAACAAAAGATGGCCAATTTCCTGGTATTTCCATTAAAGATATCAATAGACGTGATAATTCTTGAATGACAACCTTGAGGAAATCAAATGATTTAAGCGTAATTGCATGCTCCACTTGCTTCCAGTAAACATCCGCTGCTATTCGTTTTTCTTTGCCTCGGGTGCCTTCCATGTTGGGTCGAAATTGAAGATGGGCATCAAATACCAAATCATGGCGTAAAGACAAGTTGGTAATGATATGATGAAATGATAATTCTTGAAGTGAGTCAATATTAATAGGTGGTATCCAATCTGATGCAGTGTGTTTCTTTGTTATATGTTTCTTATCTAATTTACGGTACGATCGAATAGACGAAAATGGGTATCTTTTTTTTGTTTGTCTACACCATATGGAATAATATCGCTTGTTGATCCTAGATGTTGATTTTGAAATTGATATTCCAACATGGTTCTTTTGTTGTTCTTGTTCTTGCTGTTGTTGTTGTTCTTCGTCTTCTTTCTGTTCTTGTTCTTTTTCTTTCAACATAGTAAACGTAAAGAAAGAAAAAAAGAAGAAAAAGAAAGCAAGAAAAAATCACGCCTTTTTTAAAGAGAAACAATCAATAATTACATGTAAGATGTGAATCAACATGGACATAAGCCATGTTTTTTTCTTTTTATGAAACTTTCCTTATACGGTCCTGCTTCCGTCTTCAGGGCGATCGGCTCATAATGATTTGTGAAATGATTTATGCATGAAATCAAGTTCCGCCCTTCGCCTGCTATATGCCCCCTTAAACTCTCTGTTGTGTATTTAATTGTATACAACACTGTTTTCTCTCTCTTTTCCCTTCTTCTTCTTATTCTATAAGCATGTATTTTTTAATTATCTTATTTCACTTTTTGATCATTATAGAGGCATTACAGAAACGCGAAGGTAGATAAATATATAAATGGAAACTTTTTTTTTCTCTAAACAAAATTCAGTGTGCGACAATCGTCTTGCTTTTTGTTCACCAAGCCAGAATGAAACATGGTATCAATACAATTTCTACCAATTCATATGGAACCAAAAGTAAGTCCCAATCTGCTGATTTGTTCATGACTTATGATCCCGTTTAGTCAATCTTTATTTATAAATCATGTATATTTCCTCATAGAATGAACAAGATTGTTACTAACCAAAATAGACTGAATAGGATTTACCTAACAGTTTTGATATACATCTTTTGACAATCTCACGAAAAAGTCATGAACAACGACGACGTACGATCAAGTCTTGGTTTAACCTGACCAACACCAACCAGTCTCTTTCTGTACAAGTGACAGATGATTGGTTCCCCACTCCACTCCCAGCTGGATCAACGAATTTGACATGGGTGATGTATGTCTTTTTATTAGGTCATGATGCTCCAATGGACCCCACTTCTACTCATATGGACTTGGAAGCCAATTCATTTGTTCAACTTCAAGTGATACGTAAGTAAAACAAAAGAGTGATGTGATCATTGATACACAAATAGAATCTCCACCTATACCCATCATTAAAGAAAAATTTGCTCATAAATGGATTATTGCTATTGTGATTGTTGCTTCTTTCTTGGTGATTGCAGCCACTTGTATTATTGTTTGGCTGTATAAGAACATGCAGAAACACAAAAAACAACAACAGCAGGATTGTTCTATTTTAAGCACGCCTGATGCACAAATGATCGCCGAGAAGTTTCGTCAGGTCTTGTCTAGCTCTGAATTGTCGGACCAACATCGTTTAGAAGTAGGCAACGATATCTTGAAGCGTCAGCTAGCTTTAGATCAAGACATGTCGGTGTCTGAAGTAGAACGACGTACTTCTTCTTTCAGAAACAAAAAAAAAATAATTTTTTAAATAATAAAGTAATGTCACTTCAATATGCTTTAAATGGTGTATTTGCAGTCTATAAACCAAAAGGGTGGTCTTCAAGAAAAGCAACGGACTTCGTAAAAGATTGTTTATCAAAGGACCTGTTGACTCAAAAGTATGGTACTGATCTTGTCAAGTTGAAAAGACGAGATCAGCTCAAGATCGGGCATGGTGGTACTTTGGTAAATATATATATATATGTATAAGGCATGTTTATTCACTCGTTCAAAAGGACCCTATGGCAAAAGGAGTTTTAGGTATAGTCTTGAAAAAGAAGGGGGGGAGGGAGAAACGATTATTTTAAAAAACTATAAGTTTTAGGAGTCGGAAAGGGTTGTAAACAGCTAGCTGGTTTTCTTGAAGGCAATAAAGTAACGGATAACCACAAAAAAAAAAAAGAGAACTGATTATGGCCTGATAGGAATATATCGTCACCAGTCAATTTGGACAGGCTACCGATACATACGACACTGAAGGGAAAATAACAAATATAGGCAAAACCGACCATTTGACTTGTGGTCTATTGGAGCAAACCTTACCATTGTTTCGTGGCCATGTTACTCAAGTACCGCCCATGTAATACACTATGATTATTTTTGTTTTTTGACTCATGTTTTCTATATCTAGATATTCTGCATTGAAAATACAAGGCAAGAAACTGTACGACTATGCAAGACAAAATATAGAATTACCAGAGCCTATCAAACCAAGACAGGTGTATATAGATCAATTGGAATTACTTGATTATAACAATGTCAGCAAGACATGTGTGTTGCGTGTTGTATGTGGAGGAGGGACTTATATGCGCAGTCTTGTTCATGATTTGGCCATCGCTATGGGAACACAGGCACATATGACTGAGCTTGAGAGAACACATCAGGGACAATTTAGTCTTCAGGATGCTATAGCACTCGATAGTTCTTTTCAACTCAAGTCATGTATAGATAGACTACGCCAACAATAAGATAGACAAAATCTAGGAGTCTCACTAATACAGATAGATTTATGCATCAATTTGATTCATTGTGCCATAAAATTCATTGTCTGTCCATATTGATTGTTATTCTTTGATAAGTTGTCTTTCTTCTTTTCTTTTCTCTTTTCCTCTTTCTCTCTCTATTACCAATATGGCCTTTCATGAAACTTCTTCTACAGCTACTGCTTCCCTTTCTTCCGCTGCAACAAATGAAAACGTATCTCCAACAAACAGGTAAAGCATATGAATATCAAACTTCTCTAAAAATAAAAATAAAAAAGTGTAATTTTGAAAATGGGAATCATTGGCGATGCACAGATTGGTAAAACGAGTTTGATGATTAAATACGCTGAAGGTGCCTATGACACAGAATATACACAAACACTTGGTAAGTATTCAACTTATGAATTTGTTGTTTGATTGTGTGTGATTAGGTGTTAATTTTATGGAAAAGACGATTCTTATTCGTCAAACAGAAATCACATTTAGTATATGGGATTTAGGAGGTATAAGTCAGTCTAATCATCCGCGATTGATCTGTTGTGTATATAGGACAAAAGGAATTTGCTAGCATGTTGCCCTTGGTGTGTAGTGATGCAGTAGCCATATTATTCACATTTGATTTATCAAGGAAAGCAACACTAAATAACTTAAGGGAATGGTATAGACAAGCAAGAGGATTAAACAAGGTTTGATGTGTTCAACCAACACGGTTTTCTTATTCTGTCTTGATAGAGTGCTGTTCCTTTATTAGTAGGCACAAAATATGATGAATTTGTAAATTTGGCTTATGAAGATCAAGAGGAAATTACGCGACAAGCAAGAAAGTATGCTCGTGTCATGAAAGCACCTCTTGTGTTTTGTTCTACAGCAGAATCAATTAATATACAGAAGATATACAAAATAGTGCTGGCCAAAGTGTTTGATTTGAATTGTACTTTGCCAGAGATCTCTGACATTGGTGGCCCTATTATTGAATATAAACACTGTTAGTCACGTGATTGTACGACACTTGAACAATAAATCTCCATGTAAAGTTTCACATGTCAATTCTCTCTTTCTTTTTCTTTCTTTACTTTTTTTTATATATAGATATATATAGATATATATATATAAATATATAAATAAATTATTGATGGCTCACTCTACAAGCGAGTTCTATGATAAAAAAAGTTGGAAAGATTCATTTGATTCTTGTTCAACAGACGAAGGATATCATACAGACGAAAAACCAATAGAAAACAATAATGAAATTCCTATCCTAAAAAGCAACCGTACCATGTAGGTGAAGCATGAGTTCTCTCTCTCTCTCTCTCTCTTTCTCTCTTGTCTTCTAAAGTCTTCTTGTTAGTCAAATTGGTTATTCTCCAAGCACATATACCCTTACATTCTTTGCTATTTTTCTATCAGCTTATATTGTTTACTCACAACCATTTCCATGGGGACACACATTTCCACCTGTGTTTGTCTTGTTTCATTTATTATTTCATGTAGCACACTTATCAGCACACATCTTTGGCTGGTTACAAATGGAACGCCATTGTGTAGTCTATGGAACATGGCTCTATTGTACAGGCTGGTTATTATCGAGTCTCTTGTTCTCTGAGAGACTGGTAGTGACTCATTTGACTTTTATGCCTACTATCTTGTTTTGGTTATTAATGTTGGAGAGAAGACATGCATGGGGTATTCTTGTCTGGGAATTTGTGAGTCGATTGGATAGTACAGATCAAGTTAAACTATGGGAATTTGGCAGTATTCGTCTCTTTGTATTTCGCGTATGGTGTCTATTAGGCACAGGTAGTTTCTGGGGACTGGTCTATATAGGTCTGGCTAAATGGGATGGCTATGCATTCAAATATTTACTTCAAATCCATCATATTTTAAAACTGTTGCTGGTCAGCACAATGGGTGGGTGTTTAATGATCATTTTTTGGAGTTTCTGGACATTTCAATACAAAGGTGTCTTGTGGCAAAAAGAACTTCGAAAAGGTATTATTGTTTGGTATAGTGAAGGCATTGCTCATGCTGCACAAATGATTTAAAATAATAATAATAATAATAAAAATGACTCATTTTTTTTTATTTTCTTCTTTTATTTTATTCATCATGAGTTTTCTTAATTTCAGGTAAAATACATAACTAAAAGTATAAAGCAACTTATGCCTTCTTAAGTTTGGGTGGAAAAAAGAATAAGATTTCAAAGATCAAGAACAATGTTACTCCCATGTACTTAGATTCAAAACCACTCTTTTTAACGCCACCTTATGTGACGCACATGTTAGTCAAGGGCAACTTCAAGACACTTACACAACTACCCAAGTATGTAGATATCAATGAATGGCTTGCATTCAACAGTAAGTGAATAAAGCAAAGAAAAAACTTATCAAAAGTAGCTTTCGAGTTCTTTAATCACCTCAACATGTTTTATGGGTCCATCACAGACTTTTGTACACCTACTTCATGTCCAACCATGTCAGCAGGGTTTGGGTATAACATAGTCTATTGGCAAAATAATATACTAACCCATAGTCTATAGAGTAGAGTATCCATGGATTGATGGTGCTTCTAAAAAGATCAAGTTATGCGCACCACAATACATTGACTATATGGCATCCAGTATACAAAATATGATGAATGATGAATCCTTATTTCCAACAAAATCAGGCAGTGAATTTTCCCCGGAGTTTTGTTGTCTGATCAAACGAATATTTGGACAACTGTTTCGACTGTTTGGTCATATATACCATCATCACTATGATAAAATACTATCTTTGCACGAAGAGCCTCATTTGAATTCACTGTTTGCTCATTTTATATCATTTGCTCAAGAGTTTGATTTGCTGGAAAAGAAAGAAATTCAACCCTTACAAGAATTAATGGATATCATGATGAGAGAAGGAATTATTTCATAGCCATAATCCTCCTATTTATATATATATATATATATATTTTCCAAACAAATAAACCCCCCTCCTCCTCGCTCTCTCCCTTTCCCTTCTCCCTTCTCCCTTCTCCCTTTTTTTTTCTTTCTTTCTTTCTTTTTTTCTTTTCTTTTTCTTTTTTTTGTTCTCCTTATTTATACATATAGATTTGAATGGGCTTATGAGTACAACTGAAGAGACCAGTTGGGACCAAACACAAGTAACTCAATGGCTTGAAGAAAAAGGATGGGGTCAATTTGCACCTACATTTCAAAGTAAGCTATTGATAATGATACAAGATAGTATGTTTATAAATGAGAATTAGAATACAACCTATGTCATGAACGATTTTTTCATATTACATTAGCAGAATTAGTTCAATTCTTACCAAGGTCAGAACTCAATAAAACCATGTTGCCCAGTATTCATATATTCAATTAGAACAATGACAACGTACAATGAAAGACGGAGACTTTTAAACGACATTCGGTCACTTGTGGCTGCACCTAAACAAGCACCCATATTGCCTCATGTAAACCATAGATGCCATGATCCATTTTTAAATTAAAATTATTGATGATAGACAATAGATTTCAATTAACACAAATTTAGGAGTTCGTCATTATAAGAGTCCTTGTTCTTCTTTACATTCGGATATTATGGAGCAACATTCACCTTCACCTACTTTTTCACCTAAAGCTGCTTTTCACAAGTTTAAGAACAGTCTTCAGAAAAACTCAGCTAGTCCGCGTATGCGGCATGAATCGGGCGATGAACGACCTGTTATTCCTGCCCGTGTCTCTTCTACACCAGAAAAGATCTCAAAGATATGGGCTCATTGGCATTCCCCTAATACTAAAAAACAAGAGGGTCATAGAAAAGTAAAAGTCTTGTTTATTTGTAGACAATCACTCATTATAGCTAGGCAGACCAACGTATTCAAATTACGGCAGATAAAGAAACTTGGTATAGTTTAAACGTGACTGATATGCGAGACCCAGTATCTATTAAACAACACATTTTAAATCGAATGAGCTTTCATGGTGACATTCATCAATACCAGTTCTTTCATGAAAATGGAGCAGATCCAAGTAAGCAGCTGTGTATTTATAGCATTCACTCATTCCTTAACTATAGATACGCCTATGGACCCACAGGGACTCATGTATCTTTGTTCAATGGCAGACCATTCTGCTAATGAGCGTATATTAATTAAACCTGTTTATTTATATAGTAATTACCAGTTTGCTATTTCTACACCTGAATTAGGAAGATCACCTACAGACAAGAAAAAGTAAAAAAAAAAAAAAAAAAAAAAAGTTGATTAGAGTTGATTGATTTATCGTAGCCCCTTTTATCAATACCAAAAATCATCACCTCCTATTAGACCATGGCATCGTGAAACACCTAAACAGCCTATTGGCATTCAATTATCAGATCCACCCTCGTTTCAAACACAATTATGGGCTGTGACACCACTTACGCCCGTCGATACACTGGACATTGTATTCAAAACAGACTATTGGGGAGAAAGACCTCCTGCAGAAGTCGTATTTGAATACATGGAAGATTACTTTGACAGTCAAGACTTGGACAAGGAGGTTATTGTGTCCACCACAACCAAGAAACGATCCCATACAAAATCAATTCGAGTCGTCGCTCGTGAAGCAAGTCGAAAATATACGCATCTCACACGCCAAAAGGGCATCAGTCGTCGCAAGAAGAGTACTAAGCTATGGGGCCAACGTGTTGTTCAACTTAAAAAGGCTTCTGGGCATGTGATGGTCAGACTGCCTTCTGTCAGTGAACACATTGCCTTGTCCCATCATGCTGTGCCGACAGATAAAACGATTCAATGGATTCGAGGCAAATTGATTGGCAAAGGCTCCTTTGGCCGAGTCTATTTGGCGTTCAATGTCGATACAGGCGAAGTCATTGCTGTCAAACAAGTAGAGTTGCCCAAGACAGTGTCTGATCAAATGAATGAACAGCAACATGAGATGGTGGAAGCATTGTATCAAGAGATCATGATGTTGCGCGATTTGGATCATGAAAATATTGTACAGTATTTAGGTTATGGACATGATCCTTCGGAAAGTGTGATCAATATCTTTCTTGACTATGTCTCGGGAGGCAGTGTGGCAAGTCGCTTGGCTCTGCATGGTGCTCTGGATGAACGTCTTACACGGCATTTTACACGACAAATCTGTGCAGGGCTCGAATACCTTCATTCAAGGCACATTTTACACCGAGATATTAAAGCAGCCAATATTCTGCTGGAGGCGGATGGTGTCTGTAAAATATCTGATTTTGGACTGTCCAAGAAAAACGATTATGCGGAAGTCTATGACCAAAACTCACGCATGTCATTGCGTGGATCGATTTATTGGATGGCTCCCGAAGTGGTCAAGAATGAACCTTACAGTGCTAAAGTGGATATTTGGAGTTTGGGATGTACTGTGCTTGAAATGTTGACTGGACAGAGACCATGGATCTCTCTTAATCAAATTGCTGCACTCTATAACTTGGGTAAACTGAATTCGCCTACGATACCCGACACAATTTCAGATGGTGCAAAAGACTTTTTAAAGCAATGTTTTATCATGTAAGTCATTCGTATTGATGAAGCATACATTCATCATCATTTCATGACAGTGATCCACTTCAAAGACCAACAGCAACAAAACTATTATCGCATGCATTTCTTCAAGAAGATCCACATTTTGAATTTAAAGAGTACGTAGAGAAAGGAAAGATTTAAGTGAATAAAATCTCTGTGTGCAGTTGAATCAAATTAATGGAAGATACACGTGGAATTCACTTATTTTGTGTTACCCTTGTCTCCTTTTAATCCCTTTTCTCTCTCTCTTTTTTTTTTTTTTTGTTCTTTATCTTATTATTATGTCTGTCTCTGCAGTATCAACCCCTTCAACTGAACAAAGCACAAACCCTATGTCTCAGGTATTCTTTTTTCTTCTTCTTATGACGCGTACCGAGAATAAACTGACAAGCAAAGATATAGACCCCCTTAAATGGATATGTTGGTTTTGACACAATTACACAACAAATCGAACGAAAGTTACTGAAAAAAGGATTTCAATTTAATGTGATGGTTGTTGGTAAAATTAAATTATCTATACATCCTTCCTTGACTGACAAATGAATTGGTTTCTATAGGTCAATCAGGCCTTGGTAAATCCACACTTGTCAACACTATTTTTGCTTCTCATTTGATCGACAGTAAAGGTAGACTTGAAGCTTCAGAATTAACTCGTCAAACAACAGAAATTGAAGCTGTTGCACATAGTAAGTGAAATCCTGCTTATGTTGTGTGATATTGATTGACTACAGCCATTGTTGAAAATGGTGTTCGTTTAAGATTGAATATTGTGGATACACCTGGTTATGGTGATCAAGTCAATAATGACAATTGGTAAGTCTTGACAAGTATCAGCGTGTGCCTTATGCTCTCTAGTTGGGAACCCATCATCAAATACATTAAAGATCAACATTCAGCTTATCTTCGCAAGGAATTAACAGCCAAACGTGAAAGATATATTGTCGATACTCGTATTCATTGTTGTCTCTTCTTTATCACACCCTCTGGTCATTCGTAAGTAGCATGATACAAGCTATTGTTGCTCATCTATCGTTAGCCTTAAGCCTATTGATATTGTTGTACTCAAGAAACTTTCAGAAGTAGTGAATGTGGTACCTGTGATTGCTAAATCTGATTCACTCACTACTGAAGAACGCGATCTTTTTAAACAAAGAGTAAGGCACTCACCATCATATAAAACAAAGCTAATGCATGGCATAGATCAAGGCGGAATTAGCTTTCCATAACATCAGATTATATCCTTATGAAAGTGAAGAAGACGAAGAGCAAGAAAGAACTTTGAATGAAAGTATTTGGGAACTGATTCCATTTGCTGTTGTTGGTTCTGAACGCAATGTAGTCATTGATGGTAAAGCTGTGCGTGGTAGAAAGACACGTTGGGGAGCTATCAATGTAGAAGATCCTGCTCATTGTGAGTTTATTCATCTTAGAAATTTCTTAACCAGAACACATTTACAAGACTTGATTGAAACTACAGCCATGATTCATTATGAAACTTTCCGTGCTAAACAATTAATGGCGATCAAGGAATCTACACAACTTCAACAAAAGCCTGAAACAGTATCCGAATAATTTACCCATACTATTTAATAAAGAACAAAAATACATTTATTATGAGCGAGGGTTATACTCTGTGTTTTTTATAGGCTTGTATTTATCAGCCTTCTTATTGTGCTGCTTGGGTGTTGGTGTATGATATGTCTTTTGCATATAAAGATTATTGATAGAAGTATTGGCAGAAGTATTTTTTTGTCTTGAGTATTGTGTGTTTGAGACAGAAAGATACCAATACATCAAATTGGAAATCACGACTTGTTGCTGTAATGGACGTTGCGAGCTACATAACTTTAAATGAGAAAGGCGATAAATAGCATGCTCAGTCTGAATTGGGTATCTAGTATGTACAATAGGGGAATCTAAGGTCTCAAGAGGTATTGCCTTTTTTCGCTTCAAAAGAGACTCTAATGATCTCTGCTTTTTAGCTGTTGTATCTGGTGTGATAGATGCTTTTCTTGTGAACAATTTCTGTGTCTTTTTAAGATCATGAATCAAGTTGATAAACCATGATTTTTTAGTTTTGGTAGTCATGGCAAGTGAATTGCCTATATCAGGGATATTTCCAACATGTTTACTCGTGACGACATTTTCTAATACATAAACATATGAGATAGGTTGCAGGAGGGAGTGAAGTTTGGGCTTACCTGTCGCTGGCGGTGATTCTTTATCCTCGTCGCTACCACTACTGCTACTACTACTACTACTACTGCTACTACTGCTACTACTACTCGTGCCATCTTCTTCTTCCTCCGACGGCACTGTTGTCTGAGCCAATGACGAGTTGTAAGACAGAATTGATTTTTTCCTCGTGATACCAATACTGTTTTGTACTTGAATATCTTGTTCATTTGCATGTCGCTTTATCCATGTATCGAACTCTTTTGGTGAAATAGGATGATCAACGCCTGTCGTTTTAGAAGAAACCCTATCAAGATAGGTTAAGAAAACAAATACAAATCCCGAAATTAAGCTACCAAACATCTGTCTTTTGAACACCATCATTGACTGTTTGCTGGTAAGGATCCAGGTTGTTCATGACAGATGCTTCTTGTTGCTCGGAAGAGGATTTGCTAAAATAAGGCGTTTCATGATGATATGTTGTCAAATCATAGTCTGTAGTCGGATTCTCATCAAGTGTTGAATTCATTCCAAGATAAAAAAAAAAAAAAAAAAGAGAAAAGAACTCGAAAGAAAGAAAGAAAGAGAGAGAGAGAAAACAACTCCTCTCTAAATAAGCAATAAAAAAAATAAATATTAAAAAGTTTAAACAAGCTCCTTTTATCAAATGGAGCATTCTACATCCGATTACCTCTCTAACGCATATATACACACACACACACACACAGGAAGAACATATTGATTTATCTGTGTTACTGTACTTTCGCCATTTCCAGTTAAACAAAATAATGATTGCATAAAGTTTTGTTTCTCTGTTTTTGTTTACAGGTCTCGGGTAAGTAGAGTTAGCCGAATAACTTTTAATGTATATTTAAAATAAAGTGATTGTTTACTTAAAAATTAATTAACAATACCCAATGTTTGTTTGAAGGCTGAAATAGTACTAGCATCAGCACTGTACTTTAATGGATCGTCACTCAACTTGATGACACGCTTGCCAGCACATTCTCTAAGCTTGATGACGATATTCAGAGCCTTACTCTTGGTATTGACATCACTGATCTTGTGGAAATCATTGGTGAATGAGGTGCCAATACCAAAACTAGATTGAATGCCTGCTTGTGTAGCACGTTCATGAAGTTTGATGGCTCTTTCCACATTAAGTGAATCAGAGAACACAATCGTCTTTGTGCTAGGATCCACACCAACAGACTTGTAATGTGCAACCATTTTGTCAATGAATTCAAAGGCATCACCCGAGTCTTGACGCACACCTGCAAACTGAGTGGCTAAATCATGGTCAAAGTCACGAAGAAAGATTTCGGTAGTAAAAGTATCTGTCAAAGCAATACCAAGTGCTCCCTTGTATACCTCGTACCAAATATGCAAGGTTTCACGGTTTGCATGTTGAACATCTTCCAATGCAGACACAGCCATGAAAAATTCATGAGCTAAAAAAAAAGATAAGAGATCCAATTCACTTCAAAAAAAAAAAGACTTACCACAGGTACCTACAGCAGGTACATTGTATTTCATGGCCAAATAAACATTACTTGTACCAGATACATTGCCTTTGGTAGGTACACCAGCCTCTTCGCATTTCTTTTTGTATTCTTGGTGTGTTCTATGAATAGCATTCATGACCAAATCGTGTGTTTTGTAGTCACGTCTTCGGCGAGTACCAAATTCTGAAAATATACAGCCATGTTCCAAAAGTATTCTTGTCTTTTCAGCAGCTTGTTCCACTTGACCTTCATAGTTCCAATCACGGTCTGTAAATCGGAAATAGGCTTCAGAAATCAAAGCGAGTAAAGGAACCTCGTATAAGATAGTTTCATGCCACTTTCCTGTTACTTCTAATTGTAAGTCACCCGTACTTTCGTCATATTCAATATTGACTTGCTCAGATGGTTTGTATTGGAATGTAAAGAGGTAGTCAACATATTCTTTTGTCATGTAGGGCAAGCGCGAAAGATAATCGCGTTCAGATTCTGTCAATTTAAGAAGTTCCAAATCTATATTGAAAGTATAAATTTCTTTGTATCACAATGTCAATCATACCTTTGACTTGTTTTTTAAGCCATTTTACAGATTCAGTATTCAGAGAAAGGTGTTTTTCGCGATTTGTAAACTGATATACAACAGGAACATCTTTTTTGTAATGTTGAATTACAGCTTGTTGCATAGTAAACTTGTACAAATCATTGTCCAAGATAGACTTGAACACTTCATGGTGGTTTGATTGTTCCATATAACTTAATTAAAGAGAAAAAAAAAGAAAAAAAAATATAAGGCTGTCGGAAGTTCCTTATGTATTTTTTTTTTCTTTTGATGATAAAGTTCGCTCATTTAAATGAATAGAGTTCCGCATATCAAGGACTTTTTTTTTTTGAGCAACAAACAGTATTGACAGATTCATGCATTGCCAAAAATAAAACAGAAAAGGCTAGTCATGTTAAAATACGTTTTGATGATCAACAAGGATATAAAAGCCCCTTGTTTTCTTTTTACCCTATGAAATTGACGCACATGTAAAGCATTGCAGAAAGTATTGAAATATGCTTGTAAAAACTGTCAGATTATGCAAGTCTCTTTGAGCTATGTAAAAGCAAGTTTCTCTTGTCTAGTATTGGACTCACTAATGACTTTATTAAAAGAGCTGGTGTTATTCAGTCATATCAGAAGGAAAAGATGCTTTATCTACTTTATTGCCCTCACTAGAAAAAAAAGAAAAAGAGAGATCGTTATTTGTTACACAACGAAAGCTTCCATCATCAAATATACAATCAAGAAAGCTATATAATAAGTTCTATTTGATGCTAAATTAGAGTAAACAGAATGTTCTTTTGTCTAAAGGAATCTTTTGCATAACTATCTAATTAAACATATATATCTTTTTAGAATCAAATATATATGTATATATATATCCTTTTCTTTTTTTGCTTAGTGTCTTTAGAGAATGAGTCAAGGGTCATTATTGGAAGCAATAATAATTATTGCATAATAAAGGAATAGTATGCTTAAAAAAAGGCATTATTTTTTTAAACCCAAGCATTTTTAAAGCAAGACATCATTACGTATATTTTTTTCTTTTCTTTTTTTTTTACTTAATTATTTCATAATGCGTATTTATGCTATTCCTATTGTCAAAAACCGTTGGGCATATTATTGCCACTCAACTGTTCCTGCAGTTTCACGTTTAGCAAAAGCAGTTGAGTGGTCAAGCAAAAAATGGGACCAGCTGGAAAAAGCAGAGCCTACTAGTTGGAAGAAGAAACTTTATGTACGCGGTACCAATATCATGAATCAACTGGACTATCAAGAATGGTTCTTTAAGAGTGTCCCAGCCAAAGAAGACATCGAGAAACCTCTTAACAAAGTAAGTATAAAAATCATTCAAAAGAAGAAAAAAAAAGAAGGAGAAAGGCTAATCACATTTGATGCTATACAAGGTATTGATCCATCACCCTTCCCTATTAAATGATGCTGCACTTGACAATGAATTGAAACTGTTGCTAAAAGAGAGAATTCCTTATCATAAGAAATACATGTGGTATTCTGCTTATTGGGTTCCTTTAGCATGTACATTTGCTATTGTACCCCTTGTGCCCAATATACCTCTGGCTTACAACTTGTTTCGATTATACAGTCACTACAAGGCTTACAAAGGTGCTGAACATTTGCAATCTTTATCCGACTATGGCAACTTGCGTTGTGAGAACGATGAGCGATTGAATGCTATTTTTGATCAACTCAGTTTGATGGACGATGATAAACTAGTGTTTCCATCTGAAATCCAGCATGCTTTCAAAGAATCACGCAAGAAGCCTAATTTGATCAGTCTGGAACAGGATTTGGAAGGCGTTTTAAATGCCAAAGAGATCAAAAGACTAGTAGAGACATTACAAGTGCCAGGTTTAGAAATGGAATTAAATCGAGCTCGTCTGCAGATACTGAAATTAATAGCAAAAGAAAGATTTCAACAACAATTATAGAATGTAAATATGATATAGAAACGATGGCTAATAATAAAGGAACATGGATATACGCCTTTTGCCAAGAAGATGTCTAAAAAAAGATTTGTTTTCTTATTCAGGGTCTCTGATAATACGTCTTTTGAATACAGTGAATTGTTAGTATCATAGGTAGATTTTCACAGTATTAGAAAGTCCCCGCATATTTCTCAAGTCAACTTTCAGTTTTATTAATTCGCTTGTTCCTTATTTAGAGATTTCTCAGCCAAGACGAAGTCCTTTCATTGGCTAATTTAAGCCACACTTAAATGAATGATCAAGTACTACTGTGTTTTTCTCGTTTTCTTTTGTTCCTTTTCCTTTATTTATATATAACTTTTTTATACCCAATATGAAGAACAGCTGTAGTGATAAAATATGTTGCTGTATACCGAGTCGTATCGGTGTACTCATAGTGTCCCTTATCATATTCGTGAGTAACAATACACGCCTTTTTAATCCTCCTATTAAAGAACACCAATTAGTCCGTTTATTTAGCTCTGACAGTATTGATGTTTGTGAGCAAAGAAGGTAAGACAAAACCAAAAGAGATCTACATATAGAACGGATATGATAGATATGGCATCATGGTCTACATCGCAAGAGGGTGTAAGAAATCCATTAACAATAGAAGCATATAATGGAATGTTTGAAGCATTTGCTACGATATTTATTGCTTATGTTGTAGTATCACTCTTAGGTACTGGTGCAGTATGGATGGTAAGCTATATTACCTGGTTCATATGAATTAACGCCAGTAGCGAAATAGAAAAGCAGTTCGTATTTATCATATTGTCAATTGGTTCTTTGTGTTGTTGCTCTTCACTATCACAATAGCCGTTTGGGCTTATTTTAATGTAGAGCAAAATACATATGTGAATGATTGTCAGGCACAACAAAACATAGCAAACAATGCTACTTTTAATCCTTATTACACGCCACTTGTCATTCCAGGCAAGCAATTGATAGCAGGTGGATCAGATAAATCTGAATGTATCAAGACGATAAAGAGATATGTTATTGCAGCTGGTTTTTGTGTCTTTTTCTGCAATTTTGTTCAGGTAAGGATATGCTATTCGACAAGTGTCCTTACCCTCCATATTGTAGATTTATTGGGCTAGAAGTATTGGGAAATACGCTACTTCACTCAAAAGAAGTTATCAACACAAACGGCTAGAAATGAAAGACGATGATATGATTTCTGTCAGTAGTGACTGATCTATTTATGATACAATTAAATACAAAGAAGCAATGCTGCTATCGTTAATTGCCACGAGCAGCATTAAGCACTTCATCAGCAAAATCATTCTCCTTCTTCTCAATACCTTCTCCAACTTCCCAACGAATAAAGTCAACAACTTCAGCACCATTGGCTGTTTGTTCCACATATTCGGCTATTGTGAGATCAGGCTTCAACAAATATCTTTGCTTGTTGAGTACGTGTGTTTCTTCAAATTCTTGCATGTTAGATTGGGATTGTCGTTCAGCTTCAGGTACATCTTCAGAATTGAGATAGGTAGGGTTGAAACCAACTACTTGGCGAGCAATTTGTCTAGCTGTCTTGGAGAGTGTATTAGCAGCCTCTTCATCTAATTCAGATAAAGCAACCTTTTTGGGTTGAAGGACAGCAATACCACCCATCTTACCGCTAGCAGCATCACCACCGTGAATATAACAAGCAGAGACACCTTCAGCAACAATAGCAGCACGACGCAAAGAAATGTTTTCACCCAATTTACCAATCGTCTCTACGATTGTTTCTTGAACTGTCTTTCCAGCATCGAGTGCGTTTAATTCTGTTTCACTGGGATGAGGCATGAGTGGTGCATTAAGGAGATTGTCAATAGCGATGGTTTCGATAAAACGACCTTTGACAGAACTTTCATGCATCAATAACGAAGTGGCAGCAATTCTAGATGCAAGGTTCTTAAACACATCATTTCTAGATACAAAGTCTGTTTCACAGTTAAGCTAATAAGCTATTAATACTACTGCATAGATCATGTAAGGAACTTACTTCGATAATAGTACTCTTGCTCTTGAAACCATTGGATACAGGAACTTGAACAGAAGCAGTAGTAATTAAACCTTCACCAGCAGTTCTTCCAGCAACCTTTTGAGCCTTCTTGGCACCAGAGACAGCAGCATCTTCCGATAACCAAGCTAGAGCCTTTGCATAGTCGTTATTGGTTTTGACAAGAGCTTCTTTAGCTTTTGACATGGAAACTTCGGTTTCTTTACGAAGTTCCTTGAGTAGCTTCATGCTGGGCTTCACCTCAGTAGAGTAGCATCGAGAAAACCCTTGTGAAAGGTTGCGAATCACACCGACCTTGTTCATTAGGATAAAATGAGGAAGAGAGAGAGAACAGGGGCAACGTCAAAAGGCTGCCTTCTCTTTTGAAAGCCAGCAAAGAGATGGACTTTGTTTCGCACCTCGAAAAAGTGGCTTAGAAGATGAAATTTTTTTTTTGAGTATTTGTTGAGCGCCATCGTTCTATTTGCTTTTACTCTTTCTCTTTCGTCTATACTTTGATCTCTGTAAGTACCCTTTTTTATGGTAAAGCAGTATGACTGATATCTATTTAGAAAATGGCCCCTACTGTCAAGTCTAAGAAGAACGCCGAATCCATCAACTCTCGTCTCCAACTTGTTACCAAGTCTGGTAAGTACACTCTCGGCTACAAGACTACTTTGAAGACCATTCGTCAAGGAAAGGGTAAGTTATCTAGACTACATCTGTTTTCTATCGGGGGGCAGGAGCCCACAATGTAGTCTTCTTGTCCCCTCTTTTTGGGCAGAGAATGTTCCCCCGAACCGTTTTGCTAATCTTTTCTTTATAGCCAAGTTGGTCATCATTGCTGGTAACTGCCCTCCTCTCCGCAAGTCCGAGATTGAATACTACGCCATGTTGTCCAAGACTGGTGTTCACCACTACAACGGTAACAACATCGACCTTGGTACCGCTTGTGGTAAGCTCTTCCGTACCAGTGTCCTCTCCATCACTGATGCTGGTGACTCTGATATCTTGACTGCCCAATAAGTCTAATTTTTTTAACAATGTATCTCTTTCTTTTTTAAATAATAAAGAAGACTAGATTTACTTGATCACATACAAAGTTTTTTTTTATTTTATTTTATTTTAATGTCCATTAGACATTGCTTTTTTGAGTTGTTCAGGGTCGTGAATGGGTAGACCGCAAGCAAAGTTCTCACAAATATAAGCTGCTGGTTCACTGGTTGTATTTTTGGAGGCTATTTCTTGAATAATGGCATTTCTGCTGGTAAGAAAACCATTGGGTTGAGCAAAAGCAACCAATTTGTTGGGCATAAATACACGAGAAACAATCTTTTGAAATAGCTTGAGATGATCGTTTGACGTGCCACCAGCCAAGACAATCTATACAGTAAGTTATATGATGGTATCTTTTTTTTATTTACCTCTTTAAGACCATTGGTGGCCAACATAAAAGAGGCTACTAACGCAGGTATGGCGAAAGGGAATTTAGTCAAAGACAATTTAAATGCATTAGCAGTCTCTTTTGCCTTTGTGTTGTATTCCGATACTTGTAAAAGTGAAGCGAGACGGACCAAATTTCTTAAAGAGACTGCATTGGCTGAAGGTTCAGCACCGTCTTGTTCTTCTTTCATTCTAAGCAAGAGATGTTTGTCTGAAATAGCTACATTGAAATAACCGCCTTCTTCTGAATCATAAAATAATTCATTTTGCTTTTGTTGAAGAGTGAATGCCCATTCAAGCCATTTCTCATCAAATGTAACTTCATATAAATCCAATAAAGCCTGAACAAGATAGCTATAGTCGTCAATAAATCCTTCAATGTCAGAAGTGCTTCCACAATAGCTTCTAAATAAGATATGATTGGAGGGCTGGTAGAGATGATTGTAGATGAAATTAGCGGCAGACACAGCCAATTGGAGAATATGTTCTCCTTCCAAGGCTTCATACGCATGAACAAGACCAGTAATCATTAAACCGTTCCAAGAGGTGATGATTTTCTCATCACGGTGTGGTTTAGGGCGTACTTTGGATCGATATTCCCAAAGTTTAGTTTGGCCTTCTTTCAAGATATGAGCGACTTCACTGGGTGTCATACCAGTAATCTTTGCAGTATCTTCTACTGATCCTCTTTCAGTCAATACATTCTATATCGATAGATCAACATATTGTTCTCTTCTTTTTTTTCTTTGTTACCTTATGCACCAATTCTTGATGAGGATCTTGAGCAGGATCTACATTGCCTTCTTCTTTACAGCTATAATGAACACCAAAGATACGTGATTTCTCTAATCCTAACACCTCTTGTAATTCAGACATTTCCCAAACACAAAATGCGCCTTCCAATTTTTTGGAAGCATTTTGTGTAGGCAATGAATCAGCATCTTCAGCAGAATAAAATCCACCTTGATTATGCTGCAAATCACGAGAAACATACTGAATAATGTCCTTGGTCACATTGGCAAATAAAGGTTCACCTGTGATTTGATATGCAGAAGAATACAGCGATAACAGTTGGGCTTGATCATATAGCATTTTTTCAAAGTGAGGTACATGCCATATTTTGTCTGTACTGTAACGATGAAATCCACTACCTACATGGTCTGCCTTATGTTAGTTTGGTAACAAACATAAGTTTACTTACCATGAATACCACCACTAGCAATCTTCTTTAGTGTAAATAAAGCCATATCCAATGCCTTTTGTGCATCATTGGCTCTTGCAACATGTTGACGGTTGTACATGTAATAGTCAATCAAGAATTGAAGTTGAACAGGTGTAGGGAATTTAGGGGCTGAACCAAATCCACCATGAACAGCATCAAATGAGTTCTCAAAGTGGTGATATGTTTCTGCAGCAATTTCATTTGGATCCAATTCATCACTTGATTCTGCAGGTTTTGCCTACGACATAACATAAATAAACATCTAGGATCTGCTATGTATGCTTACTTGAATATAAGATCTCAATTGTTCAGTCACATTCTTTCCACTTGCAATGACTTTATCAGGGTTTGCATTCCAAAGTTGTGCAATACGCTTTAAGAGTGTCTTGAATCCAGGCTTACCAAATTGATCTTGAGGAGGGAAATAGGTTCCACCGAAAAATGGATTAAGTTCAGGTGTCAAAAAGACAGACATAGGCCATCCACCTCCTCCAGAAGTCAATTGAATATAAGTCATGTATAGCTTATCTACTCCTGGATTCTCTTCTCTAATGTCTTATTTTAGAACGATTGTTTCATTCCATGTTTTTTTTACCTGTCCACTAGGGGGGAGGGGAAGGTGTTAGACGAATGGCTTACGTAATTCTCTGACTTACCTTTGATGCTGACAAAATATGTATTCATAATCTCGGCTATTTCTCGATTCTCAAACGATTCATGCTCCATAACATGGCACCAACTACAAGGAATACATAAGAAATAAACATAACGTTCATAAGACTTACTGGCATGTACTATAACCTACACTCAAAAAGATAGGTTTATTCTCGGCTTTTGATTTGTCGAAGGCTTCTTGTCCCCATGGATACCAGTCAATCTACTCGGCTGTCAATAAATGGAATGCATAATTTTATACTTACGGGATTATGAGCTAATAAACAGTCCAAAAAAAACAAGTTAACATCGCTTACTAGAAAAAAGAAAAACTATTACCGTGTTGCTAATGACAAGTGAAGAAGACAAAAAAAAAGTGAGTCGAATAGCTAAAAGCTTTTTTTGTGTATATTACCAATAAGTAAGGACTTTTCTCGTTAATAAGTCTATTAGTCATAAAGAAGAAGAAAAAAAAAAAAAAAAAACTTTATTCACAAGAAATAAAAGGCCTAGCCAATCAATACCTTGCATTGATGAAAAGAAGAGCATAAATACGAGTTTATTATTAACGAGAAGAACTAGAACTAGAAGAAGAAGGCTTTTTGCTGTTAAATAACTTTGACAAGGAGACCTTCTTTCTGACACGAACAATAAAGTGATTACGTTGTGGTTGATCCTTATGAGGAGGGAGTGGTGGTGGTGAGGAACGAGTAGGGATTTTAGAAGTAAAAGTAGGTTTACTAGGAAAGGACTTACTTTTCGTGATCTTTATCTTATCGTTTTGAATGGCGCTGGTACTATAGGATGCCTCAGGTACACTGTTGTTGCTGGAAGAATAATAGTTTGAGAAAGGTTGACAACGAGGAGCCAGGTTATTACTGATAGGTCGAAAAGCTGTAATGCTTGATTCACTTCGTGCCATCAAAAAAGGTTGCTTGGATACCTTTTTTGATTCGCGAGAGTACATGTTAGCAAAAGAATCATCTGTCTGCACTTTTTCATTCGCAAAAACAGTAGGCTGCTCTTCTTCTTCTTGCTTGTCTCTTGAAACAACAACAATAGGCGGAGATGATAAAGAGGGTGCCAAAGGGGGTGGTGGACGTGTATCATTACCTAAGAACCAACTCTTCCATTGAGCACCACTGGGCAAAATAGGAGAACTTGTTTCACTATGAACAGAAGTAAAAACACTACTTGCATCAGAGAATTCTTGTTGTTGATTGTCTCCTTTCCAAAGATGGGGTGTTGAATGATATAATTGTTGATAATAGCTTTCATATTTTCTATTCAACCTGTGAACCATCTCTTTCTGACTAGTGGGCATATCAGGAGTTGAGCTAGAGGAGCCAATACGGGATCTTCTGGTAGCAGACAAATGCAAAGGCTGTTCAAGTAACAAGGTCATACGACGAGCTCTCAATGTTTCGTTCTCTACTGTGGATTCAGGAACAATGGGGGTAGTCACAATGGCTTCATCTTGGTCTTGTTCAGCGGTAGAATGCATTTGATGTTTCATTAACAAGGGAGCATGTACTTCTTCATCTTCATCTTCATCTTCTTCTGTACCAGACAGAGAGAACCGTTCATTCGAAGGCATACCAAAACTCACCATGAAGCCAGGATCGCCTAAAGCCTGTAACATTTCCTGACGTGCATTCAAAGATCGCTGCATCAATTTAAGGCTCAAGATGTTCATTGTGTGTACTGCTTCTGTCAGGCTAAGCGAATCACGAGCACTCCATGCTTGTGCACACTGAAGCATTTGCTTAGAGTCTAGCCATTGTTGATCGAGATAATGATCCATGAGTCGCAACCAGGCAAATCGAATGTAATCGTTGTTATGAGAAGAAGGCGTATGTTCAATAAGTTGATTTTTCCATGCTCGAATGAGTGCTTCATATTCTTGTTCTACGTAAGGATCGTGAGGATGAATGAATGACTTTTTCTTTTGAGGTGCGTCCTGCGCATCTTGTGTGTTACAAAGCATAATAATAAAAAGGAATGGAAAGGAGAGAGAGAGAAAAAGAGAGTGAAATAGAATTCAATTAAACAGAAGCACAGTTTATTTATACATGGATGTTTATCCTAATTTTGACATTTATTGCATTCCATCTGTGTATGTGCTTTTATATGAAAAAGTCCCCTTTATTTAATCCCTTCTTTTTAATTTTACAAATGAGGAAGCCACTTGTTTGAAGTGTGTTACAAACAAATAAAAAAAAAAGAGAAAGAGAAATACAAAACTTTGTTTTCTCTTTTTTCTTTTCTTTTATGGTTGTATCCACTATTGGTAGCAGTACCAAAATGCCTGAATCTGAATCGGACACAAAATCAGTGCTTCTCAAATCCAGTTTCTTTAAAGAAGTAGCAAGTAATGTATCTTGTAAACGCGCTTAAATAGCATAAAACAGAGTTTATAAACCCTATCACTCCTTAATAGACCTTGATAAAAAACAAGGAGGTTTACCAGTGACAGTTTGGCGTCATGTTCCCATACCAGATATCGTTCAAGTAGCTTCTGCTACATTGGTATGTTACTGCTCTTTATATGTTATCATTCACACCTTATCTATAGGAAAGTTTATACAATACACCAGCCCCTCAAACAGTCAAGTTGGAAGAAGAAGAAGGGTTTGAGTTGCTGAAAAAAAGTTTACTTGAAAGGTATTTGCTTTTTTTATGATCATTCATCTAACGCGTATGACAAGTAAAAACATTGAAGTCGTCAGAAAAAAGAACTTTTTTAATGAGGAAGTAACTGAAGAAGAGCGTGAAATTATCGCTCAGCGTGTTGCACTTCAACAGCGTCAATTTGCTGCTTATGAATATCGAGAAAAAGTCCGTAAATCAAACAAGATACGAACTGTGTTTGATTATGTGACAGATGAAGAAATCACTGAACTGCTTGAGGATTGTCATCAAGATGAAGTATGTTAGTCTTGTTGATATACATTATAACTCTTTTTTGGTAGGATGAAGTGATTTATAACTTGACAAAGCAGGGTTATTTGCATGGTATTCGCAAGAAGATTGCATTAAAATATGCAGATGAAGAATCCAGCTATGCGCCTGTTATGAGCACAGAGCAGCGTGTAGCTTATCAACAATTACTCAAAAAGAGAAAAGAAACACTAAAAAAGACAATCAATGAAGATGCTAAAAAGTAAGCTTAATGTCCATAGCCCTAATCTCATCTTTCTTGTTAGACGATACCGCACTTATGAACGACTCGGGTTGGATGAAGCATTGGAAAAACTAAACAATAATGAAGTAGATCCTGAAAAAGCCTTTGAAGGATGGTCTGAAGCTCGAATTAGAGCTTATCAGATGATTGAGCAAAACCCAAACAGTTATTATTATCGTTTCAATGCACCAGGAGAAATTCAACGCCGAGGTCAATGGAGTGAGGTAAAGAAAAAGACTTGTATTTGTCTTTGCTCAACTTTATTCTTTAGGAAGAAAAGAAACTGTTCCATAAAAGACTGGCTGAAGTAGGAGCTAATGGTCAATGGGGCATCTTCTCTATAAAAATACCTGGTCGTGTTGGATATCAGGTAAATTGTATGTGTGTGCATAATCCATCATATTCATATTGTTCTATAGTGTTCCAATTACTATAGACTCTTGATTGAAACCCATCAAATTTCTGACCCTAATTATGTACTTGATGAAAAGGGAAAAGCACACTTTTTATTTGAAAAGAAAAGCTCTGATGGACAAGTCAAAAAAACATTCCGTACCCATTGCAAACTCGCTAGTTCGAAAAAGAAGAAGGAGAGTATGGAGGTAGAAATAGAGGCAGAAAGTTCTTCTAGTACAATAATCGCTGAAAGCTCTACATCAAAACAAAAATCAGCAACCACAAAACCATCACCACCCGTATCATCAGAACAAGTCAAAGGGCGCAGACAAACATCGCTTGCTAATGGCTCTACTTCTGCTGCTGCTGCTACTACTGCTACTACTCTTTCTACTGCTGCTAAACCAACTACTGGTGTTAGAAGGCGTCGACGTGTGGTCAAGACAGACGACGATACCAGTGATGATTATGATGATGATTATTCTGGCATGTTTACGACTCGTGCCAAGACGGATCATGATGAAAAACGACGTAGCAAACGACAAAGACGCCCTACAGCCAATGCGATTGAATCAGGCTATGCAGAACAATTGCTTGGAACCACCGTCTCTTGGAAAGAAGAAGACGACTACGAGGATCAAGAAGAAGGAGAAGAAGATGAAGTAGATCCTTTGTGTCCATTGCCTGGATTTATAGATCCTATTACGCTGGAACAAGTAGAAAAACCTGCTATATCAAAATATGGACATGTTATGGGGTAAATGAACATCTTGACGAAATTACTTGTTAAATTGTATCTTTTTAGCTACGATAGCTGGCTTCGATGCTTGAATAACTGGGAAGGCAAAAAAAATATTTGTCCCTTGACCAAGAAGCCTCTTACTAAACGAGATTTAGGTAAAATAATTTGGCTTGTTTGTATATACTCATTCTCTATAGTTATCTTGACATTTGATAATGTTGCTGAATACAGGTAAGTTGATACACTCTAAAGAAACATGATTAACTTTTTTTTTTTCGATAGAGATAAAATTGTCAATTTATAAACTCAATAAAAGAAGGGGTTTATTTAAGATGAATAGATGATTATATAGTGTATGGTTTCCAAAATGGAATCTAAATGATGACAGGGTTGTATGATACAAGCGAATTATACATAGAAAAAAAGCGGAAGGATCTAATAGGCCTTTTCCAAAGCTTGCTTGAGATCAGCAATCAAATCTTGCTTGTTTTCAATACCAATAGAGACACGAACCAAAGTATCAGTGATACCTAAAGCAGCACGGTCTTCAGGGCTAACAGAACCATGTGTCATGATAGCAGGTACTTCAACAAGACTTTCAACACCACCCAAAGATTCAGCCAAAGTGATGTGTTCAAGGTTGCCCAACAACTTGTTCACATTATCTAAATTACCTTTCATACGGAAAGAAATCATACCACCAAAACCTCTCTGTTGCTTCTTGGCCAATTCGTGGTTAGGGTGAGAAGGCAAACCGGGGTAAATGACTTCTTCAACATGTTCATTGGTTTCCAAATATTCAGCAACAGCTTGAGCATTTTCAGCGTGTCTTTGCATACGGATTTCGAGTGTCATGAGACCACGACGAGCCATGAAACAGTCAAAGGCAGAAGGAACAGCACCCAAAGAGTTTTGCATGAATGCCAACTTGCTGTACCATTCTTCATTGTTGGTGACAGCAACACCCATCACAACATCAGAGTGGCCGTTGATGTATTTAGTAACAGAGTGAACAACAATGTCAGCACCCAAACTGATGGGGTTTTGGAAGTATGGAGACATGAAGGTGTTATCGACAACTAAGAGAGCACCATGAGCATGGGCACGTTCAGCGATGGCTTGGATATCAATGATACGAAGGGTAGGGTTAGTGGGGGTTTCGAGCCAGACCAACTTGGTGTTGGGCTTGAAATGGGACTCAATGTTGGCAGGATCACTCAAGTTGACAAAGGTAGTTTCAATGCCCAAGTTAACAGCGACCTTGGTGAAGTAACGGTAGGTACCACCGTAAACATCGTTGACAGAGATCAAGTGAGAACCTTGAGCCAAAGAGTTGACAATGGTAGCAGTAGTAGCAGAACCAGAGGCAAATGCAAGACCGTACTTGGCACCTTCAAGATTGGCAATGGCCTCTTCAAAGTTATTACGGTTAGGATTACCAGAACGAGAATATTCAAAACCCTGTAGATGGATAAATATATTTTTCTAGTGTTTAAATAAAACTTACAGTATGAACACCAGCAGCAGATTGCTTGTAGGTAGTTGAGAGTGAAAGAGCGGGGATCACAGCGCCAGTAGTGGGGTCAGGGCGTTGAGCAGCATGAACAGCACGAGTACCAAATCCGAAAGACATCTTGACTGTAAACAAGAGAACAAAAGAGCAAAAAAAAAAAAGAAGAGGAATGTACAGGTTTATAAAGAAAACATTTTTTGTGACGGGTAGAGCACAACAATTTGCTTTCCGAAGCACGACATTCTATTTGTTTTTGGATTGGTAAGCAAAAGAAAGAACAAGTTTGAAACAAGCCACTCTACCTAGAAGAGTTTGTTTTTATTCATAATTTCCAAAAGAATACAACTTGTCTCTTTTTGATAGAATCCAGGTTCCTAAATTATATTTTTTGAACTTTAAAATGACCCTGGGAAAGTTTCGTTTATTTGTGTTACTCATTGACCCAGGACAATACTTCTAACATTCTGTACAGTCCGGCTAGTTGACATTGTCGGTTACGAAAAAAAATACGTATCGGTCATAAGAATGATACTGGCGGTTAATGCAGTTCCTTTTGTCGTACGGTACCTTTTCATTGTTTTCTCTTGTTTGTTTGATAAACAGAAAGTCAATGAGAATATTTTCATTTCTGAGAGAAATACAAAAAATGTTTACTGTTATCAAAAGACAATGTTAACAATAACAGAATGAAAAATCACCCATTATTGTCAAGTAAATGATTTGTTGATAAATAAATGCTTTTGAGAAATTTCTTTAGAAATTGGTGAACTTGACACGTTTATTATATTGGGTTCTAATGCGTTTAATTTTTAAAAAACTACTTTTCTTTTCTTAATGATCTTGTTTAAAAATCTTCTTCATGGTAAAGACGCTGCCATGAACAAGTGCGTAATTTTTCCACATTTGATAGAAGATTTCCTGTATTCAGCGGAAGAATTCTTCCGTCGGTAACGCTGCAGTGGTAGCATTACAAATAAGGACTAGTATAGCTTAGGCTCACTTAAAATGGAATTGATATTCAGATAGGATTGGATGGTATTGTCAAATAACAATCCTCTGAAGCTTGGTGTAAGTAGGGTGTCCTCTAGAAAAAATCTGAGTTTGAGTTGGTATATTCATATCGAAAAATAAAAATCCAAAAACAAGGGAATTTAGAAATTCAAGAGAAATGATGGGCTAAAAGTGTCTAAAAACGAAGAGCTATGAGAAAAGTGTATTAGCAAAGTTGGTAGATATAGATGAGAAGCATTTAATGGTCTAGGAAACATAGCATGCTGAATATCAAGATAGTGAGCTATCCTTCAAAAACGTATTCTTCTGTTTTTTAGCCGTAACGTACACTTTTTATGCTACTTTTGCAGATCTAACACTTTGAGTGTATTTCATAAACCTAGAGAAATAATTCGTACCAAGGCATGTTATGTCTATAATGTCTCTGTCGCTCACAAATCGCAAAATAGTGAAACTGAAGATTTCGTAAGAGTATCATAAGGGCAAATTGACGATTTTTTGACTTTTTCAAAACTTGCTATATTTATGCATCGATATGTTCTTTTATGGATACTCAAACATAAGAAACTCGAAAGAAGGGAACTAGAAGACAGAAATGATGGTTTATTATTATGCTTATCCATCTTATTCAAAAATGAGTTATAAGGAAAGTTAGTTTATGTATATTCTTATCTCAGGCTCCACTGATCAGTAGAGTTCTAAATAAGAGACATACTAGCTGAGGCAGATGAGCTACAATAAAATAAGAAGCAAGTATTAGCAGTAGCAGAAACATCATCGTCTTCCTTTTTCCTCTTGTTCAGGGAACTTTATTGGAGGCAACAGAAAATGCTTAATAATCCTTTGTTCCGCAGTTCAGTTTTAAGAAACCTTCAATTTAACGTTATATATTTGTGAAATACTAGAAAGTTCCATAATTAGTAACCGTACATTACAATGGCCATTGTTTGTATATCGATATAGTCTAATGAGCCAATTTATTTTCGATCTGATTGGCTATGATGCTCAAACAGGAGTAAAGCATTTCTAACTTCCGCAACAAGTGTGCATGAAGAATGCTTTTTTTTTTTGTAAATCTCTTTATTTTTCATTTTTTATAAAGGGGGAGGGGGGGGGAATAAATGAAAAAAGAAAGAGAAGAAGTGGGCTTTTTTTTTAATAAAGTACATCTACATTCAAAAGATTAGGATTGGCCAGCCTAAAATAAAGAAAAAAAGGGGGGAATTAAATAGAATGGTTTGCTGTTTAAATTGTATATATAGAAAAAGATTAGTTAATGCCGTCAGACAAGTTGAGTAATAATTGACCAAGACAACGTTTTGTAGCAATATCATCTTTTAAGGCTTGGTGGAAAGTAGAATCACGAAGTGGTTCAGGGAGACATTGACGCAACGCTTCACGTGCCCTATTATAGATATAAACTTAATTAAACAATCTCAACTTTGTTTCTTTTTACCTTGGGTTTTCAGATAGGCGTAAATAACAACGAATAACATGCTTAAGCAAGCGCATGGCTTGATTCTCAACTAATTGGTTGACCATATTATGCAATACTGTAGCAACTGCATAAAAGCGTTCATATGTTTGACAGATATAATACTAATATAATGTTAGCCCATGTGTATAGTGCTGTATAACTTTACCAAGCCTGTCTCGTCTAAAAGGATTTTTTGAACTACAAAGATGGCTACTGTCTTTGAGAGTTCGCTGCCTGTTTCCATAATACGAAGACAGAGAGGAATAATTTCAGTAGATAATAAAAAGCTAATGACTTCAGGATTATCATTCTAAGACGCATACATGGATGAGTTTCATACTAGTCATGATTCACTCTTACCTTAACCAAAGCACCAATGACACCCAAACTTGTTAATCTTAGATATTCAAAAGGACGGGTCTTGCTAGTTGTATTCAAGAATGGGTACAAATAAAGAGGAATATGAGCTAAGATGGATATTAACAACATAGTTTTTTTTTTTTTTTTTTTTTTGCATTTTGAATTACCTTGAAGAAATAAGCTTCTGGTTTCATTATGATTGGCAACACATTGAAGAAGAGCAAGTGCATTACAGACTCGATTAGAGGCTCCTCCGCTTAAAGTAGGGGGTGTCAATAAAGGATAGACCGTAATGATTTCCTGAAGCAAGACTGGAATGACGCCTAGAATACATAATAAGCAAACCATCATGAGTCTAATTTACACATACCATAAGAATACCATAAAACAAGTGCTAAATCTTCATATTGTTCTCTCTTTTTACTTAGGTCTAACAAAGCTTGTTCTCTCGAAGAAGGATTGAGCAAGTCCAATACAAGTCCATAAATCTTTTCTTCATCTAATTGTTGTAGTTTTTGTTCTGGTTGAGGAAGTTGTGGTTGTTGTGCCTGCATAGCAAAAGCATTAGACATTGGCATAGCTTGTGAGACAGCAGCAGCATTGTTCATCATTTGAGCATAGACAAAAGGATCCCCATTAGTACCAGCATTCCGATTCATGGCTGGAAAGTGCTGAGACAACGCGTTCATATTATTGTTGGGGCCACCTGGCTGAAGTGTAGCAGCAGTAAGAGGATTGGCTCCTCCTGCTAAAGAGGATTGTTGTAAATATTGATGAAGATGGGAGTTTGGGTGCATACGAAATACAGATATATATATATATATATAAGAAAAAGATGATTTAAAAAAATTGTTTTCTGCCACGGGATTTAGTGTTTATTTTTCAAAAACAGTGATAAAAATATTTACAAAAAGAAGCGTTTACGACTGGTTTCCATCTCTGGCTTGAAGATCCATTCATATTCACCATCACGCTTATAAATGCCCTTCTGCAACCAACGAAGTTTTAAGGTAAATTTAGGCCCCAATTCCTGCAAGCCAACTTTTTCTGTATCTTTGAATACATAACGATGGCGACGTACAAAGATAAAATCGCGTTGGTTATGAAAAGTAATGACTTGTCTACCTTGGAATTCAGGTACTTGAGGCAAAAGTGCTTGGAACATACGGCCAACTGTATGGCCCAATCTAGTGTTGAAGTTATTTAAAATCAATTCGGGATTATGAGCAGTAACTCGGCCATGATTCTATACGAGATTAGTTGTCTATCAAATCATAGAAATAGCTTACAGAAATGGCTTTAGCTGGTGTAAAACTCGTAAGTTTGAAATAAGCAGAAGGGCCTTCAGGTAAATGTATTAAAGTAATGGCATCTAATGGCAGTTAAGTATCCCTGATCTTTCATACACTAGATACTTACTAGGCACTTTGCGGTCTTCATTCACAATAAGCAAATCAGTAAACTCTTTCTCGGTTGCAGTTTTTATTACATGTCTTAATTCATGCTTGGGTCCACGTTTGCCAAATTGTGCATTAGGAAACATAGACACTAATTCGGCACAGAAATCATAACAGTTGGAGGAAGCATTTTTACTTGAAGTGATGAGCACTTTAGGTGTCTTTCCTGAAAAATAGCTGGCTAATTCATCCATGGCCTCATCCTGAGCCACTTCGTCGTCTTGCTCCACCATGGTTTCGTCTACTTCTCTTGTATTATCCAATGTCTTGGGCACATTTTCCTCTAAACGTTTCTATTTGAGAGTGAGTCGATCCGTCTGGAAGAGACCTCATTTACCTTTTTTAACTCTGGATCTTTTTCTTCAGCTTTCGCTCTTTCTTTTCTTTTAGCAGCTTTTGCTTTTTGTTTTTCGAGTTTTTGTTTTTGATACAAGTTTTCTCTTTTGTGTTTGTTTTTGAGTTCAGAAGGACGACTGACAGGTTCTTTCATTTTGGCTAGAGTTTAAGAGATAGTTTTTTTTTTTTCTCAACAAGTGACAAGAAGTAAGCCAAAAAAATCAGTCACAATAGCAGTCATCTTCTCTCAAAAAGGGTTGATAGGTGATACTCAGGGACATTTTGTGGATTGCTTCCACTATGGGCAAACGTCAAAAGCCCTAATTTGTCGTCAAGATAGTGTGAATACAGCTATTTTGTGATCCGCACATGTCTAGTGTTTTGATTTGAGATAATGCGAATAGTGAGATATTACCTAGTATTCTCTTTTCACATAGCTGCATGATAAAGCATTTCGATTGCTGCCGAGACTTCTCATAGATCGTTCGATAAAGAGAGCTATAGGTATCAACATGCGCCATAGTTAAAAAGGGAAAAAATGGTTCAAAAAAGACACACAACAACAAGAAAAGACGACTTTAATTAGGTGAAAAATATAATACAGTGCTTCCACTGCTATTTGGACACTTTTTAAAGTCATTGGTCGGAAGTTAAAAACCAATTGGTCATTTTGATTTGTGATGACCTGAATATTGAACTTTTGCAATCTGCACCTTTATTTTGAGATTCATTATTTTGTCATTATATAAATTTACGTGTAACCAAGAGTGTAATTCTTAATTACAACTCTTTCATTCACTTTCATTTCTCCCCATTTTTCTCTAAAACTTCTAAAAAACACACATACAACCTCAAGACTACTTTTATAATTATCACTTTTATTACCAGCATCACTTGGTTAGTTTTAATTATAATTTTCAATCATTAGTTACAAACTTATTAACAAACAAATAAAGTTGGTATTATTCTTTTAGTTAAAACAACAGTCCACAAATTAATTTTCTAAAAGTTATAAGGGCATTTTATTTTGACACCTTTCAAATTGATTTACTAAATGCTGAATAATGTTTTCAAGGTGAACAATTGGTACAGCTTCACTAGCCTCAGTTATTCTAGAAGCAAGAGTTTCTATATTACTAAGCTTGGTTCGTCTTACTTTAGCTTTTATGATGGACCAGAATTGTTCGATTGGATTTAATTCCGGCGAGTAGGGTGGAAGGTATACTGGGATGTAGCCTCGCTGCATGATTATTGGATTGATTATTTCAGGGACATGAATTGAAGCATTATCCATAATGATAAAGCAATCTTTCACTTCTGAAAACTCATCCATGATATCCATGGTATCACTAATGAACTGAAGATAATGTTCACTTGTAGTACCCTTGGGTACAGGCAATTGATCTTCAGGTCCCTTTCTTTTTGTAGCTCCCATTACTTTCCTTCTCTTCAAATTTCCAGACTCTCTTAGCTTCATATTCACAACACCGATTGCCGAAATTGCACCAAGAACACTATGCGAAGTAGCTTTTGTCGACGGAGTCTCAGTGACTGACTTTGAACCGTGTGGTGACCAGCCTCGACTACGACACATGTTGATATCAAATCCGGACTCATCAACAAATATACAGTTCTTGAGATAGTCCATACCATTTTGAACCCACCTTTCAACCCAATCTACTCGTTTCTGAAGGTTTTCCTCTTTGTTTCTGGCAACAGGATGTCGACTTACAATCTTAATACTAAGGTTCCACTCCCCCTTTATAAAATCGACTACCCTTGACTTTTTTATATCCAAGTCCGCAAACTTCGTAATCAAGTCCTCTACAGCGTCCTGAATTGTTGCCGTAGAATCTTCGTCAAAAAATTGATTAAATGAGACTTATGGGCTTCATTTAGCTGGCTGACTATTCTATAAATGGTTTTATTGGTTTTTTTAACTGGGATATTTCTCTCAGGATAATCCTCATATGTTTGTTTCCACTTGCGAGCAGTGTCGTAATTGACATTGGCTGCTATGGCTGCTTGCTTTGGTTTCATGAGTCTTTCCTTTAAGAAATAAAAATAACGCTTGCGATCTTCGAACATATAAACGTTATATTGCAGATCTCTTTCCTTCTTAGGCTCAGCCTCTTTCATCTCAGTGTCGGCTAGAGATCTTGTTTCAACCTGAACTTCTTGGTTTTCGAAGATCTGTCAATTTTTTCAAGCGAAATGATTTATCCTCGACGTAACTCGGTGCTTCCTGACCTTGCTCGTCAAAAACGCTACCAGTAACGTCTTCATAGAAAAAGAGATTGTTCATGTTCTGGCTCACTGTAAAAGTAAAATAATAATAAAACGTCTCAATAACGACCAAATAAAAGCTCACAAAAATGACCAATTGGTCTTTAACTTCCGACCAATGATTTCAAAAAAGTGTCCAAATAGCAGTGGAAGCACTGTATAAAAGATTAGTTCTTTTCATAGTAAGAAGTCATACTTTTATTAATCCATACAAACAGAACTGTACCATTTTTTGTTAAGATATGTGTACATCCTCTTGGTGCATTATTTTAACCAATAATCCATTAAAAGAACAGAAAAATAAACAGGATTATAATGGGTAATTATACACGCATGGATACTCCAAACACCTCAAATTATGTTTTCTAACATATGAGATACCTTTGGAGATGATTTGAACTTAAAAAAAGCGACTTGTAAAAATTGACCAAAATATGCCTTTCGACCATAGGGTACTATTCATGAAAATCGTCATTCTGAAAACTTCTGAACTTCTTTTTGACACTACATGGCGAAAAATAGAGCTATTGACAAGCTTGAATACTCAGATTGCGCTTCAGAGGCTATAGTTTTTGGCGAATGTGTTTGCTTGCCAATTGTACTATAAAAATGATAAGATACGAGTGAAAAACCTCGTAAACATGTCTGCACAGTTGCTTCATATTTTGAAAGCAAAAACGCTATTTTTTTTTTATATCAATAGACTCAAAAATCAAAGATCTACAACTTTTGCCACTATATCAAAATCAAAAGAAAAAAACTGCGTCTTTATGCAGTTCTCAGCAAAAGCTTGATCTTAATGCATCGGGAAAAAGATTTGGAATTGCTTTCATTGTGGGGTTCAATATCGGATATCAGACCTTAAGAGGACAACACTAAATTTGTATAATTGTAACAAAATCACAAACACGAAGCTATAAACAAATCTCAAAATGTATGTACGAGGGAGGAGGGCACTCGAGATTATTTCACCTCTTATGCACTGACTCAAAATAAAAACTAGCTCAGTTTTTTATCATTCGAATTTAGCAATAAAGGTGTCCTAATCCAAGAGCCCTTTAATATGTCAAGATGATACTTAAATGCATTCAGTTGTTTATGAATGATTTGTTAAGATGTTTATTTTAAGACAATATAAGTAGAAAAAAACCAATGCTCGGTGGTACAGCCTTTGGCATCAATCACAGCTTGGTATTGGTTGGTAGTAGTATGAATGTAATAAAAAGATAATATGAGAGGTATTCAATTACTACCTTATATTAAAAATCCTGCTTATCAAAAGCTTGATTCACAAGATAGTACATACAATTAAAGAAAAGCAAAACTCTTTGAGCCCTCCCCCCTTATTATCATCGCGCTTCATTTTCTTTACTATACAGATCCAATTCTGCTTTTTAATAAACTTTCTTCTACCTACTGATGCAAAAGTAAGAGTTAGTTTTTCTTTCTTCTTCTCGTTAAACAATCGTTTTCAAAACAGTCGCTTATAAAGTCACGTTTAAAGAATCTTGCAAACAGCCTTTACAATTTGATTGTCAATAAACAGTTTACTTGAGAAAAAGGTAGATATTTTAAGGTAGATTTATTTTCTACTTTAGTACTATAGAAGGATATATTGCTATTCAAGTGCATGATATTTTGAAGTTTTGCTTGAGCATACGAAATCAAAGAAAGGCAATGTTTGCTTATAGAAAATGTCAAAATATTGGAAAACTTGTTCTAGCTTTATGATGCACGATATATAACAGCTGGCCTTTGATATATATTCGATATGGTACAAATTGCCTTATGCTCACAATTCCAGTTGGGTTACTGAATTTTCCGTAACTAAGAATATATCCAGCTCAAAAGGTACATTGTCATTTGCATGATTTAATGAAATCAATCGTATGTAGTCTCGAGAAAAACACCAATCATCAATGCATATGTATACACCGAGCTCTGATGACTTTCTCTTGCTACTACATTATTTTATTGACTATCAAATTTATGGAGGTATAAATGTATATGTACAAAGATGCAAGTCTAACATGTAATTATATTTGTAGCTATAATATGTTTGAAATCAGAACAATTCTACCTCAAAGGCAAAATTTTAGGACTGGAAGCCACTCAAGGTCTATTGCTCATTATTAAATAACATTTAATGACAACGAACAAGATAGATGAGCAAGCAATAGCAAGGTTTTTTAATCTGAAATCAATTCCTAGCACACTGAGCACCGCAATGATAAGCTTGGTACTTCTTTTTATACCCTCCTCAAAATTCAAGAAAGCCTTTTCGTCTTCCTAAAACCCCCTCCATTAATGAAACTGATTTAGTGTCACCATTGCCTTAGACAGCATCTCCTCGAACTTGGGGAGGCAGCTTGAAAAGGCCTAAAATTGAAAAAAAACAGAATGTGTCATTGTGAACGATCCTTCGGCTAAACTCGATTGAGCGAAATTGAATAAGAAGGCTCAGCCATTTTGTGTGTGCAGGATGCTTTGAAAGGCAAGTCGTTCCTTGTTCGTTACATAAGATATCCTTTTTCTAAAATACACTACACTAGTTTAATTCTTTTTTTTTTTTTTTTTTTTTTTTTTTTTTGGGCGAAAAGCGTATACTAAATCTTCGAAAAGACTAAACCAGTAAAGATACTGCCTACTATCACAAATCCAACAACAACAGAAGTACATTGAATGATTGATTGATGGATTTTACGCACAAAGTGATATGTCTCATTTGAACGTGTTGTCACCTGACTTGAATCTTTGGGTTGTAACCACAATATCAGGAACTGCTCCAGAGCAAATTCACCATCTAATTTGAAAGCAGGCAAAATGTTCAACATGGCCAGAGCAAGTGTAAAAGAAGAAATATATCTAGCATAATCATAAATCAACTAGTTGTTTTCTTTCCTCGTACCTCAATAACAGCTCCAATACATGCGGTAAAGAAGAAGGCAAGATCCAATAACGAGGAATTAATAAGCTCACTTTGACTGCAAATATAAATTAAAAAAAATCTCCCTTCCTTTTATATTGTATACATACCACTTTCCCAAATATCAACCAATTCACCTTCAAAGATAAAGATCTTTTCATTATTTTCTTCACCAATATCTATCCAGCTTGGAAAGCGTGCATATATTCGTACTACTTGGCCTGTAGCAGATGGCGTGTAAGGTACCACACAATTCATATCACCAGAACAGTCTAAATTCATGTTACAACGCTCAGTATTTGTTGATGACAATACAGAGAGTGTTGGTAAACAACTCTGGACTGTCTGTTGCAATAAAATTGGATAAGCATCATAAATGAGAGAGAAAAAGAACACGCATTACCTTTTGTCCTGTCTTAGGAAATGATTCAAAGCAAGAAATGGAAGCGTTTGTTGATTGACCAAAAGGATATGTATCACTTATTTGGCAACAATCAATCGACTGTTCTTCTGAAAACAATTCTTTTGCAACACAAAATCCTTTGTTGATTTGATGTCTACCATCTTCAACAAACAAGTGCGCATTCCAATCCTCTATATTGTTTGTTAACGGAAAATCGTCTAATTGGTATATCACAGTAGAAGGAAGCAAATGAGGCGCCAAAGGTGAATTACCACGTACTTGTACTACACTCACGCCTCCCAGTCCTTCTAGAGACTGCCATCCTAATATCAGTAAGCATAGTTTAAGTCCACCAGAGAGAGCCAAGAAAGTAAAACCATATAGTACCAAGTTATGCCAAACACCTGCACACATGATTTTCAATTGCTTAAAAGGACTCAACGTCTGTAAGGATTGATCTGAGATATTGACAAATGCACCTGGATAAAGGTACATAACAAACATGCCTGAACTTTGAATGGGAATCCCTTGACTATAAGAGGCAATTGCATGGCCTGCTTCATGAAGTAAACCACATACAGTCAAAGCTAATAGGTAATAACCAATATGTGACATTGGTAAAGTAACACCGGGTATCTATCCATGCTTATTTAGCACAAACAGCTAAAATAGGAGCTATACATTACCATAGGTAAAAAGACCTGTTCGTCTTGACTACCGTCTGCATCTAAACTTCTTTTAGAAAGATTGGATGTAGGTTGAGAGGAAAAGATGTGACTTAGACTTGCAAGAATTTTCCCTGCTGCAAATACGATGACCATTATACCGATAGCCATGGATAAAGCAGCAGCAGCAACACCCAAAGTAAACCAAATTTTCCAAAATGTAGGTGCAATTTGTGTCAAATGGTTAAAGAACTTGTTGAGTCGTTGCGTGGTATATTTTATTTGAAATAGTTTTATTGACCACTGATCTCGTTCGATAGTGTCGTTACTGTCGACGATCGCAAAAGTAGGTAAAAGCGAACTATTGTTTCGTCGTCTCGGTGGTTCTCTTTTTCTTGTCGTTAATATTTGTAATGCAAACACAATTACATATAAAAACCCCCATAGTAAGAGGAATTGCCATATAATGGAAAACAAATCCATACTTCCTCCAACTTGAAAAAAAAAAGAAAGGAAAAGCTAGTGGCAAAATTACTTTTATGCATAGAAAAAAGTCACAAACATAAACTCTATCGTATATACTTAAGATGTCTGATGTTTTTTCCCTTCTTTCTGTGGAATAGATGTTGTCGTAGACGCATTGGAAGAATAAGAGGTTGTGTTTTTAATTCTGAGCATCATGACTTCTTCACTACCTTCTTGTTCTAGTCGAAATGAGTGCGAATTATAACTTCTAGACTCAAGTCTTTTCCTTGCTTCTTCTATTTCTCTACTTCGCATAACAAGCAGACTTGCAGTTTCTGTTGCAGTATAGACTGCTTCTCCCGTTGTACATAACAGCCTACCAACCATTGTTCGTACCACATGATCATACCAGAATGACACAAATGGTATCGTCTTTAATATACCTTCATTTATACATAAATACTTTGAATGACCTCTATATTTGGTTACCTTCTATTGTCCAATGTTCTTGATGGGTTTCTATCTTTAATAGACCACTATCTATATCTGTCTCTTTGAAATCTAGTATGACTGTTACTGGCAATAAAACTTGAATCCAAGGAAACATTCTAGGACACAATGTTTGTGTTAAAAAGACGACACAAGTCTTGCCATTAAAGCATATGTTTGTAATCTTTGGTGGAACCTTGTTTAATGCCTTCCAGACCAAAAATACGCTGTCTATGACTTAACATGATATTTTATCCCACTGACTTACTGCTTAATATTATGAATGCCTGTTGTCTTTAATATAGGGGAAGTAAAAAGAGCATTCGGTAAATAATAATGATCAAGTATACGCCGTCTTTTCAAGTCGTCATATGAAAACAAATCTGTTATCAGGCCTATCTTCTGTGAATCAATACATCAACACATGCTTCAGCTTACGATTAATTTTATCATCACAATGAATATCATCAATCGATTGAGAATAGTTTTCGCTTAAATCCATATTATAAAGAGAGAGAGAGAGAGAAAAAAAAAGAGGATGCATAAAAAAAAAGAAATGATGCCCTGATTTTATCATCGAGTCAGACGCGTAGTTTGAAACTTAATCACACTTCGTATTGAATACACTCTACAATAAGCAATCAACGGTTATACTTTTCAGCATATATTATATGTTTGTGTGCACACACGTCTAAATTTACGCCTCCAAACTCATTACTCAAGATGGAAATTGGCTCTCCTTTTTTTGGGGGTACCACAAACAAGATTTATTTTAAGTAATGGAAATTTATATGTATCATTAAAGAATGGACGAATCCTTTCTTTTTCTTTTTTTTTTGTTCATTAGATGAAAGAGCCTTCTATACCTAAAGCAATTAATATTATACGTCCTCATCCAAAGTCACTTGTAAGAAATGAGTGCCTAAATATCAAGACAAATGTCAGTCTGCATGAATCAAAGCCAACATTTCATCTGTATAATCCTAAAAAAATATTGCAGCATTCGAAACCTCCTCCTCCTTTACTAAAAAAACCAAGTATTGAACTCTACAAACCAAAGAAACAACTGTATATGTTACAGTCAAAGGACCAAATGACGATGTCTGAAACAAATCAAGTCAACAACAAGGAGAATTTATATACACCAACTCAAAAAGAGCATATACCCAATGACAGTCATACTGGTGATGAGTTAGGACTGCCTGAGCCACGTATCAATAGAAAGGTTAATGAAAACTTGTTCTGTGTCGGGAAAAACTCATTCAACTGATATCATAGATCGCTGATTTAGAGATTTCAAACAAATCCTTGCTGATTATTAACGAAATGTTGGAGTCCACAGTTAAAAGTCAGGCTAAACAAGTTGCTTCTTTCAGAACCCAATTACAAATGACTCAAACAATGTAAGAAAGCTATCAACTATGCAGAATCTTATTCCCTCATAGTGAAGAAGCAAATCAGCAAAGTCCAATTCAACTGACAGAGAATGTAAGCAACCATGATCTAATAATATACTTATTAAACTAGGAAGAGCAAGAAGAAGTATGGGAGCATGATGAGCAGTTTAATCGCCTTAGAAGAATAACTGAATCATTGATCGAACAAGGTCAAAGAGCTTTGGTATATCAAGTTGGAATGAGTGGACGTGTTCTTGTCACAAGTAATGTGTAAACAAATGAATCTTACATAACAGATCTATAGGTCATCATTATCATCCTGTAAGATCAAGCAGTACAACAAGACAATCTGAACAACACCAACAATAATAAACTATATGTACAAATTTTATTTATTTAAAAAATTATTAGCCTGAGGATTGCTGAGCCTCTGTAAAGATACGAGCAGCTTGAGAAGCATTTTCCTTAGCCATAGATTGATCTTGCATTTTCTCATTTCTTGCTTTTTCTTCCAAGGCATCAACTTCCTCCTAGAAGCAAGTCAATATACTTACTGAAATTTGTGTTTTTCTTACCCATGCTTGAGCATCTTCTATATACATATCATGGTTGCTATTAACATGAGAAATATCGATATCATCTTTGACAGAAAACTGCTGGCTCATGCGTTGTTGACGAATATCATCTTCGTCTTGACATTCTTCGATAGTTACGTGATGTTTGCTACTCATAATGATAAGAACAATAAAAAGAAGAAAAAAATCATACGCGATTTCTATTTATTTTTATACTTGATATATTGTGAGAAGATTTTAGCATGATCATTGTGATTCGTCTTGTGCTGAATAGTGAAAATTCATGCATGAATTTCAGAGTGAGAAACTCTCATGGTATCGCTTTATTTATTAAAAAAACAAAGTATCTAAAATCGTTCTTTTTTACCATTTGTCTCGAATGGAAGAAACAAACTCAGGAGCCCCTTCAAAACCATTACGACCATGTTGATAATCCGCAAAAGCTTGATAGATTTCTTGTGTTGTGTTCATCACAAATGGTCCATGTTGCACAATAGGTTCATTGATTGGTTGACCGGCAATAATAACAAAATGTGTATCGTCAGCTAAAGATTCAACAGGAATATATGTGCCTTCATTATTACTCAATACCAATGTATGATGTGCTTCAGCAACCTGTTCACTTCCTCCGAATTTGGCAGATCCAGCAAGGGTATAGATAAACCCAGCATAATTGGCAGGAATTTCTTGTTCCATCTTTTTACCTTTTTGCATCTTGACATCAATAAACATTGTAGGTGTGCGTGTAATGACAGGACTTGTTGTACCATTGGAAGTACCAGCAATTACTTTGATATCAACACCAGGTTCAGGCGAAGTATGGGCTACCTTTTCCTTGGGTAATTCTTGGTAATTGGGCTCGGCCATCTTGTCCTTTCTAGCTAAATTGACCCAGAGTTGTAAACCATGTGCTCGACTATTGTTGGCTGGGATTTCGGCATGAACAATACCCTTGGCAGCGGACATCCATTGTAAGTCACCAGGACCAATGCGACCTTTGTGTCCCTTAAAATCTTCATGTAAGAATTCACCTTCCAACATATAAGTGACAGTTTCAAAACCACGATGAGGCTATTGCTTTGTGAGTTTAAATCACTTTTCTAGTTAAATGCACTTACATGATCAGGGAATCCGCCTGGTGCCTTGACATCGAATTCGTCCAGCATCAAGAAAGGATCCAAATTACGAAGAGCGTGGGTTCCAATGCTTCGGTAAACTAAGAAAAAATGAATACACACTTTACAAGCCAAATTACTCTATTACCTCTAGCGCCATCACCATCCATTTGTTCTCTTGAGAGAACCTTTTTTACAATGTTTCTTGCAATACGAGTAGCCATTTTGATTTGTTTGATTTTTTAATTTGATTTTGATTTCAAAGGAATTTGAATCCGAAGTATTTATACTACTTTTTCAACCTAAAACAGTCACGCACTTTACTAATGTTTGTTAATGAGGAGTTTAAATTAGTCATAAATTGGTAAAATGGTTTTAATTAGTTTTTGAGATGACATAAGGCCTAGCGCTTCGCGCCTTTTTTGGAACATCATCATACACTTTATTCGGAAATGTTTAGAGCTTAAACTGTTATTTACACTTGAGTTCTTAGTTGAGATAATGTATCCACAGTTGAATTAGTTTCAGAAATGAATTCTTTTCTCAATAATACTGGTAATAGTTTTTTTTTTTTGCATATTTTCTCTTGAAGACACATCTAAAGATATGATTGCTGTCCTAATAGCATTTACCCAACCATTCATTTCTTTTTCAGCGCTAGCACAAAAAGCATTACGAATGTATTGATATGTGATTCCTTTCTTTTGAAAGACGTCGATAATAACTGCATGTCTGTAATCGGTCGTTGGGTTGGAATCATTGTAATCAAATAATTGGCTGCTAACCTTGGCTTTATGTAGAGGCAAAGACCCTATTAGTTTTCCTTTTTTCTAATCAATCCTCGTCAAGATCACAAACTCATGTAAATTGAATTGCCTTTTCATAATACTCTAATTTACTGTCTTTCAGCACAAAATAACAAGATTTCTAGCGACTGAAAAAGAACAGACCCTTTTTAGCCAAATAACCCTCCTTAATACTAAGCCTTTCTCTCTAAGATGAATTGGATACTAAATATTATTACCTTATCTTTATCATAAAATATGCCTATAGTCATAAATTCACAAAGATATGGAAAGTTGTTTGTAAAAGTAAACGCAATGGCTGATATGAGGTATAGCTCAATACCCAAATCACTTTTGTCAGTCTGTACAGGGGTAACGCTTGTGATTACACTCTTTGAGGGTAAGGCCATGCTAAATCCTTTTAATTGTAATTTTCTTTCTAAAAGAAAGTGGATGTTAAATTTTGCATAACTGTAAGGTAGTTTATTTGTATATCCAAAGCTTGAAAGTCCTCTAGCAATTTTTCGATTTTCCACTCCTCTTTGAATTTGTTGTTCGTCAAGTTATTATTCATTCTTCTAATAAGGCGTCTTACAGAAATCACAGTGGTTGCTATCTTTTTGTTCTTTGTATTTTTTTTTGTGTTATATCCAATCACTTTGGGCCGAATCATGAAGAGATCCTGTTGACTTAAACATTGCTTAGTATGTGTGCAAAAGTTATTGTCTTGTTGTTCATAAATAGTGAGTTGATCCTCTTCGTTATTTGCGCAAAAAGTGCTCATATCTGATAAAAACGAGTACATAGGTTTATGATCTTCTGTGACATGGTTGATAAAAACCTCAGTCTTATTTTGATTCTGAACACTCATTTCTTGAGTTCAATTAAACAATAAGAGAAGAAAAAGGACCGTGAATAGTTTCACAAAATTACTTAGTAATTCACATATGATACAAGCTGGCTCTTATTTTATCTACTAAAAAACACTTGACATGATCATATAAAATATAAGTTGTCATTAAGAATAGATTTCAACTTTGATAATAACACATCGGTGCTTTTCTCCTGACCTGCCTATATGATCTTTTGCTAGCTGAACAACATCACCGTTTCTTAAAGCATATGGGGCAGATTTTGACCTGCTAGTGCTAATCTTTTTATCGTTCAAATAAGTGCCTCCAGAAGATGTATTATCTCTCAAAACGACCTATTTCTTTTCATCAATTATATATGAAAGAATTACATACGTTACCTGACCGTTCAGCATATATATTTTAGCATGTTTTCTACTGATTGCTCTGCTCTTCAATTCAATTCGGTTTTCGTCTTCTTCAATACTTCTAGATCTACCAATTTTAAGCACGGTATCACCGTACATCGCACGTTCAATTACGCCAATCATCACTGAACCTTTTGATTTAGTTAATGTAAGACGAAGAAGAACGGGCTGTGATAAGATACATTCACTCATTTCACAATCCATTATTTTTTTTTTGAATTTTAGGATGAAGAAAAGAAAAAGAAAACTAATCACCTATTGCTTATTTATGCGGTTATCTCCTTGGCTTTATCATAATGAACAAATGGCGCCTTTGATTACTGATAAGTCTTTTTGTCTAAAAATTCGATATGGTTAATACGGATATGTCTCATTGTTCCAACTATAGAATCGAATCGTTGTTAAGTACTGTGTATTTGCGAGGCTATTTCTGTGCTACACCATACTTTTGAAGGTCATCCTGCATATCAATTGAACAAATTTTTGACCATAACAGCCCAATCCTTTCTTTTATGAATAGTCATTCCTTCTCGCTATTTGTTCGCAGATAATTATGAGAGGTAGAAAGAATTAAGGACATGTTCATTCTATTTGCAGTAATAAATGTATCACCTTTTTTTTTTTTTTTTTTTGAATAGAGCCTTACTGGTTAAAAATAAATGTCTTGTTTGAGACTAAGCAATTGAGATACTCACCCTATTTCTCAGAAAGGATTTAGGCCAGATTATCTATTTCGTATTTAATTCAGATCACAAACTATATGTTGGGCATGACAAACAGTCCCTGTTATATGGATCAGGTACACAAACGACCCTTTTCGAGCTATATATCACTTTTCTTTTATTTTGTGTATCAGATCGATGCCAATGGTTGGTTTCCCGGCTTCAAGGTTTACAAGCCTCAGTTTTTCCCAAGGACAAGAATATGGCATTCAAGAATAATCCATCGTTTTAGGAAAAGTACGTATACCTTGTATATTTTACTTTTAGTTTTATTAAATAGCATTTTATCATTGTCAATTCTATTTTGGAAATTTGCTTAACTGATACAGGCAAAAGAGTGTGGGGAAGAAGTAAACAAGGAAAGTAGCCGAATTGCATTCTTTAATTGCATTTCAATAGACAAAGCTTAATTCTTACATTATCACGAAGACAATTGCCTTAAAAAGCCTATTTTCTCTAACTTATAATAATTTCTATCAAGATTTTTTTACATAGCTATATTTTTGAATATTATATGTTTTCGTGATCTTGTCTTTTTCTTTAATGCTCTTGCATGTAAGTAGTAAGTGGTTGTTTTTTTCATTTTGGTTATTACATTCTTTGTCGCCGAAACAATTATTAAAAGCAATGTTGTCAACTCCATTCTGATGAATTACAAGGTTAGTATTTACTTTATATTATGTGTATGAAACTTGTGATTTGTAATATGAGAAAAACTTGTTGACACAAAAGCCAAGCTTGTGCAATGATAAAGTGGCAATGATCAAAATCATTTTGTAGTTTCGGAGTTATGACCTACATATAAGATCAAAGTAAATTGAGATATTTTCAATTGATTCTTCTCAAGTAGACACAATGGATTTGTTTTAATGGACCATTGTGCGCTATTGCTTGTGTCTCTTTTTTATTCAAGGGTAACATAGATACAAAACGTCAATCAATGTCAAAAAAAGGGCACAATAGTATACAAATAAAACCAGTGCTTAGTATGACAAACATATGAATTCTTTGATCACAAAACTTAATCCGTTGTGTAACTTGCAATTTGTTTTTTTTAAGGTACCATTTTTACTGAAAAAAAAAAACGATTGCACTGCAAGATAGTTATTAAATGATTAAGTAAATAGCCCTCAAAAATAATATGTAAAAAATTGGCACACTCGTAAACCATTTGCACGAGCAACTGTGAATGCCAGATTATTGAGAGAATCCTATGGGTAATCCACAGGAGAAAGAAAAAGACATAAAATTCTATTTATTGGTAAAGTGTATTTCCTCATTTGGAGCTTGAACAACCAAGCAGAAATAGTGGAGGTGTCCCACATTTAGTCTTATCGTGTTACTGCAAAAAGAATTACATGTATAAAAAGATTTGGATACTTGCTTCTTCTTTCGAGTACGTTAATTATAGCCAGCAACTCATTGATATATATACACTAGGCTTCATTATCATTTTGATACTGTCAATCCTTTTCTTTATAGAAAAACGCCTTTCTTCTCCACTCTTTCATTGATTAATAATGCCTGAAAGCATTAACGAAGGACAGCAACCGTTTGCTGTTCAAGGTGTTGATGAACATCATCTTCACCATGAATTTGTTACGACTACAGCTGAACATCATCAACAATATGACAAAATAGACGATAGTTTTGAACAGTATTCTGAAAAGCCCGCAGCTCCAGTAAAGAAGCCTTTCTACAAGAATAAGAAGTACTGGATTATATGTTCTATCATTACTGTTATTGTTATCATAGTAGTTGTGCTTTTGATCTTGTTTGTTGCATTTCCCAAGACTGCTCAATCAACCTTGAACCATTCCGAAATCAAGGTCAATACAGCTCAAATAACATTTGAGCCGCCCACCGATTCTGGAGTTCAAGTTGTTGCTGGTGCTGATGCTAACACTACTTTTTATATGCATATGGTCACTGATCTCAAAAACACTGGTCCTTTCAGTGCAGATATCGAGTTTAGTGACAATATTCAAGTCATTTACAACGATACTGTGCTTGGTGCTATCACATTACCTAATACACATATTAGTGGTGGTCGCGGCTCAATTGATACGGTTACACCTTTTCTTATCACCAATGTTGCTGCTTTCTCTGATTTCTCTCGCTACATGTTGGCTAACGAAAAGTTTACATGGACATTGAACGGCAAAGCCAAGATCTCTGCACTTACCAGGTAAATACATAGCCCTTTCAAGAAATGATCGTTACTTATTGGTTTTATAAAACAATATAGAACAGCTACTGTTGACCTCAAGAAGGACATTACACTCGAAGGAATGAACGGCTTCCCTCAAGTCAGAATCAACTCTTTCCAGCTTCCCGGTGATGCTATGAATGGTGGTATTCTCATCCAACTTGGTACAATCCTGACCAGTCCTTCGCCTATTGGTGTTCAACTTGGCCACATTGAGATGACCATTGGTTACGATGGTGTTGACCTTGGGCTTGTTCATGCTGATAATGTAACTCTTCAAAAAGGAGATAATAATATTTTGCTTTCTGGTATCATGAAGTCGCAAGCAAACGATACTACCGCTCAAGCAAAAATCAGTACTCTTTTCTCTAGTTATATTGCCGGAAAGATCTCAAACACAACAGCCAAAGGTGTTTCTGCTGCTCCAGACGGAAAAAATCCTATTGATTGGCTTTCAGAAGGCCTCAAGTCTGTCACACTTAATGTCGCCCTTGTTGCTGATCAACCCTTGAAGATTATCAATTCTGTCTCTATGGGCTACTTGGACCTTGCTTTTAACAAGGATTCTCCTTATTCACCTTCAGTCAAGGCTCCTGCTGTTACTGCTGAATTCAGTATGCGATTTGGTTTTGCTCTCAATATAACTAAAGTCACTCAAAACATTACGCTTGGTCTTAATAAATCGAGTGGATTTGAAAGCTTTGCCATTATGCATGTTCCTTATGCTCCTGCTACCAGTGATCAAAAAGAAGGCAAGCTACAATTCGCGATTGATAACTCACAAATGGCTGGCATTACTCGAAAAGAGGCTGTCTACAATGAATACACTTATGCTTTGACCGCTTCCAACAATTACACTTTTTTGGTTGCTGGTAACGCTACCACCAAAGTAAATACAACCATTGGCCCTCTTGTTTTATCTGGCATCAATTTCGAAGTTCCTACTCTACTTCATGGTCTTGAATTCTTAAATTCATCTGCCACTCTCATTAATTCACTCGATGTAGTTGGCCGTCAAAGTGATCATCTTGAATTGTCTATTAATGTTACTATGGAGAATCCTTCTGATTTCAGCATTGCTGCTGGTGATGTTACTTTTGCCATGTTGGCTGACTCCACTAACTTGGGCGATGTTACTTTAATCAATCTAGTCTTGAAGCGCGGTATGAATACAATCTCTGCTTCTGGTAGATTTGATCCCAAGTCTTCTCAAACAGGCCAAAATCTATTAAGCACTTATGTCATGGGTCATGACAATGACGTTTAAATTGAAGGTACCAAAGAATCAACTGATATTGCATCACTTTCAGGTGCACTCTCTCAAGTCTCCCTTTCCTCCAATTTACCTGGTTTAAAAGTTGCTTTAATTCAAGGCTCTTCCCTTGCTGTTCGTCCTACAACCCTTCAAGACGGTATTGTTGATGTCAAGGTCTCTATTGCCAATCCTTTTTCTGCCGGCCTGACTATCACAAAGGTTGTTTCTGCAGTCACTTATAATGGTATGCCTATTGGTAACATTGATCAAGATATCAGTAGTAACCCTATTGTCATTCCTGGAAAAACAACAGTTCAATCAAGTGAACTCAGCATGCTAATGAACACTGAGCCAGCTGCTGTTGCCCTCTTGCTTCGTTCTCTTGCAGTTACTTCTCAACTGGACACACGCCCTCTTGATGCCTTGCTTACTTTGGGTGGTTTTCATATTGAAGGTCAAGATAACATTGCAGCCGACTCTAGTCTGTTTAATGGCTTTAACATTTCCAATTTTGTCATGGAGGCTATGAAAAGCTTAAAGGTCGATTTGTCACTTGCTTCTGGCTTGAATATTGGTCAATATGTCAACACACTCAACTTTGCTCAAGCCAATGTTCAAATCACAACCGATAGCTCTGTCACCGCGCTGATTCCTATTGTTGGTCAACCTATTGTGCAACAAATTGTGGATGGCTCAGTCCTTGCTTTCGAAAGCATTGTGATGAGCGCACCTACAGAAAGTGGGTTCAAATTCAAATGAAAGGCTCTATTACCAAGACTGGTCCTATGGCTGCTTCTATTAGCTTCCCTACTCCCTTGACTGTTGCATGGCAAGGCAAGGTTCTTGGTCAAGTCGCCATGCAAGCCATTGAAGCCAAACCTGATACTGGTGCTATGTTTGATATCAGCGGCGATTTTTCGATTACGGATGGAAACGCCATGTCTGAATTTGCAGCCTACATGATCAACAATGTTGATTTTATCTGGGACATCTATAGCAAGGATGTGAGCGTTACTGCTCTTGGATTTACGTTTACCAAAATCTCCATGGAGAAATTTGTCACGCTGGGAGGTGCGAATGGTTTCAAGGATGCTGTCAAGATATCTTTTTTTGATTTGCCTAGCAATGATGCTGCTGGAGGCATAACTTTGACTGCTCAAACGACTATCAATAATCCTTCTCAAGTTGGATTTAATTTCCAAGGTGTTGGTTTTGAGTCTTTCTATAAAGGTGTAGATCTTGGCCCACTTGGATCTAATGGTGCTGCTGTTTTCCCTCCTCGTGGTGTTGCCAACTTGGCTATGAAGGGTCGTCTTATTCCTCGAGGTACTTTTTCTGGTATAGCTGCTATCACTGAAGTTTTTGAAAACTTCTTGAGTGCCAATAGCTCTCTTTTAACTGTAAAGGGTGTTTCTGCATCTGGTCCTAATGGTGATGTTCAATGGTTATCGGATGCTTTCAAGACCATCAAGGTTAATAATGTTGTATTGCCCGGTCCTCCTACTAAACCTCAATTGATATCTGCTGTTAGCATGAAAGATTTGCAGATCGACTTTACCAAAAATCCTTTTGCTCCTCCTTCTGGCTCTCAAAATGTAGAAGCACAACTCAAGAATCCTTTTGGCTTCCCTCTAGGCGTGAAATCGCTTAATATGAAGGTGGATGCCAACTCAAACGGTCATCATGTTGCCAGTCTAGATATTCCCGAATCACCTGCAACCACTTCAGCTGACAGCATTGTCCATACGGCTTTTAGTAATATTCCATTCGAAGTCTACTCTGGATCAGAAGCTCTTTTTAGTCAATTTGTTGGTGGACTTACTCTGATGCCTGCCATTCCTTTTGGCCTTCAAGGCGTTGTGAGTTCTATTGCTCAAACTGCTGTAGGTGATTTCAAGCTCAACAATATCAATTTTGATGTTCAAACTTCTTTGAATGGTTAGCAAAGCACAAAGTATAGATGTGTATTGATTTATTTGAATATAGGCTTTGCTAACTTTGGCGGTACCACTGAGATTATCTCTCTTAAGGTTGTTGGTGGCTATGCTACATACATTGCTGCTGATATCGTTATTGCTCTGAACAATCCTTCGCAAATCACAATCACTGCTGGAGACCTTAATTTCAACGTGATCATGGATGCTACCGAATCTTCAGTAGGTATTGTTACTTTGAGTCAAGCAGTGATCAAGCCTGGTAGAAACAAAATGACTGCAAGCTTGAAAATGACATCGACTGACCTCTTATCATTGTCAAGATTGTTGACCAACTATCTTACGGGACAAACAACTCCTCTGACTGTCAAAGGCTCGGCGAATTCAACCAAGATCATTCCTCTTCAAGGTGGTCTTTCTCAAGTGGCTCTCAAGACAAACATGGTCGGTATTCCTCCTCAACTTGTTGTCGAGAATCAAATGAAGATGGTTGGCTTAACTCCTCAAATCTGGGTCAAGTTCTATAATCCTCTCGATACTTCTTATACAGTTGCTGGTGTCAGTGCAAACGTCTTCTTTATAAGCTCATCTGGATCCTATTTAAACTTGGGTACTTTGGCTGGTGCTTTTAATCCGCCTGTTGCTGTGCCTCCCAAGGGAACAGCTGTCAATGAAAACGCATTGATCTTGAAAGTCCAACTTTCCAATGCCATTCAATTCCTAATGATGCCCAGTGATGCACGAAAAGTCGATCTCTTTCAAAATGTTACTGTGGTTGTTGGAAGTGATTTCCATGGTGGGATGTATTATACGCAAAAAAATGTTCCTGTTGTGGATAGAGATACATCTGCTACTGCTCAAGCCCTTAGTTTAATTCTTAAGAGCGCCAATAGTACTATGCCTTCTGTTAGTAATATGACTACGCCTACAACTAAACTTGCTTCCATCATTAGTACAACAGAAGTTACTACTGCTACTGCTACTACCACTATTACCACAGAAACCAATCCTACTACAACAGAAGCTACCACAATTACCACTTCTATTGATGTTCCTACAACCATTTCTGACACTCCTACTGCTACTACCACTATTACTGATAATCATCAAGATAACACTCAAACCACTACCACTACCACTACCATCACTACTACTACTACTACTCAATTGAATAATAATCCTACAACCGAGAATACGGCTGTTACACCTGCAGTCGTTATAAATGACTTATTCTTGCCTTTCTAATAAATATTTATATATATAATAAGATGAAATTCGTTAGCTTAAACATTCAAAATCGGGTAATTTTTTGTTGTTGTTTTTGTTGTTTAATTTCTGTAGATCATGGCTTGAATGACGCCACGGTGAGAGACTTTAATTGTATTCTTTTTTTCTAGAGGATCAACAGAAGATGGAATCAGTATAAAATGATCTTGCAAAATACGGCCTAAATGGATCAATTTGATTTGCTGGTCATCATCAATGTCAATTTTTCCTTTCAAATCGGAGACTGTCATGAATGGCTCAGAAACAGGAATTTGGATCAAAGTGTCTTTCAGTGATGAATTAGAGCGTCGAATTAAAATAGGCCATTCATTTGTCGCCTCTTCCACTGGAGCGTGATGATTCTCGGATGCTTTAACGTCTTGCTCCGTGGCTTTTTTGTGTGACAATAAATCATTAAAAACAGGAGGTGGTGTGGCCTTCTCTTCTCTATCATCAACTGGAGGTTTCTCTGAACTCTGTTCTTGTTCTAATGATATTTTTCTCTTGTCGGTTTCTTGTGTTGTAACAGGGTTTGTTGATGAAGAAGGAGGAGGTAATGGCAGTTCCGTTGAGTGTGTTTTCGTGATCACGATAGAGGGTACTGTGCATTTTTTTTAAAATTTTGTTTTTTCGGTAGTTATCATACCTGACTGTGTATTTGTTGTAACTTGAGGTGTGTTTGATACTTGTACATGATGATTATCTATTGGTCGAGACTGACAGCATCCCATTTTATAAAAAAGAAAATAGAAAGAAAGAAAAGAAGAAAAAAAAAGAAAAAAAATAATTAATTAATATCAAGAAGGGAGAAAGCGACTGTTCGCTGTTGTATATTAAAAATCCACCTGCTAATAGGTCATCATTTTGACAATGGTTTTTATGCAATAGAAATAGTAAAGCCAATTGGCAATGCTGTTTCTATCTTGAATACTTTCTTGGTATGCATTACTCTTCTATTTTCTTCTTTTATGTATCAAGAATTATGAAGTAATATAATCAGTTGAAAGCCGACTAGCTTCGATCAAGATTGTTTATTGAGAATACCATTTGTCATTGAAAATAGGGAAATGTGGTCAATGCTTTCAATCCCCCCCCTTGGAGTTGTCAATTCATAACTTAGAAGGCTCAATTTGAATATATTTCTCTTGAATTCTTAAGCATTACAAGCATGTCTTTATGTTTGACTACAAAAAAAAAAAACTTTGGTGCCTTTATAAAAATTTATTCAACCTTGTTACACAATGGATCCTTCTTTCATTAAGCATTCATTGGTTATAGAGAGTCTTGCTAAAATAAAGAAAGAAAGAAAATGTCAAGTATTGCAGACACAGCTTTGAGTGTCATTATGGTCTTTGCTCCTACTATTGGGTACTTTGATCAGGTAATCAGATTCAGTTGATGACAAACTTAGAAAGCTCATGATGGTAACCAATGTAGATTCGCATCATCTCAAAGAACAAGACAAGCTTAGGTTTTAACTCTGTCACATGTGCTATTTTATGTTTTGCAAAGTAACTCTTTCATGCTTAAATTAAAGTCATGCTTACCCCCTTTTTTTTTTAGTATTTTACGTTTATTTTTCTGGTAAGTCAAGGGGGGAAAGGAGTACAATAGTAACAAGATCACTTAATCTTTCTCTTAAAAAGGTTTGGGAAGAGATTTGATAATACCTTATTGTTCCAATCAATTGTGATGCTTATTGCAATGATGGCTTTGTTATTTACTGTTGTAAAATACAAGCCTACAAATGTCCCTTTTACTCCTTTGATTAGACACGATTCCATCTCCTCAGACTCTTCTGATAGCCGCCATGCTGCTGAAATTGAGCGACATATTGAACTCAAGTGGTATCAACGTACATTCTGGGATTGGGATCATTTTCTCGATTATCTCAACTGTTTGTTGATATTTACAACCTTTGTTGGTGTTCTCTACCTCTCATTGCATCAATATAGTGTATTTATTGAAGTTTTGGGTTTTTTGAGTTTGGGTTGTGAAGCTACATTGCCTCTGCCTCAATTGCTGACTAATTTCAAGCATAAGAGCACAGAAGGTTTTAGTTTATTGATCCTAGGAAGTTGGGTAAGACAGTTAATAGCTTTTTTGTTTACTCTAACATGCTATTAGTTTATTGGTGATGGCTTCAAGGCCTTTTATTTTATTCACCAAAGATCGCCTGTTCAATTTGTTGCTTGTGCTATCATTCAGTTGACATTTGATACAGCTATTGTGCTCCAATTCATTTTCTTTTCAACCTATGTCAAAAAACTCTTGGGTATTCGTAACGATATTATGCTTCAAGATGACGAAAGTGATCGACATAGCCATGTTGAAACAATTGCATAGAAAATAAAATATTCCTTAAAATAATATTAAGATCAGCATTGAAGGCAAGTCAGTATTTACTTGTCAAAGTAAAGATATGCTTTCGGACGGAGTAAACAAAATATCCGATACACAAGGTGCATGTTACCGATTCGGTAAGTTGGAACCGTAATCAAAATGGAGTTTAACTTTGATTAGAGTTAATGCAGTGTTTGTTTTGAGTCACTAGAATGAGAGACAGGTCGCTCTTCCTTCTTTCTCTCTGTGTGTGTGTGTGTGTCTCGATTTTTCAGTTCTCGACCTATCGTCTAGACTGAGGCAAAATGAGCTGAAAATCTTAACTGGCTGACCTTTGCGTATAGCTGGTGACCGTTTCTGACCTATTTAAAAGGCATATCTGTTTTTTAAACAACACTGTTGTCATTGGATCTGCTTAAATAGAGTATTTGCTTGGTATGCTTCTGTCATTTGATAGTAGATCATTTACATGATTTATGCGATAACATTGTATTAAACTTAAGGTTCGTAAGATAGACTTCGAACTTGCCAACGTTTTTCATGAATCTTTCGAATTTAATGCAGCCAAAATATCTTTAGGAAAAATGTATCTATCTGTTCATTCTAAATTAATAGTGTTCATCATAGTTTTTTTTTATTTTTTTTTTTTTATTTTTTTTTTTTTTATTTTTTTTTTACAGGCAAACAAATCAGAATGTTGATGAGTCAAATAGACTGTTTTGTTTCTTTCTATGGAAACTGATAGTAACCAAGCTACCTTATTGGTCTTGCAGTAACACGACCTTGTTATTTGATAAACACACTTGTTCTGTACTTGTATTGATTTAATGCAACTTGATATTAAATGTTTGAAACCCTCCATTTTTTTGTGCTTCCTAGACTCTTCTTGCAAACATAATTTTGATTGACTTTGTCACTTCTATTGCTGTTAGAACAGACAGCCTAGAACTTTTTCTATCTCTATGTGGCTTTTTGGAATTAGATGGAATCTGTTACGTTGGACAAGTTGTGTTGTTCCTGAGTTTGAACTTTTTTCTACCTTTGACTTTGACACAAGAAATTAAAGATTTTTGTGTATACATCACATGTGTGCGCAAACACTTTATTTTGCATGAATATACTTGTACAGCGTATTATATCATATATATGAACGACATATATATCTTCAATAAGAAAAAAGACAAGTAAAATAAAGTTTACATTCAGCATGTTAGTAAAAAAAGGTCCCCAACACAAACTAAAAAGAAGTTTCTTAAAAAAAAAAGCAAGAGTGTGTAGAAAAGAAGACCCTCTTTTTTTTCCTGTGATTTAAAAAAAGATCCTTGTACGTCGTTATTCTTTGATCATACGACAAAAATAGTAACATTCATCATAAATAATAAAAAAAGGTTACTTTTTTTTTCAAAACGCGTACATACAATTGATGCATTACCAAACCCACACTAAAGACGCGTTCAAACTAAACTAAATCGACAAGAACAAAACAAGAAACGCCTTTTTTTTTCTTTTTTTTTTTGTACGTGGGTGATGAAGTATCAAGTGATTCTAGTGTTTGATTTGGAAATGTTTGGAGAACTTGGGTAACCCAAAAAAACAACACAGATCATTTCCCTCCTTCCTCATTTATCCTAAAAAAAACAGAACAAACTTCTCAGCTTGCATTAGACTAAAGCTGATTGGCTTTAGATAGATGATAACAAGCAACAAATAGCTATTTCTCGGGAACAAAAAATAATGTTGCGCAAACCTGAAAGGGATAGAAGGCATTTAACAAGATCATTTGTTCTCTATATTTGGTCACTCAAGCTGGAGCAAAAACATTGAGTTATCGTCATTGAATTACTTCTAATTAAGTATAGAACGATGTCATTGACTTGAATATTACTCATGTGGATAAACGAAAGAAAGAAAGAAAAAGCTTATTCCCTTTTAACTTCCGCCTATGTTTTGATTTACCCCACATTGATTCTTTCTTTTTCTTTTTTTTTCTTTTCTCTTTTATAAACAAAAACAAAAAAAAAAAGAGAGAAAAAGAAAAGTCATGCCCATCATGGACTCAAATCCAAACAATCACTCTTTTCCTCCACATTTTTCTCTTGAGCCTTCTACTTCTCGTAAAAGAAAACAAGAAAACTACCCTCACTTTCATCCAAACAATGATGAAACAACCACAGCATCAACATCATCTGACATGGAAAATTGGGTACCCACAGCTTCCAGTTCTTTTGTTCCCTACAATAATCCCTTCCTTCGTTATGATGACGACGGCAATAACACTGGCGTGGGAGAAAATCTAAACGACATACAACGCATGCTTAGCTTAGAGGATCATGATTTTGAACAAGAACCACACAAACAACAGCCACTACTACAGCTTCATGACTTGCAAACCAATTATCGGATTCAATCATGGAACCAGGCATCCAATCACAGTGGTAACACAACACCTGGATTCTTTACGCCTGGTTTTTTAGAGTCCTTGCAAGAAGAAAGCCATCCTCAATGGCCACAACAACAGAATCCTGTTCATAATCATATGGTAAAGTAAGTAAACAAACGAAATGCATGATTTTGAATCTTTTGTGTCTCATTCTATACTCAGCAGCCATTTGGTATCTTTGCACAAGAATCAACACCGTCCTCACCTATTCCAAATACGAGTGCCATGATGTCTACCACAGGTCCTGTCATGGCCTCTAGTTCGTCTTCTTCAACAACGTCTTCTCCTTCTGTCATGGCTACTGAAGACCATTTTCGATTTGTGGTTGATCAACGCCGATTGACCAATGCAAAGCTATTGCAGCACACATTAAATGAAACCAAATTGAAATCATTGATTCATCAATATGTGAGCAATCAACTTCATGACAAGGAAAGAAAAGTCATTATTCTCACCAGTAAAGTAGCTCAAAAGAGCTATGGTACTGAAAAAAGGTAACATTCAATGTTTGTTTCCATGACTGATGTTGTATAGATTCCTGTGTCCTCCACCTACGGCTATTCTTGTAGGTACAAATTGGTGGACATCGTCCACTTCTTTCAACACAAATGAAAATGAAGTTTTAAAACTGCCTGATGGCTCTCTTCTTTTCCCACCCAAACTCACAGTTTCCATTTCAGGTGAAGCAGTTCAATCAGGACACATTGAATGGTCTACTGTATCTGGTACAACCGTTGGACAAACAGGACAACATCTTATCAAGGCCTCTACTTCTGGTGCTTGCTCAAACACTCCATCCGAGCACCCAAGCCGGTTCCGTAGCTCAGCAGACGTCCGTAACCAACCTATTGAACTCTACAACAACCAAGCACAAGAGCTCTTGGGTTCGGGTAAATCTGTCTCCAAACACCTGTACATTAACGATGCAGACGAAAAGCGTAAACGCGTAGAAGCCATTGTACGCATTCAATTAGCCAATGGTCTCCAGTTAGGCGCATTTACATCCAAAGGCATCAAAGTGATCAGTAAGCCATCCAAAAAGCGACAGAGTGCCAAAAACATGGAACTCTGTATCCACCATGGTACCACTGTGTCTTTGTTCAATCGTATTCGGTCACAAACCGTATCCACCAAATACCTCGGCGTGTCTGCCTCGCCTATTCCTGGTCAACCTGCACGGATGGAAAACACTTGTTTTGTGGCCCGCACGACCAGTTGGGATCCCTTTGTCATCTGGCTGGTCAACAATGAAGAAAACAGCCACTCGAGTCTGTTGATGGGCGACAGTCTTGTTGACCTGTCTGACCATTTACCCCCTCCACCTGCTATTGCCATGAAGCGACAACAGATGATTCCTATCCATTATAATCAGCATGTTGTATTACAGTGTCTGACGACTGGTCTTGTGAGTCCGGTGATGATCCTCCGCAAGGTGGATAAAGCTTCAACAGTGGTGGGTGGCACCTTGGTCAACGATGAGGAAGTGTTGGGTGACCCTGTATCTCAGTTGCACAAGGTAGCACTTCAAATTGTCGCACCAACAAATGAACCACCCACCTACCTTGCTTGTCTGAATGATATGGTAGGCATGCACAAGATCACAGAGCCCCGAAAACCAGTTGTCATAGAAGAAAGTACCATGGCAGAGAAAATTGTGCGTAAGCGTCGTGTCTCGATTGATCCTGTGGAAGATATGTTTTCGCGCAAGTCGAGTATCAGTAGCAATAGTTCTACAAACACACGCAGGTCTTCGATTCAAGCAGGACTTGGTGCTTGTTGGCAAGAAGATGTGTCTGATGCTGCTGTATGGACCATTGTTGGCACAGGTAATAAGAGACATACTTTATCAAGTATTCATCCATGTTTGTTAGATTGTACTACCTACTCCTTCATGTTACCTACTCAATCTTTATTTGAAGAACAAGACGAGCCAACTGATAACACTGTTTTAAATACAACATTCCCTTTTCTTCTAAATTTGTCTATCAAATCACCCACTGTACTCCACTTGCATGGCGAGAATTTTTCGCGTGACCTTCAAGTCTGGTTTGGTGATTTGAAGTTAACTACTGAATATCGTAGTCGAGAACTTTTGGTGTGTCAAATGCCCTCACAACAAGAGCTATTGCATGTCAAAGAAGCGTATCATCAAATACCTGTTTTGTTTGTCAGAGGAGATGGTACACTTTGCAAAACAAATAAGTTTTATCCATTATAACTCTATGTTTTTTTTATGTTGTATATATAGTTCTATGCTTTTTTTTTTTTTTTTTTTTTTTTTTTTTTACATATGCACACACACACACACACAAATATATGCTGTATAATAAATAATAAATAATGACACCTTTATACATGTTTTCTATAAAAATTACAAATAAAATATGAAAAAGGAACGATATATATATATATATATATATATATATATATATGTGGGTGTATATGTACAGAGGTTATTGTATAGAGCATTGACAATAGACTGGACTTCTTCGAGTTTCATCTGGTGACACATTATTGTTTTCGTCTAGTTGGATTGGATGATACAGTGACGATGACGACGACGACGATGTAAATCTGTAGTTTTTCTCAGTAGAGATTCTTTTCTTTACATCGGTTGAGGATAGATCAATACTACTTGATCGTTTGCTGCCTAGATATTGCTTAAGTTTCAGAATAATAATAATAATAAAGGTTTACCTGCTTCAATCATCATTTTGCATTCTTCTTTATGGTTTGTATCAAATAAGTCATCATCGTTTTCGTCTTCATTTCTGTTTAGCATCATGATGATAGGTTCTTGTTCATGGTCCATCAGGTTAGACACGCCTGAATCATGTGCAGTCAAGGTATGTTTGCGTGTCTCCCATTGTTTCAAATTGGCCTGTATCTGGTCTACAGCAAACGAGAGGTCCACAAAAATCTCACGTACATTTTGAAACAAATCAAGCGCAACAAACCGAATAAAGCCAATCTGCGAGTCTTCCAGAATGACCTTGTCTCGGTCATTCATGGGTAACACAGGCATGCCGAGTTCTTTTTCTAAATCGCCTTGGCATACAAGTTCTTCCACCAAGAGTTCAGCCCATTTAGCACCCCATCGGAACGGACGGGCCTAGTTTATTCTGTACATGAGTGGGTTCAAGGCCAAGAGGGATATATGTATATATGTATGATAGATTCCTTACCACATTACTGATATCTGCACATTTGATCAAGGCACTGCATAACAAGTTGCGTTCAAGATCTGTGTCTTTGACTTGGTCTAAACGGAACCGAGTGGCTTGTTCTTGTATCTTGGCAACGTATTCTAAATGAAGTGACATGTCTGTTGCCAAGATACTGGCAACAACTGTTTTTCTGAATTCTATCCACACGTTTTAGTCACGACCTTGTTTTAGACAAATTACCTTTATAGTCTTCAGATTGTGTGCCACCTAAAAGTTGGATGATGCCATGTTTATTTAACAGTTGAAATAAAGTCATGGAATGCAAGCTTTCAAGGACAGAACGGTCATTGTACAATGTAGCCAAAGGGTTAGACGAGTTAATCAAGAACATATTGTTTACACCAGGATGAGCTGCATCATGTCCAATGGCAGCAATCAAGAGGGCAAACACATCCTTGGGTCTCAAGAGATCAATACGTCGAGTCTTGTTGGAAAAAGGTAAAATACCTGATTCGCACAACATAAAGAACAGACATTGAAGTACATCGACCGCATGGGCGAAATTGTGATACGGGTTTTCGTCATGATAAACACTTGCCAGGTCAATAATAAAGTCGTACCATTGGCCTAGCTATGTGTGTAAATGCAGATGCGTGTAGTCTTTATCGTACCTTTTGTGAGTGTCATCATCTGTTCTAGTCCTGGTAAGATCAGGATTTGTTTGAATATCAGATACACAACATGGACCAGTTCTTGTTGTGTTAGACCAAAAGGACTAAAATCCCAGCTATGAATCCTTGATGTAAGCTCCGTTAATTGTTGTCTATCATAAGAAGATCAGTAACATATATATATATATATATATATATATGCTTACTTGGTCAAGTTCATGTGTGTCTTGATAGTTGTCTTTGGTACAAAAGTCTCCATCATGATTTTTGACAAACTAAACACATGGTAAATCAACAAATAAACAAACAAATAAATAAACAAACAAAGACTTACTGTGTATCTTTGATTCTGTCATACAATGTCGTGGGGGAAGGTATGGAATGATGTTGTTCTGGTAACAATAAAGGTGGTTTAGGCCATACTTTTTTCTGTTGATATAATTTCTACAGGATTTTATATAAGTACAATAAAATCTTAGATGGGTTATAATACCAGAAACAATGTCTTGATCACATTTGAATAAAGTGGTTTTAATAAATAGTCTGTTGCACCAGCATGAATACAGTTCAACATGAGACTGGTGGAATCATCCCTTGAACAAACTAAATAAGACATGTTAGACAGAGTATAGACACACCTCATCTTACGCACCAATCAGTGGTATCAAGTGGTTTAAATCGCGTTTAATTTTTTCCAGAAAATGAACAATGTAATCATGATCATGATAATCTAGCGCGTCAAGGTCAATAAGCAGTAATGTGTTCTCTAAATCATGGCATTTCTCTATTGCTTTTAAAGGATCTTGTTCTCTATAGACTATGCTATAGTTTATTATGGGGTTTATTCTATTCTTTTATTTTATTTTTTATTTTTTATTTTTTTTTACCTTGACCAAAGGTTGAAACAAGTAATGGTTGATAATTATCTTCTTCAATAAGATACCCTTGTTGTTGTTGTAATAACACCACTGTACAAAATGAAGCATCCATCATGACAGGTGTATTTATACATACATATATATATATATATGTATATATATATATATAAAAAGAGAGAGAGAAAAAAAGAGAGAGAGAAAAAAAGAGAGAGAGAAAAAAAAAAAAAAAAAAAAAAGTGCGCCACTTGGCAGAAGAGAAATATAAACTTTTTGTGGTACTATCTATCTATCTATATATATATATATATGTATATATATAAAAAAATTTTTTTTCTCACTTGTCTGTATACCACGTGGCATGGTCCGGCCATTCCAAGTCTGTACTACTTTTTTTTTTTTTTTTTTTATTATTATTATCAAATAGAGAATGGCTATTATGCTACCAACCAGGATGACCACCTACAGCAGATGAACCTGTATAACTTTCACCCATGACACCATCATTAGCAGGATTATAAGTAAATCCAGCAAATTGTTCTTGCATTGTACTTGAGATTTGTGACTCATCCACAAGGGATTCTTGAGGTGCTTCAGAAGTGAATTCATCATCAAAATTGGTTGTATCAACAGCAGAATCCACAGAGGGTTTATAAGGTGGTTGAACTTTCTTTTGGTTTAGTTTCTTCCAATCAATACTAGAAAAGAAGGGGTGATTCTTGATTTCTTCTGAACCATTATTACCTAATCTCTCATTAGGATCCCTTGTCAGAAGCTATATATGATCATTGTTATCAGTTCAACAGATCCCATTCAGAATAGTTACTTACACCTCGCAAAAGTGATCTTGCATCAGCACTCATATCATCAGGAAATCGTAATTCATCTTGTAAAATCTTTCTATACATTTCATTTGTGTTCTCATCATAAAAGGGTGGTAATCCAGTCATCATTTCATACAACAATACACCCAATGTCCACCAATCTACTGTCTTTGTATAGCCTTGTCCGAGCAATAGTTCAGGTGCAAGGTATTCGGGTGTACCACAGAATGTGTTTGTACGCTCATTTTCCTTCATGTTCAGTTTACAGAGACCAAAATCACATAGAGCAATATGGCCATTATAATCAATCAAGATATTCTCTGGCTTCAGGTCACTATAGGCACATTGTTAGCAACATGTCGCTGATACCAGTCATATATATATATATATATATACGCACCGATAGACAACATTAAAATCATGAAGACATTCTAATGCACTCAATAATTCAGCTGTATAGAATCTAGAACGATTCTCATCAAATCTTCCTTCCAGCTGTAAATGATGAAATAGTTCACCGCCATTGATAAAAGCCAGTACCAAATAAAGTTTATCAGGGCTTTGGAATGCAAACTTGAGTGGCACAATAAATGGGTTTCTAATCTTGGCTAACACTGTCTTTTCAGCCATCGTATGTGTCACTTCTGAACGAGAAATAATACGGGATTTACGCAATACTTTCATGGCATAAATACGATTGGTATCCTTCTTACGGACCACATAGACTTTGCCAAAACTACCACGGCCAATCACACGCAAAAGATCAAACGAATCAAACGTGATGGGAGCACTGGTCTATGGATAACAGACAAGTCAGTGATTTATATGTATGTATGTGCTTACTTGTTGAGGTCGATAACATAGTTGAATATGAATAGAACCTGTACCACCCACAATATCAAGTACTTGATCTTCAATCCTACTAGAATCAAAGTTGGGCTGAACCTTAACACCACCCAAGAAAGCATCATTCGTAGTGCGTGGTGTCTCACCATGGGCTGTAGGAGGGTGACGCATATACATCGATATAGATACTTCTGAACTACGTGAGACATCACTACACACTCTGTTAGTAAAAGTGATCAGGATTGAAAATGACTTACAAATTAGCTCTGTATTGATAGATAGGGTTGCGCGTATCTCCTCCCAAAGAGTCAATCAAGACTTCATTCTTGTCGAATTCTAGCACGACATAAGGTAACCACCAATGCTGTTTACGGCTGAGAGAGTCACGGTTGGATTGACGACTCACAGCTACTTGTGAGTTGCTAGGTAAAGTCACATTGGAAGGAGGTGTAATACCTCTTGCTTCACATATACGAATAAGCAATACACCAGACTTGGGTTCATGAGTTGAAGAAGAAGGAGAAGGTGTAGTTGATGTGTTAGAAGATGCTGGAGGAGGAGGAGTAGGTTGTTCCTTGTTTTCTATAATAAAAAAGAAAAGAGATGTAAGAAGATAAAGAGAGATGGTCTAAGTATAGTTTACTACTTCTAACACCCGGGAGTTTCCAAGAATTCATCTACCATGAACAAGTTATTGATTGTCATCATCTACTTTATTGTGTGCTTACGTTTTATTTTCTCGTGATGAATAATAAAAAAGAGATGAGAAAAAAAAAGGGGAGGGGGGAGGGGTTTATTAACTGTAATGAGAAAAAAAAACTGGTTACACATCTATGATTGGATAGCATTAAGCAATGGCTTTAGCGGATTGAATCATTGGCACGACTAAAGAGTAACGTGTCATAAATGGTATTTTTGAACCCATATATCTAGACCAAACTAATATGAGTTAGTATACAGTCAAAAGCATAGGTTGTATACTTGCTCCAGAATGAGAACTTCTTGCCTAACCATCGACCCACAAAGGGGAAAATGACAAGTGAAAACAAAGCATTGAGCTGTTCTTTACTTTCTTCCCATTCAGCTTCTGCATCATAAGAATAAACACTATCTTCCTCGTCTTCAGTATAGTGAGGAGGCTGATGGTCTTCATCAAGACTGGAATAAGGGTTGGCATCAAACGTAGACATGGTAAAGAAAAGTAAAAAAAAAAAAAAAAAAAGATAAAAAATGGCTTTGGCAGTCCCTTCCACCAATGACCGTGTTTATTTTATGCATTGAAGATTGAATCGTAGTTTTCTTTTAGGATAGGGTTCAAATTGACATGCATGATATCGAATATGTTGAAGAAAAGGCAAGGTCTTCAAATAGTGCTTAAATGGGTGTGTGATGTGAATATGCTCTAATGAAGCAAAGGCAATGCTTGCTTGTTGGTGATGATCTTTATGCTTTTCAAAGTAGTCCTTATTGGAAGATGGATTGGAGTGATAGACCACAGGTCCCAATAGAATAGACGAATTATGGGTATGTTCAATCCATACCATGTTTAATGTTGGGCAATGTTCAAGTACATGAGTCAAGAGAGCCATACTATCGCACAATCCTAGACAAAGTATATGCAATGTATGTAATGCAATCGAATGCCTATTGAAATAAGAAGAGAGACTGTTCGAGTAAGGTAAATATAACCAGTTTAGACTGAGAGTACGGTGGTCTCGAATACATATAGTAGGTTCAAAGAACCGACTGGTGCGTAAAGAATCTTGAAACGAAGCAGAGACATGCGTGACGAACTGTCGATTGGCTCTGAGTTTATCTATAAACTGCCATACTTTAGTCATGGCTTGATTATTGCTAGGTAGTTGGATGGACTCTTCTCGGTTTGGCAAACCAGTGTTCTTCATCAATAGATCAAAGTGTTTGCATTGACTGAATCTGTCTGTAAATCTATCGATAAAGGCATCTGTATGCTGGTAAATCCATCTTAAGAACTTTGTATCGGTCAGTGTGATGGCACACTTCTTTAGCTTTTTGAATGGAATAGTATGCACCATATAATCCACATAGCTATCTGGCAAATCGGGTAGGATAAGCGTTAGTTCTTTAAGACACGGCAAAGGTGTCCATTCCATCTCGTCTGTCTCTATCAAATGATACTGAGATGATAAATAGAAATGTTCAAGCTTTGGGCAGGCACATAACACACGGATCATGTCCAAACGACTAGTTCCAGACAGAAAGTCATTCACTATCTTGAGATGAGATAATTGATGAAACTCCGAAAGAAAACAAGCTATTCGGTAGGTACTCGAGCCAAAATAATCTTCCAACTGTAAATGATCCAATGTCAAATGTGTAATTGTATCCGATAACCATTGATTGACAGACACGTACAAGCCCATGATAATAGGATCATGGTGATGGTCTCGACTGATATCAACCCTTGATAGATACTTTAACTGTTGCTTGTCCATCTTGAGCAAGTTGAGTAAATACCATACTTGTCGGTCATTGGTGGAGAAAATCAGTGTCCTTAGACAAGGCAGCCTAAGCATGATGTCCTTAAGCTCTTGTTCTGTCCATTCATACTTGCGTGGTTCGTTTCTTCCATGATACAGCGTGAGTTTTTCAATACATGGTCCGAGCTTGGTTTCTTTTAGAAAGGACAAAAAGTCTTTTTGACTAGGTCCAGTCAGAGTGATTTCTCGATACAGTGCTTTCGTAGCATGCAAATGCCATAATTTGCACACATAGAGACAGGAGAGAAGCGTTGTACGAGGCACAAAATAGAAAATCCGTAAATAGACTTCAGTTGGAAAGTTATTCATGAGTTCAAGAAGAAAAACGTAAGGAGAAAAAGGTTTGTTTAATAAGCATACGTGGCGCAAATAAAGTCAAAGTTGTGCTACATACTATTTTATGTACAAATCTGCTTCAAGAAGTCTACGTGACTTCAATGTTGTGGGGTTTCTGCTTTTAAGAAAGTCTAAAAAGGTCTAGCAATTTAAATCAAGTTATTACAATTGTTAATGGATTTCTCGGCTAATTATGTTTCTAGAATCGGCAGACTGAATGCATTAGAACTATCTGAAGAAGAAGAAAGCATTCGTTTTAAGCTCCTTCCAATTCTGCAAGTAGTGTATCAAGGACGATTGGTGATGGAAAACTCCCGTTTAACAATCAATGTTAACATTTCTTGTCTAGCTTCAATACCTACTAAAAAGCGCAGAAACATAAGAGAGATGACAACTCAATCGAATAAGAAGTTATAGCTATATCTTCTTCATGCAATATTCTGAAATGCACTTTCAATGAATTATATGTCACACAGCTGTAAAGATAAAGTAAAGAATTTATAAACCAGGTAAATGACGCTGAAATTTTTGATTAAAAGACATCTTTATTGTAGCAAAACACACGTCAATATTAAAGTTGTGAATATGATACTCAAAGATAGTCTGTGCTTTGTTTGATGTATGTTACAAAGGTCATCTTTTATGCAGCATGCAACACAAAACCTCCAAACACTTTAGAAGTATTATCAAAAAGTCCCTTTCTTTAATTTAGAGGGTTTAGTTATCTTGAAAACAGGACGCCTTGTTTAAACAGGTAGTTTAGTAATAAGATAATTACTTATGTAATAGAAAATTTAGGTAAAAAAAAAATGCTACAACAGTGAAAAAGGTAATTTTTCATGTAAGTCTCTGTCTATTTCTTGTGCATGTAAAAGTACTATAAAGTATGTTTATAGATGCATCAATGCTTTAAACACCTACAAACGATGTTTAGTAACATCTATGGTGCTTTTAGAGTTGATTTGAACAAAAAAAAAAAAAAAAAAAAAGAAAAAAAAAGCGACTTGTAAAAATTGGCCAGAATGACCATTTGAACAAAGGGGTACTTGTCCATGAAGATATCCAACCTGATAACTCTTTGAGCTTCTTTCTGATGTCAAATAACGAGAAACAGAGCTATCATTGAGATCAAGTACTCAGAATAAGAACAAGAAGCTCTACTTTTCAGTGAATATCTCTGCTTGCTAGTTGTACTATAAAAATAATATGAACGAAAAACTTTGCAAACGTTTTTGCTTATTTACTCGATATTCTAGCAGCAACATTATTGTGATCTTTACATCAATAGAGTCAGAAGATAAAGGCCTACAGCTTTTGTCTCTGCACCGAACCAAACAGCCGCATCTTCATGCAGTTCTCAGCAAAAGCTCGATTTTGATGCAGCGGGAAGAAGAATTGAAGTTGTCTTCCGTTTTCAATCTTCGCAACATAGCTACATGGTAAGTCCTATATCCATTTAGTCCACATTCGTATTATAGGAATGCCTATTTTTCTATATCTCCATGTTTCTTGGCACTCAAAGCAATACAAGATGCTTTAGAGAGAGAGCTATTGCGAATGCACTTTATATGACATCTAGAGCAAAAATGCTCAAAACACAGCTTAAACGCACTATTCCTTGATGGACCATTACTCGACAACCAGACTATCAAAACAGCCCATTTTTCTTTTATTTAAAGCATGCTCTTTTGATCCCAGGAATCGAATGGTACCATTGGTTTGGCTGTTCTCTGAAATTTATGTTTTTGACCCATGAAGGATCACGGAGGCCCGTGAAGATAAAAAGAAAAAAAAACAAAACTCAAGAATTTTTAGAATGACCCCGATGTAGGTCTGATCCAACCGAAATCAGACAAGACCATGCCCAAGTATTTCTAATGAAGAGAAAGCGAGCTTACTAAGATGAAAAAGGCGATTTAATTCGAGCATTGGCTTCAAACCTGTATCCAGATTTCATTGTACACTGTAATTGATAGAAAAGAGGCTCATTTCAGCAGACATTGTCCGCTAAACGGGTTCTTATTTATACATTATCTGGCTCAAGAAGTTTCTAAGAGCCATTTTTGCTATAATACATGTCATTCTTATCGGCAAAAGGATCAGCCAATCTGTAGGCGCATAAACACTCGTTAGGTATCATGGCTTTTGTTAATACAAGTTTTAGCGTACAGGATTCTTCATTTAGACTATTAAAGCTGTCCAGCGCCGCCAAATAAAGGGCGGTTTTATAAAAATCAATGGGCGGGTATTGAAATTCCAAATGACGGAATTGAAAAATCTCAAAGGGCAGTTTTTAGGTTTCCAAATGACGGAAATTATTCATTCCAATTGACTTATTAAAAGCCTTTTTATTCAAAGAGGTTCACTACGTAAGCATTTTTGAAAGTTATTAACAGAATGTTGCACTGTATTTTTAAGAACGATTGGCTCAATGTATCCACATGACTCAACTATTCTTGATTTCAAGTCCTCAGTGTCGTTAAACTGAGTACGCTGAACCTTTCCCTTTAACACAGACCAGAAATTTTCAATAGGGTTGAGCTCTGGAGAATATGGGGGGGGGGAGGTATATACACCGGTAGCCGTACTAATGATCATCTTCTCAATCTCAGCAGAAGTGTGAATAGGTGCATTATCCATGATAATATAATAGCCTTTCATGGCAGGAAATTTGTCCATTTCAAGCATGGTCTTATAAATAAAACGCATGTAATGGCCCGTTACAGTTCCCTTGGACATTTTCTTGGTCCCCTCTTTCTTTCTTTTTCTAGCGCCATCAACTTTAACTCTCTTGGGAGCTATTGGGACCCTAACCTCCAAGTTTACAACACCTGAAGCTGATACTGCACTTAATATGGTATGCGAAATTGCCCTTGTTGTTGGCGTTACTACTACTGCTGGAGTACCTTTGGCGGAGCGTGCAGTAGGACCCCGCATATTTATATTGAAACCTGTTTCATCGACAAACACACAATTTGCGAGGTAATCCATATCAGTCTGGATCCATTTCTCAACTCATAAACGTCGTTCTTCAATGCGTCCTGGGGTATTTCTTCCTTCCGGGTGACGAGTTACGCGCTTTACAGTCAAATTGCATTCATTAAGAATGAAAGATCCAACTGAAGACTTTTTAAGGTTGAAGCCTTCAAAAGCTTTAGTTAAACTTTCGACGGCGTCTTCTTTCCTTGCCTGAGGGTGTTCGTCGAAGAAGTTGATCAAATGATATTTGTGCTCAGCTTGTAGTTGCGAAGGCTTCCTGTTAAATTTGTTGGTTTCCTTCTCATATATATCCCAGTCAGGGTCCTCTCTTAATCTTTTGGCCCATTTTTGAGCTGTGCGTTCAACGATTCGAGCATGCCTTCCTGCTGCTACGACACTCATGAGTTTTAATCGAAGACAATAAAGAAACAAACTCTTCTAGTCGTTGGAATAAATATTGTACTTCGAGCTAGGTTCCTTTTTTATACACTTCTCAACTTCTTCCATCACTGTATCGAGTCGAGGCTCGGCAGGGTCGAGATTTGACATTACTCGCGTCCTCTGGTACTGAGTTAAGGTCATGAGTGTTTCAATGTTAAAAGGATCGCCTTCCTCTTCCCAGTCCATTGCTTCAGCTCCGTTTTCATCTAAAATCTCGCTTTGGCCATCTTCGTAAAACATTTTGAAGCTCATTTTGTATGTAAAAGAAAAACGTAGATTGGAAAGAGCAATTTCCGCCTTTATTTAAAAAATCCGTCAATTGGCGTTGGCGGCGCTGTACAATTACTTTACACCACAGAAAGAAGTTGGGAATAAAGGTCTCTTCCAATCATATGCCATAAAAAGCTTTTGTTATTGGTAGTTGTCTATCATTTAAGCAATTTGGGTAGTAATAAGTTCTTTAGAAACTACACCGTTCTAGCTTGATCTAGATTGATAATATTGTTTTAGGAGAAGGTGTATTTATATATTTTTAGTAGAAAAACAACACATGGTCATATGATAAAATGGTTATAGTGTACAAATGAGGAGGAGACTCTAGGCTCCCATCATGATTTTGAATTCTTCAAAACTAATCTGACCATCACCATTAGTGTCAGCTTCCTTGATCATTGCTTCAAGTTCTTCTTCTGATAAAGATTCATTTAAAGAGGCCATCACTTTACGAAGCTCTTCGCGGTCAATCAACCCATTACCATCAACATCGAAAACCCTTTTTGTTACAAGATGAATAAACACTTGATCATAAAAGAAAGTAACTTACTTGAAGGCTTCTCGAAGATCATCACCTTCGTTGCCATTCTTCATATGTTTAACAAGACCCAAGAATTCAGAAAAGTCAATATTGCCATTGCCATCGGCATCCACATCGTTAACCTGATCGTGTTATTTAACATTTGAGTTATTTTAATTGGTTATGCTTACCATATCTTGGAGCTCTGCTTCACTAGGATTCATGCCAAATTTACGTAAAACAGTGCCTAATTCTTTAGCAGTGATACTACCATCACCGTCTGTATCGAATAATTGAAAAGCTTCTTTATATTCAGCAATTTCTTCAGGAGAGAGTTGATCAGACTATAAACGAATAAATAATTTTTGTTTAATAAATAAGCGTACCATATTTCTTAAGTGAAAGAAAAAAACGAAAACGAAAATATTAAAAAAAATTAATTAAAAAATTTTCAAACGTCAACTGAATCTCAATAATTGCTAAACATGGCAATCTTACTTTTGGTCCATTGACTCGGCAAGGAACCAGTCATTTCAATTCACTTCTAAAATTATATATACAACAACTCTTTTTTTTTTAAAGTTTTAAGTTCCAATCATAAGGGACATTTTAACTCAATTAGGCAAATCAACAAAATCTCTACAAATGACGTTGGTACATCATGCTGTACAGCAAACATTTTAGAATCGTGGGAAATTGGAATTTGAAGGCCCTTCAAAATGTTGTTCATGTGACCTGGATTTATCTTTTATAAATACAACTACAATTTACAATTCTCTTCTGCTTCTTTTTTATTATTATTACAAAAATGACCCGTCACTCTAGCAAAGAAGTTGTTGAATTAGAATCTACTTATGGTGCTCACAAGTAAAACATAATCAAAAAAAGAGAGGCATGTTTATATTAACCTTGCCATTAGCTACCATCCCCTCCCTGTTGTTTTTTCTGAAGCTAAAGGTATTTGGGTCTGGGATCCTGAAGGTAACAAGTACATGGACTTCTTGTCTGCCTATTCTGCTGTCAATCAAGGCCATTGCCACCCTAAAATTGTCAAGGCTCTTTGTGATCAAGCTTCTAAATTGACCTTGTCATCCAGAGCTTTTTACAATGACGTCTATGGTACCTATACAAAATACATGCATGATTATTTTGGTTATGACATGGTCTTGCCCATGAACACGGGTGCTGAAGCTGTTGAGACTGCTATCAAGATGGCTCGTAAGTGGGGTTATGTAAAGAAGGGTATTCCTGAAAATGAAGCCATCGTGTTGTCTTGTGAAAACAACTTCCATGGTCGTACAACAGGTGTCATTTCAATGAGCACTGATCCTGAATCTTATGGCGGTTTTGGTCCTTATTTGCCCTTGGTGGGTCCCAATGTTCCTCAAGCTAATACTTTGATTCGTTACAATAACCTTGAGGATCTTGAAAAGGTGTTGGATACAGTTGGTAAGCATGTTGCTGGCTTTTTGGTTGAACCTATTCAAGGTGAAGCTGGGTAAGTTGAATAGAGAAAACATACGTCTTGGCCTTTAACACAAAGGATTAGTATTATGGTTCCTGATGAAGGTTACTTGAAAAAGGCCTATGATCTCTGTAAGAAGCACAACGTCCTCTTCATTGCAGATGAAATCCAGACAGGTCTCGGTCGTACCGGTAAAATGCTCTGTGTCGATCATGATCAAGTCCGCCCTGATATTGTTCTCCTTGGTAAGGCTCTTTCAGGAGGTGTATATCCGGTTTCTGCCGCTTTAGCTGATCGTGACATCATGTTATGTATCAAGCCAGGAGAGCACGGCTCTACTTACGGTGGTAATCCTCTTGGTTGTGCCGCTGCCATTGCTGCTTTAGAAGTCATCAAAGAAGAAAACTTGGTTGAGAATTCTGAGAGATTAGGCCAAAAGTTCAGAGAGGCCCTTGTCAATTTGAACTCTCCTATTGTAAAGACAGGTAAATGAATATCATTGGATCACAATTGATATATATTGACTTTCTGTTCTAGTGCGTGGTCGAGGTTTATTGAACGCTATTGTGATTGATGAATCCAAGTCAGAAAGAAGTGCATGGGAACTTTGCTTGTTACTCAAGTCTCGTGGCTTATTGGCTAAACCTACACACGTCAATATTATTCGTTTAGCCCCTCCTCTCTGTATTACTGAAGAAGAATTAATGCAAGGTGTTGACATCATTGCTGGTGCTTTAAGAGATATTGTTAATATGAAGAAGGAAGACATTCCAGGCGAATTTGAGCATTAACTACTATATAATTAATATAAAAACATGTAAACAAGATAAAGTTTATTAGCATCTTTCAAAAATCTTGTACAAATCAGTCAAATTAGCTAATTGTGTCACATACTCTTTTAGACTCGTGGGAGCAGAAAAATAAGTCTTGAAGCATGGAAAGATCAAGTGCTGTACTTTCCATAAATAACCTTCCTTGTCTTCTGTGGGTGGTTCAGCACTGTAAAAAATAGCCAATTCTTGAGAGAAAGTATGAAAACATTCTTTTTCGTTTTCCCAGTCCACTTCTGTTCCTAGTCGAAGCAGAAATAAGGGCAGCTTCTCCATAGAAGGCACATAATCTCGTATGACCATAGGTAATCCAATCAGATAACCATCCTTAGATATGTCAACTGAAAAGTATTCCTTTAACATCTCAGCTCGAGAAATAAGAGTGGCTGTAATTAACTTTGACAAACATGAGTCACTGATCTTGTATGATAAGCATTTATGTCTTTACCTCTATCATTTCTTGAGGTGGTTTGACATTGGTAGGAAGCGTGTTGTTTTCTATTTCGTGTTCTATAGCGATTTTGAGGCAATCCCGAATTGATATTGGCTCTGAAAACTTTAATTGTCCCATATTACAAAATTCATTTAAAATAATTTGGTACATCAGTTCTTCACTAAAATAACAAGTCAATATCAAATCCTTGCTTATCTTACCTACCTTGCTACGTTGTAATTAATGATATATATATTCTGTTCATATTGTATTAAAGCCAGTACATCGTCCACACATCCTATAAACGTATGATTTGAAAAGACATTGGTCAAATCTATACAGCGATGAGTTTTATGTCTTTCTAGCGTATTGTTCTTCTACCTTGATTCTCTGCTTTCTTTATCTGTTTTCGTAATTGTAATACACTTGTGAGCCGTACTTTTACCCTAGGTTTATCTATAGTGTTGATGATTGGTTCAGCATCGATTTCCATAGTGTCTTTTTGCATTGGAGTAGGTTTATGTATAAAGGCATCCAAGGTGGTAACTCTGCTATCTGTTCTAACATATTTATATTCTGGGATACTCGTATTACTACTGGGCACTGTCTCTGATGGGAAAGAGTGAATAAAAGTATACATTTGTATCTATCATTACCCTCTTCTGTTGTTGTCTTTTTTGTGGCTGGATCAGATGCACCAGGCAATAATGCTTGTGTATAAAATGTTCTTGAATTGTTTGCATTCTCAAGCACTTCTTGAAACAAATCACTGATAGCTTGAACAATACGGTCTTCATGCAAGAAATGAACTTCCTTTTTGGTTGGATGAATATTGACATCGACATTCTTTGGATCAATCTCGAGACTTAGGTAAACAAATGGATGGCTTCCTTTAGGCAACAATAAGCCATAGACACTTTCAATGGCCCTTTTGATAGAGGAACTTTCGACTGCTCTATCTACAATAACACATATAAGTCCTCAACATGCTTAATTTAAAATAACACTTGCGATTAATAAACAATAAGAGTGTCATACGCTTCATACTATAGTTTGCATTCGAGATTTGTCCATTCAGCTTGAATTCAAGTGTATCAAACGTCTTTTCCACAGGCAGTAGTTCAGAAGCGACAGATCCATGTATCTGCCGAATATTATCTACCACACTGGCACCTGTCGAAGTTTGAATGTCAGCCATGGTAGCGCCTTGCTTTCGACAGGTAAAACTAACCCCCGCATTATGCACAGCATATCGACCCACGATATCCAAGATGCGGTTGTACTCATCGCTCGGTGATTTCAAGGCTTTTCTTCTGGTAGGTACATTAAAGAACAAATCTTCAGCTGTGATCTGTGTACCATTGTTGCCAGCACATGCTTTTGGCTCCGCACTTGAGCCTGGTCGGGCTGGAATTAATGCACCGTCTGAGTACAATGCTCGATAAGCACAAGGTGAATTGGCTGTCTTGGTGGTGATGGTAACGTGAGCCACATGCGATATACTGGCAAGTGCCTCTCCTCGAAATCCATGAGTGGAAATGCCAGACAAATCTTCAAATTTGCTTAATTTGCTTGTAGTAAAGCGTTCACAAACAATAGCCATATCTTCTTTCTATCAAAAAGGATTAAAGATACATGATGCTACTCTTTTTTTTTCTTCTTGCTTACGCGAATACCATGACCATTATCTTGAATTTGTAGTAGCTTTAAACCGCCGTCTTTGATCAAGATCTGGATCTGTGTTGCTCCAGCATCGAGGGAATTCTCAATCAGTTCTTTTAAAGCGTTGGCAGGTCGTTGAATGACCTTGAGATGAGTTAGTCATTGCTCGATCAAGTTTCTTTCTTTACTTCTCCTGCTGCTATTCTATTGACAACAGCTTGATCTAGTTTTTTAATATTTGGTATGCCTGTCATAATAAAAAGCAAAAAAAAAGAGAGAGAATTTTAAGTATTTCTGCTAAAATTGCAAGAGAGTCATTTTATAGACTTTTTAATTATGCTTCATGTAGAATAGTGCTATTAATTATTAGTTTGGTCAAAGACATATATTGAAACATACATACTTTGTGAGTACTAAATGACTTTTGATTCCATTTGGCACATTACACACTTGATATGCTTTTCGATTCTCAACGTATGCCTTTTTTTGAGCATCAAGCTAATTGCGCAATCTTATTTTATACAGTAACTTTCCTTATAACTTATTTTTGAATAAAATTGATAAGCATAATAATAACACTAGCGCTGGATTGGCAGTCTGCTACAGGTACGACTGCTTTCCAGAATAAACCATCATTTCTGCCTTCTAGTTCCCTTCTTTCGAGTTTCTTATGTTTGAGTATCCATAAAAGAACATATCGATGCATAAATATAGCAAGTTTTGAAAAAGTCAAAAAATCGTCAATTTGCCCTTATGATACTCTTACGAAATCTTCAGTTTCACTATTTTGCGATTTGTGAGCGACAGAGACATTATAGACATAACATGCCTTGGTACGAATTATTTCTCTAGGTTTATGAAATACACTCAAAGTGTTAGATCTGCAAAAGTAGCATAAAAAGTGTACGTTACGGCTAAAAAACAGAAGAATACGTTTTTGAAGGATAGCTCACTATCTTGATATTCAGCATACTATGTTTCCTAGACCATTAAATGATTCTTATCTATATCTACCAACTTTGCTAATACACTTTTCTCATAGCTCTTCGTTTTTAGACACTTTTAGCCCATCATTTCTCTTGAGTTTCAATTTTTTTTCTATTATGTATTGGATGAAAGTTTTATTTGGAAAAAAATAAAATCATCGTATAGATGGAAACTAGTGTATGTGAAGCAAAGTGACTAGCCATATGAAATATCTTCAAGGCAATGCTTTTGTGGAAGTATTCAATACGATTATATGGGTCTTATATAATCCCAATAGAAATAGCCGTCATCTAGGCTACCCTTCAATATGTCCTAAAAGAATATATCAAGTATTTCGTTCGTCGCTCCTGAGAGTCAGTACTCTTTATATCTTGTCTTGTTCAATGCTGCAGATGGCAATACCAATACCACAAGTAAAGGACACCATTCCACAATGTCTTCAATTACTTGGCACCTGACACAATTGTTGATACCTAAGAGATACAATCTTCCATAAGGGATTATGGCAAAATCTAGAGCACCACCAAGAGTGACCAAACCAATGTACTAAAAAATTTAGACGAAAGAAAAGCGAATTTCATTTTAGTTTTTGACAAGATCATACTAATTTAAACTCAGTTTTTCTTTAGCGGACACTCCATTTATGCCAAGCTTCAAAGTGTCATGAATAAAATCCTATTTGGCAATACCATCCAGTCCTATCTAAACATCAATGTGTCTTTTAGGAATAATTCATGGCAAAATAAATTCATTCAATAATAGCCTTGATAAAAGCATTACAATCTCAGGAACAAATCTTCTAAATCTGAATGAAGCCGTTTTTCATGAATTAGAGAGCATACAATACTAGAAGACATTTTTTTTTCTTGCTATATCATTCATGGGAATAGATACTTTATCTGACTAAGTGTACCAATTGAGCCTATGATTAGATATTCCCATGTGCAAATCATTTTATTAGACGCTTCAATTTTAATTGTTATGGTGTCATCACTTCTTTATTAGTTTTGTGTACTTTTGAATGCTTAAATGATCATGTGACAAAAAGAAACATAAAGGGTCTAAAAATAGTTTATTAAATTCTTTAGTAAATAAGATTTACTTTTTCATTTCTATATTCTTTCTTGGTACGCGAGGATTCATAAAAGTAGGATGAACAACATACACTTTTTTCTTTTTCTTCTTCTTTTCTGTTTCTCTTGGCTTACAATTGGGGGTTTCCTTGTAACCTACATAATTGGGTTGCATTGGTGCATAAACAATGTGTTGATAAAATATAGGATAGTAACAATAGCAAGCATGATACATCAATGTTTCTTTTGTCATGAAGAAGAAGAAAAAAGAATGAATACACCCTATTTATATATGTCCATAAAAAAAATGGCTCAAGCGTAAACCTCATATGATTGTTGTCAAATGAGTTCATCAGTTGATTTGAAGTTACATAAAAGCAAAATGACCTTGGAATTTCAATGTTTATTTAAAGGATGATGCAACTCTTCTTTTTCCAGAAAGAGGGCTTATTGCTGCGACGTTGTTCTGGTGATTTAGCTTTCTTTGAGACATCGGATGTCTTTGTAAAAGAAGGCATGGCTGATTCATTCGATGAGCCAATAGCAGGTTCTGGGCGCTGAATGTCTTTTGATGCATGCATGATACGATCAACATTGACTGAGGGCGCTTTAATAGCTGAATCAACACAATGCTTGACATTATCACTCATAACGTATTTTCTGGTTGTAATGGTGTCTTTGGAAACAGGGGGTGGCGGTGTAGATGATTCATTAGGCGTAGGAAGAGGTTTAGAGTGGGATGTGTCTTCTTGTTTTTTAGAAGATTTTGATTTGGCTGCAACCACTGCTGCTGCTCCAACACTAGCCATAGTGGCTCCTATAGTAGCTTTCTTGGTTGTGTCTTTAGAAGGTAGTTCAGGTTTAGGAGAGTCGGGTCGAGCATTCTTGTGTGAGGTTTCATGAGGCATAGTAGACGCCTCATGAGATGCTTCTATAGCTTCTGTTTCTGCAAACGATTTATTTTGAACAGGTAATGCCTCTTCTTCTTGATGCCGTATAGTATCTGCAGGCTCTATGTGAGACAGAGCTTCTGTTTCAGCAAATGATTTGTTTTGAACAGGCAATTCTTGCTGTTGTATGATGTCTACAGGCTTTGTCTCTGTGTGAGAAGAAGCTTCTATAGCTTCTGTTTCAGCAAGCGATTTATTTTGAATAGGCAATTCCTTTTCTTGCTGCTGAATGGCTGTTCCAGCAAGTAAATCATTCTGCACAGGCATTTCCTTTTCTTTGTATTCACCTGATTGCACATCGCTTGATATCTTTTTGACAATACGATATACATCAATTGATTGAGAGGCAACAGCAGAATGAATGCCATGTTGAACATAGTCTGGTAAAGGCGTCCTATCTTCCTTGTTTGTCTGACCAAGTGTGGCTGTTAGATTGTCTGTAGCACCAACTATAGTATCATCACCACCACCACTTGCAACTTGTACAGCATTGGCAATAGCCATATTGGCAGCTGTCGTGACTACAGGCTCAGGTGTTTCCTGAGTGATAGCAGCTGTCTGCTTCTTTTTGTTTTTGTTTTTGTTCTTCTTTTTCCTGTTTTTTGAATTAATTGCCGAACTCATAAAAATTCTTTAGATAAAGAAAGAAAGAGAGAACATTCCCCATAAAAGATTTATATATATATATATATATTTTATTATTTCTTTTTACGCTTAATAAATCCATTCGATAACATATGAATAGCTGGTCTTTTATCGGTGGTTATTGGTTGCACTGTAGGCAATGTGGATGGCTTTGTTTGAATGACAAAAGACGCTGTGTCTTTGATTGCTTCCCTTGCTGTTTCTGTTGAAGCCTTGTTCGACACAGCATCATGAAAATCTAATGACATCAATTTGTTCCAGAACAGAGTAAAATCACTTGATGTGCATGCCACTGCTTCAGTTTCTGTCTGTGTCTGACTTTTTAAGCGCAATTCAAAAAACCCTGTCACTTTGCCTGATCCACATTCTTCTCCAATTGAAAGTAAGTTCCAAAAATCGACTACTGTCATTTTATCGGTGTTTCTAAGCAAGCGTGATTTCGCATCATCTTCAAATCGAGGTATGACTTGATCTGCCTCTGCTTCTGGAGGATACGATGTACCATAATGCCATTGAACCTTGTCTGAACTTCGCCAACCTCGTCTTTTAGCCCCTATTTCAATCAGAGCCGATGTCTGATCGTCTATACCGGGAACAGACCACCATCCTTCGCTTTCCACAGGCACTTTGTTCAACACAGAAAGCCACCAATAGACTAAATCTCGATCATTCAATGCCTTCTTTTGTTTATTTTCTGCTGATCTGGCAAACAAGTATTGAGGTTGAGCTCTAGCAAACACAAATACTGAGGATAAAGGGGGTAAACTCGCTATATAGCTTTGGACAATACGTGCTGTCAGTCCTTTGAATTTCTCAAATGTTTGTGTTGTGTCTACTTTGGAAATATACACAATGTGTCTATTTTTGAGTTTATATTCATAAGTCTCTAAACCGCATAAAAATCCTTCTTGTTCTGTTGAGACTAAGACAAGACGATGGCGAACGTGTGTGTCTCCATCGTGTTGTTTGATCAAAGGATCAGTACAACGCGTATAAACTGACTTTATATCATCAATTTGAAAAGTAGAAACAGGAGCAAAATGTTCAAGGCAGTGGGTTAAACACGTCTTGAAAGACATAAAGAAGAAGAAAAAGAAAAAAAATTTATTCAATAAACTTCCATTTGATAGGAATTGAACCATGACTAAAATCACCCAATTCTTCAAAAGCTATGTTGCTCATAAGTATATGATATATATATATATATATATATATATGCATCTTCTTACCTGCTGGACTAAGGTCAAGTCCTCCCGTTTGACATGTTTTGCAATTATCGACTACAGTGACATGAATGGATTTCCCACTGGGACCAACCACTTCAATTTGTTGACCACAATGAGGATTTTGACTTCCTTCTTCTTGACCCATTTCTTGTGCATTGACAGCAGCTACAAGTTCCATATTCTGACTTTGTTTACCACAACTACCTACATGTGTCTCAAGGTCATAATACGTTCCTTCACCACGGTGATAACCATCATCAGGCAATGCTCCAGCCAGACGAAGACCACCCACAAAACCAGGTTCCTCATGAAACGAATCGCCTTGTCCACCTGAAGATTGACGAGAGTCGTAGGGATAATCATCCTGTTGTGCTTGGTTACGATTGACTGCAGCCTTACTTCTTTCCCAGTTAATACTACCATCTTCATTGTAAGCAATCTTTTGGCTATTGCCATTAGCACGACCATTGTTATTATAGTTGGCACGACCATTGTTATCATAGTTGGCACGACCATAATCATAAGCGGCATTTCTAGCATAGGAGTAGTCATTTCTTGCATAACCATAGTCATTTCTACCATAAGGATCACTGTTATAAGCATTTCTTTGAGGAGGAGGAGGGGAGGAGGAAGACGACCATAATAATTGTAGTTATCTTGATAGCCTAAATAAAGCCATTTCAGTATTTACATGACTATGGATTTAGTTTATTCACCTTGATTTGAGTCAGGCTGAGCAAGTCTGTTATTAGGCTGACTGAAATGTTGATTGATATCAGCATCAATCAAGTCGGGATGATGATGATAAAACATATCATTTGGGAAATCAGCATAAACAAACTGAAGACACAATAGAACAAGAATTGCAATGGATACCATGTTCAACTAAAGAAAGAAAGAAACAAAAAAAAAAAAGCAAAATAAACAACGGTTTGTATTTAGAGAGAGAGAGAGATGGGGGTTTTTCTTTTGTTACATGGCTTCAGTCTTATCCCAAAAGAACTAGGGTGTCATAAAGTATAGAGTGTTGATTTAAACCGGATAAATAGAGTATCCGATAGTATCTGATAAAAAACCCTTTTCTTTATTCTATCCTTTTTCCTTTTTTTAGTAAACATGACAAGCCAGGTACACTATGAGAACAACAAACACATGTTTGTTTAACTATCTCTACAGTGGTATATGCAAAAAGAAGAAAGTAGATACTTTCCTTCGATCCTCAAAGGAATGAAGTATGAAGAAGAACTCATGTCTCGTTTACGTGCAGTGTGTCTTATACAGTGTGTAGGATATCGACTTGAATTGTAACTATCTCCTTAAGCATCTACTTTGTATTCACTTGTGATAGGCCAATACATACTGTAGCTACTGCATCTGCTTTGTTTCATCGGTTCTATACAAGAAGATCTTTTTATGAATACAAATCCAACGTATGTATATAAATCTTGTTTGTGATTTACTAAATAATACAGGGTAGAAAATAGCGCAAGCTTGTCTGTTTATTGCCTGTAAAAGCGATGAATCATCACGCCGAGCAAACGATATTGCTAAATCATGGCTTTATAAGCCCAATACAGTCCTCAGTGAAAAGAAGATGGTAATGTAGTTGTGAATACAGCCTAGAACTCACTTATTTCAACAGAGTAAATTCATTGCGGATCTACTGTATTATGAACTGATTGTGTTGGAAATCACTTGTTTCGATATGCAAATTGACCACCCTTATGTTGATCTATTTGAATTTGCTAAAGAGATCCATAGTAAAGTACTATTCTATTTTCTTTCTTTTTTTCTCTCTCTCTTTAACTTATATGAATAGCACCCAACGATGTGATTCATGCTGCATTAGCATTTATCAATGACAGTCTAAGATTACCACTCTGTTTATGGTATGATCCTAAATCAATAGCAGCCACAGCATTATTAATGGGTTATCATGGTCATGATATTCCATTCCCTTCAGATACCAATACACATTGGGGACAATACATTGAAAAAAACACAAGTTTATTGACTGGTAAAAACAGGTATAAGATAGACTTGGTAATATACTCACACTCTCTTAGATATCACTGCTTCTATTATGGAAGTGTATAAATTACCCAAAAAGTATCATGCAAAATAATAATAATAATAAAATCCCTTTTTCTTTCTTTCATGACCAGTCCATCTTCATTTCCTGAACAGAGAGTAGCTCAAGCTTTGGCTTCTATTATGCCACCACCACCAACAACAACAACAACAACAACAACAGGTTCTACTCAACCTGCCTTTGATCTAACTCATTTCTGGACTGAACAAATGCAAGAAATAGGTTCAAATGAACCTGATTTTAAGAATCATGCTCTTCCCCTTGCACGTATTAAAAAAGTCATGAAGACAGATCAAGATGTCAAGGCAAGTAACAATAAGAAAAAGATATCTTTATATTAACGCGTATTGAATAGATGATCAGTGCAGAGGTAAATCTGAATTCACTTCCAATCTAATTGACATAGGCACCTATACTCTTTGCTAAAGGATGTGAAATGTTCATCACTGAACTAACAAGACGAGCATGGTAAGACATACATAGCCTGGCTTTATTTTTATTTTTTATTAATGTTTGAAAGGGTGCATGCAGAAGAGAACAAGAGACGTACATTACAAAGATCAGATGTGGCTACAGCTATTTCCAAGACAGATATGTGTGATTTTTTGATTGACATTGTCCCTAGAGAAGAAGCCAATCGACATCAAGTTGTATATGAAGATAACAACAACAACAATTATTATACTGCTTATGGCCAAGTAAGTAGATCCTATTTAGTATCGCACTCATGTCTACTTAGGTTTATTATCCTTCATTAACACCAGAACAAATGCAACAATATCAATTTCAATTACAACAATTGACTAAAGAAGAATCAAATAATAATGAATAAAAAGAGGTCTACCTTTTTTCTTTTTTATTGTTTTTTTTGGGTTGTTAGAAATATAAAATATATATATACACACAAGATGAAGCCTTTGTTTTTCTTAGATAAGATCAGCAACATTCATGGGCATTTCTTCAATTTGAGTATTGTAGAATTGTTCAATGTCTCTCATAGCACGAACATCATCACCAGAGATGAAGTTGATAGAGACACCCTTACGACCGAAACGACCACCACGACCAATTCTGTGAATGTAGTTTTCACGGTTTGTGGGCAAATCATAGTTGATAACCAAAGACACTTGTTGGACATCAATACCACGGGCCAACAAATCAGTGGTGATCAAGACACGAGAAGAACCAGAACGGAATTCCTTCATGATGACATCACGTTGAGCTTGGTCCATATCACCGTGCAAGGCAGAGACAGTGAAATCACGGGCTTGGAGCTTGTCAGTCAACCAGTCGACCTTTCTACGGGTGTTACAGAAAATAACAGCTTGAGTGATAGTCACAGTTTCGTATAAATCACACAAAGTATCCAACTTCCATTCTTCCTTATCGACAGCAATGTAGAATTGCTTGATACCTTCCAAAGTCAATTCATCACGCTTGACCAAAATTCTGATAGGATCTCTCATGAACTTCTTGGTGACTTCCAATACATCAGCAGGCATGGTAGCAGAGAGAAGGACAACTTGAGTAGATTCAGGCATCAATTGGAAGACATCGTAGATTTGGTCCTTGAAACCACGGGACAACATTTCATCAGCTTCATCAAGAACAAACAACTTCATGTACTTGGTGTTAAAAGCACGTCTGTTTTGGATCATATCCAAGACACGACCAGGAGTACCAACAACGACTTGGACACCAGATTGAAGAGAAGCAATGTCTTCACGGATATTGGTACCACCAATACAGGCGTGACTCTTGATACCCATAAAGTCACCGAGGGCCATAACAACCTTTTGGATTTGGAGAGCCAATTCTCTAGTAGGTGCCAAGATCAATGCTTGAGGTTCCTGGAGGGAAACATCAATAGATTGAAGCACAGAGATAGAGAAAGTGGCAGTCTTACCAGTACCAGATTGAGCTTGGGCAATCACATCATGACCTTTGATAACGGGCATAATAGCACGTTGTTGAATAGCAGAAGGTCTTTCAAAACTATAAAAGAATGTTTAGTTTTGTATCATTCTATTGACTCACTTACCCATATGCATAAACACCACGAAGAAGTTCGGGCTTAAGGTTCATGTTGTCAAAGTTATCAATAACTTCTTCCCAGTTGGACTATTTTTTTTTAAAAAAAAAAATATTGGTTATTCTCTATAAGAAAAAAAAATTTTTTTTATGTTTTTTCTTACCTCGATTTCGTTATCTTGGAGTTCTTGCAAAGGTTCGTTACTTTTTGTTTTTTATTAGCTTTATATGTATCGACATGGATTTGTTTATATATTTACCTCATATTGAATAATAGGTTAAAGTGAAGAAAAAAAAGAAAAAAAAAAAAGAAAAAAAAATTTTGTAGCAAAAAAATAGGCTAGGGGCCAAATAGTGCGTCACATTTGTTAAGCCATCTGATTCCTTATTTGAGTTAAAACACCGCTGATTTTATTTAGGTTTAGCAATAATATAACATGTTGTGCCCAAATGCCATCTTGAATGCTCTACTATCTCTAGTTTTTGCTTTACACGTTCATCTTCAAATAAGCCCATAATATCTCGATTCCACCAACAGCCCCATTGTTTGACATGCTTATCAACATTTGTATCCAACAGACGATTTAACCAATCATAATGAGAACGACCATGTTCAAGCAACAAGACTCGAGAATCCTTTGATCGACATGAATCAGCTATTTGAACAAGTGCCTCTACAGGATCTCCACAAGAACAAAGACCAAATGTATCCACGACTGTATCATATTTTCGGTTTTGTTTCTCTTCTATACTGGTTGTCTCGAAAAACGCTTGATGGAATCGATCCTTGTATGACTTGAGGTATTTCTCTTTGGCTTCATTCAACATGGGCTCATGTCTATCTGTAAATGTAGCTGAATGTACCTTATTGGGCTTATAATAATCAAAGTTCCTTCCTGTGCCTGTTGATACTTCCAATACATCGCCCTATCATTTGCTATCAATGGCCTACTTATTGAAGTTTTTTTTTTTTTTTTTTTTTTTTTTTTTTTTTTTTTTTTTTTTTTTTTTTTTTTTTTTTTTACCTGAGCTTTTCCAATCAACCAACGTCTTAATAATCCTACACCCATTACAATTTCATCCCAACTAATTTCTTGATCGTATTTCTTGGCCACAGTTTGCCATACATTGGATGTATCAAAACTGGAAGGTGTGAGACTAGGATCTTGAGGCCCTTTGCCAGCCACCCTATCATTGGTATCATTCTTACTCTTAAACACAAGCATACTGACATAGGCTGCAGACACGTAAAGTAAAGTGCCACCCATTAAAATAGGTACTAATTTTGGACTTTGTTTCGGTGGTGGTGGTGGAGGAGGAGGTGGAGGTGGTGCATGAATAGGTTTATATTTAAGTCCTCCTGCTCGAGAAAAAACTTTCTTTGTTGACATGGAATAGAATAATGATAATAATAAAAAAAAGAGAGAGAGAGAGAGAGGAAGAGAGAAAAAGATTTTTTTTTGACATGGCTTCTTCTCCGCAAGAGAGAATTTTCTCAGTTTAAGCCAATGAAATGAATTGATATGCTGTATTTTCTTCTTTCATATATGCAACAAACCTGCCTTGAAACAAATGATGTTCTTTGTCTTGTGTCACAAACATACGTATGTAAATTCGCCTTTGTTATCTATTTCTATGAAAATAAAGGACATTATTTTATTTTATAGGGAGTTGAACTCATTCAAACAAGTACTTGCACTGTATTCTTTCCTTGTTTCTCTACTCGATGTCAATGACACATATAGACACATAGAGGAAAGCTCCGATAAACCTATATATGGGAATTTTTCTTGGATTTAGCATCCTGTTTACCTTGCCTCGGTCTTTTTGTTTTTTTTTGTTTTGTTCTTGTTTTTCTCTCTCTCTTTTGAATAACAACAAAAAAAGATGCGATATGTTCTATTGTTTTTAGTGTTGTTGAGTCTATGTCAACTCATAACAGCATTTTATGGCCCTGGTGAACGCTTTAGAAGAAGGTAATTTTTTTAAAAAAATGTGTGTAGATTGATATATCTTTTTAGTCATTTGATGAAACTCGAAACAAAGCATGAGAAAAAACTACCAGAGCAATATGGTCCCTTTTACTATGATCAACCTGTGGATCATTTTGACTCGAATTCTTCTACTTTTAAGCACAGATATTGGGCCAATACAGACCATTATGAACAAGGTGGACCTGTTGTTTGTAAGTGATTTCAAATTGCATTTGGCTTTGACCATGTTATAGTATACAATGCTGGTGAAACACCTGCAGATGAACGTTCGTTTTATGTAATTAATTCAACCATGGCTGATTTAGCTAGACGATTGAATGGTATTGTGATTGTGATGGAACATCGTTTCTATGGTAAATCCATGCCTGCCCCTGTAAGCCATTTCATCCTAGACACACCTACAAGAGATTCACACTCACCTTAGGATTTCTCTGCTAAATCGTTGGCTACCTTAAATACCAAACAAGCACTTGAAGATATGGCTCATTTCATCAAGTTTGTCAAGGTAAAAAAAGCGTTTTTTTTTTTTTTTTTTTTTTTTTTTTTTTTTTTTTTTTTTTTTTTTTTTTTGCTGATGCTAAGCGGCTTCTATTTAGTTTCCCAACTTGGATCTCCCACCTGCACCTGAAACAAAATACATTGTGTATGGTGGTAGTTACAGTGGTAATTTAGCTGCCTGGATGCGCCAAAAATACCCTGATCTTGTCTTTGCTGCCGTACCTTCTTCCGCCCCTGTTCAAATGAGCTATAACTATTATCAATACTTTGATCCTATTCTTCAATATGGACCTAAGCATTGTATTGATGCCATTCGTTCTGTTGTTCTCTATGTAGATCATATCTTGTTTAGTCCATTCAAAGACCATAAAGTAGCTTTAAAAAGACAATTTGGTGTTGAAGAATTGCAACATGATGATGATTTTGCTGAACGTAAGTACCTATCTTCTAGAGAAACCAAGCTTATTGTCCTCCTAGTACTTTCTTCCCCATTGGGTATGTGGCAAGCCATGACACCTACTGAAAACCCATTCCAAGACAAATTCTGCTCTATTTTTGACGGACTAAACCAAGTGCATGAGTATGTCGATGCTTATGCCAACTACACTTTACATTCAGTCCAACGTCAATGTAAAAACCAGACCATCACGGAATGCCTTGACACGCATGACCCTCATTCTACCAAATATTCAGACGAATCTGATGAAAACCGTGCTTGGTTCTGGCAAGTGTGTACTGAATACGCTTATTGGCAAACGGCCTCACCTCTTTGGCGACCTACCATTGTATCCCGCAAACTCAATACGGCATGGTACCAACGCCAATGCCCTTACATGTTTGGTGAACATGCTGTTCCTCATCGACCTGTATGGCGTAAGATCAACCGCGATTATGAAGGATGGTATACCAGTCTAGACCGTGTCTATTGGATTGATGGTGAATGGGATCCTTGGAGAACACTCAGTATTCAAAGTGAGGATGCGCCTGATCGTTCGGGTTGGAATGAAAATGCATGTTATGCTGTTCTGCCCAAGTCTGTCCATCATTGGGTAAAGTAACTCTTCTCTTTTTTTTTTTTACGCATAACTCATTTTTTTTTCTTGATAGGACTTTTTCACAACAGACGCTGTTTCTGGCTTTATCAAGGATACACAAGATAATGTGTTTGAAACGATCCGTGCATGGATTGATGAAGCCAATGACTTAAACACGCCTGCCCTTGTCTATCAATCCCATTCTATCTAAATAAATATATATAAATATATATACATATACACACAACAAACACAATTTATTTAAGAGGAACAAACTTGGAAGAGTGAGTGGCACCAATACCGGGACGACCGTGCTTAACAGGCTTGTAGGTGATGGAGAATTCACCAAGGTAGTGACCAGTCATTTCAGGCTTGATTTCAACTTGGTTGAAAACCTTACCGTTGTAGATACCAACAACAGAACCAATCATTTCAGGAACAATGATCATGTTACGAAGGTGAGTCTTGACAACTTCGGGCTTTTCACCAGCAGGGGCGTTCTTCTTGGCAGCACGAAGCTTCTTAATGAGACCCATGGGCTTACGCTTAAGACCACGTTGGAATCTTCTACGAGCACGGCAGTGGACGAGTTCCATGAATTGTTCAGAGGACAAGTCCAAGAGTTGTTCGAGGTCAATACCACGGTAGGTGAACTTACGGAAAGTTCTCTTTCTGGGAGTTTGCTCGTCAGCCTAGAATAAGGTGGTCAGTAGGATGGCACATGAAAAAAAAAAGAGAGTGTTGAAAATAGAAGAAAAGTTGTTGGATTATGCAAGTGTATTCAATTCTATCCATCCATCCATCCATCTTTTTTTTTCTTCTGAATACTGATCTTTATCCATGGATAACAACTCTGATGATTTTCGACACTCTCTATCTTTTATTTCTATGGACGTACCATCTTTAAGCACAAAAAAAGAAGGGTTTCTAGGTTGGGAGCTGCTAGCCTTCAGGAATCAATCCACGTCTGGGTCTGCCGGTATCATGAGGTGCACATTTGAAATCCATTTACTCCGATTCGAGTTGAATTTTCAAATTACCCGGACATTGTCATTTACCGGACTACCTGCATAGTGCATGACATAAAAAAAAAGAATGTTTATTCTTTAAAAAATCTTGAGAAAAGAACAAGAGCGTTAAATAAGAAATGAGCCTGCTCATGTATAGAATAAAGACAGTTCCTTTAAACAGGGGTATGTTGTTAACGAGATATTTAGGCATTGAACATACAACCATATTCTTCGCGCAAATTGTAAAAATGGAAGGAACCAATGTAATGAAACTATAGAAAGTTAGTTTTATATAGATCGAATGTTTACTTACAAAGATACCCAAACAAACAAAGACATGCCAAATTGCATGGCTTGTCATACCAGCAGCATCGAATTTACCGGGAAAGAATTTTTCTGGGAATCGCTTACCATACACTGTGACACCACAGATGTACATGACAGCACCAAGTAAAGCAGGTTTTAAAAAGACGGCGGTGTTTGTAGTCCCCTTGACGGTGGTCATATGAAGCAAAGGAACCACACTCGAAAAAGCCATGGCGACAAACAGTCCAATACGAAGAGGACGGTAACGTCTTGTATCAAAGAAACGGAAAAAAGGCAAGATCACACCAATACTGCCAATCAAGCAACTAAAGATCATATATCGATTGCGGGGGATGGGGTCACAATAGAAACCAAAATGAACCACGATGGAGATGGAAGCTGTTATTAAAAAGGTAATACCAATATAGTCGAGGGTGGCTGTAAAACTTTTAACGTGATATGCTGAATGACAAATAAAGGTATGGTAAATAGAAGAACATAACAAACAAGTGAGAGATGCCAAACAAAAGGCCATGAATACAAGTAAATCTTGATTTGAAGCATCAGGGAATTTTCTCTAACAAAAAGACTGTAAGCCGACTTTTTTTTTTATTCTTGTTTGAATTACCTGGAAGACATGAACAGAGAGATACATAAAAAAAAAGAAACCAAGTAAATGACTCCAAATGTTCATTGTCTCATTGTGCAATTTAAACAGAGACTTGAGACATTCCTTTGTGCTTCGATAGAAACGATAACCAGACAAAACGTATTGGTTTTCTTGTCTATCCTTGGGCAATTCTTCGATCAATAAAAGGCGCTTCGATCCAAGCATCAAAGCCTTGGCAGTCTCCCAAGTCTCATGGATTTGACCATCCATATATTCAACAAAAGTTGCTTCATCCTGCTCTTCTTTCAATTTATTGTTGACAGTTGCCAGAATTTGTGCTGCCAGAGATGATCCTTGGACAACCGAAGTAGAAAATGATCTGCCTCGCGTATGAGGGATAGTGAGTGCGTCCTTGGTAGACGAAGCAGAAGTAACATGGGATTGAGAGTATCGACGTAAATGAAGGTTGGTAGAAAGATATCCATCATCTAAAAGAAGAGGTTGTTCTGCCATTTGAGGAGGTGCCATGATTGATTGAAAAGAATGTTTCCCTTTTATTTAAACTCTCTTGTGTTGAAGCCAACAACAATAGCGACAATAAATAAGATCTGTCACTATAAAATGTTATATATAAACAAAAAGAAAAAAAGGAAGGCAGCAAATAACTGGTAAGGTACAAAAATATTTTACCCCAAACTATACCACTGATTGGCCAATCGGATTTTGACGCAGAACAAATGAGGATAAGTTTTTTGTACCAGTCACTTCTTGAGTTTCTTTAAATTGATTCGCCCATCTCCTCTCTTTTTTTTTCTATTTCTTACTAGCCATTTTTGAAAGGGGTCAAAGGCATTTTATTTGTCTATTTTATTGGTTAAAGTATTATTAAGAAATAGACATGTATTTGAATAAATGTGCAGTGATTTAGAATGAACGCGCAGATCTCGATTTGTTCCTTTTTTAGATTGCTCTTTCTCTTTTGAAGAAAATCAAAACGAAGCGTGTTTGTTAGTGTATTTTTGTGTTGTACAAAAAGTAAAATGGATTCAAAAGAATAGAGATTGCTATTTCTCTGGCTGTACACCTCATAATATTGTATGATGTTGCACTCTTTATTGCGAAATACAGATATATTTGAAGGTTATACACAAGCTGATCCGAGAATTCTGGTTTTGTAAATTCGTTTATATTCAAAACAAAAGCAAGTTTTTGTTTTACCCGAAACAAAACAATATTGAAGAAAAAGTGGTCAAAATAGGCAAAACCGACCATTTGATTTTTGGTCTTTTAAAGCTGGCATTCTACATGTTTCGTGACCATGTTACTCAGGTGTTACTCATGAAAGGAATGCATTTCTATGGACAAATTACTCTTATTCTAGAGAAACTGCAAGACCATACAGGATGGGATGTATATTGGTGTAAATAGCTGGAAGAAAGATACCTCCTATGAGGGAACACAGGTACGTATGACCCCAAAGCATAGTTGGCATATTAATTGTGAAAGTGTTTCATCAAGTTTTAAAGTATACAAACTCATTCTCACTTATTGTACAATGTCCTCTCTTTATGTATTTTATAAATGACTGGTTTCTTTATGCGGGCAACAGCAATAGAAAGTGGTCAATTGATAAAATACAAACAGCCTTTCACCTTTTTTTTTCCAAAATCCACGCAAAAATAATTGTTTTTAAACAAAATGTCTCCCAATCTTATTTTCTTTTTTTCGCTAGCGTGTTGGGCAACACAAACCATCGCATGGACTATTTCGACTTCTCTGATAGATAATCATATACATCATAATGATTTAGTTTTGATAGCTGCTTTGTTGTATACAAAATCGGTTCATCCGCAATTCCAAAAAAAAAAAAAAAAAAAAAAAAAAAAAAAAAAAACTTTGTACAGCTGCATCAATTTCATTTTTTTAGATCCGTGAAAGTAAACAACGATATTGTCAAATATTACTTGTCCCTACCTAAGAATACTGTAAATAATATGAAAGTGGTATTCTCTCCTTCTAAAGACTCGAACAGAACAAGATCTATATTACAGAATGAATATATCTTTGAAAGCATAGTAGAATAAACTTAACTTGAACTCTTTTGTTTACAAAGCAAATGTCTGATTTAACCAAGCTGGGATATTTGAAACTGTTAAGTAATCATTTGGCACCGCTGTACATGTTTAGAAGCTACGTCAACATACTCCAGTGGCACAATGGATACATACCAAATTTGGATTGTTTTCATATTAATCGCCATAGTTAGGTATGCTAATTAAAAGGCGAAACTCTTTAAGGAAATCACAAGACGCTTTCTTATTAATAAATAATATAGAGAATGAAGGGGATGATGGCGATAAAGAAAAAAAAAAGAAGGAGTCTATATATATAGCTTGAATGTTGTTGCACAACAGGTCTATTTTTTTTCTTCTTTTCTTGCTCCTTTTATTTGCTCCTTTTTTCTTTCTTTCTTTCTCTCTTTTCCTTTTTCTTTTATATATATATATACCACAAGAAAATAATAATAATAATAAAAATGGCCCACCATAGAACTTGTATTAGCGACTTGCCTTCTGAACTCTTGCAGCAAATATTACAATATATACTAGAAGCACCTGATGGCACTTGCCAAGATTTACTCAACTGTGCTTTGCAATGTCGATCTTGGAGTTATCATGCTCTTCAACTACTCTGGCACAAACCATTGATTCTTAAACCACAAACATGGCTTAAATTTTCCAAAACGTTAGCCCTTTTAGACACTTATATTGACTATGCTCCATTAGTTCGGCGCATCAACTTATCGGCTGTGCCTGAATATATTGGGGATGAATCTCTTTTGACTCTATCAATGTGCAAACAACTTGATCGAATCACACTCACAGGCTGTATGCATATCTCAGAAAATGGACTACAACAATTTCTGAGTAAAGATACAGGTCGATACCTACTTTCTATGGATTTGTCAGAAATCAAACATATCACAGATGAAACAGTTCTGTTGATTGCAGAGACTTGTCGAAGTCTACAAGGGCTTAACCTGACAGTGAATCCTGTCAAGGAAGAAGAATGTCTTGGTGTGACAGACAAGAGTATTGTAAAATTAGCAGAAAATTGCCGAGATTTAAGAAGAGTAAGTTGTAGAGAAGCAAACTTGTAAATTAAGCTTTTTTTTTTGTTATGCCTAGATTCGTTTATCCAATTGGAAACTATTAACAGATGAGTCCATTATGGCTTTAACAATGTATTGCCCTAATCTATTGGAAATTGATGTTATCAACTGCAATATCTCTAACCAAGCTCTGACAAGTATTTTTGAAAAAAGTCGAGAATTGCGTGAACTCAAGGTCAACAACTGCCAATTCTTGAATGACCATGGTTTCATTTGCTCTTCACTTACCACAAGACCTAGCTATTATGACCAACTCCGTATCCTTGACTTGACCAACATTGTCAGTATCACAGACCGCACAGTTGACTGTATCACACAATCTGCACCTAAAATCCGCAACCTGATCCTCAACAAATGTGTTCATATTACAGACAAATCTGTAGACTACTTGACACGCTTAGGACGCTACTTACATTATATTCATTTGGGAAGCTGCAAAAATATCACAGATCAAGCCATTATTCACTTGACATCCAAATGCACTCGTATTCGTTATATTGATCTTGCTAGTTGTCATCGCTTAGGGGATGATACAGTAGTTGCCTTAGCTGCTTTGCCTAAACTGAAGCGTATTGGTTTGGTTAAATGCCATCGAATTACAAATCGAGCTATTATTGCACTCACACGCCATGCTCGCACAAGTGTTTCATTAGAACGTATCCACCTTTCCTATTGTGAACAACTTACAGTACAGGCCATTGCCGTCTTGGTAATTCATTGTCGCCGTCTTACTCATTTAAGTTTATCGTTTATTCCTGCTTTTCAACATGAAGAATTCCAACGTTTTTGTCGCCCACCACCTAAAGAATACAATGCAGAATTGCAGAGAACCTTTTGTGTCTTTAGTGGTCAGAATGTGCATGATTTAAGAAGCTATTTAAAATCCTCTGCGTATGTCACACAACAACAACAACATTTAAATATGCGAAGATTGTATCTTCAGCAAGATCGATTAGATGAACTAAGTGAAGGCTTGCAGAGAACACACGTAGTGTAAATAATCTTAATAAACAGTTCGGTCCGAACTTTTTCTTTGATTTTATCTGAGTTTCAAATTTGCTGTTTTCCTTATTCCAGTCAAAGACATACTCAAATTCCTTTCTTTCTAATCCGTATAGACGACGATCATACACTATGGGTGGTAAATAGAAAAGAACAATCCATCTGATGATACTAACCAGCCATCCATTTTCTGAAAAGCCTACAAATATCTTGAAGAGCTTGCCAGAAAGAAACAATCCGATGTTTCTCGTTTCTTGCTTCGTGTGAGATGTTGGGAATACAGGTACATTTAAATACACAAAAAGAAGAACAATTTATTGTTCTTGTTTAGGCTTGAATACGTCCTTTTTTTTTCGAAAAAGGAGTTGATCAAATTCATCCGATGAGCAATACTTTGTGTTATTATGTACTTGTCTTAACACACTATATTTCTGGATTTTTTTATATAGACAATTGAACGTTATTCACCGCGCTTCTCGTTCTTCTCGTCCTGACAAGGCTCGTCGTTTGGGTTACAAGGCCAAGCAAGGTTTCGTTATCTATCGTATCCGCGTTCGTCGTGGTGGTCGTAAGAGACCTGTTCCCAAGGGTGCCACTTACGGTAAGCCCGTCAATGAAGGTGTTTCTCAACTCAAGTACCAACGTTCCCTCCGTTCTACTGCCGAGGAACGTGTTGGCCGCAAGTGTGCTAACTTGCGTGTCTTGAACTCATACTGGATCAACCAAGATGCTACCTACAAGTACTACGAAGTTATCCTCGTTGACCCCTCTCACAAGGCTATCCGTCGTGATGCTCGCATCAACTGGATCGCCAACCCTGTTCACAAGCGTCGTGAAGCTCGTGGTTTGACTGCTGTTGGCAAGAAATCCCGTGGTCACAACAAGGGTCACCGCTTCAACAACACCAAGGGTTCTGGTCGTCGTGCCACCTGGAAGCGTCGCAACACTCTTTCTCTCCGTCGCTACCGTTAAACTGCTTAATAAAGTTTCTACACTTGATATTCATAATTTGTACATAGTCAAAAAAAAACTCGCTTTATTTGTCTTTTTCTTCTAGTGTTCTTAATAACATTTTGATACGATATTCTGCTTTTTCATTGGCGATTTTAAGTTGTTTGATTTCATTCTTTAATTCTTCATTACTGCTTTCTTCAGGAAGGTTGTCTACACAGAATGAGCTTCTTTTGTATGATAATAGCCATCAAGTACCTGTTTTATGGATCACTTTTTTAAGTTGGTTGACTTGGCGTTGAAGGGATTGAATAGCGACATCCACTGGTGTATCGCTTAAAAAGTGTTGCTCTTCAGTAGACATAATTAAGAAAAGGAAAAGAAAACTTTGTCTGACAGCCCCCATCACATAAAGTGACTGACACTGCTAAATTCAACATGATTGGATAAAATAGTGTCATTCAGGAACCCCTCCTCCTTTTTTTTGGATTTCTGACAATTGGAAGAATTGAAAATATCGATCTCGAATGTTTGGATGATTCATTCGAGTCTACAGCTATCTCGTATCATTCCTTTAGTTTTGGAAAAATAAATCATTTTATGTATAATACCAAGTAAGTTTACTTAAAAAGGAAGAATAGCTTTCTTGTGTCATCATGCAATTGGATGTACAATGCTTGTCAAGAAATGACTCTTATGCATGCCATTTAAGGATAAGAAAATATGTTTAATGATGCATATCGTTAAGAGAGAGAGAAAAAAAAAAGATTGTGTAAAATAGTTTTGGTAGTATTGTTGAATAGAAGCATAATAAATTCCAATTAAAATTTAATGATTTAATTTCTCTGTCAGAAAACTCAACACAGCATTTGATATTCAGACAATTCTATCAAGCATTGGTAATTCAGTTAAAAAATCTTGATTAGAGTAACAATAAGTTTCAACAAGAAGAAAAAAAAAAGGTACAATTGAATAAGAACAAAATCCCTAGCAAATCACTCGTTTTGATAAACTCGAAATCCCTTGTACGTCAAGAAGAAACACATAGTTTATTGATGAAAATATGAGAATTGCATAAAAAAGAGAAAGAGAAAGATTGACAATTAATTTTTGTTAAATACAATTTATTTTCACTTTCCGAGCTTTGAAAAGAACAATAAGTCAAAATATAGACTATATAGAATCTATTTTCTTCTCCATTCTTTAGTTATTTTAGGTAATGACGTCTTTTTTTTTCCAATCGCATGTATTGTAAGCTAGTTGATTAAATTGCTTGGAAGAGAGATTTATAGAAATTGACTGAACTTGAATCGTGTATCTGTATTTAAAGTTGAAGAAAAGCAGGGATTTCCATTTCTTGGAATAAACAAGTCAAAAACAAACAAAAAGAAGAGAAAGGGGGACAAAATAACATGGTGATGAATCAAAGATAATCACTCACCCTTTCTCGACTTGATGCAATATTACAATAAGCACGGGTTAATATGACACGGGCCTAGAAAAAATAGAAATTAAGAAATTTTGGTGTTACAATTAGCTGTGTTTCCTATTTAAAATGCTGTATCACTTTCATATATATATAAGAGGGGCAACATAAGGGAAAAATATATATATATATTTACTTTTTTCTTTTCTCTTTCTTTTTTCACTTTTTACCTTCATAATAATATATAATTTGTAATTATTAAATAATGGATACTAGCCCAACATGTACAGGTTGTGATAAAGTGATTGATGAAGGCTCAGTAATAGCCTTTGGTGACTCATTGTTTCATTTAAAATGGTAAAAGAAAAAGGGCAATTTGAATCAAACTATAATTGTCTGTCTTTAGTTTCATATGTGCAAAATGTTCAGAACCGGTGGATTGTGAATCGAATTTATTACTGTTGACAAACGGGAAACCTGTATGTGAGAATTGTTCTTATTGTTGCAATGCTTGTAAATTAGTGATTCACGACGAGGCAATTATGACAGGTTAGCTTGATTTTATCTATCAGCTCAAATTGATCTTATTTTTCTAGGTGATCAAGCATATCATGCTGACTGCTTCAAATGTGTATCATGTAAAAACAAAATTGAAGATCTAGTATTTACTCAAACAAGCAAGGTAGAATCTATATTTATCCATATTGTATATGATATCTCATGCTACACATGCTATGTGCCATGTTATACAAATCATTTATATAGGGTATTCACTGTACACCTTGTCATGAGAAACGGAGAGCTGAAAAACAAAAAAGAAGAGAAGAAAGAGAAAAGAGACTACAACAAAAGCAACGACAAAAGGACTTACCGAGTACCCCTCAGGTATAGTGAAGATAGAAATACACCGTGTCTTATTCTTTTATAGCGTCACAATCAACTTCAACCACCAAACAATCAGTATAGCCGATCATCGAGTCGTTTATTTGATTCGCAGCTTGTTACTGATTACATAAATAGACCAACGCATTCTCGATCGCCTTCACGAGCATCAAATCAGAAATCACTGACGGATCCACCTACGCCTTCGCGTTCTCGAAGTAACTCAATTGAAATTCCTCGTCTTTCACCTGAAATCCCTCAACCAACGCCTTCTCGATCTGAAGCTATTCTTTCTTCATCCAACAAATCATCCTCGCTTCATTCTCCGCCCCTCTCTGTCGACGATAACAAACTAAACAAACTATCCCTCGATTTACCTGCACTTAACCTGTCTTTCTTTGACAATGATTCGACTGATTTGATTAACCTGACAAAGAAACTGGGCGCAAACATATCACTGGATATATACGGTATTGACAAGGAAAAAGCAGCAGAAGTACCAGTAATTGTCAAGACGACAGAAAATATCACACGGGCTTCTCAGTTATTAGAATCGTCATTGACAGCCGAAATTGATGACCTGGAGGAGTTTCCTCGACCGCCTTCTTCTAACTTGATAGCTGATCGACTCTCTGTTTATACAACATCTTTATCAAGTGCATCATCTTTTTCCTTACAACAGAAACAAATGGAACAACAACAAGTAGAAGAACAGCTTCGCACAGAAATCGAAATAGCAAATTCTAAGCTAATGGCCATGCAAGCAAGTTACAACAAAATCAAAGACGCTAGTCGTAATGCATTGGAGGAGTTCGCTGTTGCCAAAGAAGAGTTTGCGAAAGAAGTGGCACTGCGCCAAAAACAAGAATATAACATTTTACATTTGAAGCATCAATTACATATTGCCTATCAATCGAGACATATGTCAAGAACAGAACTCACAGTAATTACAAGAGAAGAGATTGAACGAGTAGCAAAAGCCCGTGTGGAATTGGATCGTACATGCAATGAGCTCAAGGGATACAGAAACGTCTTGGTACAAGACATTGAATCATTATCAAGACAGAAACAGGCTGATATTGATATGTAAGTAGAACCATATTCTCATGTTAGCGATTGACATTCTTGGTATATAGAAATCCAACTATTCATTTACAAGAGCAAATCAAAGCATTAAATTGTGAGATAAAATCACTTCATAGTGATAAAGATGCTATACGTGAAGAGACAAGAGTGCTCGAGTCATTAAGAGATGAAGTTTTGCATGAAATGATTATGCTCAACACAAAAAATGCTGAATTGACAGAAATGAACAATGATCTCTCAAGACGTATGACGGAAAGAGAAGCTGGTTTTATGGCAAACAATTCCTTCCTGAATACACCCTCTCCAAGCCTTTCTTCCGAGCTCACATCACCTATTGTTGGTCGAAAATCTTCGGAAGCAAGTATCATTCGAGGACAAATAGGACAACCTTATGTAACAGCTACCTCTATGTTATATCAACAACAACAGCATAATATTCAACAACAACAGCAACAACCCAAGATGTTCAAATTAAAAAAGAAAGGCAACATGTTTTCTAAACTTAAAGGAAAAGACCCTGCTGCTACTATTTACGGCAACAACAATAGTAATTTGATGAGCGGCAGTTCTTTGAGTCTGACAACACCTACACCACCCGCTAATAATAATAATGATTACTTTAGCACAAAACCTGCAACCTCCAAATCTTCAGCTGACTTGACAACACAACATGGGTCACATACGTTCTTGGCGACATCCTTCTTACGACCTGTGAAATGTGAAGCTTGTGGAGAAAAGATGTGGGGATTATCTGAACTTCGGTGCCAAGGCTGCCATTATATTGCACACGGCCGTTGTTTACCTCATGTACCTCAACTATGTTATGGATCTCAAACATCGACTAGTTTAGAATTAGAAGAAAAAGACACTGTAGAAGATATCAAGCTGTTCGGTTTTGATCTGAGTCAAAGAGCACAGCATGAAGATAGAGCAGTGCCTTTGATTATCAAACATTGTATTCAAGTTGTTGAGAAATCTGGTATGGATTATGAAGGCATTTATCGAAAATCTGGAGGTGCTGCACAAATGCGATTGATACATCAACTTTATGAAAATTATCCTATTGGTGAAGAGCCTTCAGCACTAGAATTTGATATAGAAGATGAGGAAGGCATTCATGATATCTGTGCAGTGACAAGTGTGTTGAAGCAGTACTTTAGAGAATTACCAAATCCTTTGATACCATATAATTTATACTCTCAATTCATTGAAGCAGTGTGTAAGTGATGTATGTTACAAGAGTGTATCTGACTCGTTTTTATTAGCTGTTTATATAGGACAAGACAGACAAGACAAGTTTTTCGAGTTACTATCGCAATTACCTAAAGTTAATTATGACACGCTCCGATTATTAATTCAGCATTTGAGTCGGTAAGCAATAAAGACAAAAAAAATGTCATACTGATATTTGTTATAGCGTTCAAGAACAAAGTCATTTAAACCTAATGACAACTAAAAACTTGGCTATGGTATTTGGACCTACCTTATTACGGGATGAAGAAGCAAGCCGAGACTTAATTGACATGAGTTATAAGAATGCAATTGTTGAATTTTTAATTCTTCATGTACATGATCTCTTATCATAAATTTTATTTATTTATCCATATATTGAAAACATACATACTTTGTGAGTACTAAATGACTTTTGATTCCATTTGGCACATTACACACTTGATATGCTTTTCGATTCTCAACGTATGCCTTTTTTTGAGCATCAAGCTAATTGCGCAATCTTATTTTATACAGTAACTTTCCTTATAACTTATTTTTGAATAAAATTGATAAGCATAATAATAACACTAGCGCTGGATTGGCAGTCTGCTACAGGTACGACTGCTTTCCAGAATAAACCATCATTTCTATCTTCTAGTTCCCTTCTTTCGAGTTTCTTATGTTTGAGTATCCATAAAAGAACATATCGATGCATAAATATAGCAAGTTTTGAAAAAGTCAAAAAATCGTCAATTTGCCCTTATGATACTCTTACGAAATCTTCAGTTTCACTATTTTGCGATTTGTGAGCGACAGAGACATTATAGACATAACATGCCTTGGTACGAATTATTTCTCTAGGTTTATGAAATACACTCAAAGTGTTAGATCTGCAAAAGTAGCATAAAAAGTGTACGTTACGGCTAAAAAACAGAAGAATACGTTTTTGAAGGATAGCTCACTATCTTGATATTCAGCATGCTATGTTTCCTAGACCATTAAATGATTCTCATCTATATCTACCAACTTTGCTAATACACTTTTCTCATAGCTCTTCGTTTTTAGACACTTTTAGCCCATCATTTCTCTTGAATTTCTAAATTCCCTCTTTTTTTTGATTTTTAGTTTTCGATATGAATATACTAATTCAAACTCAGGTTTTTTTAGGGCTTCAGAGTATGTCAACTTTTTTTATTTCGTTCTACATACGTGGTAAAAATATGACGCATTACATGACTTGTAGCCTGTTTCGGACATGCGCTCGAAAGCAATAGACCAAGGGTTGTGGTACTACAAATAAGTCTTGGCATTGACTGAATTAAGTTTGGTCTATTTCAACTACACTCTTTCCAGAAAGCGTAAGGGGTATCTTAACTATTTTGAAATAGCAGACGCAGATGATTGTTTTGCATTAATCTGAGGATAATTCCCAGCTTCCAATCTTCTTCGTTTAAGAAGATAGCTTTCAAACAAAATAGCATTTTTCGTGTTGCACTTGTACATGATATCCAGAATATCACCCAATACAGGCACTAATCCAATCACAAAATCAAGCGTAATATTAAACATCATTTTCGATACTAATTCGTTAGGTAAATTTGCTTGCATGCACAAATGAACCAGATTCAGGGCCATTAAAAGTCCAAGAAAATCACCAATCACTGGCACAAGACCTATGTAAAAAGGGCATAAACATCCACATATACGCTCTTCTTATTCTTACCTATTAAACCATCAAACCCAATTTGAAAACAACAGCAAGACACAGCTCGGTCCAAAAAATGGGCTCTCGACTTTACTTTCTTAAGCAACTTTCTCTCTTCCTTTGTTAAAATTGAGTCTGGTGCTGGTGCTTTATTCCACCAGTACTTTTTTGCTTGTTGTTGGTTTAAATGTGCTTGATATTTGCTATTCTCTGACTGTTGTGCATTACTAGCAAAAGATTTGAAAGCATGTTTTGCAATAGCTTCCTTATTCATTTTCACAAGGAAGGAAAGAAAGAGAGAAGAAGGGTTTCCCATTTAGATTATTCGGACAATCCTTTTTTTTTATTGTTTTCGGTTTAAGGTGATTCTATTGGATGCTATTGTCAGTAACAAGTGAACCAATAAGATGCTCTATGTATTGCTATAGTTCTACAAACAATAGACTTTAGCTGGTATAAGGAATCCATCATGACCCTGTGCCACAAAAGGTGGCGAAATTACAAATGATACAGTGCGTTTTTGTTCGTCTTGACTTGCCAATTCCAAGCCAGGAACAGATACCATCTCCATTGTCTCTTGATCAAAAGCTGTGTTTGGTCTGATTCCTCTCACAATGTCTATTGTTGGATTTTCTTGACATTTCATAACTATATTAAGACTAGCTGATAATTTGACTATGGCAGTCAATTCTTCCTTGCTATCCTGATTATCTTGTAAATTGACCATGGCGTCCAATTGGGTCCATAATTCGTTTACTATTCCTTGTTCAGCAGCTTCAATTTCCTGTGCTTCTTCTTTTGATTGCTTCACAATAAAAGATGTGATTTGTTGTTTCATACGAGAAGCCCAAGACGTGTTTCTCTTATCAACCCATTGATGGATATTACCAAATGCTTGATTTAGAGAAACACCAGGATGTATTGAAGTGTAAAAGATCTGCTCTAATATAATCTCCATGATCAGTTTTTGTATAAACAATGGGATTAACTTGTCCTCTTCATATTCAGTTAATGATGGCCAACGATTCTTTACATAATCAAAGTCGCATTGACTGCTCGATATCATAGATGCTATAGATTCAATTCTAGATAATAGTGATTGAATTTGAGATTGAGTGGTAGAAAGAGGTTGATCAGTCTGGTCCTTTTTGACATGAGAATTAAACCTATTTTCCATACGGCGGTATTCGAGTTTGTTGGCTTCCAGCTCACTCATCAGAGAATGATAAATATTTTGTAGTCTGCCTAACTTTTCCTTTGATTTCTCCTGTTGCTCCTCAATCTGCTTTTGTTCGTCTAAAAGGGCTTTTTCTCGTTCACGCATAGTTTCTTCGTAATAATACTCCAAATCGTCTTTTTCTTGCTGTATACGTTCCACAATTTCTTTGTGTATATGCAATGACTCGTTCAGTGAATAAATAATGAGGTCTTTATCTGACTCTGATTCTTCTTTTAAATTCATGCGTCTATAGCCTTCTTTCTTCACGCCTAATATCATCGTCTCGCTATCATTGTCACTCTCATAATGAATGATTTCTTGTTCGTCTTCTTGTACGGTGAAAGAGTTGCTTGACATAGATTCCGTTTCAATACTACTTGGCAAGTTTGTGTCTTCATCTTTCAGCATCTCGTATAAACTTATTCTTTTATCAGTCTGAATAGGTTCGTGCGTATTTAGTTCAACGTTATTATTTATCATAATGAAAAAAAAAAAAGAAGAAACATGTAAGAATGAAAATCCCCTCTAAAGGAGTTCTCGGCAGTCACAGAGCATATAAGCTTCAAAGGAGCAAAACAAACTTATCCAAAGGAGGCAACACTCTTCTTTGAAGGTGTTATACACTCCTTATTTTTATTTTTTTATTTTTTTTAGTTCCTGTCGAATTATCATGCAAGCTCAATGTTTCAATTTTTAATATTTTAAATTTGACAGTAATTTGCTCCTCTTTGTTTCTATTTTTGAATCGTGTACAGATAACACTGGTAATGATTGCCTCATTAGAAGACATTGAATGAATAGCAGTTCTCTTGACCCGAGTAATTTTTCCATGAAATAAAAAGCTCTTTAGATAGCCTATCATAAATAAGAATACTTCAAGCGGTGATATACAGAGAAAAAAAGTATTTTATTGTACATGCAGAGAAAAGAAATAGAAAAACATTAAATGTAATATGAGAAAAAGGGGGGGGGTGACTCTATAAAAATGAAAATAAACCTAATCGAATACAATCTTGGTAGCCTTCTTGGTTTCTCCTCCAGTATCCTTGAAGAAAGCACCATAAGCACTATGAGTCTTCTTCTTGACAGTAGTACCAAAGGCCATCAAATCTTCAGGCACATTTTGTTTAGCTTGCTTTAACACGTTGATTAATTCACCAGAGTGAGATTTATCTTCAGGAGTAAAGAAAGTGTAAGCAGTACCTTTCTTACCACCACGGCCAGTACGACCAATACGGTGAACATAGGCTTCAATAGTAAGGGGAAAAGTAAGGTTAATGACATATTCAACATCAGGAATATCAAGACCACGAGCAGCAACATCAGTAGCAATCATCAAAGGATAAGTACCATCTTTGAAAGAGTTCAATGCGTCTGTACGCTGTTGCTGGTTCTTATCACCGTGAATGCCAACAACTTTATAGCCATGATATTCCAAAGATCTTTCGACACGAATAGCTTCTTTCTTGTAGAGTGCGAAAATCAAGACACGGTTCGTGCGGGACTTATGTACCTTTTTCAACAAGTCTAAAAGATGGCGCTCCTTGTCTCTAGGGTTTTGAATAACCTGAACAATTTGAGAGACATTTTGAGAAGCAGCAAGATCAGGAGAACCAATGGTGACACGCATAGGGTTCTTCAAAAAATCACTAGCAAGCTTACGGATACTTTCGGGCCATGTTGCAGAGAACATGAGAGTTTGACGATCCTTGGGAGTTTGACCCATAATAGAACGAATATCGTTTTCAAACCCATCATCCAACATACGATCGGCTTCATCCAAAACCATAAAAGAAATTTCACTCAAATCGCAAGAGCCTTCATTCACAAGATCAATTAAACGACCAGGAGTGGCAACAACAATGTCAACACCCCTTTGGAAAGCCTTACGTTGAGGTTGCTTATCAACACCACCATAGACACAAATAGAAGAGACACCGACAGCTTTACCAGCAGCTTCAGCTTGTTCAGCACTTTGCATGGCCAATTCACGAGTAGGGGAAACAACCAACATAACAGGCTTACCGCTCTTTCTACCCTTCTTTAACTTGGTGGCAATGTGGACCAAACCAGGAATAGTGAAGGCAAGCGTCTTACCGGAACCAGTCTCAGCAATACCAACAATATCGCGGCCTGAGAGAGTAATGGGCCAAGTGGATGCTTGAATAGGAGTGGGGTTTTTGAAGTTCTTTACAACTTCTAAAATGTTACTGGGGAGACCTGAATAGCTAAATTCAAGGATAGGACGAAGCTTAAGATCGCCTGTAATTTCGATAGTATGTTTCTTGTAATATTCGTCAATGGTGCTTTGAGGAAGAGCTGAGAGTTCTGCATCTTCTTGATAAGTATAAGAAGCAAGAATTTCGACGTTCTTGTTGACAGCTTTCTTTGGTGATTCGCTGACAGATTCTTTGGCTTCTTGAGGCTTCTCCTCTTCTTTCTTACTCTTCTTTTCTTTCTTGTCCTTCTTCTTTTCTTTCTTATCCTTTTTCTCCTTCTTTTCAGTCTTAGGCCTCTTGTCCTTCTTCAAGGCAGCTTCTTCGTCTCTCTTTCTCTTCTCGGCCTATAGTAAATCAATGAATAAAACGTTTCCGGGATGCTTTTTGACTGTACCTTTTCGATCTTGGTAGGAGACATAGTGTTGGATATAAAGAAAAGAGAAAAAAAAAGAGAGAATGTCAAAAAAGGATGAAAAACGAAAAAAAAAAAAGTGACTGGCCATCCGCCACCCAAAAACGGAGACTGAACTCAATATGCTCATTTTTTGCCTACTTTTCTTTATTCAACGCATTCCAAGATGCCCACTGACGAAAAGAAACGACACCAACTGGAAGATATTCTGTCAGACAACGTGTCTATTATGGACACGGAAGACTTGGCTCTTGACGGAACACCTGTTGCAGTTGAAGAGGAAGCAAAAGAAGGCTTCTGTGTCGAGTGTAAGGACCAGGAGGTAACTTTTGTCTGTTTGTAAGGCTGCTTATTAATAAAAATAGGCTGATATGTTTTGTGTCAACTGTAAAGAACCATTCTGTGAAGTTTGTTATGGTAAACAGACAGAAAAAAAGGGCAATTGAATTTTAATTTTCTATATAAGGCATGATTCATCGAACTGGTAAACGTGCAGCTCATAAATCAAAAGCCTATTCAGCAGAAGCAGTCAATGAAAGTGAGGAAGAAAAGAACGAAGTATCACATGATCATGAACTAGTAAGTAAACCTTAAAGAAGCCATGATTTAATGGCCGTGAAGGCAGAAGAAAAATTAGCCATACCTGTCAAAAAGCCTGAAATCAATGTGGGTGAAATTATGGAAGCAAGGGCCAAGTTTATTCCTTTACGTTTAAAATTAGAAGAAAGAAAATACCTTAGAATGTAAAGTGAACATAAAGAAGAAAGGAAGGAAGGGACTCATGATGTGTTTAGGTTAGAAGCTGCTTTAAATGTGACTGAATACACCGAGAAAATTGACGATCCTGCAAGCACAGGTAAAGCTAAGCGTGTTGTAAATCAAATCAAGGAATTGTGTGCCATTTTGACTGGTATTGTGCTTGGATGTGATTATAAACGTGGTCAAGAATTGTTTGCAGACAGAAGTTATGAAGACAATGAAGAGTTTTTTCAAACTATTTTTGAGATTGGCCGTAGACACAAGATTATGAACCCTGAAAAGATGAGAAGTGCCTATGGTAAACTCATGTATCTACTCTCTGTAAGTAATAAGGTGATTATTATGCATCTAAGCCATGATCTATAGGACTCTATGATTCCAGAAGTAAAAGAAATGCTTGGCTTTAACTGTGTTGTGCCTATCAAAACAGTTTATAGCTTTTTAAAAGAAAGACGCGGGTTAGACATATTGCATGAAGACATTGTTTTGCTTGCTACCATGGAAATCATACCTGATGGAAAATCCAGAGCTCAAATTCAATTAGAAATCAAGCGCAAAGAAAGAAGCATAGAACAATTGAGCAGAAAGTACCAATCAAAACATCTTTCTGCAGACGAAATCCGTCATTGTTTGTATAGTATTGGCGATAACAATGCCTACCTTAGAGCCAATCGGTGAGATCCCTTCCCAGTGTGTAACTTGTGATTTATTGACTTCTTGTTTTAGTGATCCATGCGAAAAGATGATTCGTTACTTGGAAAAGTTTTTTGATCCCAAACATGAAAGCGATGATGAATATTCTTTGTCAATTGCTTCAGGTTCCCAAGGTCATCGTTTGAGTCATGACCATGAGACTCAATATATCTATGTGAACCAGACATTGCAGCTTTGGCGTGCTATTTTGAGTGACATGTTTAAGCTCTGGACTCTTGCTGATCAAGACATGCTTTCGACTTCAAATCCCTATCAACTTGCTCAGACAGGACAAGGTTTGCATCGTATTCAGCCTTGTCCAGCAGTATCGAGAGAAATGCACCGTACATTATTTAAAGCACAAAAAAAAGCAGGCAGTTGGATTGGCAGTAGTGTGATTCATTTAGGAGACAGAAATGTGCCTAATGCGCTCATGTTTATTGACAAGGCAAGTTAACATATAGAAAATATATTAATTAAGATTTAGTATAACCAAGTGGCTCGTATCTTGAGTCCTATTTGTATCACAATTGATAGAATAGAAGAATTAGCTAAAGATAATGGTATTCGCAAATACATTGAAAAGAAGTTTGGCAGTTTGGATCTTTGTAAAAAGACTATTTTGAGTAAGCAATCGGTTATATATCAACACACATTCACCCATTTGATAGCTGATTTCTTTCGATTCGCATTTGATGGCTCTGGAGCAGATAACTTTTATGATGCTGGTAGTTGCATTGACGGCAGACTTACTTCTGCTTGGAATTGTAAGATGATTGCTGCTGTAATACGAACTTATGTTTCCATATAGGGTGTTCACAAATTGAAAAGAAACCTTATTTCCCTGTATTTTTATTATCGGTAAGTGTACAGCATTATCTATACGTATTGCTTAATTTATCTTATATAGGGATTTGCTGGTTTTGATGGCGATGGATGGTAAATGCTTTTCTAGACCCTTTTTCATCTTAGACAATAAAACTGTATATAATCCTCATTGTCATTCTGCGCAAAGGAAGAGATATTCCTTATCACCGGCTGTGTTATCAGCTGACGTGCTATTTATTTTTGAAACAGAAAATAACTTCATAAGACACAGACATGCTTATAGAAAATAGAAGGCCCTGATTCTTCTTCTTTTATGAAGACCAAAAAGATGCTTAACTTTAAAATTATTTGACAAGCTGAAAGTAATTATTGTAAGTAAGGTTTTTACTTTTTTTCTTTTTTGCTGCGTCGTATTTCCCACTACAGTTGAGTGATAAAGAATTAGAGTTTGAACAACATGAAAATGGCAAACAAAAGACATATTCCTCTTTATTTTTAGGTAAAATAGAGATAATATTTCTGAATAAGGGAAACATGACACTTTATTGTGCGATAGTTTTACCAATGCTGCGGTAGAAGAAGTGATCTATTTTTTGGGAAAGAATTGCCTAATCTAGTGAAATCATGTATTTGTACAACGACTACTTTTTTATATAAAAACTTTTATCAATCCTTTTGAGTCTAACACTTGTTTGTTTCAATAAAAAAAGCCTTTTTTTTTAGTCTTATTTACGACAAATGGTATCATTATAAATTCATTCAAATCGTTGTTTCTAAACGTTAATTTTTTTCAGGAACAGCACAACCCTTCTCAACATGATGTGTTGAGGTATAGTTTAATAAAAATTGTCTTTTTTCTTTTTATTAATAAGTCTATAGAATAACTGAAGCAATACTGCCTTTAGTCATTACGGGGCTTAGTATTGTGTATTTGTCTTTAAAGAGATATCACACAAAATACCCTACTACACCAGAGATTGAATCCATTACTGTGTCTCTCGAGAAGAGAAGATCTGCTCTTATCTTCTTGACTGGATTTGAAGCTATTGGATGGCTTTACCTTTTTGCCCAATATTCACTTAAGCCTGCTAATCACGATTTCTATGACTCTATGACCTTGGTAGCTTTCCTCATTAATTGGGTATGTAAACCAGAAAAGCAATTACAAAACTAACCATTCAATAGTTGAGCTTGCTCGTTTTATCCTTTACTTCCCCTAATATGAACCATTACAAGGATCGTGCATACAACTATGTTTTCACTTTTATGTATTGTATTCTTTTTTTGCAATCTGCTTGCCGATTATTGATGTTACAAGACAACGTTCAATACTGGGACATTTCTTATTGCTTTGTAACTTTTGTACTCTTTGTGATTACTGGTACTACACCACAGCCTTATCACCCTAGAGACCTTCAACCTGCAAGTTATGAAAAACTTGAGATCAAGGATGGTACCATCTATCTTAACGTAAGTTTTGGGTTACCTTGGCATGTATGCTTAGAATGTATTTAGGATCTCATCTTGAGTCCTGAAGCCACCGCTAGTGTCTTCTCTTGGGCTGCTTTTCAATGGGTAGGACAGAATATTCTTAACAAATTCAACTAAAGTTTGATTAGATGAACCCTCTGGTTGTGTTTGGGTTCCACAATCCTGTTACACGAAAAAACATCTACGCTATGACTTTTCAGCACTTGTCCCGCTCTGCCTATGCTGATTTTGTGAATACCAAAAATTTCATCAACCATACCAAAGTACTTCGCCGTATCTATAGTTCCAACAAACAAGAGATTTGGCTTCAATTTGTTTTTGCTACGACTGCTTGTGTAATTGGTTATCTTGCACCTTTCTTCCAACAAAAATTGCTTGAGTATTTTGAACACACCGAGAATCGCACCTCTGGATCTCATCAAATGGCTTACTTGTACGTACTTGGTATGTTTACTGTTGGCGTAGTCAAGTTGTTGTGTAATTCAGTTCAATTGTGGGTTGGTCGTCGTTGGAACGTAAGAACTTTTATCATGTTGGACTCTGAAATCTTCTCAAAGACATTAAGAAGAAAGGACATGCTTGGTAAAGTATCAAAGGTTGCTGAAAAGGAAACAGATGAAACAAAGAATGACGAAGATAAGGAAAAAGATGAACACGGCTCTTTCAGCAATGTCGGGAAAATTACCAACTTGATGAGTATTGATGCGGATCACTTGTCCAATATTCCTGCATTCATTCATATGATCTACGCTGCACCTGTTGAAGCTACTGTGGCTATGTTCTATCTGTACAAGCTCTTGGGTAACGCTGCTCTTGTCGGACTTAGTGTCATGATTTTATGTTTCCCAATTACTGGTTACATCTCGAAGAAAATGAACTTGAGTTATCAAGCCTACACCACTGCCAAGGATCAACGAAATGAACTCGTCAATGAATTGTTGCAAGGTATCAGAATGATCAAGTACTTTGCTTGGGAGGCTAAATGGACCGAAAAAATTTCTGAATCTCGTAAAAAGGAGGTCAGCAAAATGATCCGTGTCATTATTATTGATGTGTTGGTCCATGTTGTTTATCTGACTGTACCTGTTTTAGTCACTGCTAGTACCTTTATTTGGTATACTAAGGTCTCAGAAAAAGAACTCACCGCTAGTATTGCTTTTGTCAGTATCACCTTGTTTGAAATGTTACGTGCTCCTCTCATTTTTATTCCTGAAACCGTGAATACTTTTACTGAAGCCTATGTCAACTTGAAACGTATCAGTGACTATTTGAATGAGCCTGAAGTGGATGAAAACAGAAACAAAGAGCCCATTGAAGTTCCTGAAGGCGTACAACCTCATGTTGTCTTGACTCGTACTGGTTTTGAACAATCTCTGTTCCAATGGCATTTGGAAAAAGAAAAAGAAACTGCTGATAAGTCTGGTAACGAAGAACAGGTTGTTTCCTCGAGTCCTTCAGCCTCTACCTTACAAGCTCAGCCTGTCCATCGTGCCTTCCAACTTACCGTACCTCAATTTAACTTTCCTACAGGTAAATTAAGTGTTGTGTGTGGTCCTACAGGTAGTGGTAAATCAAGCTTCCTTCATGCCCTTTTGGGTGAAATGGATATTGTCACAGGCCGAGTTTATTTGCCTTCCAAGACCATATTAAATGTCAACAATGTTTCCAAGATTGATCCTGAATACCCTAGTTTGTACTTGGATAAGGTTGCCTATGTTGCTCAACAACCATTCCTTCAACATGCTTCTATTCGTGATAATATCTTATTTGGTTTACCTTTTGATGCTGAAAGATACAAGAAGACATTGGTTCAATGCGCCTTAGTTAAAGATTTGGCTATTTTGCCTGATGGTGATCGCACTGAAATTGGTGAAAAGGGTATTTCTCTTTCTGGTGGTCAAAAGCAAAGAGTTTCGTTAGCTCGTGCTGTGTACTCTCATGCTAAAACTGTTCTTTTGGATGACTGCCTTAGTGCTGTTGATTCTCATACTTCAAAACATATTTACAAGCAATGTCTTATGGGTGATCTATTGAAGGGTCGTACTGTTATTCTTGTAACACACTATGTGCGTCTCGTTCTTAAAGGTGCAAGCTTTTTGGTCAAGATTGATAATGGAAATGTGCTTGGTTGTGATTCTGTTGAGCGTTTAAGAGCCAGTGGTGAATTAAATAAGCTATTGGGCGATGAAGACAAAGAAAATGACGAAGAGGAAGACGACATTGAAGAAATTATAGATGATGATAGTACAGATATCGATTTTGACCTGGATGGTAAAAAGGAGACTGCCAAGTTGATTCAAGAAGAAACCTCTGAAAAAGGCCAAGTCAAATTCAAAGTTTATAGCACTTATCTTTCTGCTTGTGGTGGGTGGTTCTTTTGGATATGTCTTGTTATCGGTTATGTCAGTGCTCGACTCTTTACTTTTGCAGAAAACTGGTGGTTAAGAATCTGGTCTGCTTCTTATGGTACTGCATCGCATGATATCTCTTTAACAGCCATGATGAATGAAACCCCTCAATATTTGGTCATGTTTACCAACTCGCCTCCTGCTCAAAGTGTGTTCAATGCATTAGGCTCTGCTGTTCAAAAACAAAATGTTTTCAAGTCTTGGGTATTTGAAGAGAAAGCGCCCGTCAATGTTGATTACTACATTGGTATCTACCTTATTCTCTGCTTTGGCTTCATTTGTGCTGATATCATAAGAAATGTTCTCGTGTATTACGGTACTATTCGTGGTGCTTGTTCACTCTTTGACTCTATGCTTAGTCGTATTATCCATGCTCCTATGCGTTTCTTTGATACAACACCTCTTGGTAGAATTTTGAATCGTTTTGGTAAGGATGTATCCACAATCGACATGCAAATTGCTCGTTCTGCTGGTTTCTTGATTGATTGTGTCACTGGTATTGTTGCCTCTACCCTTGTTATCAGTGCTATTACCCCACAGTTCCTTGTAGTTGCTGTGGCAGTCAGTAAGTATTCATTTGTTAACTAAATAATCAGCTAACGCTTTACGATAGGCTGTTTGTATTTCCTTATTGGTATCTTTTATCTTCGTATTTCTCGAGAACTGAAGCGTTTGAATTCAGTTAGTCGTTCTCCTATTTATTCTCATTTTACCGAGTCCTTGGTTGGTGTGGTTACTATCAGAGCTTATGGTGTAGAAGACCAATTCATGCGTACAGTTTATGAAAAAATCGATGGCTATGTTGCTCCTTTCTACCTTCTTTGGATGAGCAACCGTTGGCTTTATGCTCGTATTGAATTTACAGGTGCATTTGTAACTTTCTTTACCGGTCTGTTCTTGATCTTTAATATTGATAGCATTGATGCTGGAATGGCTGGTATTTCCTTATTCTACGCTGGCTCTTTCTTGGAACATATTTATTGGTTTATTCGCCAATATACTGCTGTTGAAATGGATCTGAATTCTGTTGAACGTGTCCAGGAGTATCTTGAAATTGATCAAGAGCCCCCAGCTCAAATTAAAGACCATCGTCCTCCTGCCGCTTGGCCAACAACTGCTGCTATTGAAGTGAAAGACCTTGTGATTCGATATGCTCCTGAACTTGACCCTGTATTACACGGTGTTTCTTTCGCTACCAGACCTCATGAAAAAATTGGTATTGTAGGTCGTACAGGTTCAGGAAAAAGTACAATGGCTTTGAGTTTCTTCCGTTTCCTTGAAGCAAGTAGTGGTTCTATCTCTATTGATGGCATTGATATCTCCAAAATTGGCATTCAAGATCTCCGTTCTCAAATTACAATTATTCCTCAAGATGCAGTCTTGTTCTCTGGCACTATTCGATCCAACATTGATCCTTTTGATGAACATTCAGATGAAGCTGTTTGGGAGTCTTTAGAGCGTGCTCATATTGCAAAAGCCTCTGATCGTTCAAAGCAAGTCAAGAGTGGCACCAACTCGCCAGCCAGTACTTCTAGAGCACCCACCATTAACGAAACTGAACAACAATCAGCTATTACTAGCTTATACCAACAAGTCAGCGATGGCGGTAACAACTTCTCTCAAGGTCAACGTCAATTATTGTGTCTTGCTCGTGCGCTTTTAAGAAGAAGTAAGCTTATCATCATGGATGAAGCCACAGCTAGTGTTGATTTTGATACGGATGCCAAGATCCAACGTACTATTCGTGAAGAATTTAACAACTCCACTTTACTCTGTATTGCACACAGACTTCGTACTGTGATTGACTATGATCGTATCTTGGTACTGGATCAAGGCGAGGTGGTGGAATATGATACACCACATAATTTAATTACAGGCAATGCAGGTGTTGGTGTATTCAAGTCCATGTGCGAGAAATCTGGCGAACTTGATGTATTACTTAGAATGGCTAGTGAAGCTTATAATAACAAACAAGACGCAGAACAAGCTCCTGATAACCATGCTCAAATTTACTAACAATAAAGTTTCATCATAAATTGAGCAAAAGAAATATGTGAATCTTCTGTGCAATCCAGAAACTCTAAATCGTATTTTTCAATTGTTGTACTTTGGTGACTTTCTTAAGGTAAATGAGGTGAATAAATACCTTCTCCTTTTCCTATTCATCTCAGGATGACTCTTGGTTCTGAAGTTTCTGATTGTTTCCAAGTAAAGCAAAACATAAGAATGCTATTCACTCTGCATGACGCACAAACTCCGCATTGAGGCCAATTATGACAGAATTCTTGCAATTACGCCCCTCCCAAATTTAATGCAGGTGGTACAGATAATGGTATATTCAAGTTCATGTACAAGAGAAGGAGACAATCCAATATTGTTGAGAATGGAAAACTTGACTTGAGCATGAATGAATCTTTTGTTCTATTTATTACTTTTTGTCTCAGCCACGTAAATTAACAAATTCGACTTTTTTTTTTCGAAGCCAAGAGAGCTTGTCCTGAGCCTCATCTGAAAAAGTCACAAAAAGTAACCCAAAAAGGGTTGCTATTTTTGTCTAATTAACCTCTTCTCCCTTCTTTCTTTTTTCTTATTTATTAACAATATGAGTTATCGGAAACTGACTGAACAAGACGACATAACCAACCAATATACCAACGGCGTAGACGAAGCAGTGCCTTTGACAAACTCTATCAACTCCACCATGAACGAGAAACAGCAGCAAAATATTATGGATAACGTGCCAGCTCACCTTGAGCCTTTCCTACAGACAAAACCAACGTACGGTTTAACAGATACAGAAGTTCAAGAAAGAATGCAGCGTTTTGGAAGGAACGAACTGGCTGAAAAAAAGAGAAATAAGATACTACATTTTCTTTCTTTTTGTGAGTGAATTATTTCTATAATTCGAGAACAGTCTTTTTTTTTTAGTAACATTGTACTTTAGTTACGGGCGCTATCTCATATTTAATGATTTTGTCTCTGGTGTTAACAGCTATCACTTCCGACTGGCTTGATTTTGGCATTATTTTAGGCATGTTGATTATTAATGCATTGATTGGATACATTGAAGAAGCTCGAGCAGAATCGTCTATTGCTTCGCTTAAAAGCAGTCTTGCCTTGCACAGCAAATGTTGGAGAAATGGTCGATTGGTAGAAGTGAATTCTGCCGATCTTGTTGTAGGTGACATTATTGTACTCAGACTTGGTGACATTGTTCCTGCCGATGCCCGCCTATTGGGCATCGGTGCTTCTGGAGAAGCCATTGAAACTGATATTCAAATTGATCAAAGCGCTTTGACAGGTGAATCATTGCCATCAAGAAAGAAGCCCGGCAATCTTGTGTTTTCTTCTTGTGTCGTGAAACAAGGTCAACAACAAGCAATTGTCACTCGTACAGGTCCAGATACGTTTATTGGTAAAACGGCAAGTCTCATTTCCGTCACTACTGGTTCAGGAAGGTTTCAGAAAGTTATCAATTATATCGGTAACTTTTTGATCATTCTATCTGTTGTTTTGGTGCTTGTTATATTTGCTCACGAACTGATTGAAGAAAGAATTCAAACTGGTACTGTTACTCGAGCTCAAGTTCTGTCTGCATTGAACGAAATGGTTGTCTTGACTATTGCTGCGTTAGTATTCAATCATTCAAGTTAACCGTGTTGCTAACTTTGTTGATTTAGTATTCCAGTAGGTTTGCCAACTGTCATGTCAGTCACAATGGCTATTGGTGCAAAGCAACTTGCTAAACGTCAAGTCATTGTGAAGCGATTAACGGCTGTTGAAGAATTTGCTTCTGTTTCTATCTTATGTAGCGATAAAACGGGTACATTGACCAAAAACGAACTCACTTTTGACGAGCCTTATCTTTCTGGAACGTACACTAAAGACGATATATTGTTATATTCTTATCTTGCTGCTGAAGTAGCTACAGATGATCCCATCGAATTTGCAGTCCGTACAGCCGCTGAAAAATACCATCCTCAAGTCAACAACGATGGGAGTCATACTGTTCAAGGATATAAAGTGCTTTCTTTCAAACCATTTAATCCCTCCGATAAGACTGCTGAAGCTACTGTTCAAGAAAATGCTACTGAGGATAAATTTCGTGTCGCCAAAGGTGCTCCTCAAGTTATTCTGAAGCTTGTAGGTGGAGATGCTAAGGCCGAAGAAATGGTCGAGTCATTTGCTGCTCGTGGTCTTAGAGCCTTGGGTGTTGCTCGTACAGTCAATGGCTTAAACCAATGGGAATTAGTTGGTTTATTGAGTTTAATTGATCCTCCCCGAGATGACTCTGCTGCTACTTTGGCTGAATGTCAGCAATATGGTATCTCAGTCAAGATGATCACTGGTGATCAAGGCATTATTGCTAAAGAAGTAGCTGGTAGACTCGGCATGGGCAAAAACATTCTTGATGTTGATGAATTGATTGATCCTAGCAAATCGGATAAGGAGATTTCGGATGCCTGTTTATATTCTGATGGCTTTGCTCGTGTTGTACCTGGTAAGACACTCTACATAAAAACAATAGCTCTAACGAAACGCAGAACATAAATACCGTGTTGTTGAACTACTTCAAGAAAGAGGTTATTTCATTGCCATGACTGGTGATGGTGTTAACGATGCACCCGCATTAAAGAAAGCCAACGTTGGTATTGCAGTGGCTGGGGCTACTGATGCTGCTCGCTCAGCATCTGACATTGTTTTGCTTGAACCTGGTTTATCAGCTATCATTGACGGTATCAAGATTTCCCGAATCATTTTCCAACGCTTGCAATCTTATGCTTTATACCGAATCACTTCTACCATTCATTTCTTGATTTTTTTCTTTGTAATAACACTAGCTGAAGACTGGAAGATGCCACCTGTTTTCCTTATTTTGATTTCCTTGCTCAACGATGCAGCCACTTTGATCATGGCTGTAGATAATGTAAGTATTTCTCATTCACCTAACATGTGGCGTCTTCGTCTCTTGATTGTCTTATCTTGTGTCTTGGCCATTGCTTTATCTGGGTTTTCTTTTGCTCATTTTTACATCTTCCGCGATGTATTGCATGTTACTCCCGCCGAGCTCTCTACGATTATGTATCTCCATATTTCTTCAGGTAAGCTATTTAATGACTCTATACATTTTATTGACATGCAAAAGCACCTCACTTTGTTATTTTTTCTACACGTACAAATTCTTTCTGGTGGACAAGTGTTCCTTCTTTTACATTTTCTGCTATTGTGCTTGGCACTCAAGTCATTGCTCTTATCTTGTCTGTGTATGGTGCCTTTGGCGCTGATGCTAATATTGCTGGTATTGGCTGGCCTAGAGGTTTAATCATCATTGCTATTTCTCTAGCTACTTTCCTTATCATTGATGTTATCAAGGTCGCCACTATATTCATTTGGGACAAATGTACCAGCAAGTCAATCAATGAATTTGCTTATACCAACAAATGCAAAGAAACCTCGAAGGCAGCCAAGTTTATTCAAAATCAAAATCAACAAAAGTTCCATTTTGGCTATGATAGAGCACAAAGACGCGAATCTGACAGCTCTGTTAAATCTTATTAGCCAATGCGTATGGATGTATATATATTTATGAGAATACCATACATATCTTTTTCTATATAATTAAAAACAAGGGTTATTAATTTATTTTTTTTACATGCCTTCTAATTTTTTCTCTAAGGTACACAACCAGAGAAAAACTTTTGTATTTATACTTCAATTTGATTTTTATACAAAGAAAGCCCAAAAGGCAAATATTTCTACATCAGGACGAAAAAAGAAAGAGCTTCTGGATTTGATCAAAGTTCAAGAAATTGAACCAGTTTATATCACCTGTAATATTGCGAACAAGTATGGTCATACTAGAATGGCCAACTCGCCTTATCATTGTAAGCTCCAGCTCATCGAGAAGGTAGGGACAATGCTCAAGAAATCAATTGCGTTCAATCCAGACAGAAATGAGACTCTTGTAAATCCAAAAGATAAGCGTAATGATGTTCTGGAAGAAACTCCAGAAAAACACTTGCTTTCTGCCCGAAAGAAGTCTCTCAAAAATTGCAGAACGTACCATAGCAATTATTTGGAGCATTGTGCAAGTTCTTGCTGAGTTCCAACTTATGTAAATACAAGAATTTATACAATACCCATGATGGTCAACGATAGATAGTAAAGACTTCAGGAAAAAACGGTATGAGTATAAATCAGAATAATAGCCTTAACTAATGGTGCTAGTTCTATTAGAATTTTTCGAGCAAAGCGCGAGAAAACCATGAACGGAGCGGTATGACAATTTATGAACATATATACCAAACAAAAGCCCAAATCAAGTTAATGTCGGACAAGATTGGTTTGCATTTTTTTTGAATCTGATTGGTGGGTTTCAGACGGTCAAGTATGCTAGTCGTAACAGAACTTTTCATTTTCTTTCTTTTTCATATTTTTTCCAACTGAAAATGACTGATATACAAACAACAGAACAAACATCTATTTGGTCAAGCGCTTCTTCAAAGTCTTCTTCTATCTCTTCTGTGGAGATAAGTGACGACCGCAATATTCCACCCGAATTATTAGCCTCCCTTAGACAACACTCTCTTTTTCAACGCACAAATAACGAGCATTTTCTAGAAAAGATCACTTGTTGTATGCATTTAAGAGCTTACGGTCCACGCGATGTTATCATCGTCGAGGGCGAGCCTGCCAAGGCCATGTTTTTCCTCTTGAGAGGCTCTGTTGATGTTTGCAGTGCTGACTTTGAACGTATTTATGCCACATTACCCAAGGGCTCGTGCTTTGGTGAAATTGGTATCTTATATTCCATGCCACGTACAGCCACAGTTGTTGCTGGTAGTAAATGCGTTGTAGCTGCCTTAACTGCTGATGATGTCAATGCTATTTTACCTCAATATCCTGAAGTCGAAAAAATGCTGCGATTTGAAGCGGAGGAACGCTTAGCCTTGTTAAGAAAGAGCAAGAGCATGAACGAAACTGAACGTGTTAGCTTCAAGCCTTTGACAGAACGTAATGTAGAAGAATTTACAGGTGCTCGTAATTTATTGCAAAAGGTAAAGAGCGATGACGATAATGAGCTTTGTAAGCTAAGCTTTTTTTGTATAGAGTCCGTATTTCAAAGATTGCCCAGAAGAATTCTTACATTATATATCACTTAAAGTGGAACCTCGCCATTATGCGCCCAATGACTTAATATGTAAAAGAGGTGAACAAGGGTCTGATTTGTTTTTTATCATGAATGGTAAGCAAAGCATAAACAGAATGGACTTCGTGCTCATTTTCTTCTGATTAGGAACTGTAGAAGTGGCTAATTTAAATACAGACACATCAGATGCGCGGACTCCTGTGGAGCGTTTGTCCGCCGGTGATTACTTTGGTGACATTTCTGTGCTTTTAGATGAGCCACGTGCTGCTGATGTTCGTGCTGTTACTGCAATTGAGCTTTATGTTTTAAGCAAGTCTGATTTTATTGGAGCCACTAATCGTTTTCCTGAATTGAAACAACGGTTTAAAGAAATGGCTAAAAATTCATTAAACAATTTAAAGACAAAGGTAATATGATTCTTTGTGTTTTGCTGAACATTACTAACGACAAAAAAGGCACCTCTACTATTCAACCATGATATCAGTAAAGGCAAGTATACAATTGTGGAAAACATCGTAGCATTTGAAGCTAATTTTTGTCTTAGAGTCGCCTACTATTTCTCCTACACTGGAACAAGCAACTACTTTTACAACATCCACTATCACTCCTAGTTCAGTATGCAGCACAACAAGCGATCAGGATCCTACTTTGTTTCTTAATACAACTGCCAATGTCTTAAAAGGTAACGAAACGAGAAAAAGAAGAGCAAGCGTTGCTATCTGGTCTGATCCAACGTTGGTTCAGCTCGCAAATCGCCATCTCAAGCCTTCTATTGCCGAAGATTCAAAACTGAAAGAGAGTTTAAGCCCAGTGCCCGACGTATCCAAGTCTGCTGATTTTGTTGGTGATAGTCGACTTGTATCTCTGAATGAAGAAATTCTTGGTCTGATTGCGAATCATTTGGACTTTCTATCAATTCTCCAACTATCTGCTGTTTCAAGAAAATGTTACGATTTTGTTAAAAATAACGATAAAGTTTTTTCCAAGGTTGATCTCAGTTCTCTGAACAAACGAGTGACGGATGATACTGTTGATTTTATTGCATCAATTGTAAATGGACGTGCAAGAGAACTCAACTTGTCACAATGCTTTTATGTGACAGATATTGGTTTTAAAAGATTGCTAGAAGACTTGCCCTATGTGGAGATAGTTGACCTCAATTCATGCTGGCTATTGACCGACAAAAGTTTGACTGTCTTGGCATCCTCTTGTCCTCGTTTGACAAAATTAGACTTGTCTAATTGTAGAAAGATTAGTGATAATGGTATTTTTCGATTACTAGACGAAAAGGCTTCACGGAACTACCCTCAGCTGACTGAACTCTCTCTGTCATACTGTAAAAAATTATCAGACATGACAATGAGTCATCTGGCCGAGTTTTGTTCCAAGACACTTTACTCTTTAAATATCCAACGATGTACTCGTATCACTGATCAAGGATTTGGCAAATGGGCAGGAACTTATTTTCCTAACTTAAAAATACTTAATCTGACAGATTGCAGCTTCTTGACGGATCAAGCTATTGCTCATTTGGTTGTTGCGGCTCCTCATCTCAGGAATCTTTCTTTAAGCTTCTGTTGCGCGCTTTCTGATAGTGCGATTGAAGGCCTCATTTCTCTTACAGAATTGCAAGAGTTGGATGCTAGTTTCTGTGGTGCGGCAGTTTCTGATGTCTCGGTACGATCGCTTCTCAATTCGAATGCATTTGAGCGCATAAACTCCTTGAACCTTAGAGGATGCGTTCGAATTACAGATACATGTGTAGAATCGATATTGGAACTGGCTAGATTAAACACACTCAATATCAGTCAGTGCCCTGGTATCAGTTTGGCCGCAAAACAGATGATCAAAGAATCAGGAAACGTACATAATCTGGTTGCGTAAACTACGACACACGTGCATTGTACAACCATTGTATATATATAGATAAACATTGAACATATATATTTTCTAAACAAACAAACACTTTTTCTTGCAAACACAGATATTTGCTAAGATACATGCTTTTTAAGTAGTTATTTAAATAGCTAACTCCTTTCAACAGGAATGAATTTCATTTGATTCAGGTTCAACTATCTACTTTTCTTAAGGAAAAACGAGATCTTTCTTTGTATATCTACACTCGTTTTGCTTTCAAAGTGATTTATTTACTCTAAACAGCACTGCTTTTAAGCACTCTCCCAATTGGAGGCATAGCAGTGTCAGTAATGCAAAACTTTATTTTGAAATTTTGCGTCAATATAAACAAGTTTGATTAGGATCAATATTGATAAAAGAGAACAACCAAGTCATGCAGATCTCCTTCTTTTTCTTCGGCACATAAAGGCAGCATAAGGTTTGTTTATGTATTTATTAATATACATGGTATCTTTGGAGTTAAGTTGGACCAAAAAAGCGACTTGCAAAAAATGACTTGCAAAAAATGATCATCTTTTTTTAAGGAAAACTTGCTCTGATTCCATTTAGAGTCCTTTCAACGTCAAATGAGAGGAAAAAAAGACTGTGGTATTATAAAAACTGGAATAAAAGAAAGGAGGCAAACATGAGATATATGAAATAGAGAAAAGACTGAGAGTCTGAGAGAGCTTGATCGATACTTGAAATGGAGTTGACATTACGGACAGAGGATAGAACTGGAAAGAAAAGCGGAAAGGAGGATTTGCGGCTCACAATCAAGGTGGGATTCATCATGCAGCTTACTTGCTAAACGAAAAGTTGTACTGCTTATGACTTGGGAGAGGAATGGGTTTCAGAAAAAAAAACAGAGCGCCAGTGAACTTACAAAATGGCAAGGGTGGTGCATGTAGACATCTAAAAGGTACTTGGGGAAGGGAAATGGAGGAGGGCAACACAAGAAATAACGATTCAAAGGAGGAGGACTTGACGTAGAAAATGGACCAAAAGAGCATGGATATTGGGATTAACGTAATCGAAAAAAAAAAAACGTAAAACCAAACGGCATACTTGGTAGGGCAAATGAAGTACAAATAATAAAATTCAGGGGACAATGGCGAGAAAAATCATTAAGAACTGTATGTGACATAAGACGACGTAGGTGAAAATAATTGTTGACTTTGTTGTGGAGCAGTTAGTAAAGGGCATTGCCAGCAGGAAGAGGAATTTCGAGAGATTAAGAGCGCTTTCGATTGGGCGACAGGTAAGGATCAGGCGGTATAGGAGGGGAGGAGCTGGGGCATGATTTGCGATAAGAATTGGTAGAAAATGCGATAGGGGTTTGGGAGTATATAAGGGCAGAAGTAAATGCTTGTAGTTTAATGGGGCTGTTGTGAACATATATGAACTCATATGCATAGATCAATAAATGATGATCATGGCAAAAGACCAGATCACATCTATGGCAATTGCAATGGATCTATAGTCACTGACATTCACTCATTCTACTAGAAGTACTACATCATCCTCATAGTCAGAGATTATGAACCTAGTGACTCTGTTATTATTAATGGCCCTCATAAAGTGACAGTTAGAGCTGACAAATACATTAGCATTGGCATTTGACAAATATGTAATAGTTTATTCAAGTTCAGGTCAGATCATGTACGATTGGCTGAGCTAACAACTTCCTCTAAAGGCATTTCTCTTAATTACTCCTGATCTAACAAATCAATCCGTAGTCAAGAAGCTAACCCAAAACAATATTTTGACCGAGAAGAAAAAGTATAAATACCTTGACATTTTATAGCAATTGAAGGACAACATTTTTCTTGGAGAAATAAAAACCTATACAAGTTCGAACGGACTTTCTCTGTGTTCTTACCTTTTCTCTTATTGAATATCTACTCTCTCTTCATCTCACAACAGGGGCTAATATGGGAGTTTGAAAGGAAGATGGAAAAGAAAGACGTACGAGAGGAAGGAGAAAAAAATGAAAGAATAAAGGGATTTAGAAAGAGCCTTTTTTTTTACGAAAGACTTGTAAAGCGCGGTAGGTGGCAGATTCAAAGCGTGGAATTTCTTGTCGAGAACGAAACTGTAGGCATTCATGGGAGAGATTTAAAACAAAATATGGTTACCTGTTAAGGCGAGCATACTTGGGTTGTATTTACAGTATTCATATTTTGCAATGAGAGAGTTGAATAGAGGCGGAGAAAGATAGATAGAATGCAAAAGTCTAAGAAGCGGAAGGCAAAGACAAACGTGAACGGGGACATGGCAATTAGAGAAAATGTAGGATAGGTGATCTATAGCTAAGAAGATGCGATTGAAGTAAGGAATGTTAATAGAAAGTTTTTTTGCGCACAAAAGGGAACAACAAAGGCCAGTGATAGGTGGAGTATTGTGAGAACAAAGGAAAAAAGAGAGAGTAGATTGGAGATAAGGGAGCGAAGGTAATTATATGAAAATAAGAGAATTGGGTGCTAACAAAGAGTAGACCCATCGTCATTGAAGAGCTTTCGGTCGTAGATGAGGATCAATGACGCTAATCCCACTTTGAGAACGAGGTAAAATGAGTGTAGAGAAAAGAATGGTACCAGAGGAGTGACTGTTGATGAAGGAAGTGATGAGTCGTTGTAATATACTTTGTTAAAGCGAGGCAGGCAAAGGGCATGCCATAGCCTTGATAAAATGAATCAATTGAGTACATTAACTCTATCTCGGAATAACCAAAATGACCTTTCGACCAAAGAGTATTACTCATGAAAATGCCCAACTTGACAACTCTTTGTGACTTTTTTTGATGCTACAAGGCAAAAAGTAAGGCTATTGACAAGCTCAAATACTCAAAATGTGTGCAAGACGTTCTGATTTCTGGTGAATGTGTTTGCTTGCGAATTGTGCTATATAAATAGTGAGATACGAATGAGAAACCTCACAAATATTTCTGCGTATTTACTCGATATTCTATCAGCAAAATTGCTGTGTTATCTACATCAAAAGACTCAGAAAGCAAAGATCAGTAGTTTTTGTTATTTTGCCAAAGCTTAATATTTGCGTCTTTATGTAGTTCTCAGCAAACGCTCGATTTTGGATGCAGCGGCAAAAAGAATTAGAGTTGCCTTCTATTTGAATCTCTGTAAACTAGCCATCTAGTATGTCCTTTGTTCACTTACCCCATGTTTACATTGTACAATGTCTATATCTCTATAGCTGCATTGCTAACACATTCCACATGAGGTCCAGAGCAAAAAAAAAAAAAGCAAAACAGGGCTTAAACATGCCATTCTTTGATGCGTCATTGCCCGATAACTAGATTAACAAAACAGCCGATTTTTTTGTTTAAAACATGTTCTCTCAAGTCTAGAAGCTGAATGGTGCTATTGAGTTGACGACTGTGAGAAATTAATTTTTTGATCCATGAAGGGTTCACAAGAGCTTTTGAAAATGAAAAAAAAAGTTCATCAAAATTTTTTGGAATGTGGGTCTGATCCAGTCCAAATGAGATGAGAACATGTCTAGGTACTTCTTATAGAAATAATCAGGTTTACTAAGACGAAAAAGTTGGCTCAATCTGAGCATCGCCTTCAAATCTATATTCAAAGTTTTTGATACATTGTAATTGATAGAAAAGAAGTCCTTTTCAGTATATATGGATTAGTAAGTGAATAATTGTTTATATACCATTCGCTATGGAAAATATTTACGAGTAATTTTTACTATAATATATGGCGCTTTTAATGGTTAAGGGGGTAGATTTGGATATAGTAAATAATGAATGCTAAACAAAAGAAGGACCCGGTGTTTCAAACACCAATTTTCTTTGAAGGGTGCACAAATAGGTAGCTTTGCATTACTTTCTTTCTTTCTTTTTTTTTTTTTTTTTTTTTTTTTTTTGGCTATAAAACACGTTGTTCTCCAACTTATATATACAAAGTTTGACATGTTTCTCATTAACATGTATTTTCAAAAACAATTTTTAAAAGGCGCTACTTCAAGATTTCGTAAAATGTTATTTGCTCTCACTATATACCAACAAAAAAAGGTAACTAAAGCAATCAAAAATCTATGGCAAATCAAAAATTTATCAAAAATAGTATCAATAACAGCATCAAAATGTTACGCCACAGCGTAAGCAAATGCATTTCTCTTCCATCGGTAGAAGAAATCTTCCATATTTGAGTGAAAATTTGACCAAAATTTTTCTTTTTGAGCGCACAGATCTTTCATTCTTGATAAGAATCTCTTCCATTGCTTACACTGTAGTGTTAACAGAAAATCAATAGAAAGTTAGCAAAAAGATAGCGCTGAAAAAAATAGATATCATCTTCTGAATATTTACTTATTTTGAGGTCCACTAATATTTATGCCGACATAACAAGTATGCCATTTGTGTACTCAAAAAATATTTTTTAAAAAATAAAAACCAAGGCTTTTTTAAAAAAATAAAAACCAAGGCTTTTTTTTAAAAAAAACAAAAGCATTTCTGTAATGATAAAAATAAAAGAAGAAACTTTAATTTTTTGTTTTAAATTAATAAAAAGGCTTATTTTTCAATTCTTCTGTTCTAAATTAATAAACGAGTCTACCGGATGATAATTTCACTGTTTTAGTTTAAAGAAGAGGTTACTGCTTGGTAGATTTGTTTTCTATTTTAAAGCAGAAAAATTAAAAAACAAACTTCTTTTTTAATTCAAAACAAGAATTTTCTACTTTTTTGTTTTTTGTCATTGCAGAAAATCTTTTCAATTTGTTTTGTAATAGTGGTTTTTATTATTCTTCAAAAAAAATTTTTTTGAGTACATAAACGGCATACTTGCAATTTCGGTATAACTGCTAATATTTTTATTATTTTTGAAAATGCCTTTTTTTGGGCAAGCCCATCACACTGATCACAAAGGCATGAGGTCTACAAGTCTTTCCATGTTTTTTTTTCTCTCTAGCTGCTTTTTTTGTAGAGCTATTACAATCTTTAGAAAGAGGTTTTGAACACTAAAATTTATGCTTGGGTCAGAAAAAAGAAAAAGAAAAGCATTTTCAGAATTGCAGAAATATTAGCAGTTATGCCGAAATTACAAGTATGCCATTTGTGTACTAAAAAAAATATCTTTTAGAAATAAATAAAAACTAGATTTCTAAATTAAATCAAAAAATTTTTGCAATGAAAAGAATAAAAAAAAGTAGAATTTTCTAATTTTTTGCTCAAAATAAAAAAAAAAGTAGAATTTTCTAATTTTTCTGCTCAAAATTAAAAAAAAAAGCTTGTTTCCCAATTTTTCTGTTTTAAAATAAAAACAAATCTACCAGGCAGTAATCTCTTTCTTAAATCAAAACAGTGAAATTATCATCCGGTAGACTCGTTTATTAATTTAAACAGAAAAATTGAAAATCATGCTTTTTTATTAATTTAGAACAGGAAAATCAGAAATTCTCCTATTTTTTACTTCTTGCCATTACAGAAAACATTTCTCATTTATTTTAAAGCAGTGGTTTTTATTTTTTCTAATTTTTTTTTTTTGAGTACACAAATGACATACTTGTCATGTCGGCATAATTGTTATCGAAGTTCAAATTGATTACATATTCTGATATTATTTTTTCTTTGTAATTCGCTACAAGCACTAGAGGCCTAGGTGCATGGAAGGCAAATCCAAACTTAGCGAAAAAGAAAGAGTTTAGACAACAATTAGCTGCTTTCTTGGATACACTAGTTCTGCAACTCCAGAACAGAGAAACATTACACTGCTCAGAGAAATTGGACTGGATTAAAGCTGAAGTCAAACTGTTTACCAAATCATTTCAATTGGAGACAGTCAATTGGAGAAACAAACAGATTAAACGGTTACAACGTAAACGTAACAAAACCTTCGGCATCAGAAACATCGTGGTATAGTGGATTGGACACTACCCATAGTAAAGAAACAATTGGGAGCTTTGCAAGAGGAAGCTGCTGAAATAGACGCTCTGAGAGCGGGAAAGCGTTGGCGAGAACAATGCCTTTTTTTCTTTTTTTCTTTTTTTTTTTTTTTTTTTTTTTTTTTAGTACCAGAAGAGTTAATACAATACAGGTTACCACGCGGTTACATACCAGATACAGATCAAATTAGCAGAATCGTAGCCCAGGATCAGTTTATTATTGATCTGATCACCACTTCGCTTCTGAGAGTTCCTTCAGGCACTTATAAGGCTGGCGACAATATGTTTATCGATGGCACAGAGTATGAAGCTCTTTATATACCTCATTCATCAGATCTTGTAGACTTACCTCCTGTAGTAGCAGAAATACAACACACAGTGACACGCGAGTTTATGTGTCGAGCCATCCAGTACTGCCTGAATGTGTATAAGCGTTTCCACATTTTATCAATTTTATTCCTCGTCTGTACCTCGAAAACAAAGCCCAAAACTCTGAGAGACCTCTTCAAACCTGTCCAAAACAAGTCTAACCTCTTAGAAACACCTTGCTGCCACTTCGCAACTAGTTGCTTCATGCTGACCAAACAGAGTATCGATCCTTTTATTGACAATCACGATGCCAAGAATTGGATCTTTGGTTGTCTTTGTCCATTTCTTGAGTTCTGGCCAGCAAAACATAATCATTATTGACCGATGGGACGACCCAATAATACAAAACTGTACTTTGTCACAATGGAAATGGTCAAAAATGACAGAAAAACAGAGAATGATAAAGTCGAAGCGTTACAAACGATTTGTCAAGCAACACAAAATCAATTTGAGAAAATAATGACGACCGTTTTCGACAACCCCAGCCGAGCGCATCAATACGCAGAAGCAGGACGGCACTATAGCGCAAGTCTTGAAGTACGACGCAATGAAGCAAGAATTAAACAATACACCTCCAGAAGCAACAACACCAATGGAGCTTCCTAAAGACTTTGACGGCGCTTCTAGTTCTATAAATTCCAAATACAAAGATTTGATTGCATTCATCGATGCTTGGGAGCAGAATAACAAAGGTCGAATGAATTGGTCTGCCTGTTGGGAAGATGGAAAGAAAAAAGGTCTGTTCAATGAGTACTCAAACACCCATAGCTTGAAGAATATATACCACAGAGCAAAAAATGATACCTAATCACCATTAGCACCGTTTATATGACAAATTAGTAATTAATGAAGAAATTATCAGTCAGGATTATCCCAATGTTTTATCGTAAAAAAAAAAAATACAGTTTTCTCATATCCAAACTTTTTTTTGTGTGTTAATTATTATGTTGACGATGTTGCAATCTGTATTTACTTTATTCTCTAAAGCTATGAGCTAAAGATATTTCTCTTCATCTACATACTAGTTTGAGTGAATTCATCAACCGTTGACAAACGTAATGCAACAGGAATCTTGGAGTAAGAAATCATTTACAATTAAAAATAACTTTGTCTAATGAAAAAGGAAATTCTCTGAAATCAAAAGAAATACACCAGCTCTAGTTAGCTAATTCCAACAATTACTTTTACCAAAGTAGTCAAAAATAATGACATTTGTTTTCGAGAAAACGCCAAATTCCATAGATTTGACTATATCGTACACACAAAAATGTTTGGGTCAGAAATTGAATACAAAATTGGCTTCCAGTTGAAAAAGTGGTCGAGGGGTAGTAAAGCCGTCGTTTGTCAGAGATACGTAAGACTTTTACTATAACAATACATAGTGAGAAATACCTCCATAGTGCTATAAAGTACTGTAAAAGTATTAATTTTGCAATACGTATATAAAAAGTGTATGCTATCGTCCAAAAGCGAGAATACATTTTCCATCTTTTTCTCATCTTTTTCTCATCTTTTTCATGGCAGCTTTATTGCACTTTTTACACCATTAAATGCGCCATACTAAGCTATATAGCTTTACTCAATGCGTCTCTTGATTATTTCTTATAAACTCTGACACTTTTAACCAAATTAATGACTTTTACTACCCAGGACAAGCAGAAAAGAGAAGAAAATGTTGGTGTTTGAAATATCCAGCCCTTCTCCTACAAACATTTGATGCTTATCATGTCCAAAGATGCTCTCTTTGGACTCAAGAGCTTCCAAGGTTATGATAACTTCTACTTGTAAATACCTAAGCCATTGCTTAGAGGACATCTGTTACAAATGCCTGTCATTCTAGAGCCGAGATTTGACAGTTTCTCTCTTTTGACTTGCTTTTACATACAACCCTTCAATAGAACTGTTAGCACACAATTAAAAGAGTTATACACAGACAGCCTCTAAGCCAAAAAAAAAAAAAAAAAAAAGAGGATCCTTATTTCTTTTTGTGGCAAATACTTGCTTATGATCAATAAGTAACATTGCAGCAATGATTAGCTACAGAATTTAGGGCTGCTGATTTAATGATAGTCAATAAGCCTGTTTTTTTTTGTAACATGCAACAAGTGAAGGACAGAGAAAAAAGAAAAAGAAAAGACGCGTTATCAATTATTTTAAATACTAGTGTATATACTTTATTGAATAAAAAGATAAAAAAGAGACTGGTACTTTAGCCAAATACTGTGAGTATTTGTTTCCAGGAACTAGGACGAGGCCTAAACCAGTTCAATTGAGTTCCCAAAAAATGGTGCGCGTACGCACAAAGCCCCTCAGACCCCCACTATATAGTATTCACACTATCAAAAAAAATGGAATACCTATCATTTTCAATAGATGATCCACTCAAGCGAATGAATGGACGAACACTATATATAAAAAGCCATTACTCTGTCCGATAGTCGACCCTAAATGAATAGAGCTTGCCACGAATAGACAGATACCCCTTCAAAAGTGAAGCTAACTTTAGAAAGACTACTCTAGCCATCAGACTAAAATAAGCCCCTCTAAAGGGCATTCACAAAAGAAAAGGCGAATGACTATCAATCCCAGTAACCTTCACTACCGCTTTCTAGCACTATCACAGTAGCAAACGACCAAGACTGCTGCAATACCCTAATAGCCACACACACAAAGAAATGAGACTACCAAGATACCACGAATAGGGTTAAACTTATTACTATCCGATAGGTTCCCCTCCTCCTCACAAGTGAGAAGAAGGTGCCAAGAAAAGATAGTAGCCTTCCAGCGTTGGGAATATTTGGACTTGGACTGCCAGTGCGCATAACTAAGATGGAATACCCCCTCGGATAGGACCATAAGCTAACCCTCTACACGCGTCTGTTTTACTCTCTATCAAATTCGGCAAAGACCCGTTTAGTGAAAAAAAGGCAGACTATCTTGACAGAGAATGCACTTGTACCCAGGTGGTAGATCCCCCTCCTCAAGTACGTTTGGTACATTATCCTGAAAGGACAGAAAACAAACACGCTGCAAAAAGAAAGCAAAGAAAAAAAGGGTGGGAACCTGTTTTTATATTCTGATAAGTTCCCTGACCATTATTCAGACTCAGTTATACTCAGCTAACTTTCTAAACCCCAGTTTTAAGGGCTTATTGAGGGCTTTAGAGGTATAGAGACTACATGATCGAATACAGAAACATATAATCTATGTTCTCCTAGTGTATTGAGTTGCACAGTAATAATAGCACTATTTTATATAGCAATCTTTTTTTCATGTAGCTGCATAATCATGGATTTTGTTTGCCGCCAAGGCTTACAAAGTAGCAGTATCAGACACATACAGCTGTACCTGGATCCAGCAATACAGTTTGAGCTATTGGCAAACAGAAAAAGAATGCTGATCAAATTAGAGTGTGAGTCTGGTGCCCCAGATAAAAAGGAAATGGCATTTAAAATAGACAATCCTCCTTTTGTATGGTATTCATCATTTGTAATATCCAAAGCTACTCGCTCTGGCCTCAAAAATAGCATGTATTATAATATAGTTTGTTCGTGTGTATTTTATACGTCAAAAAATACTACAAAGAGTACCCCTCTAATAGTCAGTATCCACTGAAATAGGCCTCCTTTGTACTGATGACAGTGTGCAATCAACTTTGAATGCAGATCTGAGAGGAATGCTCAAATCAAGTCGTCTTTATCATCTTAGTAGACTCGTTTTTTTTTAACAGAAGCACCTAGACCTAACTCACCTCATTTCGGTTGGATCAGACCTACATTGGGTCATTCCAAAAATTCTTGTTTTTTTCTATCTTCACGAACCTCCGTGGATCCTCCTGTGATGATCTGAGCACTTTTTAATACAAAATATAGTAAATAGTCTTTCATCATATAAATGAATAATCACTTATAGCACTATACATCATAAATATAAGGTAAGCATTGTATAATGACAGTAAATAACGATAACAGGGATAATATGGATATTTACAAAAAGGAAACCATAATTGTACCTTTTAGATAACCAGGAGGACTAAAGGAGAATCTACATAGTCAACTCCCAGGCACAAGCTGTCAAAGTGTTAAGCAATCAATAATCAATAATCACAATTAGTCAATAAATCAGGTAGTATAAAAGACAACCTGGAAAAGATATATCTTAGAGGATTATCATTTATTTTTGTAATAAAGAAGTACTGAACAGTCTCACTGTATTTCTTTGTTTTCTTTTCTGTTTTCTATATTTCTTTTCACAACCTAAACACCACAACTGATATAGGCTAACTTAGAATCACATAGGCTGACACAGGCTGACACAGGCTGACACAGGCTGACACAGGCTGACACAGGCTGGCATAGGCTGACACAGACTGATATAGGCTGATGTTGTGAACATATATGAATTCGTATGCGTAGATCAATAAATGATGATCATGGCAAAAGACCAGATCACATATATGGCAATTGCAATGGATCTATAGTCACTGACATTCACTCATTCTACTAGAAGTACTACATCGTCCTCATAGTCAGAGATTATGAACCTAGTGACTCTGTTATTATTAATGGCCCTCATAAAGTGACAGTTAGAGCTGACAACTTCCTCTAAAGGCATTTCTCTTAATTGCTCCTGATCTAACAAATCAATCTGCGGGCAAGAAGCTAATCCCAAAACAATATTTCTACCGAGAAGAAAAAGCATAAATACTTCGATATTTTATAGCAATTGAAAAAGATAACATTTCTTTGGGAAATAAAAGCTTATACAAGTTCTAACGGACTTTCTCTGTGTTCTTACCTTTTCTCTTACACTATATCTATTCTCTCTTCATCTCATAACAGTTGCTTTGTTCTATTTTAAACCAGGCTCACAGGTAAACTACACCCTTCTTTTGCATAAATTTTAGCAAACTCGAATTAAGCAAGTGGCAGCTGAAAATCATTTTTGAAAAGCAACTACTAGCCGTTGACAACGTCTTCTCTTCCCAAATGACAACTGCTGCAATTCGATATCCTTATTGAATGCTCTTGATTATCAGTTTTATAGCTAGGCTCACTCTTGCAGCAGAGTAGTTACGACAGCTATAGCAACCATAGTAGCCATGGTAACCATGGTAACCATACACCACAGCGTGAGCAGCTACATTTTTCTTCCATCGCTTACGCTGTAGTGACAAATTTACAAAAAAGAGTAATTAGAGCGATGGAAAAAAATTATAGAAAGACTTGTATACCTCAGGCCTTCGTGGTCAGTGCGATAGACTTACCCAAAAAAAGGCATTTTCAAAAATAATAAAAATATTAGCAGTTATACCGAAATTGCAAGTATGCCGTTTATGTACTCAAAAAAATTTTTTTTGAAGAATAATAAAAACCACTATTACAAAACAAATTGAAAAGATTTTCTGCAATGACAAAAAACAAAAAAGTAGAAAATTCTTGTTTTGAATTAAAAAAGAAGTTTGTTTTTTAATTTTTCTGCTTTAAAATAGAAAACAAATCTACCAAGCAGTAACCTCTTCTTTAAACTAAAACAGTGAAATTATCATCCGGTAGACTCGTTTATTAATTTAGAACAGAAGAATTGAAAAATAAGCCTTTTTATTAATTTAAAACAAAAAATTAAAGTTTCTTCTTTTATTTTTATCATTACAGAAATGCTTTTGTTTTTTTTTAAAAAAAGCCTTGGTTTTTATTTTTTTAAAAAAGCCTTGGTTTTTATTTTTTAAAAAATATTTTTTGAGTACACAAATGGCATACTTGTTATGTCGGCATAAATATTAGTGGACCTCAAAATAAGTAAATATTCAGAAGATGATATCTATTTTTTTCAGCGCTATCTTTTTGCTAACTTTCTATTGATTTTCTGTTAACACTACAGTGTAAGCAATGGAAGAGATTCTTATCAAGAATGAAAGATCTGTGCGCTCAAAAAGAAAAATTTTGGTCAAATTTTCACTCAAATATGGAAGATTTCTTCTACCGATGGAAGAGAAATGCATTTGCTTACGCTGTGGCGTAACATTTTGATGCTGTTATTGATACTATTTTTGATAAATTTTTGATTTGCCATAGATTTTTGATTGCTTTAGTTACCTTTTTTTGTTGGTATATAGTGAGAGCAAATAACATTTTACGAAATCTTGAAGTAGCGCCTTTTAAAAATTGTTTTTGAAAATACATGTTAATGAGAAACATGTCAAACTTTGTATATATAAGTTGGAGAACAACGTGTTTTATAGCCAAAAAAAAAAAAAAAAAAAAAAAAAAAAAGAAAGAAAGAAAGTAATGCAAAGCTACCTATTTGTGCACCCTTCAAAGAAAATTGGTGTTTGAAACACCGGGTCCTTCTTTTGTTTAGCATTCATTATTTACTATATCCAAATCTACCCCCTTAACCATTAAAAGCGCCATATATTATAGTAAAAATTACTCGTAAATATTTTCCATAGCGAATGGTATATAAACAATTATTCACTTACTAATCCATATATACTGAAAAGGACTTCTTTTCTATCAATTACAATGTATCAAAAACTTTGAATATAGATTTGAAGGCGATGCTCAGATTGAGCCAACTTTTTCGTCTTAGTAAACCTGATTATTTCTATAAGAAGTACCTAGACATGTTCTCATCTCATTTGGACTGGATCAGACCCACATTCCAAAAAATTTTGATGAACTTTTTTTTTCATTTTCAAAAGCTCTTGTGAACCCTTCATGGATCAAAAAATTAATTTCTCACAGTCGTCAACTCAATAGCACCATTCAGCTTCTAGACTTGAGAGAACATGTTTTAAACAAAAAAATCGGCTGTTTTGTTAATCTAGTTATCGGGCAATGACGCATCAAAGAATGGCATGTTTAAGCCCTGTTTTGCTTTTTTTTTTTTTGCTCTGGACCTCATGTGGAATGTGTTAGCAATGCAGCTATAGAGATATAGACATTGTACAATGTAAACATGGGGTAAGTGAACAAAGGACATACTAGATGGCTAGTTTACAGAGATTCAAATAGAAGGCAACTCTAATTCTTTTTGCCGCTGCATCCAAAATCGAGCGTTTGCTGAGAACTACATAAAGACGCAAATATTAAGCTTTGGCAAAATAACAAAAACTACTGATCTTTGCTTTCTGAGTCTTTTGATGTAGATAACACAGCAATTTTGCTGATAGAATATCGAGTAAATACGCAGAAATATTTGTGAGGTTTCTCATTCGTATCTCACTATTTATATAGCACAATTCGCAAGCAAACACATTCACCAGAAATCAGAACGTCTTGCACACATTTTGAGTATTTGAGCTTGTCAATAGCCTTACTTTTTGCCTTGTAGCATCAAAAAAAGTCACAAAGAGTTGTCAAGTTGGGCATTTTCATGAGTAATACTCTTTGGTCGAAAGGTCATTTTGGTTATTCCGAGATAGAGTTAATGTACTCAATTGATTCATTTTATCAAGGCTATGGCATGCCCTTTGCCTGCCTCGCTTTAACAAAGTATATTACAACGACTCATCACTTCCTTCATCAACAGTCACTCCTCTGGTACCATTCTTTTCTCTACACTCATTTTACCTCGTTCTCAAAGTGGGATTAGCGTCATTGATCCTCATCTACGACCGAAAGCTCTTCAATGACGATGGGTCTACTCTTTGTTAGCACCCAATTCTCTTATTTTCATATAATTACCTTCGCTCCCTTATCTCCAATCTACTCTCTCTTTTTTCCTTTGTTCTCACAATACTCCACCTATCACTGGCCTTTGTTGTTCCCTTTTGTGCGCAAAAAAACTTTCTATTAACATTCCTTACTTCAATCGCATCTTCTTAGCTATAGATCACCTATCCTACATTTTCTCTAATTGCCATGTCCCCGTTCACGTTTGTCTTTGCCTTCCGCTTCTTAGACTTTTGCATTCTATCTATCTTTCTCCGCCTCTATTCAACTCTCTCATTGCAAAATATGAATACTGTAAATACAACCCAAGTATGCTCGCCTTAACAGGTAACCATATTTTGTTTTAAATCTCTCCCATGAATGCCTACAGTTTCGTTCTCGACAAGAAATTCCACGCTTTGAATCTGCCACCTACCGCGCTTTACAAGTCTTTCGTAAAAAAAAAGGCTCTTTCTAAATCCCTTTATTCTTTCATTTTTTTCTCCTTCCTCTCGTACGTCTTTCTTTTCCATCTTCCCTTCAAACTCCCATATTAGCCCCATTAAACTACAAGCATTTACTTCTGCCCTTATATACTCCCAAACCCCTATCGCATTTTCTACCAATTCTTATCGCAAATCATGCCCCAGCTCCTCCCCTCCTATACCGCCTGATCCTTACCTGTCGCCCAATCGAAAGCGCTCTTAATCTCTCGAAATTCCTCTTCCTGCTGGCAATGCCCTTTACTAACTGCTCCACAACAAAGTCAACAATTGTTTTCACCTACGTCGTCTTATGTCACATACAGTTCTTAATGATTTTTCTCGCCATTGTCCCCTGAATTTTATTATTTGTACTTCATTTGCCCTACCAAGTATGCCGTTTGGTTTTACGTTTTTTTTTTTTCGATTACGTTAATCCCAATATCCATGCTCTTTTGGTCCATTTTCTACGTCAAGTCCTCCTCCTTTGAATCGTTATTTCTTGTGTTGCCCTCCTCCATTTCCCTTCCCCAAGTACCTTTTAGATGTCTACATGCACCACCCTTGCCATTTTGTAAGTTCACTGGCGCTCTGTTTTTTTTTCTGAAACCCATTCCTCTCCCAAGTCATAAGCAGTACAACTTTTCGTTTAGCAAGTAAGCTGCATGATGAATCCCACCTTGATTGTGAGCCGCAAATCCTCCTTTCCGCTTTTCTTTCCAGTTCTATCCTCTGTCCGTAATGTCAACTCCATTTCAAGTATCGATCAAGCTCTCTCAGACTCTCAGTCTTTTCTCTATTTCATATATCTCATGTTTGCCTCCTTTCTTTTATTCCAGTTTTTATAATACCACAGTCTTTTTTTCCTCTCATTTGACGTTGAAAGGACTCTAAATGGAATCAGAGCAAGTTTTCCTTAAAAAAAGATGATCATTTTTTGCAAGTCATTTTTTGCAAGTCGCTTTTTTGGTCCAACTTAACTCCAAAGATACCATGTATATTAATAAATACATAAACAAACCTTATGCTGCCTTTATGTGCCGAAGAAAAAGAAGGAGATCTGCATGACTTGGTTGTTCTCTTTTATTTGCCTGGAGTCTGTGAGACATAAACTAGCCATGTATCACCACAATATCTATTTAAATAAAATGTCCTATCAAAAGATTCTTGATCCCCTAAATCAAAGAAAGGGAATGCTTGCATATGAAGATTGCCGAAGTCTTGAGAAATTCTTGTGATGTATGAAAGATGGCCTTTAGCACATTGTGAAAAATATTGCAAATCATCATATATTCAGAACTCCCATTTAATTACTCGTTTTTTCTATAATAAAGAAATATCTAGAGTAAAAGGCATAGTGTTATTTGTATGATTCAATGAAATCAATATCTTAATTAATTTACGTTTATACACCTAATTCAGAGCATTTCTTGCCTATCGTTATATACCGTAAATGAAGCTACTTATAATAAAGTTGACCTAGATTGTATTTTTATTGTACTTTTTTCCAACTTTTATTATGGCCAAAGCTTAACTATGAACACGATCGTATCGTCATCTTTATTAGTCATCTAAAAACCAAGTTGCACTTTGTAGTATTTCAGGTTGGGGTTTAGAACCGAACACAAAACTATTGCTAAAAATACTTCTTCGACCTTTCATAAATCTGTACCTGTGCACACGCAAGCGTTTTTTCTTTGTCTTTTGATAGGGCTGATACTCTGTGTAGTAACCGAGCCAACACGATTTTAAATCCCCTTTTAAAAGAGGCACTTCGTTTCAGTCTACGATGCCAGCAAGAAAAGAATTTCAGACAAAGCCAATAAAGACTATATGCATTCGCTGATCAGACAAAAAAGGGAAAACGGATTCCACACATTTTTTTTTTGAGTCGGAACTGTTCTTAATGTCTCCTTAACAGGGAATAAGTCCAGGTTTTTTTTATTCTTCTTTTTCTTTTTTGACAAACAAATAAAGTGTAAATACACGTAAAGAAATACGCTTTTTTCAAGCGAAGAATTATTAGAAAAACACTCCTTTAATATGTCAAAGTTTTCGTACGACGATCTTCCTTGGCAAGTAGCAGACGAACTACAACATCTCGAGTTTGAACTACAAGACGGGGATATTACACAAAAGGGTTATGAAAAAAAGAAGGCCGCCATACTTGCTCCTTATCAAGATTTGATTGAAGAAAAGACACGCCTCTCAAAACAACTTGAGTCTTCTGAAGAACAACACGAGGTTGAACCAGACTTGGCTCAGATAGAAGCCGAGTTAGGTCCTGAACCAAGTGCTGCTGACGTGACAGATTTTCTAGATTTTTTGCCTTCACCTACACATTCTCCTGCGGATAGCCGAGGTGCTACTCTTATGGAAGCGCATCAACAGCAGCAGCAACAACAACAACAAGCACCAAGACCACCCGTAAATACAATGACAGGTAGTCCTCAACTATCACAACTACCTCGACAACCACCATTGACAGGCCATCCTCAACCCCCAATGCCAGGATATCCGATCCGACCCAACAATGTCTATCCCCAACAACCTCGACCTTATATGATGGATAATAATTATAGACCTGCACCAATGTATAACAATAGACCTCCTCCTTCTCATGCATTTGATCCTCGTATGACTGCTCGACCCATCTACAATAACAACTATCCTGTTCGTCCCAACATGAATGGATATAGACCGTCTATGTTACCACCAAATTCACAACCAGGCTCAATCTATCGTCCTCAACAACAGCAACAGCAACAGCAACAGCCACCTCCTCCACCTCCTTCAAACCCTCCCCCTTCTCAAAACATGTATTATCGTCCTCAACAACTACCTACTACACCTTCTCCAATCATGAGTAGTCAAGCATCCATGACTCATAGTCGATCTACTTCTCTTGATTCCAAACCTGAATTTACGTTCAATAAACCATATCCACCGAGCATACGACAAAACTTGGACATGGTCATGGAACCAGAATCTTTAGATTGGGGTAATTATTTGATAAATAATGAAGGGTTACACACTAAAATTTATTAAATAATAGATACGGCTTCACAAGCCTCTTGGAGACCCGGTAGAGAAGGATCTATCATGACCATGCCTAAATCAATCTCGAGCAACAGTGGATTCTTGGATCCTACAATTCAACGTACTCGCTCAAATGCTAGTCTAGGGCGTAGCCGTTATCGAGACAGTTATATGGCAACCACATTTAAGGCGATTGAACCACCTCCACAGCCTAAATTAATGTTCCAGGATCCGGCCGATCAAATGTTCTTGGCAGATCTAGCAGGCCGCCAAATGACACCTTTGAAAGGCCGCCCGATTCCGTTTGATTTGTATGATTCAGACAATAAAGTACGACTGACCGACTTCAGTCATATTGTGAATGCTTTGCGGTATAAGGCAACAGAGAGCACAGATCGGTTAAAGGAAGCATTTGCAATTGTCGACGGTCGCGGCAAAGAATCTGCTACACTTACCTGGGATAAGTTGAATGCACGCGCAGAAAAAATAGCACAGACATTGCAGCAAAAACACAAAGTGAAACAAGGCGATCGTATTGCATTAATCTATCGAAAGTCAGAGGTTTTGGAATTTATCCCAGCCCTGTTCGGTTGCTTTTTAGCAGGTGTGACAGCAGTACCTATCAATGCAGCAGAAGATCTGTCTGAACTCTCCTTCATCATCTCACTCGCCAATATCCATTTGATTTTGACTACAGATTACAATCATCGAGCATTTGTCAAAGAGAAAAATGTCGAACTTGCTGGCCATGTTACTTGGCTCAAGACAAATGATTTAGGTACTTGGTACCCTTCTAAGAAGTCGTCCGAGTATCCACCAATCAAAGTACCTGAGATTGCTTACATAGAATACGCCAAAGCAAATAATGGTGAATTGAAAGGTGTCACAGTCACACATGCTTCGATTATGGAACAATGTGCAGCATTTCAGGCTGCTACGACCGAGACAATTGTCAACACAAATGGAAATGGTGTGGAAGTCAAGCCAAAACATAGAACCCGTCAGTCTGATGTTGTCGTGAGCTACTTTGAACCAAGACAACAAATTGGCTTAATCCTTTCTGTGCTGCAATCCGTGTATGCTGGCAACTTGACTATCTTTGCCAATGGTTCGATTGTGGATACACCTGCTGTATGGATCTATGTCTTGTCAAAATACAATGGTAATGCTTTGTCAGACCTGCCTTTTTTATTGTTATTGACTTACTCTTTGTATAGCTACTATGGCTTTGGCAGATTATAACTCCTTGAAGTTTATCACACATTATTTTGAATCCAATCAAAAAGAAGTCAAAACACATAGTAAAAAAGTAGTTCCTGATCTCTCATCCTTGCGTTATTTGATTGTAGATACTAACATTGTTCGACCTGAACTCAACCAATTGATTGCCGATAAATTATTGGGGCCTTTGGGCAACACTGACTGTCCCTTAGAAGTCATTTGTCCTGTTCTCTCGTTACCTGAACACGGTGGCAAGATTGTGAGTATGCGAGATAACTTGGGTCCTGCTTTTACGGAAGAATCAGTTGAGCATGAAGAACTCGTGTCTGAAGAAGGTCAGCAAATAACACATTCAATCAAGACAACGCAGTCTGTATTAGCACCAGGAGGATCGCGCGATGCATTTGCTTGTTTGCTGGATGCACAAGCACTAAGGAGAAACAAAGTGTTGGTGTTGGCAGCAGGTGCAGAAGCCAAAAAAGCAGAAAATCTCAATGAGCCCGGTCGAGTCTGTGTAGAATCCTTTGGGTTCTGTATGCCCAAGACAAATGTGGCCATCGTGGATCCAGATACAGCCACCGTCTGTCCTCCTGATACATTGGGTGAAGTATGGGTGGATTCACCCTCTATGCATGGTGGATTTTGGGCATTGCCGAAGCATACTGAATCCATTTTTCATGCCCGTCCTATTGTTGTTCATCCCGAATCATTTTATCCTGAAGTATCTACTGAAGTCTATTTAAGAACCGGCTTATGTGGAACCATGATTGGAGGTCGATTGTTTATTTTGGGTCCCTATGAAGATCGTATCCGTCAACAGCATTTAGGCAGTGAACTTGGTTTGGAAGATACGTATTATGCAAGCGAATTACTGGATACCATTCGTAAGCGTGCCCGTATTCAGAAATGGTAATGTATACTCTTTTAGACATCAGAAACTAATGACTCGTATAGTACTCTCTTTGAAGTGTTTGTCAAACGCCAACATCTTCCTATTGTTGTTTGTGAATCAAACGCAAACCGAGCTGACCTTATTAAAATAGCAGATGAAATTGATGAAGCATTGATTGATTTCCATGGCCTCAGAGCCTATGCGATTATTTTCGTAAAAGAAAATGGGTTACCTCGACAAAAAGTACATGGACGTCGAGTGATTCATTCGTTGATGACCAAGAAATACTTTATTCATGGCCAACTTAACATCAGACATATCAAAATCGACGTCGATCGCACCATATTCAACTTGGCTACCAATGTCGATCCTACTAATAATCTATGGCTTTCCGGTATGGCTTATGACAAGGCAATTCGCACTGGTGCTATTATTCCCCATCCTCAGCGACAACACACCGGTCTTGAGCAAGTACGTAACGTGATTGATGAAAGAACAAATTATGATGTTTCTCGGTTTACAAACATGGTTGATATTCTGCAATGGCGTACAACTCTATATCCTGAAGAAGTGGCATTTACCCTCTCGACTCTTTCTGGTCAGAACATCAATACAAAGACATACTCTTGGCGAAAATTAAGTTATAAGTCTGCTGCAGTGGCAGCTTTGTTAGTCAAGAAAGGACTCAAAAGAGGCTCACGTGTGTTGGCCATGATTCCATTTGGCGTTGACTATGTTTTTTGTATCTATGCTTGTTTAGCCATAGGTGTTATTCCTATACCTATTGAACCTGTAGACCCTCAACTTCAGTCTGGACGAATCAATGAATTTGTAGAACAACTGATTGAAGCTTCAAGAGATCTAGGCGCTTCCGCTATCTTGGCAAGCTCAGAAGGAGAAGATGTGTTCAAGAACAATGCAGTGAAATCAGCTTTGAAACAATTATTACCCTCCAGCTACAAGTTACCAGAAACCATCAATATCTCAAAAGCACCTAAAAATCACAAAATGCTGGGTAAAGAAAGTGGTTTTACGGTACGTCCTGAATGGATTACATCCAATAGAAATGTGCCTGCCATGATTACCATCCAAACTTCTTCTGATGGCCGTCGTCTTTATGCTCACCTGGGTCATGATACCATTTTAAATCAATGTAGAACACAAAAAATGACCTGCCAAATGCGCTTCCAACGCGGTATTGTCACTACAGGTCTTGGTACGTATGATGGTCTAGGTCTTTTACATGCTTTGTTTTGTGGTGTCTATGTGGGTTGTAGTACTGTGTTGATTCCCTCTGCTGACTTCTATATGAACCCTGTTTCCTTCTTTGAATCTCTTCAACGACATAAAGTCAAGGATGCATTCTTGACGAATGCACTCGTCCAGTTTGCCATGAATCGCATGAACGCAAATGACAGTCGACATATCACACTGAAGGGCGTACAGAACCTGATGCTAGCAAACGACAACCGACCCAAGCCTTTACTCTATCAGCATATGGCTAGATATTTTGTTCGACATCGACTCGATAAAGAATCTATCAATACCGTTTACAGTCATGCAGCAAATCCAATGATTACTACACGATCCTACATGCTACTGGAACCCATTGCTCTCTCAGTAGATCCTTACTGGCTTCGACAAGGCATTGTGCGTGCCATGAACCCAGAAGAAGAAGCTTATGGTATCTTATTGAATGATTCTGGTATTGTACCTAGTAATACGATGATTGCCATTGTCAATCCCGAGACACGTACACTATGTCCTAGTCATGTAGTAGGTGAAATTTGGGTGTCTTCTGATAGTAATGCAAAGACATTTTATGGTTTGGATGATGCTTCTCATGCACAACGTTTCGAGGCCTCCATTGCTGGCAATGATCCCAATATCAAGTACTTCCGCACAGGCGATCTTGGATTCTTGTGGAATGTAAGACGCCGTGTAGACAATCGTATGATGCAACCTGTGCTAGAAGAAGGCCAATGCCTGTATGTGTTAGGTCCTATTAACGAAACTATCTATCGAAACGGGTTGATTCATTTCCCTATTGATATCGAATTGTCCATTGAACGTTGTCATCCCATGATTCCAGCTGGTGGAAGGTAAGCCTATATAGAATGCATTTGACATGTCACTAAGTTCATATAGTATTGTATTCCAATATAAGGAAGAAGTGGTTGCTGTTGTCTCGGTTAAGTCCAATGAGTATGCTCTTTCGGCAGTTCCTTTGGTAGTCAATGCCATTCTTGAGCATCATTCGTTCTTGGTGGATATTGTGGTCATTGTCCATCCAAACCACTTTCCTCGGTCTCGTTTTGGTGATAAAATGAGACGAAAAGCACTTGTAGTCTTTGCTGAAAAGAAACTGTAAGTCTATCTTGTTTGAATTTTCTCTTACTTGTATTGTATAGAACGGCTATTTATGTTAAGCGCATCACCAATCAACATGAAAACCTCATGCTCCCTCAATGGACACAATCTCAGCTCTCACTTGCTGATGTCAATGACTCTGGATCAGTTCATTCTGCTCATTTCGCACAATCTATATCCGATTTTCACTCTGAATTCGATAGACCATCTGCCCCTCAATCTCTCATGCGTCAAGACACATCCTTGAGTCGAACGTCTCATGCGACTGAAATCCACTCACCCATCTAATATTTAATAAACCTGGGATTCAAACATGGTTTCCCTCTTCTCTCTCTCTTTCTCTCTTACTTTTTTTTTTTTCTTTTGTTCATGTTTCGAAACAAGATCTTTATTACCAGTAAACCCACTGGCTGTACATTAGCATTTGTTAAAGGTACCATTATAATAAACACAACATGAGCTAAAGATACAAGATATCTTCAAGACTTCAAACACGACTTTTCCACAAGCACTCGTGGATACTCGTTTAAAAGAGACCAAGGGTGATCTTGTAGGTATCTGTATTCCTTACCAGATTGACACCAAATATTATACTGCCAAAGTGGATTTTTGGATTGATGAAATTGATACAGCATCAGAACAAGAAACTATCAAAGCTTATTGTGAAAAGGAAACAGAGATAAGCAAAGTGATTGATGCTTTCGTGTTCATGTTTGATAAAAATGAGGTATACAAAGGATAGAATGGACTTTTGCTTATCTAAAAAAAAAAAAAAATAGCCTTCTAGTTTTGATACATTAAAGGCATGGGCACCTTTTTTAGAGCAAGCCAATCCTTCCATTCGTATGTGTATCGGTACTACATCCACAACACCCCTCAGTAACGAAAAAGATGCTGAAATTAATGATTGGTGTATTTCCAATCAATTTGATTATGTGGATATGGATGAAACAGCAGAAACACCTTTAGATAAAGTAGGCAATGATCTTGCTCTAGACATCATTCAGACCAACTTGTGGGATGGCATGAAAAAGAAACACATGGAAGGTGCTGAAGAAGAAGAAGAGTTGTTAAAGGAGATTCAAGAATTAAGTTTACAACGCAATAAGGATATCCTTGATGAAGACGATGATTTTTCAGGTACAGAACAACGGTTCAAAGTGTGTTCCTGAATTTCCTTTCTTAGATATGCCTTCACAAAATGAAATTGACAAAATGAGAGATGAATTGTTTGGTGATATTGATGGTGAAGATGGCCTAGACAAAGCATTTGAAGCTATTCAAGCCATGCGAGGTAAAAATCAAGACACATGTTAGCATGACTAAATTTGCATGTGTCTAGAACAAGGCAAGCATTTATCAGATGAAGAAAGACGTAAAATGGCAGCCAAGGTTGCACTCTCGTTTGCAGCACAACTTGGCCTCTAAAATTAAATGAATTTAAACCCAACATTTCATTTAAAAAAAAAATGTAACAATTTCCCCTTGTTTTTTTAAATTTTCTTTCTTCTTTCTACATTCATATGCAACAACAATTAGTGACTCGGTCAGAATGGAAATACAACATGTTGTATATTATAACATGGTATTCTTTATCCACTATGCTATCTATCTATAATAAGACAATTATGGCAAAAGACCATCTCAACTTACCTCTATTCATGAGTGCAACCCATGCAGGCATTCATACTTTAATTACAAGAATCTTGATAGACAAACATCAATTAGAACAATATTCTTTAAGGGACTATATGACCAAAATAGTATGTAACTGATATGAAAGCAAGTACCTAATGTATTGCGTAGGTACCTTGTGGCATGGCTGCAGCCTTAGAGATATGTTGCGGCAATGCCTCGCTTGTGCTCATTACGCTTTCTTTTTATACCATGATCAAATCAAGCACACCTGTTTGGGTATTAGCATTTTCTTTTGTGTTTGGTTTTGAAAAGCTTAAATTGAATCTTATCGGTATTATTTCTGTGATTGTGTTTGGTGTCTGCCTGACGATTGATGGTGAACCTGATTTTGATCTTCAAGGATGCGTACTTGTGCTTTTTGCTGCTATTGCCTCTGGACTTCGATGGAATATGACTCAATACATGATGAGAACAACAAAAAAGACAGGGCCTATGGATACAATGTACCGAACAAGTCCTGTCATGTTTGTTACTATGTTGTTGCTCAGTTTATATATTGAGCAGCCATTTTATGTCTATACATCGTTTAAACAAGGTGTTGTCTCCTTGTGTATCATGTCTATAGGGGGCATTTTAGGTAAGGACAATGTTTTGTTTCATGATCATTAAGCCACAATCAAATAGCATTTGTGATGACATTAGCCGAACTTTATTTGATCAAAGGCACAAGTACGGTGACACTAAGTGTGGCAGGAATAAGCAAAGAAATTGTTGTGATTGGCTTGTCTGTCTTGATCTATGGCGATGTCTTAACTCTTAAAACGTATATGGGGTAAAAATGTAGGCTATTGTGTTCTTCATGTTCTAACGAAAACAATAGATTGTTTATTTCAATTCTCGGTATTATAGGCTATAACTATTATAAATATTCACAAATCATGATGGAGAAAAACAAGTAGTTTGAGTGGTGTCTATATTAAGATACAATAATAAGTTTTTTTTTTTTTTTTTTTTTTTACATAAGTCTGCATGAATCTTTCAAATGGTGTCTGTGATGGTGATGGTGATGCTTCTTTTTATCTGTAGAGTGTGTAGAAAGTGAACTTTCTTGTTTTAATTCAACATTGTGCTCTGATGCTGAAGAAAGTGAAGACGCTTCATGATGGCATGTCTTGTCCAACTCATAAAAGATAATGTAAGCATTTTCAGCCAAGTCAGCATGAACACTAGCATCATCCGTCATTTGTGTGACGCGACTTGCTTGGTTCATATCGTCCAGCTTGATCCAATGATACGATTCATCTGCACTCATCACTCGAGCATAACTAACATAATGACCACTAAAAGGTGAATCTCCCTTGTGACAAACAGCGCTTTTAAAATGAAGTGTCCAGTCTACTAAATGACCACAGGTAGGACATAGAGGATCATCTACGTTTTGATTGACAAACTTGTTAAAGTCGATTGTGACAGGTATTTCCACTCGTTTCTTGTTCTTGGTAGATCCACCTGAATGGTCATATCGATATCGTTTAAGGACGATAGGCAGAATCATATGGGTATCGGGGAATGAAGCATCTACTTGTGCGTTGATTGAAATACCTTGCTCGTTGGTAGGGCTGTAGAATGGAAGCAGTTCCAAGACTTGCCAAGCAGTGACGGCTACATGACCATCATTCTTCTTGACAAGGGCTCGTTTCGAACTGGGTTTTTCATCTGTGTTGTTGATCATGCTCTGGATGGTGGGTGACGCAGCCACATTCTCTGTCACTTCCTCATGACTATGGCTTGAGTCAACTTGACGTCGTACACCTGTGATGATACTGTTATAAAAATAATCGACTAAAATGTCTTGTAATTTGATTTCTTTGACTGAATTGTTTGTTTCTGGTATAGACAATGTGAGTGTCCTGTCTGTCATAACACGGTCATCATCTGAATCTTTGTTTGCACCATGAAATAATCGTATTTGAAACTATGCATAGTGTAAATTATACCAGTAGACAGAAAGGGAAGTACTTACGGGCAAATAAGGTAAATCAAATGTCTCGGTAATAAATAAAAATAATTCACTTGCATCTTCTTGAGTCCAATGACCTGCTTCATCCTGACCATTCCACTTGGCTTCTTTGAGTATTTTTCTAAACCAATGAACATAGTCTGCACTAATAAAATGTCCTTTTCGAAGCTTGTTGACAAACAACCGCATCAGTGTCTGTAATTTGATTTTGTTGTCTTGATCTTCTTCCAAGGGGATATCGTACGTTAATAGTGGATCAAATGCCGTATTAGAGATGTACATGGCAAACAATAAGGAATCAATATAACAAGAAGTACCACCATCATTCTCAGATCCTAATAGCAGCGTATTGGGTAAAGGTGGTTCAACAAGAATACCATGCGAGGCTTCTTCATAGTCAAGCAGGTCTGCCAACGACTTTTTGGAGTCCCAGTCATTACTTTCAAGGATACTTTCAAATATGTTGGAGTCAAGTTGAATAGAAAAGTGTTGCTGAGCATAACTAGAAAGTGAGTTTATCTTATTGGTTTGTTCTGTAGTGCGTTTAAGGGTATCTTCTTTATGTGCATGTTTATGCTTGTGGGATTTGTGAGGAAAGATAATTTTCCAAATTTTGTCTCTTCTTCTATATTTCTTTTCTTCCATCATTTGTATATATTTATATTTTTGAAAAGAAAAAGAAAAAAAAAGGGGGGGGAAAAGACAAGAAATGCTTATTATTGGTAAACAAAAAAAAAAAAAAGAAAAGAAAAAGTGTCACTGAACAATTGCTATTTTTGGTCAAGGCTACCATAAAAAGTATACAAGTTTCTTAAGGTGATCTTGTACTATGGATACACATGTTTATTTGTGTTATTATTTATGTATGTATATATATAAAAAAGAAAGTCTTTTTTTTTTCTATTGTCTTGATGCATTTAATTCATTCAATAATTCAGTCTTTTCTCTTTCCATTGCGTATTCTCGTTGATGTAAAAAGCGAATATAATCCAGTGCTATTATAACACATAAATAAAACCATCAACAACAACAAAAAAACAGGACTTACTTTTACTTAAAATCTCCCATTTGCTTGTCTTTAATCCTTTGTCTAATGGCAATAAATCCCGCAAATCATCAAACAAATCTTTCATTTCCTTTCTTCGTTTTCTCTCTGCTAATTTGTGGCTGATGCGTAACTCAGGCGATCGACTGTAAGGTGTGGATGATTGTTCACTGCCTCTCCTCGACATCCGTCTCTTTTCCTCCTCAATTTCTTCCTCTGTAGCTTGTGAGATCGACATGGAATGATGTCTTGATTTTTTTGAAGGCATCACGGACAAGACACCTGTTGCTGCAATGGAGTGACGTCGATACTGTGTATCATCCAGCATCATCATCTGCTGAACCTGTTTGCATTGAATATCAGGTCTGGTTCTTTTGTTAGGAGGCACACCTGTGAGATGTGTGATGGAAGGTAAGGACTCTCTGCGCCACGGTGAAGTGGATGTAGAAGTAGGTGGTGTAGGTAACGGATAGAGTTCTGGTGTAGTCACCATAGAGGATCGTCTAGACGAAGGTGAGGAAGGTGGTGAATTAAGAGATAATAGGCTAGGGCGTAGTAGATTATTAGAGGCATGAAGAACTGGATCAGTAAGTGAACCTCGGCGTGAATTTGAGGGACTTGAGTGTGTGCTATGATTGTCCTGAAGACGAAAATTATTGAGGGGGTATAGAGTACGAGAAGTTGGGTCGATTAAAGAAGGTCTTCTTTCGTTATATGGGTATGAATTAAAATGTTCGTTAAGGTTCATTGTATAAAGAAAAAAGAGAGAGAGAGAAAAAAGGAGGGGAAATTCATTGTTTTAAGATAAAAAAAAATAAAGGAGGGGGGTTAAACTCCGTAAGAAAAGCGCATGCTTATGATTTGCCACACCCTTTTCAATAACCGATTGCCACATGTCTTGAAGACTATATAACAGAGTCGGTTTATCTCTCTCTCTCTTTTTCACAGTTTTATATGCTCTTCTTCTGCATAAATCCTTATAGACACTTTATGTGCTCACAGAAAGAAGTAGTCAAAAGAGAATAAAATACAAAACATATAAAAATAGAGTGTCACTAACAAATTTAGAAATAACGTGGTCCATAAAAAATCTCGTGAATAGCACACAAATTATCGTTATTTCATGCAACTTTTTTTTTTTTTTTTACTTGGTAGAGTCAATCTGCATAGTTCATTTCGGTATGCTTTGGACTATTAAAGTTCGCAATGCTGTGGCACAAGGCAAATTAGATATACCTGAAGCAAAACGTGCTTCTCTTTGTGTAAATCTACCTGAGCGTAAAGAGATTCAATATGAGTAACACATTGTCCTTGACATGTTGCCCCTCCCCCCCCTTTTTTTTTTTACTTATTGTCTAAAAATGATTTGTCAGAACAATAAAATACGGCCTTTAAATCGTTCCTGTATTTAACAATAATAAAGGACAATAAAAAATGACTCCGATTTTGACATTTTGTGATATTAGACAAGACAGGGAAGTAGTGTTGTACATGTCCTCAGGGTTCTAAATCGAAACAGTTTTTTTTGATACAATATTATCTCCTTCCAAATCATATGCAATTTTATTAACCATGTACCACTCTCAAATAAAGGACTTGTCATTTTAAACACAACTTGGAACGTCTTGGAAAGAATCCACTCAATAAGGCAATGAACGCCTAAATTTGTCAGCAGCCATGAAATGATATCAGCACGCTTTTATGTTGTATGTAGAATCGGAATGACATCAAGCCCTAATTCCGCAGCTCCGTAAGTGTGTCAGGTACATTATAGCTGTATCTACTGCGGTTTTTATTTTATTTGACAAGTTATGAGGGGTATGTGCTTTGTGAGACAAACAGAGATGCTCAAAGTGTCAAGCCCAAAAAAAAAGAAAGAAAACCAAGAGGCTTTGCACGGAATAAATCCGACTTGAAAGTTAAATTATATTATAGCATGCAAAATCATACATCGTCATGACGAATAATGACTTAATTTCTTGAACCATGCGATGTTCTTTTTTGTTTGAACAGCGTCAGATGCTAAATGACTTGGCTGTTTTCAACACCAGCTTTCAGGGCCAAAAGGAGCGGAACTCCAATGTCAAGTGATCGAGAAAGCAGGCGTGTTTCTTGTTACGCGTAATCTTTTATTTATTCCCCGGATTGATTACAAAAGTGAAATAGGGAAACATGCCGAAAGCCCCCAAGACAAAAAAAGAGGACACTAACAAGACGACTTTGTTTCCTGTCTTGAAGCAAAAGAACTTTCTCGAGTTGACCGAAGTTGAACCTGACCAGATCTATGTGATCAACAAGTTCTTTACTGAAAAAGAATGTCAGTCTGTCATTGCGTTTTTTGAGACAAACTTGCCGCCTAAAGAAAGTCTAGGTGGTAAACCTAAAAAGGGTTATGCTTTTCGCAACAATGACCGACAAGCCCTCGAAGACCCAAAAATAGCACAACTTTTGTGGCAGGGAATGGAGCAGATAGTACTCGATTCACCCATGGCTCAATGGAACAGAACACCCAAGGGATTAAATTCAAACATTCGAGTTTATCGCTATCGAAAGGGACATTCTTTTGCTTCTCATTATGATGAAAGTGTTCAAGACAAGACTACAGGACTCTGGACTGATTGGACTTTATTGATCTATTTGAATGAGGACATGGAAGGGGGCGAGACTGTGTTTTATAGAGAGAGTAGCCCCAACAATCGAAAGCCGGATCCAATCGTCATCAAACCAAAGAAGGGAATGGCCTTATTTCATCGCCATGGTACACATTGCTTGCTACACGAAGCTATGGAAGTTGTGAATGGAAACAAATGGGTGCTAAGAAGTGATGTGCTTATAGGCTAACAATCATTGTTACATCCATTGACCCTATATATCCTAATTAAAAATCGAGTCAGAAGATCATACATTGAATTTGACCAAAAAGAAAAAAAAAACAAAACCCTACTTTCCCTCTATCAATATGTATTTTCTATTGTTCTCACTCACAATAAACGATGCACCGGAATTCCATGACCTTGATACATTGCATGTAGAATAGGAGATAGTACAAAAAACATAAGAAAAAGATGAGGCTATGCGCGATACTAGAGATTAAAAAAGAAGCCAGTTCCATTATCGCGTAACCATAACAACGAAGAATAGGTATCACTACTTTAAATTGACTACGGCAACCTTGGTTACTAAGTTGCTAAGGAGAAAACCTTATTTATATTTATAAAGTGCACGTACTCTATAAACAAAAGCCAAAAAAAAAAGTAATATACACATTGAGGAACAATGGCAAATAAGATGTTTGAAGGTCATGGCGTTTTTTTTTTTATAAAATTACTCGGAGGAGAGAGAGAGTGTGTGTATGTGAGCGCGTATGGTAAGACAAGCATGAACATTTTTGGTAGTTTGTTATTCTTTACAATCATAATTAAATCACATTTAAAGCATGGTTGAGTAACTTCTTTGAACAATCGCATATATTTTAGCTTTTACATGAAACAAACAGATGATTGTAGAACTGTGGCTGTTGTTTTTTATTGTAGTCTTATTTCCCAGGATCATACATCACTCTTTCCTACTCTTTATCTTAATATATTTGAGAATAAATTTAGAATGTCTCATTTTAATCATGAGAGAGAGATAATTTTTTTTTATTACCGTGTGTGCGGAAGAAGTAAGTAAATTCGCTTCCCAAAAAAAAGAAGAAAAAAAAATGATGCTATTCAATGTAACGTGACACAGCTTAAGAGGGGTTTATCTGTCATCATCATAGAATAGCGTGTATACACGAACAAAATCCACGTAAAAAAAAGTATTTATAGTCTCTTTATTTTTCTCTCTTTTTTTTTTCGTTCCTCTTCTCTCTCTCTCTCTCTCTTACCTCTTTTCTCTTTTCTCTTTTCCGAGCTAATTTCATTATTTCTCTTTGATTCTTTTCTATTTATTATTTGAAAATTTTATATATCACTATATATAAGCCTTTTTCTTGACAAAAAAAACATTACTTTCTTCTTTCAATGTCTGATAAAAAGCAATTAACTCAAATGTCTCAGTTCTCGATTGTACGCGAAATGCCAGGAGAAAAATCAGCGTTACACAGTACACCCACACCTAGCACAAGTAACAATGCAAAGAAGCAAAAACCTTCAGAATTAAAGTTCAAGATTGAACCTATCGGTATCCAGCCTGAAGATGACGATGATCTTGAGACGTGCCCATCTCGCACTAGATCCTCTTGGCCACATCAAATTGTTCCTTGGTGGAAACCCGCGGATCGTTATGAAAAACCACCTTACTCTTATGCAACACTGATTGCTCATGCTATCTTGACAAGCAAAGATGGTCGCTTGACATTAAGTGACATTTACAAGTGGATTTCAGAAGCCTATCCTTATTATAAAAGAGGTCAAAAGGGTTGGCAGGTAAAAAAAAAAAAAAAAAAGCTTGTCTGTATCAACATGATTTACTAATAGTTCTATAGAATTCTATTCGTCACAACTTGTCATTAAACAAGAAATGGTTTATTAAGGTAGACCGCCGTCCTACTCAAGCTCATCCTGGCAAAGGTGGTTACTGGACACTTCAAATGAATATGGAAAAGGTGTTTGTGGATAATCTTTGTCAAGCTGGTGGTCATAGTAGAAGACACCACGATATGGGCATGTACTCTTCTCTCTCTACACAATACTACCGCTCTTCCGGATCTGAGAATGACCAAGATAGTTTGAGCCAAGAAGAGCTATCGATGCAAACCCTCTGTCCTAATATCCATATCACGCGCCCTGAAGACTATGAGGTCAAGAAAAACAAGTCAACTGTCTCTGCTCCCAGAATCCGCAACATGTTTAGCCAAGAAAAGAAAAACCCAAGCCCTGCCAATGCTCCTAAAACAGATCCCAAGAACTTTATTATACGCTTTAATCCTCATGACTCGACTACTAATATTAACAAGAGAAAGAGAGACGCTCCAAGACCTCCACCCAAGGCTGGTAAGCGCCGCAATCCTGTTGAACCTGGTTCTTCTACTGCAGAGGATGATGATGATAGTGCAGTAGACGTTGGCTCCTGTTCTGATTCGCATACTTCCAAAAAAAGAAAGTCAACAACAAAGGCTCAAGATTCAATTGTTGACACCATCACTGCGTCACAGTACAATCTGAGTTATCCTTCTATGTCGTACAACCAAGCACATAATTTGACTAAACCATCGGACGTGATCGGCAATCTTCCAGCTTCAGGCGAAGATATGATTGGCTTTAACCACAATGACTTTTGGATGTACGATGAACCTGAACAAAAGCCTTCCAACATGCTTCTTACTTCAGAATATCCTCCCTTGCTATATGATGTCGAAGCTCAAAACATTCTTCAGGGCCTTCAAAGTACAACTGCTCCTCAACAAACTCAGCCTCAGCAACCTGCTAATATCATTAGCCATCACCCTGACATGAAGACTATCGACCTTCAAACATTTGCTTTGGAGAAGAATATTCACTACCCCAATGCTTTTGCTGTTGAAGAATTCTCTGATCCTAACAGCAACTTGTTCATCTCAGATTTAAGTTCATACAATTTGGATCAGTATGTCGATTTTAGTGCTAATATGATGGCGGATGATACAACTCACTTGAATCAACCATCTGATGTTTTACTTGAGGATGATGCTACTATGAACACTTATTGGCCAGAAACTTCTCCAGCTTGTTACATGAACTTTGATGCTAACAATGCAAACACTATGCCTTTCGTGAAATATGATTAACTTCTTTCTTATTCTTCTTATCCTATATTTATTTTCTATATATATTTATGCTGTATTTATGTCCTTTTTTCTTTATTCTTTCGTGTCCATACCTAATTCCCCCATTATACCTTTTTTTTCTTAACTTATTGTAAATTGAATAATAAAGCTTCTGTATAATTATAATAATCATAATAATAGCTCTTTTAGATATCATCATTTGTTCTAGTTTCTTCATTTATCCTTTTAAAGCTTAAAAGTACCACAAAGAATCATATGATTGATCACGAATAGGTAAAGAATTGTCTAGGTCAATAAAGAACTTCTCTATATTTTTGTATTGAAATATCAACAATTCATTATTAAAATAAACAAATAAACAACTATTACTAGTCGCATGGCTATATAACAATGTAAACAAACAAAACAGAATTGTTCTAAAGAAGAGAAGAAATGACGCCTCTATTAGATAATATTTGTAACTTTAACTTACTTTGCAAGTCATTCATTCCTACAAGTATGATAGATGGCGATTATACAAGTCATGCATTCGAATCACATTGGCTTGATTGAAAGGAGTTATAAGCGCGCTGATGAGTTTCGCCTCTTTGCCAATTTAAACTGATTTACCGAATACTTGTTCTGATCTTACATGAAATACTTGCATGTTTAAAAATAGGAATTTCTTTCTGGTATGCTCGCAAGTTGGGCTTTTTTTTTCGTTATCTTATTGTTATTTCAATTGAAGAGCAGCCACATTATTCATCAAATCGTCAAGTACATAAAGCATGGTTGTACAAAGGACAATTACGTACCTGAATTTTCTTTTTCTTTCCTCTATTTGCCTTAGGCTATCGCTCATACAGCTCATTTAATTTAATATAGACTCAAGTACATGTGTATACTTAAATAAACTAGATGACAGCATAAAATATATGTACATGTATGTCTCTAGGCTTTTGATAGTCAACCGTGATAGGTTGAACAATAGGTAAATTTGTTCTATGCTATTTTTCCATTTTGAGGCACTACATTTTGATAAAAATAAAAATCGGATTGGAATCAACATCGCCGATTTAAAAAACTCCCATGTGTCATTCAGGGCTCAAACATTCAATCATCGTTTTATCTCACCTCCGCTTATTGAGCTGGACAGGAATTCCAAAAAAGAAAGACTTTGCTTGTTTGAGACGGAAGGAGTTGAAATACATTCAGGAACCAATGATAACCAAATTTCCGGATATTCAATTGTAGTAGCGGAAACGATAAATCTATATGAAGAATAAGTGTACATGTATGATTAATCAAATCAGATAAGGGCTTTATTAGTGCTCTCTTGCTTCTCTGTCATTGGTAACCTGTACTTTAGATGTTCCGACATTAAAATCAATTAATTCTTCGGACTTGGCCGTGACTCATTTTGGTTTAACTTGGTTGGAGACATTGCTCAGATCTATTGTCTTTGTCAAAGACAGAAGGGAGGAGGCAGGTTATACTTGTTCAATAGAATTATTGGAAACATAATGACTATTATTGATTATTTTAATAGATAGGTCTAAAGAAAAAGCCATCATTACTGTCAATCTCATCCAACTTGTTATTCGTAGACACTTGTCTGAAGCTTACCTTAATGAGATATATTCATAATTAGTCTCAACTCTTAATGAATCTAAGCTAACAACCAAATAAATAAAACTGTATTACAGAGCATATTATCAATTATTTTTTGCCTAATTCAAGAGAATCCGTGACATGATTACTCATGAATGCTTCAAAGTCAAGTCATTCAAAAAAGTTATTTGATACATCAAATGGAGTTTACAATTACAAATATATATAAAGATAACTTTATTCTTTGGTGCTGTAATAAATAGTACTAGTAAAGAGCAAGAATAAGTACAAAAAAAAGAAGGGGGAATAAAACAAATATATAAAGAAGAAAAGAACAGGAATAATTATGACACGGGTGCTTCACTATCAATCTTACTTTGAAGATCTCTTACTGCTTGCTTCACTGACTCTTCCCAATTGTTATGTGATTTATCAATAACAACTTGAGAAGCGGCACCTTGCTTATCTTCAATCACAACATGGTTAGGTTCTTCCCATACTTCAATGCGTGGATTGAGTTTGGCGCCAAGACTAATGACTTCTTCTGTAGATCGATGGTGTTCGCCTTGAGATAATGGAGGTAAATGGGCGAACATTCTTCTTAAGGCTTCATGAGTACGGTGGTTGATTTCTTCTAATGGTTTTTCTCCAGTTGGTTTTTCTTCAGTTAGTTTTTCTTCAGTTGGTTTTTCTTCAGTTGGTTTTTCTGGAGATTCATCCTTGTGTCGGCGGAAAAGGTTTCTAAGGGCATTACCACCATTACCACCTGTTGTTGTCTCTTCGTGGGATGTATCTTGTGGTTCATTGCTCTTATTACGATGCATCCAACTTCTAAGACTAGAAACACTGGCTTCATTCTTTTCTATGTTTTGTTGATTGCTTCCAGTTCTAGGCTTCAAGGGTTCCAAGAAACGTATACTTTGAGATTCAGTGGTAGGAGCATTATGCACTTGAAGATGTTGGTTCTGTTTTTGAGCTAGCTTCGTATCGTCATAGCCAACTTCTGTCTCGTCTGACTCGTCAGGCAAAAAGTCTTCTTCTTTAAGTCCATCATCGTCGTCATCGTGCATATCAATCGTATAGGTAGGTGTAGAATTATTCGCAGTTGCGTTACGCATGCTTGTATCGTCTTGTTGAAAGGGATCGTTATGGATCGTATTAGCGAGTGTGTTACGTTTCAATTGAGCCATGGCTTCAGAATATTCAGGTTGATTAGCACGCTCATCTTCCGACTTGCGCAAGTTGAGTTGTTGACCAAATTGAAGTTTAGGCAATCGGCGTACTTGACCACTTCCTGTACTAGCAATGGATAAAGTACGGGTACGAATACGCTTACCGATCTTAAACAATGGAATCGTTGTACCGTGAACCAGGGTCGATGACAAAACGATAAACAGAACAACTGGACTCACGAGTTGAATCGTCAGAGGTTTTTCTGTTTCTTCAGCATAGATTTCAATCAACTCTTCTTTGGCAATCATGGACAAAAAGACGGCACCTACACCCATAGGACCAAACCAACCACTAAAGATGGCTTCACGATATGTTTTCATGGCTGGCATGACTGGTTTCAAAATAATCAAGATGGGTAGGCGTCTAAAGAGCAAGATCAAGATAGCAATCACAACTAGACGCCATGGTGTGAGACCAAGTTCAGCATTTCCAAAATCAGACCAAGGCTATCATGGAAGGCATAAGTAAGATATCAATACATATGAATATATACTTTACAATAATAGCACCAATATAGACAAACACAGCCAAGTTCAACATCATATCAATTACTTCTTGAAAGTGAGCTTCTTCTGTTTCTTGTCTAAACCAGTCATCCCATGAGAAAGCATTACCAGCAACAAAACAAGCCAACAAGTCGTCACTGCCTGAGAAACCAGTCATGCTCATCAAAAACAACTAATTAAAATTAAGATTTTGTTTTGTTTGTGTGTGTGAGATAACTTACAGCTAATGCAATGGCGAAACATAAGAAGGATGGTTTATCAATCAAATGGCTTAAAAAAGAAAAATTAAGTCAACCGATAATTTTTTTGTTGTTGTTGTTGTTTACTTACTTCTTTTCGGACCATTGCAAAATCTTTCGAGCAATATAACCAACAATTAGTCCAATCACACAAGAGAGAACAATCTGAAACAAAAGTGTAAGGTAAATCCATTTACCAATGGCTGTGCCGACATTGTTTTCACTGAGCAAAAATAAAGCTAAAAAGAGGAAAGGGAAGCCCATACCGTCATTGGCACCACTAAATATATTCAATGAGCATACGTGTTTTCTTCTTTTTCGTTTTACCTTTCTGCAGACAATGCATTTCGGATGTGAGCTGGTACATGCTTCTCGGCGAATCGGCCTTTCACAACAGAATTGGCCAAAATCTATGAAAAAAAAAGAATTAATATGTTCTGACTTGAAGAAAAAAACACATCTATATATTTACTGGATCAGTAGGACAAACACAAGCAGCAATGACAAGAGCATCAAGCTGTAACAATAAATCAATATAAAACTTCTCTTATTTGGTATCTGACTTACATAGTTAATTGGTGGAACTAACCACCAAATAAACAAACCACTGACCAACCACATGAAAACCATAATAGGAATCAACAACATAAACATAGTAAGCCATTCTTTTTTCATATAGTGTCTATCATTTGATTAGCTGTCATTTCATTTAAAAAAAAAGGGGGAATTATTACTTTGGAAGTTCAATGCCTACAGCCATCACCTATAAATCATGAGTATAAATAGATGTAGGATCAAACTTACTTGGATGGCAAGAATACACCTTGTCAATTCTTTAGTGATCTCATCACTATCTTCCCAACTATTAGGGTTGAAACCATTTGACACAAGTGGACCTGCAATAATGCCTACGATCAGTGCAACAACTAAGATAAGAAAGTTAGATCAACTCAAATGACGAAATCACATACAAGCTTCAGATAAAAAACATCGCTCCTTGAGAAACATGGACACATAACCGAAAAACAGGATAAAGCCACTTAAGATAGCAATAGCAATGGTGAACGTCGAGAATTCTCCCGGAAATATATGTAGAGCGCTCATGTCTCAACTTTCTCTTGTTTAGAGTTTCAATATATACGTAAAGAAAAGAAAAAAGAAAAAAAAGAAAGAAAAGAAATGCTAGAAGAAAAAAAAGTCCCAAGCTGATTATTTTATTTATTATAAAGTCAGACTTAAAAAAAAAACTATAGCTCTTTTTTGACTGTATCACTTTAGATGTCTAGACAAATATGTACATTTACTTCTCATTCTAAATGACAAAAAGATATTCAGTCTGACTTTCTCTTAAACAGCAATAGAACCAAGTCACGTGAGAATGTCTTTTGATTAGTTCCTATAAAAGTAGTAAATATTTCTTACTGTTCATGATAAACAAGAGGAAACCTGTTTTATTTTTATACTAACCCAAATAAAGTAAAAAAGCCCTCATGGTACCATATACATCCGTTCCTTTTTCTGATTATTTATTTGTTTGTTTTTGTATGAACAGTTGTATATGTTGGTCATGAATGAATAAAGCAATAAAGAAGACGTAGTGTAATGATTTTATGATATTACTCGCAAATACGTCATTTTTTAAATTAACGGAATGAAGTCGGTTTCAGGTAGAAAAAGAAAAAGAGAAAGAGAGGGGAAAGCAGAAAATGAAATAATGCCGTATACAGGATCACAAAAAAAAATTTTTTTTTTAATTTCCCGGCCTATTCTTGCTCAGCAGACGGTAAGCAGCTTCTATGTCGTACAGTTACCAAATAAAAGGCAAACGGCAAGCGTCATACAGGCTAGCTCTTTTCGCTTTTTCTTTTTTTTTTTTTTTTGATAGCTAAGAAATAAAAAAAAAAGAAGTATGCTTCACATAAAAAGGAAGTCTTATTCATTTTTTCACTATATAAAAATGACAGGCTATTAGAAATCTGTTTATTTTTTTTTCTGTTGCATGACAATGCTTGATTAAATGTTGGTACAACACTGTTAGACACATGTTCTTTCAAGATCAGCAACAGCGCTTGTCCGAAAATCCTTGTGTTGCTCTTGAAAATCAATCGTCAATAAAGCACCCTAGAGCTTAAAATTGTATAGCCTCTATGATTACACGGAGAATAGAATAAAAAAAAGCAGATACGTTTTGCCTAAAACTATCTCCGATGTACTTTTTTTTCCAATGTCTTCAAGAAACATTGGAGAATGGCGATTCTGTCCTTGAGATAGCCTTACAGAATCGTTATGCATCATCAAGTAGTATCAAGAGCCAATTCCATTAGAAAATAAACACAGAGGATAGCTGATACACACCGCAGCTTAGGATAGTCCATGGAATCTCCTAAATTCAAGGCCAATGGACTAAAAGAGATTTAGTTTGAGGCAAAGAGAATGCCATCATAAAAGAAAATGATGAAGATAACGAGAACAGCCCCATTTTACTAGATGAAAAAGCCATTTATGCTTATTTTTAAACGAATCAAGCTAGTATTGACCCGTAAAATATGTTCTCTAGCATGAGTAGTTATCGAGAAACATGTTGAAATTACTTAAATTTGAACATAATTTTGAATCTGTTTTGCCTTATGATTCCCCTTACGATGTGACATCAAAAATAAAAAATCACTTATAGCTCATCCCACAAGCAACTTTTTCTATGCCAACCTATAGTAGAAATAAATTCTCTAGCATATACAAACATACTCCAAGTGTTACACCTGAAAGAGTCTTATAAAAAATGTATACTACACGTATAAAATGATATAAGCTATTCTACGCGTTGGTTCATAAATTAGTATAGTCAATAGCGTGTTTTTACTGCATTTTTGAGCTTTGCGCACAAAAATTGACTACTTTACTTAAGACGCCAAATCGATTCAACTTCATCTTGATGTGTTTCTGGACCATTTCTTGTTTTTTGTCCAAATGCGGCCTTAAAGAGACTCGAAACCCCTTTGGAATCAAAAAGTACTACAAAAGTGTTTTTTGAATAGCCAATATACGCTAGAGACATGATCTAATACTCAGATGACATTAAACTCACAAAAGACTTATGATAATTACCTTCAAAGATGGAAACTGTAGCTTTTTAGCTGTAGAAGTGATGTTTTTGCTCCAAACAATAGTACTTTGAGGCCTATTACTAGTCATCTCAACATCAATCCTATTGAACTTAACATTTCTTACGTTAGAGGTCTCTATTGATATCATCAGATTTGGATTTAAATTAGTATTGATCGAGAAAACAATCTTTAAAGGCTATTTGCCAGCATAAAAAATGGTAGACAATTCAAATAAAGGGTTATTGGTACAAATATAGTATCATTCAGCAATACTTTAAAAGGCACATTCTGAAAGTTGTTATACGAGTTGGTAACAGTACCGAAAATGATACAAGCGAATAGATGGGTCTTTCCCGAGACAAGGTAACATTCATTTCATGCAGAATAGAACGTACCTTTCTGAACTGAATATATTTTTAGTATATGGAATAGTGTACACATTCTCATGTTCTGAAGGAACCAATAATGTGATTATACTCTCCTCAAAAGAATAGATGCATACACATGACTCTAATGATATGCAGCTTTTTCTTTTATTATATTCATGTACAGTAACTAACCCTTTTTTTTTTTTTATGAAAATCCCATCCTATCTGACATTCTAAAATGACCAACTATTGTAATTATAGCATAAAACAAAATTAGGGAAATGCCATGTTTAAAGGACTTGAGCTTCATGATCTCTGCTCCTTTTTCCTTTCTTTTTTTTTTTTGTGACAAAAATCAACAGAGAATCATATACTATTCTTTCTTTGGAAAAAAAGGAGGGGAAATCGCCACTTTTATTATACGATGTTAACATCACATTTGTTTCTTATATAATGACATTTTAACCCGAAAAAAAAAAAGAATATTGCATTCAAGCAAAACAATAAAATAAAACAAAGAAGGATCCATGTACACTTATCATTGTTTATATGCATTTAAAAAGAGTATGGATGTGTCGTCATGTTAACTCTTGTATTTGGATCATCCAGGGTGGTGTTGGGGTAAAAAGAATCCATAGTAAGTGACCATGAGATCATGTCTTGTTGATTCCATGAAGAAATGTTGTCCATATTAAAATCTAAAAGAGAAGGATCTAATTTTGTATCCAAAGGAGGACCAAAATAGTTGTCCATGGTCGAATTAGGCGTAGACAACTGAAGGTCATCCGAGAATAAAGCCATGACATGAGGGTCAAGTGAAGGGTAATGGTTGGAAGATGTGGTACTGGTTGAACTGGTAGACACAGGCGAAGGAATATACATTGGCTTTGCAATTGTCTTGATCACTCGTCTTGTCACATAATATCGAGTTCCCGGCATTCGAAGATGATTCTGAACCACTCCGAAATAGACTTTGGCCTTACTTGGCTTGGGGAGATTAGCGTCCACAATATGAATGTAATGACTCGCTTGCTTTCGTTTACGTTGTCGATAAGCAGATTCAATGATAGCATGATTATGTTCTTCAAATTCAGTAAACAGTGTATTTTCAAGCATAAAGCCCCATATAATCTTTGTTGTAAAATCGTCTGTAGTTTGCATTGTACAGAATAAAAAAAAAAAAAAAAAAGAGAAGAACCACATATTTTATATACAAGAGGGTCCTCTCATGTATGCAACCTAATAGGTCAGTCGATCCTCAGGGTTCTACTCTCCTCAATCAACCCCAAAACATGTCATTCTATATGATTCTTTCTTTTTTATGAATTAGATTTCCTGTATATCAGGGTTCTCTCGGAAGCAAGTCTATCATTTACCTGCATAGAATTACTTTCCATTCAGAATAAGAAAAAAAAAGCGGGAACTTCTTTTGTTTCTACCTTTCTCTGTGGTTGCTTGACAGTCACATCCATGATGCGCGTCTATCCTAAAAAGGTCGCTCTTTTTTTTCCCTTTTTCTTTTATCAATGTCTTCTGAACAACAAGCAAAACAACTTATTTCGAAAGCACAAGATAAGCTCAAGTCTTGGTCTTTCTTTAGTGCTTCTAATAAACATGAAGAAGCAGCTGAACTTTATGAAAAAGCAGGCAATATGTTCAAACTTGCACAACAATGTAAGTATCCAGAACTTCATCTTGTGCATAAAACTAATATACGGGACAAAGGGAGTGCTTCTGGTGATGCCTTTATAGAAGCTGCCAAACTATTTGAGCAAGGTAAATGTGCTAAATTTGAAGGTTCAAGAGCTTTTGAAAGTGCAGCCAAGAGTTATAAACGAGTGGATCCTGCTGGTAAGTGATATGCCCTTATGCTTGTATCTCATATCTGCCTTTAGCTGCTGTGTCTGCCTTGAGAGAAGCAGTTAAGTTGGATCAAGAAGGTGGTAATTTCAGACAAGCAGCAAAGCATTATCAAGAAATAGCAGAGATATGTGAATCCAGTGAACTCGAACGTCCTTTGGAAGCCAAAGAAGCATATGAAAAAGCAGCTGAACTCTTTCATGCAGATGATTCTCCTGCGTAAGTGTATCTGTAAAATTTAGCTTTTTTTTTTTTTTTTTTTTTTTTTTTGTTGACATGATGGCCTATAGACTTGCCAACAAATGCTTGCTTAAAGTAGCTCAGATGTCTGCTGAATTAGGAGACTACCCTACTGCAATTGAGAAATTTGAAACAGTGGCATCAGCAGCTATTGATGATCCTTTGCTAAAATGGTCATTAAAAGAGTACTGTTTCAAGGCAGGTCTGTGTCATCTATGTACTGGTGTAAGTTCCTCTTTTGATTCTGTATTATTTCTCACCATGATGATGATGATTAGGATATGGTCAAGACAACACAAGCACTTTCAAATTACTGTAATATGGACATGTCTTTTGAATCTACGCGTGAATATAACTTACTTAAGGGAATCATTGAATGCATTGATCAGGGTGATATTGATCATTTCAGTCAACTTGTATATGATTATGACAAATTGACAAGATTAGACCCTTGGAAGACTGCTGTCTTATTAAAGATCAAGAAGGGTATGGAATCAGATGAATTACGCTAAATTGTTTCCATATTTGGATTTGATAAACACAATCATCATTTGATTTATTTTTTTTTTTACCTCTTTTCTTTTTATAAATGCATACACTTCTTTCTAATACCAAAAAAGGCTTTTTGGACTATAAACAATCCCATCCAACGAGACCCAGTAAACCAAACTATGTGTTTATGAGAGCCACTTTAGAATATGTGGATGTGATCAAGAAATGCAATCCTCATTTTAGGCCAGAATGTATGTTTATACCCAAAAGAACACTCACGTATCCCCGTCAACCTGCCAAGAACCATGGACATGATAATATCCAAGATGACTATATCTTGCGAGTTCATGAACCATTGGGCAACAAGTAATCAAGACAAGCAACACAAGAGATTGTATTCTCACTTTTTTAGCTAGGTATATCATTCTGGATCTTATGGGACAAGGCACATTTGGCCAAGTAGTAAAATGTAAAGCAACAAAGACAGGTGAGTATGTGGCCATCAAGGTCATCAAGAGGCAACATGCTTTCTTTATGCAAGGCTTAAAAGAAATTGAGATACTCAAGAAACTAAAGCAGAAACAAGATGAACATCATCGATTTCTTCAACTGATCCATTCGTTTGAATTCAGGGGTCATTTGTGTGTCGTTTTTGAATTACTCTCCATTAGCCTACAGGCCTTGTTTCGACAACAGCCTGTTCGTCCTCGACTGTCGATCCATGATATACAACAGATAGCCATTCCTCTGCTCGAGACATTAGCACGCTTAAAAGAAATGCGGATCATTCACACTGATTTGAAGCCAGACAATATTCTGCTGAAAGATCCTGATCGTCTTCATGATGTCAAACTGATTGATTATGGCTCTGCCTTATTCGAGACAGATTCACCTCATTATCATATTCAAACAGCCTTTTATCGATCCCCTGAAGTGATTTTACAAGACGCATTTGGTTGTGCCATTGATATGTGGTCATTTGGATGCTTTGTTGCTGAACTGTGGATTGGCAAACCTCTGTTTCCAAGTGGTCATGAAGCTACACTGATCCATATGATGGTGGCTACTTTAAAGTAAGTGACAAGCCACTAGTAAGTCAATTGATGACAATCTAGACAATTGCCTCCAGCACACATGTTACACAGAGCAAAACGATCCAGCGAATTCTTTGATCAATCTCAACTACGGCATCAATCTCAACAGGTCCATCCAGCCTCACTTAAAGAACGCATCATGGGCACAGATCCTACGGTTGATCAAAGACACTTGTTTGATTTCCTCAGTCATATCTTGGTCTTTGATCCTGCTGTACGCTATACACCTCAACAGGCATTAAATCACCCTTTCTTGTCTAAACCCAAGGTACTTAAATCGATCTTAAAGACCAGTAAACCCAAAGACAACCGTGTCTCTTTTTCATCTTTTATTTAATAAAAAGAAGGGGTCAATTGTTGCATCAGGAGCTGTTCAAGTCGCCCATCTTTTTTCTCGACAATCAATGCTTTAAGCCACTTGACTTCTTGTTCGAGTTCATGAACTCGCGTCTCAAAGGCTTTTGCCTTTTGGGTCATTTCATCTGCTGTCTGCTGAAGTGCCTGTTCACGTAGTTTTTTCTTAACTCTGAAACGAGCACTGGCAGCTGTGTTTCGACGACGTTTGTCTTCTTTAGACAATGGTGCGCTTTGGCTGGGTTTCTTGTCTTCTTTGGACAATGGTGTGTTCTTGTCTTCTTTCGATACTGGTTCTTCGTTGGATGTCAAGAGATGCATTGTCTTTATGAATTGATCGTCATCATAAGTAGGTGCATCTTCACCATAAAACACAATTGGTGGATTAAGAATATCTTGAAATGCATGGGTCGATGGACTGACAGAGAGATGAATACCATTAGGAGGTGTTGGATTAGGTGAATAAAATCCATTAGGTGGAGAAGGATTAGGTGAATAATAACCATTAGGAGGTGTACAGTCGGGTGATTCATCATAAAACTTAGCAATAGCATCTACTGTTCTTTTAGTACAAACATTTATGGTTTATGTCTTACCAGGCGACATGGCTGTGTGATCATTGTTCTCTGCAAGAGAAGCCAACTTGACATTTAAAAGAGAATGCATATTGGGTTGATATTGTGATTTTTTCTTTTCTTTCTTTATGTCAAAATTGAATTGAGCATTAGCAAAGATATCTAATTCTGCCTGAAGCTCTACTTCAGAAAGAACAGAGACAGGATCCATCACTTGATTCAGTGAATCAACAATATCATGCCATGAAGAAGCTAACAAAATGAATAAACAATATCTAACAACGAAGAAACTTACAAGTGTTTGAATTCATGCTAAAAGAAAAAAAAAGGAGAAGAAAAAAAGGGGAAAGACGAGTATACGCAAGAGCACGTAAACTACAAATAAGATAGATAAGCAGATGTTGTACATGGACTTCATTTCCATTGGTCAATTGTAAAGAAAGGCGCCAATTTAGGCAAAAAGAGATGTCGCAATACATATCAAAAAGTCGATAGAAATCACGCAATCTATCTCGGACGGGAATGAATCCTCCCGGACTTTGTTTTATTTTATTTTACACCATAATCCCATATGCGAATATCTCCATCGTCCGAGGTCGATACGATTTTTGTATCACTTAGCGCAACTGCCGTGACAGGCCCACTGTGACCTTCTAATGCATGCATACATCGACCACTACCCAGGTCCCACACACGCACTGTTTTATCGTGAGACCCTGAAACAATACGTAACGTGTCATACGCTAAACTCCAGACACCCTCCACATGGCCAAACAGGGTCCGAATACAACTGCCTGTGTTCATGTCCCATAACTTGAGTGTGTTGTCCAATGATCCAGAGATCACAATCGGGTCTTCAGAAAGACGTCTGGCTTGATCTATCTTGGCTTCAGTCTTCTTGCTGGGTCGGGTAGTAGTGGCACAGCCTGGTTCAAACAGACGATGAGTATCATACACACTTTCTGTTCTTTCTTCTTGGCCTGTCAATCGATGCTGGAACCCTTTAGGACTCGGTATGGCCAGCTGCACTTGGCCCACATGGCCATTCAGGGTACGCAAACAGACACGCTTCTGAACATCCCAGATACGAATGGTCGCATCATCACTGGAAGAGATCAGCACGGTTCCCTCTTGACAGAACTGAACAGAATTGACCCATTCAGTATGACCTGTCAGCGTACAACATTCACCTGCAGAAAAGTTCCAGACGCGAATCGTGTGGTCTGTAGATCCACTAGCCATCAATCTTGAATTGAAATGCAAGCTTAATACACCTCCTGTGTGACCTTCTAATGTACGAATGCATTGGCCTGTTTGCCAATTCCATATCTTGAGTGTATGGTCCATGGCACCTGTCACTAACTTGGCCTCATCAAACTGCAATGCCCGTACACAGCGTGTGTGTCCTTGAAGGGTACGGATCAATTCACCTGTCTCCAAGTGCCAGATACGCACAGTAGTATCATACGAACCCGTCATTAGGATATTACTGCTATCGCACACTTGGACACACATGACACCATCTGTGTGACCACTCAGGACTTTAGCATGGTAATTGTTGTTTCGCCAATTACGTTCTACCATCAACCGTTCTGAATAGACATCTTTCCATGGTCTACGTATAGGTTGAGGTGCACAGACAGTGTCTTCAAACATGGTGGCTGTCTCATGGTCAATTTGGCTCTTCTTTTTCTTGGTAGGCATGACATGTTCTGTTCGAGGTAGATCACTCGGCCCACAGGCAATCCGTAAAGGTGTTTCCATCGTGGCTGCTTTTCGTTTCTTGTTTAAGAGAGGCAGTCCCCATCCACACTTGTTGCATTTCTTGTCAATGTGCTGTTCACACATACGATGCCATAAAGCATCATCGTCTGCTAATGATTTCCAAGCATGAGATACTTGAGCAGCATGACAGAGCGATTTAGCATCTAGATAGAAAAAGATTTGCAGTGCTATTTCATGCGGTAAGATAGACAAAAAATCAATCCGCAACAAGGGTTGAATGGCATCATACAGAAAAGAGAGTTGAGGTGTACAACAAGTCGCTAAAACACCTCGTAAGATGAGTAATCGTTGATCAGCAGGTGCTGCAGAAAACAAAGACCAGATATGTGTAATAGCTGCTTTGTCTTCTGTTGGTAGTTCTTCCATTTGCTATAAGTGGGTTAATATTGCTTGACTAAATAGTTATAAATGACGTTACTCTCTGCACTGATTCCATATGGAGATCATCAGGCTGTCTTTTCTTAACAAGATCAGGTCGATGTCTATAACAAAGCCTTCTTGAATTTGCTACTTGGTTTGGAATATGTCTGGAAAGAAACTTTTTAACGGGTAATTGTTTATCTTGGTTCATCATAGAGGGTATGTTAGTAAAGAAGAACAAAAAAAATAAGCTCAAGAATTACACTCTGTTTTCTCGACCCGGCCCGAACTCGAGATCAAGTGTCACAAGATCATAACATACTTGTGTGACATAGCTATTTTTTTTTCTTTTTATTACAATCAATGATTTAATCCTATAGAGCATAAATGTGAGTCTTATATCAGAAAAGTGCTGTTATTTTTTTTTTTTTTTTTACCTGACGCGACTTGAGTGAACGCGTAATGATTTCAGTGGGTGTACTATAGAGCATATAAATAACCTCTTAGAATCAAAAATGGACTTACATGATATGAACAACAGCACCCCAACCTGACAAAGCATCTCTGTCTTGTGCATTCAATAATGCTTGAGAGATCGTCTCAAAAAGGTCCTCAGGCTCAAGATCAGGTTCCCAAAGAGACTCACACATACCATATAAATTGGAGGATGCAGTACCACTGACAACGAAATCTTTTGCAAAGTTGATACATCCAATCAAGTCCATGGCGCAAATAAATGGCCTGTTGTCTTTACCTAAACCAGCAATGACGGGCTCTACAAAATAAGGTCCGAATCTGTCATCAAGGTCAATAAACACGAAAGGCACATCAATCATGTTACCTTCTTTCATATAATGTAGAAGATACCATATGAGCAAGTGTCTTGGGTTCCATCTCTCTTTCTTCACGCATCTTGTACATGTTGGTCTTGAAACGAAAACGATCTGACCTGATTGATGTCAATACATGGTGTGTTCTGATCCACAACTTACAATGTCAAGACATCTGTAGCTAAACCAGGTAAACCAATAAAAGACTTTTCTGTGGCTCTAAACATCTTTTGGAATTCAGTAGATACTGTCATGAATTGAGCACCTAGACGTTTATCTGCTGCAATAGCGACACAATCCTTTCCGACCATGGCTACAACAGAGCCACCATTGTATTGCATAATAGACTATTCAACACAAAAAGAAAAGGTTATCATCAAGTATCATTTAAACAACAATAAAATCTGTTCTATTCAAACAGACAAAAAAAGAATGAGCTTACCATGATGAAGTATGTATATTGAGTGATATAAAGTAAAAAAAAAACAATAAAGAAAAAGGTATGTTTTGCTTGACGCGTACCATTTTACAAGCTCGATGACGTGTGTTGAGCTCGGGATTTGAAATATCTAATTTTACCAGCATTCTTTAAAAAAAAAATATTTGCATTGTTTCTTTAGGGATGGATCTGGAAAGAGCAGCAAGCATGATAAAGGCATTGCCTTTCATGTCAAAGACTATTGTAGATGATACCATCTATGAGAAAGTGTTATCTTTTTTAACCCTTGTCTTGTCAAATCATTCGCAACAAGATATAGCCGCCCTTGATCAGACATGTCACTTTTATGATCATATCCACAAAGCATGTCTTGATAGACCTGATCAAGATTATCGTGTCATCACACTCTGCATTCGATTGACAGGCCAACTTGTCTATTATGGTGGCAATAGATGGTTTGATGCCTTAGAACAGCAGTATCCTGCCTTATTAGATAGGATCAGCATCAGCATCACTTCCTCTGAAGCCACCCTTCGATGTGCATGCATTGAAGCATGTCGCTTGTTTCTATCATCGACAAAAGGACAACATTGGCTAAAGAACAACAAGGAGATAACGTCTTTGATCATGTATGCTTTATTAGATCAAAGCAGCTATGTTGTCTCTGAAGCATGTCAATTATTCTCGACCTTGTTGACATTGGAGCTCGATCCATTGCTTCAAATGATGGACCCAACCATGATTGTTCAGTCTATTCTTCAATCCAAAGGGGACCAACACCAAATTATGTCTGCTTTGGACTTTTGTTGGACACTTGTCAGTATTGATAAAAAAGAATCCGCCATACAATTCATTCGCTCAAGACAATTGGTAAACACATCATCTCTGGCTTCTTTCACTAAACCTGGCTTAGATGCATTCTATCATTCCCTTATTGAATTCAAATCATCGCATGATACGCTCACGACTATTAGAGATATTGTCTGCTTTGTTTTCCTGGGATGATGATCCTCTAGAGACATTGGGTCTACAACACACAACACCAGGCATTGAGCAAGGTAATCTTTAGATAACTCGAGTGATCTCCTGATTGATTAGCCTATACAATACTGAGTGAAGCTTCTATGAAGACAATCAGAGAAGCAGCCACGATGGATCAACTGACCACAGCCATTTCTCTTCTAGAAACAGTGTTTGTGCTGTTAAAGAGAACAAGCATGGATCTATCCAAAGATGCTTATCTGATTTTATGTGACTTAGTATCCATTTGCTTAGATAAAGATCATCCGTCACTACAGGCCATTCAACACCTATTTAAATCAGATCGTACAAGAAACAACCTTCTTCAACTTGTCATTCGACTGATAGACACATTGACCAAGATCAACCCCAATCATCCGTGTATTACTCAAGCACAGCATGATACGATACTCTTGAATGTCTTGGCGTGCGAAACAGCTTATACAGATACCCGCGTCCTTAAAGAAACATTGGCCTTGCTTATTGATACACTCAAGAGTATAAAGGACAACAAGGCATTACAGACACTATGGGCAAAGGCGATGCATGCACTTGTGTTGATCATGACCGACTTGTTAGACTGCAAATCATTCTCTATCTTACTCTCATCCATGGATATTCTCTTGAGCCATGATTCAATTGGTAGTCTTGTGAGTTTGTTGACTGTCGATGTCTCTCTACACACACATATATATATATATAATACACGCATATCTGATGCTTAGGATAGGATAATGCATTATTAGCAGATGCACTCAGTCTTAAGTTCATTGATACAGCATGGGATATACGTGATGCAGCCATTCATTTTGTAGGTCAATTGTTTGATGCACCTTATTGCAAGTTTAAGATTCAGTTTAGTTTAACCCATCATTTACCATTACAAGTCTTTGAGCGTATTCATGATACTGAACCGTATGTCCGTGCATCTGCTATTGAAGTATTGAGGCGTATGATGGTCTCTAAAGAAGGTTGGGAATACATTCAACAGAACCAAGTCAGTCGAGATTTAGCAAGTCAACTACCTCGGTTTTTGCATGATACAGAAGCCTTTGTTCGAAGAGCCACTTTAGATGCTATCATTTGTTTAGTTCAGCATAGATCATGTCAAGGCATGGCTATGGAGATTGAATCTAGTGATCACTCACTCAAGTATAAAGTAGAGAGAACATATAACAAATGTATTGACTTATTTTAGCCCATTTGTTTTACAAAACTTGATTCAAGATGATGATACAGAAGTGCGTATTCGTACATGTCGATTATTAGAAAGCCTTCGCTATCTTTACTATCATGAACAACAACAGAACAAGAAGAGAAACACATTAGACACATTTGTCTTTTTTCATCATATCAAAGCAGCTGAATTATTGACTGAAGCTGTAAGTGTGTGTATATGTACACAGATATTGACAAGTTTAAAGGCTGTAGATACAAACCGAGTTGTCCGTATGGAAGCTATTCGGGTGATAGAGTCTATTTTATCAGAATATCAATCACCAATTACTACAAATACAAAGCGGGTCCGTGAACAAGACTTGGATAGCTTTGATACACAGTTTATAGCCACACTATCTCAAGTCAATCTAGATCAACAGAAACAAACATTGGATCCAGAGCATTTGTATGAAGAAGCATTTGATATCAATGCAGATATGATGACACAATCCATTGTACCCAACAATCCAGACGATGATATGAATATGCTTGATTGTTACTGAAATGACGTAATAAATGCATTTAAAAATGACTTTTTTTTTTTTTCTTTTTCTTTTTCTTCTTTAAATACATTTTTATCATGGCTTTAGCTCCTCAGTTTGCTGGTCACCGTTTAGGTTCTGCTGATGCTACTCATACAATTGAGATTTATTTGGACTATGTTGTAAGTGAAGGCATATTCAAATCGATACAGGTTTATATCTATCGCGCTTTTCTGTAGTGTCCTTTTTCTGCAAAGATGTATAAGAAAATCCGAGAGGTAAAAAAAAAAAAAAAAAAAAAAAAAAATGACAGATGAAAAAAAAAATGACACTTGTTTCTTAGGAAGTCTGGCCTTACATTGAAGAAACCTATTCTGATAGAGTTCAGCTTATCTTTCGTCAACAAGTCCAACCTTGGCATGCTTCTTCCACTATTGTTCATGAAGCAGCTCTTGCTGTTGAAAAAGTAAATCGAAACAAGTTTTTTGAATTCTCGGATGCCTTGTTTGCCAAACAAAGAGAGTAAGTATGCGTGTTCTATCTGACTGAATCTAAATGGCTTAAGGTATTTTGATGAAGCCCTAGAAAACAAGACACGCAGAGAAATTGCTCAAGACTTGGCCAAGTTGGCAGAGTCTGTAGGTGTCTCTTCTGACAAAGTACTTGAGCTTTTAGTCAATGGTACAGGTGAACCCAAGAATGCTGGTAACAAGGTCACGAATGACTTGAAATTGGCTATTCGTCTCAGTCGTCAAAATGGAATCCATGTTAGTCCTACTGTATTGGTAGATGGTATTCGTGATGACAGTGTCTCTTCTAGTTGGGAATTGGATCAATGGAAAGAATACTTGAAGAGCAAATTAAAAGTTTATTGAATAAATTGAATTAAGCAAACATCTTTGCAAAAGCATCCTTCTCCTTCTTCTTTTTTGCCGCTAATTTGGCTTTAGCCTGTGCGAGTTCCTTCTTGATACCAGCATCAAGAGGATCTTGTTCACTGGCCAATTGTAGATCTTCAACAGCACCTTCGAAATCTCTGCTGTTGAGCTTAGCAACACCACGACGGTAATAAGCTTTAGCAAGATCTGTCTTTTTCAAGTACTTGGGTTCATATTGAACGACAGTGGTGGTAGCCTTGATACAGGCTGCATTGTCACCCAACTTGAGAGCACACATGGCTCGGTTAAGGAAACAAGGAATTTTGATAGCACTGTATTTCACACGAAGGTCTTCAGGGTCTTCAGCATCAAAGGCAGGCTTAAAGTTTAAGTAGCGGACAGCCTTGGTATACTTTCTGGAAGCGTTTTCAAGCTCTCCCTTTTTGAAATATTGGTTACCGATATCCTTGAGCTTACCAGCAATCTCAACAATATCAGCAAGTTCTTTAGGTCCTTCATGATCATCTGTATATTGAAATGTAAGTAACTTGTTATTCCTATCATTATTCTACACATTACCAGGAAATTCTTCATAATCATCACCATCAGCAGGGACAGGAATGCCGTCGTCTTCACCTTCAGCTAATTCACCACAATTGGCAATCACAGCATCTTCAAGAGGTCTGTCTTGTGAAGTTTCCAAGCTTTCAAGGGCTCGAGCAACACCCTTTCCCTTCAACACTTTACCAAACACAACATGCTTACCATCCAAGTGTGGTGTAGGAACAGTGGTGATAAAGAATTGAGATCCATTGGTAGCAGGACCAGCGTTAGCCATGGATAACAAGAAAGGTTTATCATGCTTCAGTTGAAAGTTTTCATCTAAAGAATGTAGGCGTTTATAGCTTGTTTTGATTTTCTCTCTCTCTCTATATATTTACCTTCAAACTTTTCACCGTAAATAGATTCACCACCAGTACCATTGCCAGCAGTAAAATCACCACCTTGAATCATAAAGTTCTAAACAAAATATGAGCCCTCATTTCTCTCCCGTTTTCTGTCTTTCTTTTACAACTATCTTACCTTGATGATACGATGGAAAAGACTGCCTTTGTAGCATAATGGCTTACCACTTTGTCCAACACCTTTTTCACCTATGTCATTTTTTTTATTGTTATTAAAGAACAGTATGAGATAAATGTATCATACACACCTGTACAGAGAGCACGAAAGTTTTCGGCAGTCTTTGGAACCACGTCCTTAAACTAAAGAAAAACAAGTCAGTTGTGAGGGGGGGGTTTAACTAGGTTGCCTAAAACTTACAAGCTCAAATACAATACGTCCTTCAGGCTTACCACCAATAGTAACGTCAAAATAACTATACTTATAAGTCTATTGCGTGTTAGTGAAAGAAACCTACTTACACACGAGGATTGGCCATCACAAAAGCTAGAATGAGAAAGAATAATCGAAGTCTATAGAAAATTAGAGACGACGCATTTTTAAATAGACAAGTGCGAGTCACATTGATCTTTCGAGAAAGATCGACTGCATGAAATGTCAAACATATTAAATAAAAAAAAAAAAAAAAAAAAGGGGGAATTCATTTGAACGATTAGCCATTGTTGCCAAACAACGGTTTGTCTCATCATTCTACTCCCTTGACAAGTAATACGATATCTCATCAATGCAAGTTTATTATTATTATTATTATTATTGTTATTATTTACATGCATTATTTAAGTAACAAGAGAAACATTCTCCCTTTGAGTCTAATTGACTAAGGCGCAAATAATGAACCTCATTAAAACAAACATCAAGGAAATACAGTACTTAATGTGTTACTCTACAAAACATTTGATTTCATGTTCTGTTAATCATTTTATTTTCAGTCAGCAAAAGCTTGGCATATTGTGTCACTTTTTTTTTTTAAAAAAAAAAAGTGATTTCTGGCGGACTCGAACCGCCGACCGTCTGCGTGTTAAGCAGACGTGATAACCAACTACACCAAGAAACCAAAAAAAGGTTTTTCAATCTTTATGATTGTTTTTTTTGTATTCTTTGTTCTAGTGATAGTAATTTATTACTATTGCTGCTCTTATGACTAGACATTTGCCCCATAGGGATCAGTCTTACAAGTCATCTAATAAAATAAAATCTTTTGCCTACACCAAGAAACCTTTTTCTCCGGTTTTTATTATTTTTTTCAATTCACTTGCTGTTTTTGAAAAAATCTCTGCACCTGTCCTATTAAACCGCGTTTTTCTTTTTTTATTCCAACTTTGCAAATTCTACGCACATTTTGGTACCAAAAACGTCCCAGTCCGACAACTCTAGCACATTCACTACCGCGATTCCCCTCATTTCGACATCGCAACAACATCATCTCGACATTAGATCGTCATCTACCAAGAACCAGTTACCAGACAAAGCTCAAACTTTGTCAGAACTCTTTCTTCAAGCACTAAACTCCTGGTAAAATTTTAACCCGATCCGGTAAGCGGTTGATTTTCCTCTTTCTCCATCTCTGATCCCTGCTGACATGACGCGTACCCTGTCGCGATCTCGAGTTGGTGACGTCAGCACCCCTTCGAGATCAGCTCATCTCGATCTCGACAAAGACGTTGTCTTTGACTTTGGTGTTTCTGTTCCCCCTCTTGCTCTGGTGTTGACTCTTTACCAGAAGTAGGTAATGTTGCTTTGCTCTCTTCTGTCCCTTCGGTTTCTTCTCTCTCTCCTTCTCCTCCTGCTTGGTTTGCTGCTTTCCAGGCCAAGTTTGAGCGCCATGAGGAGCGTTTGGCCCAACTGGAGTCCCTGGTCGCCGAGAACTCTGCTCTCAAGAAGGAGCTGGCTGCCGCCCGTTCCAGAATCTTGGAGCTTGAGTCCCAAGCAGGCTCATCTGCTGCCTCTCCCTTGGCTGTGCCATGGAGGATGATCTGGTTGCTGCTCCCTCTTCTTCTGTCTCGCCTTCTGCTGCTGGCTCCAAGTGGGCTCAAGTTGCCAAGAGAACCCTACGCCTGCGGAGGCCTTTGGTAAGTCCAAAAGTCCGACTCTCCTCGGTTGCCAAGGCCAAACCCAAGGCTAGGATCACGCCTAAGCAACGCAAGGCCGCTGCCCGTATCTTTTCGTCTCTTCTTCCTGCTGCTGCTGGTACTTGTGTAGACGGACCTCTTTATGAGTACGTCTACTTGCCCAACAAGTACCGTGACCGTCTCTCTGCCTTCCGCCGCAAGCTGCGACTGATCGGGCTGGATAACAGCCGTGTACTTGATGTGCACTATCCGGCTCGTAACGTCGTAGCCTTGTTGATCCATTCGGCCTATAAGGAGGATCTCCTGAAGGTCATGGCCAAGTACTCGCTTCCGGTCTTGACTGACTTTGATCCTTTCTCTGCGGCCAACGTCAAGGATCCTGCGTTTGCGTCTTTGGATGCTGATGCTCTCTCTGCCAAAGCACGCGAGTTGCAGCAAGCTCGTCTTGTCCGTGCTCTGGGATTCATCAGGAACAAGTACGTAGACAGGTGGCCTACGACTTTGTCGTCAAGGCTGGTTGTCGAAAGAACAAGCTGGCTCCGTGGTTGGTCCTCTCTCCGCTGTGGCTGGGTGCTGTGCTGGTGCTGACGCTCCCTCTGTCTCTCTTCCAGTATGGATTTTACCTTGGCCGGTGATGGTGAACCGGTCTCCTCCTCTTAATGAGCGAGGTACCTATGGCTCCTTTGCTTCTATGCCCCCTTCCTCTCCTTCTCCTATGACTTCACCATGACATATGGAATGCTAATGGTATTGCTCGTCAAGCCATTAGCACTGTACCGACTACCTCTATGACTCTCCTCATTTTCATCACCGAAACCTGGCTTCTTCCTCCTCTCCGCTTCCCTACCTCTTGGCAACAGTACCACACCTATGGTCAACCTGTTGCTGACTCTTTCCGTGGCAAGATGGGTATCTCTCTTTTGGTCAATCCCTCTTGTCCTATCCTGTTACTCCTCTTCCGTCCTCCTCTCCTTATGTCTTTTCCTGCCAGGTTTCTACCTTTCTCATTCATTGTGTCTATGCCCCTCCTTCCTTGACCGATGATGAGTTTATGTCTCTCCTTATGTCTCTCCCTGCTCGCACCCATGCCTCTCAGACCAATGCGTTCATTTGTGGCGATCTGAATGCACGTAGTGTTCCTCTTCTTGGTGACTCTCGAAGCAACACTCGTGGTACTCGATTGGCTGAATGGGTTGAAGAAGCTGGTCTCTTCTGCTGGAACTCTCTGCTGGCAAAGGTGTTCCTACCTTGTTCTCTGCTGCTCGCATGGCCAATGCTCAACCTGGGCACACTAGCTGGAGTAGTGTGATTGACCTTTTCATCAGCTTTGATGATCTGGTTCATCCCTCTTTGGTTGTGCGTGATGTTGGCCTTGGCTCTGACCATGTTCCTGTCTCTCTCTCTTGCTCTCTGCCTTGCTCTCTGCCGCCTGCTCCTGTCGCTCATCCGCGTCTTTTATGGAAACTGTCTTGTCTGGATGATCACAAGAGTGTAGAGCTGTATCAGTCTCTTTTCCGGTTGCATAGCGCGCCGATCAAAAATACACTCTTGGCAGAAGTTAAGTATTCGATTGAAACGGCCTACGGGCAACATAGCAGTCGTACCTCTACTCACGCATCTTCTCCAACCGAAGGGGCTATCCCTGACGTTCATTCTATTGCTAGTAGACTCACTGATACCATCCACCGTTGCCTCGATGAGTCGGTTGGTCGCAAACTACCACGGCCTCCTGGTAACAGCTGGTTCTGGACTGCCACTCTGCAACATTTGGTGGATGCTCGTGAGGACGCCCGAAGAACTTGGAAACGAGCTTCTGACGGTGTTGGTAAGGCTGTACTATGGAAACGATATCTCTTCTGCTGTGACCGGTTCAATGCTGAGCTCAAGCGTCGTCGTCGTGAGACATGGAAGCAGTTCTGTGACAAGCTTTCTTCTGGTTCTTTCTCTGACACCACGGCCACCATCAAGCGGTTGCGTCGTAGTCGGACTACTTCTCCTGGGTTCTCTCACCCAGAAGGTCCTGCTGTGGCTGCTACGGTGATGTCAGTCATCTTCGCTCGGTGTTTGCAGGTGATCACTTGCCCTCTGTCGTCCGTCTGCTCCTCCTTTTCCCTCTGGTCCTGTGTCTCTTCTGATACGCTCGTATCTGCAGTCGCAGTTTGGTCTTGCTCTGTCTTTTCTTCCTCTGGTGGCGCTGATGCTGTGCTGATGTGATGTGATGATGGTGTCCTTTACGTCGAGCTAGTGTCGACACTATCAAGAAGAAGCTCTCTCGCGTAAGGCCCTGGTGTGACCATCTTCGAACTGAGATGCTGTTGCCCATTGTGGATGACTTGTCTCCTCTCTTGGTCTTGCTCTTTTCTCTTTGCTGGTTCTGGTCTCGGTCCTCTGATTGGTGTACTGCCAGGTGGTGCCCATCTACAAGAAAGGTGACCCTCTTGATGCAGCCAACTATCGGCCAATTAGCTTGACTTCGGTCATGCGCAAGCTGATGGAGCTGTGTCTATACCCTGACCTGTTGGACTCTGGTCCCCATTGGACATAGTGCAAGGTGGCTTCCGTGCCAATCGTGGTACATTGGATCAAGCCTTGTCTCTGCACGAGTTGTGTCGTCAGCACGCTGATGATCACTTTGGTGAACCTCCTGTCTTATGCTTCTTGGACATCAAGCAAGCATACGATAGTGTTGATCGCAACATTGTCTGGCGTGCTCTTGAGACCTACGTCTCTGATCCTCTGCTTGGTCTGCTTCGTTGTCTTTTTGACAATGTGCAGGTGGAGGTCTTGGTGTCTGGTGCTCGCTCTCCTTCCTTCTGGCCTGGTACGGGGGTCTTGCAAGGCTCTATCCTGTCTCCGTACTTGTACTCTGTGTACATCAACTCGTTCCCTGCTGCTCTGCGCTCTGTCTCTCTGCCTCGCTCGCGTGTGTTTGGATCCATGCCTCAACGCAAGTATGATGGCCTCTGGATCAACTCACTGCTCTATGCGGACGATGTGGTGTTGATTGGCACTGCCGAGACGATGCCTCGCCTGCTGAAGAAGGCCGAAGAATACTCTCTGTCTCTTGGGTTCAGGTGGAACCCTTCCAAATGCGTTGTGGTCAATCCACCGCCCTCTGGTCGCGTTTCTTCCCTCCGGTTGTATGGCGCTGCTCTTCCTGTTGCTGAGTCTTTTGACTATTTGGGCTTGCCCTTCAATAGCAAGGCACAGTTAGATGCTACTCTGTTGGTCCAGCGTAATGCTCGTTCTGCCATGGTGGCTATGCGTTCTGGTCTACAACCGTTGGGTGTCCACTCAACTGGCTTTTCCCGTTTGACCTCTGCTCGGCTTTATGCCACCTTCATTCGGCCAAAATTGGAGTATGGCCTTGCTATCTCTTCTCTCTTGGTCCGTGACCTCAAGGTGATTGAGCGTGCTCAAGACCAGTGTCTCCGACTTGCTTTTGGCGGTCATTCGAAGGCGTCTACAGTGGTGTTCAAGCATTTGACCCACTTGCCTTCTATGAAGGAGCGTGTTGCCATCCTTGGCTTCAAGATGTTGGTGCGCATGCAACAGCTGCCACCTGATACTCTCATTTCGGCTATGCTACAGCATATCGCCTCTGTTCCTGCTACTCCTCGCTTCCGGTGGCCCAAGTTGTTGAAGAACAACCTCATCTGGAAGCTGGTATGCCACTCTTCTGTCTCTCCTTCTGTACCTCGCTTTGCCTCTTTGCAGCAGTGGATTGCTACCTCTGGTGGTGATCCCAAGTCTGCCATCAGGCATTATCGTCGTGCCTACTTGGCTGGTCTTCTGGCTAGACCTGATGGCCTTGTTCTCTTGCGTGCTTGTCGTCCCTCTCTGGGTATTGACCCCATTCTCTTACTACCTATGACTATATGGGAACGTAGCCGTCTTCTTCGGTGGAAGATGGGTTGGCTCCCTGCTCGTCCTGTGCCTTGTCGTTGTGGTCATCCACACGCCTCGCGTACTCACTTGCTCTCTTGCCTCTCTGTTGCCTCTCGTCTTGGTGTTGCTGCTGATGCTCAACCAAATCCTCTAGATTTTGTGCTGAATCAGCTACCTCGGCTTGGCTTTCCGCCATCTCCAAATGACCAACGTCATTCTACCTCTCTCGTGCGCTGGTCCTCCTGGTGGCCAACTCTCTGTGAGATCATGCTGGAGATGGATATGATCTGTCTTCCTGACGCTGAGTTCAGTCCCTGCTCTCAGGTCACCTCTGGTCTTACACTTCTGGAATGGTTGCTCCCTGTCTTTTTTAAGCCGGTTGCTCCTCCTGTAACCTCCTCTCTCTACACCTATCTGGGTGTAGTTTGAGTCACCTTTTATTTTTTCTTTTCCTTTTATATTTCTTCCTATTGGAGTTTCTTTCACTTTTTTCAATCTTTATGATTGTTTTTTTTTGTATTCTTTGTTCTAGTGTTAGTTTTCCTTACTCTCACTGCTCTTATGACTAGACACTTGCCCCATAGGGATCAGTCTTACCAGTCATCTAATAAAAATAAAAGCTTTTGCCTACACTACATCCCCTGGCCTCTGGATCAACTCACTGCTCTATGCAGACGATGTGGTGTTGATTGGCACTGCCGAGACGATGCCTCGCCTGCTCAAGAAGGCCGAAGAATACTCTCTGTCTCTTGGGTTCAGGTGGAACCCTTCCAAGTGCGTTGTGGTTAATCCACTCCCCTCTGGTCGCGTTTCTTCCCTCCGGTTGTATGGCGCTGCTCTTCCTGTTGCTGAGTCTTTTGACTATTTGGGCTTGCCCTTCAATAGCAAGGCACAGTTAGATGCTACTCTGTTGGTCCAGCGTAATGCTCGTTCTGCCATGGTGGCTATGCGTTCTGGTCTACAACCGTTGGGTGTCCACTCAACTGGCTTCTCCCGCTTGACCTCTGCTCGGCTTTATGCCACCTTTATTCGGCCAAAGTTGGAGTATGGCCTTGCTATCTCTTCTCTCTTGGTCCGTGACCTCAAGGTGATTGAGCGTGCTCAAGACCAGTGTCTCCGACTTGCTTTTGGCGGTCATTCGAAGGCGTCTACCATGGTGTTTAAGCATCTGGCGAACTTGCCTTCTATGAAGGAGCGTGTTGCCATCCTTGGGTTCAAGATGATGGTGCGTGTGGTGATCTGAGCACTTTCAATACAAACTATAATAAATAATCTTTCATCATATAAATGAATAATCACTTATAGCACTATACATTATAAATATAAAGTAAGCACTGTATAATGACAGTAAATAACGGTAACTGGGATAATATGGATATTTACAAATAAGGAAACCATAATTGTACCTTTTAGGTAACAAGGAGAATTAAAGGAGAATTTATATAATCAATTCCCAGGCACACGCTGTCAAGGTGTTAAGTAATCAATAATCAGTAATCATAATTAGTCAATAAATCAGGTAGTATAAAAGACAACCTGGAAAAGATATATTTTAGAAGAATCAATTTATTTTGTAATAAAGAAGTACTGAACAGTCTCACTGTATTTCTTTGGTTTTTTTCTTATCTTCTATTATATCTTCATTCACAACCCAAACATCACAGTTAGTCTTCCTTACTCTCACTGCTCTTATGACTAGACATTTGCCCCATAGGGATCAGTCTTATAAGTCATTTAATAAAAATAAAATCTTTTGCCTACACTACATCCCCCTTTTTTTCTTGTCATGTGTGCTTGTTTATTTTGCTTCGCTTTTTTGTTCTCTTTCGCGGTTTTTCTGGTAATTCTATTATGTTAACAAATTTTCAAATTGAAATGGTACATGTCTCTGATGTTCCTTAAAGTACATACAAAGTTTGGTGTGATTTGGTCTAGGTCTGATGGTACAATGGTGTTCCAAAGGTTTCGGTCAATGGTTCTGTCTTCTGTCAGACCCAATCAGATTCGAGTCAAAACCACTGATCGGTGTGTCAATTGTTGGTCTGGGTCTCAATTGTTGTACTTTTTTTGGTTCCTTATTTGTCCTACTTCTTCCGTATTTTGTTTCATGATATTTTGCTGTGATTTAATTGTGTATTTTATTTTATTTTTTTTGTTTATTATATTTGACAGTTCATCTCAGTTTGAATCTGTTGAATTTTATAATTTAATTGTATTAATTGTTCTCCTGTTTAACATTTCAAACGTGATTGCTTTTGGGCAAGTGTTGTGATGTAAGAGAGAAGATAAAAACAAAGAAGTCGATTAGAACTTGTATAGGTTTATTATCCAAAAATATATATGTATCTCTTTCTAGCTCTTCATTCTCTAGGTATTTATATATGAAGAGATGTCGGAGTAAGTAGTAGTAGAGTTCATGCAAATGACTGAGTCTCTATTATCATAGACTACTTTAAATTAATTAAATAATGTAAATTATTGATCTCGGTTATACGTCTTGATCTATTAAAAGATACATTGTCTTATTTAGTACAAGAGGTTCTTTTATGTCTATTTCTGATGTAAATTGATTATGATATATTTTTAGTATGTAAATGAAGACTTATTTAGTGTCAGATCATCATATGCATATAGATTCTATATGTTCACAACAGCAAGTTTGATCTGTTCTAGATTAATGACAAGCAATTGTCTTGGTAGAAATTTATTCTAAAGAAAGTATAAAAGAAATTTAGAAGGAATAAAATCCAAAAAAAACTTTAACCTTTATCTTAATTTTTATCTTTATCATAAATACTATTTTACATATATCTTCATTGTCTTTTGAAGGAACTGTGCCTAAGGTTATAATCTCTCTATATGTGTCTATCTTTCTATAATTACAATTGTCTTTACAGTCTTCTATTGTTAATCACTGGTTTATCTCTAATGTCTGTTATTCTTGTCGTTCAAGGTAAACACAAAGGGAAAGAGAGAGGGTTGTCATAGGTCTTAAAAATTAAATCAAAATGATACTTAAAATTTAAGAATCACGTGACTTCTGCCGAATATGTCGCCTTTTGTGCGGTGCATTTTCTCTAGTTCCGAAGCCTTCCGAGAGTCTGTTCATTTTGGTTTAATCTTCCACCAACTGTTGAATGCTCAACTCTAGCTTGTCAATCGACAATAGCTTAAATAATCGTTTTGCTCCATTGGAGGCTAAATCAGAAGCCATGTATGTCAGCAAAATATAGTCGAGATCAAGGTGCTAAAGACCAATTAGCTTATTAAACCTATTTGTTCTTGACATATTTGTATCTATAATTGTCATGTCTTCCTTATCATCTGTAGAGCTCAAATAATCTTTCATGATTTTAGACAGAAAATATCAAAAGAAATATAACAAAAAGTGTAAATAATGGTTGCCAAAAAAAATTATGACTTTCATCGTTGAGTAAATTTGATTAGGCCTAGGTTGTCCTCTATATTTGTTGCATAAGTAGCAGCAAAAAACAAGAGGGGTCGAGACTTCAGGGTTTTACAGGTAACATCTCTTTACTACAAGGATACTGAATCTCTCTTCGTGTATTTTCTGTTTCTGCTTCCTCTCTTTCTTAATAAGCCTAATACATATCATATCCTTAGTATCAAAATATTGTCACTTTTATAAAGTCTGTTTATCTCAGTTTTTTTCACTTGATTCTTATGATTATCTCTTGTTTATAAAGAAAAGTATAACTATCCCAACTTGAAGTTGACAAACTATACTGCAGTAGGATAGGAATAATTGCACAAATTCTGATACAAGACTTTCTTTTTCTTTTTTCTCTCATGTACTTTGTGAAAGCGTTCATGCTTCAAAACCGTTTTCAACTCAAGAAAACTTGCATTCGCTATTTCTCTTTATGGAGTGTGACTGGCTCTCTTTCTCTCTTTTGTCAAAGCCACACAATTACTTAATTCGAGCATCCTAGAAAAAATCTCTCTCTTTATTCATTGTACACAATGGGAAAAAGAAAAACACCTGTTTTCCGTGATGCCAAGAAGGCCAACACCAACACTGATGATAGCAAAATTAATGCTATCCATACTTGGGATGATATTGAACATGATTCCGAAGACGAATGTAAATAAGCCTTTTTTTGTGTTCATGATATTTATACTCTATTTTTCTTTTTAGTTCATGAAGATCGAGAAAAGATCCTTTTAAACAACAATCAAGAAAGTGAACAAGGTAAGAAATGCAATAATATACATATATATATATATATATATATATATATATATATATTTGATTACTTACATCATGATAGATGAGAGCGATCGTGAGATCTATGGCTTAGAAGGCCTTGATTCAGAAGAAGAACTTTCCGAAGATGAGATTATTGGAAAACAAGAAGAAGAAGAAACAGAGGGTAAATATGTCAAACGTAACTCAATGAGCTAACTTGAGCATAGACAAGACATGGGGTACTTCCAAGAATGTTTACTATGATGCTGATGAAGGTGATGACTTGGACGAAATGCGTGAAGAAGAAGAAGAAGCTCTCAGAATTCAAAAAGAACAACTATCTAATATGGATGAAGCTGATTTCGTAGACGACGCATTAGCTGGTTGGGGTGTAGGCGCCAATGAAGATGCTGAAGCAGACAAGAAATTAGTGGAAGATGTCAGTAAAGAATTAGAAGACATTTCCTTTGAGTAAGTTCATGTTCATACTTACTTTTGGCTAATAATTCACTTAGTACAATCAAGGTCGAGAAACGTCGTAAAAACTTACCTATTGCCGAGAAACTCAAGCTGATTCAAAACGAGTCTCCTGAATTGATTGATTTGTTGGACGAATTTAAAGAGAAATCCAGCACTGTCAAAGCACTTCGATCTATTGTTGAACAGGTTCAGTCCAGTCCTAAGCGAGAACAAGATTTGGCACAATTTATCTTGTTTAAATACCAAACCTACATGAACTATTTGACAAACATCTCATTCTACTTTGCTTTGAAGGCTTCTGAATCCAACGATGTTCGTGATCATCCAGTCATCCAAGCTTTGGTCAATTTGCGTCAAACATTAGAGAAATTAGAGACTTTGGACGAAAAACTCAAATTAGATACAGAAGCATTTATCAATAGCTTAGATCAACCAGAACAAGGAATTGCGTCCAAAGAGAAGATCAAAAAGACACCTAAAAAGACTGTGGTCACTAATGACTCTGATGTGTCTGATGAAGAACTAGAAGAAGAACAAGAAGAAGAAGAATCAGCACAAGACATATTAAATGAAATTGAAGACATAGAACAAGAATTCAAGAGTCTAAAGAAACTAGCCAAGAAGCGTAAGAGAGTTTCTGATGACTTTGGTGAATTAGACGCATTAGATGAACTTGATATGGAAGACAAAATAGCAAAGAAGAAATCACTTCGTGACTATGTTGTTAAAATTGATGCTGTAAGTGGTTTATGACAATGATATTTCTTATACTTACATCTGTTAGACACAAGCCAAGAACAAGAACAAATATCAAGGTGATGTTGATTTACCGTACAGAGAAAGAAACAAGAGAGAGCGTAAGGGTGTTGCACAACCACAAGATAACTCAGCTGATTTGGACAATGATGATTGGGATCAAGACGATACAGCGGCAGCTAATGCAGTTAATCACGGTGAAGAAGATGATTATTATGCAAATATTGCAGCAGACAAAAAGGCTACTAAACAAGCCAAACAAGAAGAATATGAAGCTTCTAGACCAGCCATTGAAAGCCGCGATATCGAAGTGGAAGAAGGTCAAAAGCGTTTGGCTTCTTACAAGATTCTAAAGAACAAGGGTTTGACACCTCACCGTAAGAAGGAGAACAGAAATGCCCGTGTCAAGCACAGAAACAAGTATGCCAAGCAAATGAAGAAATTGTCTTCTACAAGAGCTGTCTTCAAGGGACAAACTTCTGGTTATGGTGGTGAAATGAGTGGTGTAAAGACAAATATTGTCAAATCAGTTAAATTGGCTCAATAAATACATACCCCATTCATAACTACATTTAATGTGCCTGAAGGTCAGATGATCTTCAGGTACGGAGTTTCTGAGTGATATATAAACAAATCCGCAAAGAACATACACGGCAAAAAGGGAGAGTGATTAAGATACTTTCCTTTTTGAACTTTTAGCTTCTTTGTGTTACCAGAAAACTAAAAAAGAGTTTACCGTTTTCTTTTTTGTCCCTTTTTTCCTCTCTCTCTCTCTCTTTCTCTTTCCCGAGAAAAACTTTATATATATATAACATATGGATACACTATCTTCAGGTGTTGCACAGGCAGTTCAAGTGTATACCAAAGGAACCAAAGCTTGGTTTGTGGATGACGATGAGGCTTGGGTATCTGCTTCCGTGATCTCAAGAGAAGAAACTCCCACTGGCGTCAAGATTATCTTTCAGGATGATAAAGACGAAGGAAGGGTAAAATGTGAACAATCCTCCCAAAAAAAAGCTTATCTAATAAAAATCCAGGAACATGTATTTGAAAGCACATATACGATATTAGAGAAGCAAAAAGGTGCCAACCTACCACCTTTAAGAAACCCTCCTCGATTGGAGAATACCGAAGATTTGACTAACTTGAGTTACCTTAATGAACCTTCAGGTAATCGATCCAAGGTGGAATCCAAAGACTGACACGCTATAGTATTGCATACCATTCGTACGCGTTATTTTCAAAGAAATATCTATACCTACTCTGGTATTGTATTGATTGCAGCAAACCCATTCGCAAGTGTACCTTTATATGAACCTGATATCATTCAACAATATTCTGGCAAAAGACGCGGTGAATTAGAACCTCACTTGTTTGCTATTGCCGAAGATGCTTATAGATGCATGGTCAGAGAAAAATCAAATCAGACAGTGGTTGTCTCTGGTGAAAGGTAAAACTGATGGTTTCATGTTTAGATCTAATCGAGTCTTAGTGGTGCTGGTAAAACTGTTTCAGCCACTCATATCATGAGATATTTTGCTACAGCAGATGACCAAGAATCAGGCAAAATCAAAGACACAGCGCAAGGCATGACAGAGGTTGAAGAACAAATTATGGGTAAGACAGCAATTTTGATTGTCAGAGTAACTAAGCCAACGTGTGACATTTCATTTAGCCACAAATCCTATTATGGAAGCATTTGGTAATGCTAAAACCACTAGAAACAACAACAGTTCAAGATTCGGTAAATACATTGAGGTGAGTTTGCTACCAAATTTCACAAATAGACTAATATCTATGTTCAGATTCAATTTGATAACCGAAACAACATTGTGGGTGCAAAAATCAGAACTTACCTTTTAGAGAGATCAAGATTAGTTTTCCAGCCTGAATCAGAAAGAAATTATCACATCTTTTACCAGCTTTGTTTGGGCGCACCTTCTAATGAAAAGAAAGAAATGGAACTAGGCGATTGGAACAAATTCCACTACTTAAATCAAAGCGGTGTTGGCACTATTCCAGGAGTAGATGATGTAGCTGAATTCGAATTAACTCAGAAATCACTTTCACTGGTGGGTATTTCTGTTGAAGCCCAGTGGCAACTCTTTAGACTTTTGGCTGCTTTGCTTCATATCGGTAATATTGAAATCGGTGGTCGAAATGACGCTACTTTAGCAGACGATCAACCTGCACTCATCACAGCAACTAAACTACTCGGTATCAAGACATCCGAGTTCCGAAAATGGCTGTTGCGCAAACAAATCATTACCAGAGGTGAAAAAATTGTGTCCAACTTGAATCCTACACAAGCACTTGTTGTTAGAGATTCAGTCGCTAAATACATTTATGCCAGTTTGTTTGATTGGTTAGTCAAGGTTGTTAATGACAGTCTGTCTTGTCAGGAAGAAGGCCTTGTACGCACATTCATCGGTGTATTGGATATTTACGGTTTTGAACATTTTAAAAAGAATTCATTTGAACAATTTTGTATCAACTATGCTAACGAAAAGCTTCAACAACAATTCAATCAGCATGTATTTAAGCTTGAACAAGAAGAATATGTCAAGGAAAAGATCGAATGGAAGTTTATTGAATTCAGTGATAATCAGCGTTGTATTGAAGTCATTGAATCCAAGTTGGGTATTTTATCACTTTTGGATGAAGAATCAAGAATGCCTTCCGGTACAGACCAAGGCTTCTGTAACAAGCTATTTGCTAGTTTCTCAGATCCCAAATACAAAGACTATTTCAAGAAACCTCGTTTCTCCAACAGTGCATTTATTGTCTGCCATTATGCTCATGATGTCGAATATGATTCTGAAGGCTTCCTTGATAAGAATAAGGATACTGTGCCTGATGAACTCTTGAATTTGTTGCAGAATGCAGAATCCAAGTTTTTGGTAGACATGTTGGCCACTGCGACTGCTGCTGCCACCGCTGCTGCACAAGAAGTTAAGCCTGCACCCGTTAAAAAAGTCGGTATGGGTGTGGCTAAGAAGCCTACGTTGGGTTCTATCTTCAAGGTAAGTTGGATTGGGTCAAATCAAAGCTTTAAACAGTACGGAATTAGCTTTCTTTAATCAGTTTGATGGACACGATCAATGCCACTAATGTGCATTACATTCGTTGTATTAAACCTAATGAAGCCAAGGTTGCATGGGGCTTTGAGCCTAACATGGTCTTATCTCAATTACGTGCTTGTGGTGTACTGGAAACTATTCGTATCAGTTGTGCTGGTTATCCTTCTCGTTGGACATTTGCTGACTTTGCTGATCGTTTCTATGCCTTGGTTAATTCGAAATATTGGGACCCTAATCTTTCACCCGACATCAATCAGCTATGTAAGGTTATTTTGGACAAGTACATTCAAGATCAAGATAAGTACCAAATTGGTTCGACCAAGCTCTTTTTCCGAGCTGGCCAGGTACGTATCTATGCAAAAAAAAAAAAAAAAAAAAAAAAAAAAAGCAAGGAATACTGATGTTATTGTTAGCTTGCTTATTTAGAAAAATGTAGACGTGAACGTTGGGACGAATGCACCATTTTACTTCAAAAGAACATGCGTCGTTTTATTGTTCGTATCAATTACCTTCGTAAGCTCGAACTTATTTCTCGCCTTCAACGTGTTGCAAGACAAAAGATGGGCGTGCGCAAGATTGAGCTTGCCAAACAAGCTATTGCTGCCACCAAGATCCAAACTGAATGGCGCCGATACATTCAACGCAAGCGCTACTTGAAGCAACGTATGTTTGTGATCCAATTACAAGCTGCTGCCAAGGCTCATTTGACCCGTAAAACATTTGCTCATATTCGGGAACATTTTGCAGCCATCAAGATTCAAAGTCTTATGCGTGGTTGGCAAGTACGCAAAGAATACCAAGCCAAGCGCAACCATGTCATCAAACTTCAGACGTGCATTCGTGTACGTTTGGCTCAACAGCAATTGATCACACTTCGACAAGATGCTCGTTCAGCCAACCATTTCAAAGAAGTCTCTCTTGGTCTTGAAAGTAAGGTGGTTGAATTGACCCATAACATTACACAACATAAGGAAGAGAAAGATCAATTGAGAAACAAGGCTACCAATTTAGAGAAACAGGTAAAGGGCTGGGAAGAGAAATATGAAAAGTTGGACAAGAAGGCCAAAGATCTTGAAAAATCGTTGGAGACACCTTCCGGTCTTGAACTTGAGCTCCAAAATCTCCAAACTGAACGTAACAGTCTACAGGCTGACTATAGAAACTCTTTGGACCGTATCAAAAAGCAAGATATCGAGATTGCTCGTCTGAATGAAGATCTGGCTAAACAAAAGGAAGAAATCACTAAACTTAAGCAAGTCAGTCATCAGCAACAGCTTCGATCTCCCGTCAGTCCAGGCGGTGCTTTCTCTTCTTCTGCTGGTGATGATGAAGTGGCCGAACTCAAGAGTCAGATTGTTGCCTTGAAGGCTCAGCTTTCTCAGTCCCTCAAGAATCATCCTAAGCGACAAGCTTCGATGAATGCTTATCGTACCTTGTCTCCTCAGCGTGAACGTCGCGGTATGTCGCCTGATTATAACCGTGGTCGTTCGCCCAGTGCTGATCCTCGTGCTCGCTCACCTAGTGCATTGGCAAACAACATACGTCGTAGTAGTATTGGTGAGAGAAGAACAGACATTATCCCCAACAGCAAAGAAGTTGTCTATGCTGAACCCGAACAAATGTTACCCAAGCAAATTGGTCAACGTGGCAGTCTAGACGCTGAAAAGATTGGTAATCCTGAAGAAGCCATTAACAACCTTTTGCAAGATAGCGAGACATTAGAGGAAGAGATCATTGAAGGCTTGATTCATGCACTCAAGATTGTGCCTCCTGAAATGCAAAAATTACCTGCTCGTGAAGAAGTTTTGTTCCCTGTTCATATTATTGGTAAATGTGTAACTCAAATGTGGCGTCTTGGCTATTTGGTTGAATCCGAAAGATTGTTGTTTAGAGCCATGGACACAATTCAAAAAGATTGTTTGGTAAGTGACTGAAAAAAAAAAAAGATTTGAAGCTTATCGTGTTGTAGTCCTTTATTGGTGAAGAAACCATTGTGCCTTGTTCTTATTGGTTAAGTAATACGCATGAATTATTGTCGCTTGTCTACTCTGTTGAACAAGAACTTGAGAGAGAAATGCATTATAACTCTATCCATGGTCGTCGTGCTGTAGGCTGGCATGACTTCGAGAAACTTGTGTCTACTATGAAATTCGAACTCCAATGTCTTCAAGACAACATCTATCACCACTGGTTATCTGAACTCAAGAAGAAACTCAACAAGATGGCTATTCCTGCTGTGATTGAAAATCAATCTTTGCCTGGTTTCATTGCCAGTGATTCTAACCGTTTCTTTGGCAAGATCCTGTCAAGCAATAGTCAACCTGCTTTCTCTATGGATGATTTACTCAACTTTTTGAACCGCATTTACCGTACTATGAAGAGTTATTATGTTGAACCTTATGTGATTGAACAAGTCTTGACCGAGTTACTCAAGTTGATTGGTGTCACTACATTCAATGATCTTGTAATGAGACGTAACTTTAATTCTTGGAAAAGAGGTAAACTAGATACTAGACTAAACAAATTCACTTATTCCTTGATAGCTATGCAAATCCAATACAACATTACACGCCTAGAAGAATGGTGTAAGGCACACGATGTGTCTGAAGCAACCAATCAATTAGAACATTTGATGCAAGCTACTAAATTACTGCAACTTAAGAAGGCCACTTTAGATGATATCAAGATTATTTATGATGTGTGCTGGTTCCTTGCTCCTACTCAAGTACAAAAACTAATTCAAAACTACTCTGTAGCTGATTATGAAGTATGGCATATACACACACACAAAACGCAATAGACTCATACATACATACATAGGAACCTATTAGTAATGAAATCTTGAGAGCTGTTGCTTCTCGTGTCAGCAGTAGTGATACAGGCGATATTTTATTGTTAGATAATGTGTCTATTGAAGATAGTGACTATGATCAACCTGAACCACATAATGTTGTTGCTAGCTCTTATATCCCCACCTATGTAAGTACAAAAAAAAAAAAAGCTCTATTGTATAGTTGTTCTAACATGGATTCTCTAGTTGAATTTGCCACATGTCCAAAAACTAGTTGCTCTTGTTAACTTATCTGATCTGCATAGACCTCAGCGTATGGACTCTATTTAGTAATAAAGTGTGTGTGTGTTTGTGTTTATTGAGGATATAATCTATTGTTCTGTATTGAGCATATTGTCTGCATTATCGTAAAGATCTGGAAAGGATTTAGTGAATTCTTCTGACAACAAGTCTTTAAATTCCTATAGTTTGGGTTAGAGAACAATGCTCCCTTTTTTAAATGATAGACGCACTTTAACTGCTGCAACCTTGCCATTAGTAAACTGGTTCTCTGTCGCTGTTCGTTCAACAAAACCCTGCGTAAATATCTCTGGATTCTTGCCATGTTCTACAAAGCTAAACATAGACAACATAAGTAAAAAAAAAAAAAAGGTCTTTATGTTGGTGCTTACTTTATCACTTCTTCAGGAACAAACACGTCTATCCCGTCTTTAAGTTGTTCAATTTCTTTGTAATGTTCAATGATACTATTACTGAAAGGAAACATCAGTTAAATGGTTTTTTTTTAACAAGACAATATACATCTTTTTCCAAACAAGTTTATTGCCATCAGGTTGGAAATCATATACAATCACACTCAGTTCAAATAATTTTTGTAGTAAGTCATTCAATTGCTCTTCTACTTGTTGACGTGAATCACTGTTTTCTTGTGCCATCATCAATAAAAGAAGATCAGTTTTTTAGTGTGTGTGTATGTGTGTGTGTGTGTGTGTGTATTAGCGGCTTATGAAATCTCAAAAAACAGCAGTCAGCCAGATGTGTAACAGTTAGACATGCATAATACCGTTCACATTGATAGCAATGAAATAAGTGTTACAAGAAAAAGAAAACTAAGCTTTATCAACGTAGAATAGGAATACCATGTATGGATAATCTAGAGCTACTAGAATGAATAAATTACGTAGGATGAATAAATATGTTGTTACAGTGATGACATAGAGTAACCCAAGTAATGACTCTATTGCTTTATGCTTCTTTTGTGATTGGTTCTACAAAGAGATACTTTATTCTAAACAACCCTTTCTTTTCTAAACGCATGTTTGAAAAAAGCAATCTCTCTTTACTTCATTTGTCAATTTAGACTCAACATACTTCTTTATTATTTTTTTGATCTACAGTGTAATATGTGAGGGAATTCCTGATTCTATATATAAAGTCTCAGTCATTAACATCAGTTCTAAACTTTAATAAAATGCTAATCCCGAGAAGTTAGAAAGTGGGGTCAATATATTCCTATTGTATAGATAGCAGTGTAACTGATGAAAGAGCTCTTTCATTGAATGAAGCGTAGGCAGTCGCTAAATTAGTATAGGTTCAATATTTACATACAATTGGATGGTATTGTCAAAGGCTATGTACATAAATGGCACATGAATAGCAGTGCCCTTTATATTGCATAGACTAAAACAAATAGTGAATACTCCATTCACTCCAAAAAGAAGAATACATGTATGGATTCTGAAAATACAATGGCTATCAGCTCTAAAGTACTTCTCTTTCCACTTTAATCTGCAATGTTTTTCTTTCTTTCATTTGTACTTATTTGACAAATCATTGGCTTCTTTGTGTGATAAACAATGGAGACCTGTTTATTGTCAATTGATAAGCAGTTTATTTTTTTCATAAAATGACTATAATTACTTCTTCTATTTTTATGAAGGACACCCAAACAAAAGTGGTCGCTTTTTGGAGTGAAAACTGGAGTGAATGGAGTATTGGCCAAGCAAGTTCGTTTACAGATAAAAGATTTCTTCCATTAAAAGAAGAAAAAAATGCTGCAATGGAAGAGAAACTCAATCAGCTACCCTGCAGTGTCGGGGTCTCGTAGTTTGATTTGCAGGTATCTATCGATGCAACAGATACAACCAAAGCATTAAAAAAGTTTGAAAAGCGAAATATTGATGAAGCAAAGAAGAAGGTGCTTTTGGATGAAGTCTTTAGAATGTCAAGAGAGGTAGACTTTGATTATTAGGATTTTTATGCTGATACAAACTAAGTACAATGAATGCATCAAATAAAAGGACTCATATGATAAACCAAGGGTAGCTAATGAGCTAAAAGACCTTCAATAAAGGAGTCTAGTTGAATAAAGGTCAAAAGGATATAAAATCTTTAATTAAAACATGTATTATTATTCACAATTGAATAAATATGAGTCAAAGTGAATTTACTTCACTCAATTCAAATCTGAACTATAGTTGATAATTCTCATTAACAATTTATTATGTAGTACTCTCAAATCTATTTCTAGGAAATAAAGACAAACAAGGCTGTAATTTCATGGAAAAAGCTAATTTAACATGGTCTTTTTCACTGTACATAGAAGATCGTCCAAATTTAGTAAGAAGCTTTCTGAAATTAAAAATTGAAAATCTCCAAAAAGATACACTGTGGTCAGACAACCAATAGAAACTCATTTCAGACGGCATTCTATTCTCCCGAGATCTTACCAAGTACTTTCAGATTCTCGGAATTCATATCCGCACTCCTTGAATTGGCTAGATATCACTTTTTTTTTTAAACATAAATACGAAAGCCAAACAATGTTGTTTCATTAAACCTTTTTTTCTTCTCTTTAACAATGGTTTCCATTAGACATTGTGCAGCCTGTAAGTATATGCTTGTAAATTTTTTTCTCTAATTCTATAGTGCTCGGCATGCTTAGCTTGACTGTTGCACAAGAACAAAAAATAATCAATTATAGTGTGATCGGTGTGGTCAACGAAACTTATACAATGGCTGTTTCTGTAGACAATGTTACTTATCCATTATCTGCAAATGATGCACCTGTGTTATTTACTGGACAGGCTCCCATTGCTCAATCAGGCTATCGTTACATTAAACTAAACAAACAAGACAACAATACTGCATCCATGGAGTCTTTTCTGCGTCAACCTGTTGATATGAATACAGTGAACGAGTTCTTTAATATCTCTTGGAACAGTCGTAAAATTGCTAAATTGCCTACACTCTATGAGCCCTTAAGCCCCATTAATCGCATTGACACCCAATTGCATAGAGATGGTGAAATCCCTACAATTTATCTCACTGGAAATCAAACTGAATTTGACATTTTACACAGCAATATCACCAACAACGATGCCCAAGTCATGACAAACATGACTTATATCAGTCTTAACCAAACCTATCATTTTGAAGATGTCCGAGTTACTTTAGCAGGCCGCAGTAGTACATGGATGAGCAAGTTGTCCTATAACCTCAAACTTAAAAAGAAGGATCGCTTATTTGACTATAAACGAGTCAAGATCCGAGCTCTTGCTACAGACCCCGCCTATATCCGAGAACAACTTGCATACGATGTTCTCAAGTCCGTTGGTTTAGTCTCTTCTGAGTTTTCTTATTGTCGTGTGTTGTTAAACAACCAAGAAATAGGCTTATTTGGTATTATCGATACATTCCAGAACCCTTGGTTGGCCAATGTGTTTGCTGATGGTGATAAAGACCACAAGAACGGATATCTTTATCAAGGTGTATTCCAGACTGCTCAATCTGCTGCTCAAAACCATACTTCTGATCTGAGTTATTATGACAATATTACTGCTTATGCTGATGGTCAATACAAGATCAAGGTGGAGGCTCATAAGGGAAAAAAGGACAATTTCAAGCCCCTGATGGAATTTACCAAGTTTGTTGCTGAGGGTTCTCAGGATGTAAATGCCTGGAAAAAGAAGTTGGATATGGATGCTTTCCTTCGTAGTATGGCCTTAGAAAAGATTGTGGGTTATTCAGATGGTTACAATACCATGGCAGACAACTATTACCTAGCTCAGCTTGAAGATGGTCGATTCTTTTGGATCTCTTCTGATATGGACATGACTTGGGGAAGCACAATTGCCAGTTTAGATGCTATGTGGAGCGGTAATTACAGTCAATTCCCTGGTTTGACAGTGCGCCCCTTAATGACTCAAGTCTTGAATGTCCCTGAATTCAAACAACAATATGAAGACTTGCTTGTAAATATCACCAAGAACTTGGTGAATCCTACTGTGATGAACGACCGCGTGAATGACTTGGCCAACATGTTGAGAGAAGACGTTGCTTGGGATCAAAACTTGCCTCGTGTAGGCACTAATCTTTTGAGTCAAGCAAGTAAGGATCCTGCAGCAGCAGCTGGTAACAGTGCTATTGCAGGCGCTGTAGGTAGCCAACTTCCCCCTAATTTTAATATGACCGTTGCTGCTGACTTTGGTGCTCGTCTCACAAAGCCTATTTCATTCGAAACTGCCTTGAATGGTCCTACTGGACATCCTTCATTAGCTGGTTTCAAAGAATGGGTTCAACAATCCAGTAGTCATATCTTGAGTTTTTATAATGTCACTTTAGAATAAAATACACTTTATTTGACTAGACGCTTTACTAAAGCTTCAATACCTTCGTTACGCAGAATAGCTTCTTCTAAACTCTTAAGTGCATATTTAGCCAACATGTCTACTTCTACATTCACACGATCACCCACTTGCTTCGAGGGCATGATCACATTAGCTTGTGTATGGGCAATCATCATAATAGAGAAAGTGCGCTGGTGATCATCCACGTCACACACAGTCAAAGAAGTGCCGTCTAGACAAACATAGCCCTTGGGAATAATGTATCGCATCTTGTCTTTATCTGCTTCGTCCATTTGAAATGTATACCAAATGGAATTACCTTCAGGCTTAATATCAATAATCTTGACAGTATTGTCAACATGGCCTTGAACCATATGGCCACCAAAACGCTTTTTGGAATCCATGGCGCGCTCCAAGTTGACACGATCACCTTCTTTCAGGTCACCTATACATTTATGGTGTCAGTTAAGAGATAAACAAATGCATAGTAACCTACCCAAGTTGGTACATCTTAAAGTTTCGGGTGCAACACCTACTTTGAAAGCATCGGCATCAAACTCGGTCACAGTTAAACAGGTACCTATCGATACTTAATTATGACTGTGAGAGTGTCCTATATTTACCATTGACAGCAATACTGTCGCCAATATGACAGTCAGTCAAGATGTCAGTAGCGTCAGAAACAGTAATAGTCCAGCCATTACCACCTGACTCAGTGTTGTCTTGCTCCTTAATAGAGGAGACTCTGCCCATGATTTCAACGAGACCAGTAAACATATTGTCTTTTTATTTAGAGAAAAAAGTAAAAGAGATGGATTTATAAGTCGGGTTGGTATCGAACAAAGAAGAAAGGGACTGGCAAAACTGACCAATAAGAGTTACCGATATGCAAGATTTCATTCATCCAATCATTGTTGATTTTTTGTCTTGAGGTCGAACAATAAACTTGCCAGGTTCTCCCGTAAACAAAAAGACGTATGGCAGACACAATATTAAGAAACAACCCATTACAATACACATATAAAAAAATCCGATCTTATCATACAAAAATCCACCTAGCAATGGTCCCACAAGTCCTCCTAATGCAAAGGCAACATTAAAAAGCGCGTAACTCATGCCTTGTCCCGAATCATCACCTTTGTCTGGATTGAGTGATTGTACCACAAAGGCCACTTCAGGCAACACAGGTGTAATAAAAGCAAAAGCTGTAAATCCTTGAATGGCAAAGATAACAATCAGAGGAGCAATACCTCCCGCTGTGGATCGATTAGGAATGCCTATCAAGAACATGGTGATAGTACAGACCACAAGCGAACTAATACAGACGACTTTAGCGCCATATTTGTCAGATAGTGCACCAGATACAGGTGTTGCCACAAAAGTAGGGATCACTTGTGCTAGAAATACAAGGCCAATTTGACTTGAATTGTATCTCCATTCAGTCGAGAGACGTACAGTTAATGTAGGCTCAAATACATTACAAACACAGCCATTCGCAAAGGCAATTAAAAGAGCAGCCAACAGCCTGTGTTGGCGTAATAATTGGAACACAGTGACATGATAATACTTCTTCTTCTTCTCAACAGTCGTTTCAGTTGTCGTCAGAGTATCATCAGAGAACCATTCGGCAGGACGGTGTCTTCTTTCTACCAAAAATAACCGTAATAGCATATCAACACCTGCTAGACAAATACACAAAATAAAAGGCGCTTTATAACCCATAGAGTGATAGAGTGCTGTATACAACATGTTACTATGCTATATATTTATACATCAATGGATATTTTACCGCCTATATTGCATATTTAGATTCTGTTTTTTTAACCCCCCTCACCTACCACCTATAGGACTCCCACATACAAAACCCAAAGAATGGAAAAGCAATACTCTTCCCATCTAGATGATACATAAGCTTGAAATCTGACATTGATACTTACCTGTGTTCCTAATTCTTCTAGAGCAAATGTGTCTGCCACTAAACACATACCCAAAGTCCAAACACACGCATCAGAGAAGCCTTGCAAAAATCGAGCAAGCAATAGTTCCCAATAAGTCGTTGCAAACAGAAATAGAAAAGTAGCACCTAAGAGACCTGCAATGCCTGCTACCATAGGCCATTGCCGATATTTCATCCGATCCGCTATGGTCCATGTCAGAATGCTTTTGATTGTTTGTGATCAAACCTAAATAGCCAAGCACAGGTGATCCTACTAATAACCCTAAGGAGAACAGGGCGAGTAAAATGCCGGTGTCTTTACTGACATTGCCTCCATTGGAAATAGTGGTATGGTAAGGATCAGATCTTGTATCAGGCGATCTTCCGTTTTGCATAGCATCCATGACAAATGGAACTATTTTCTGTAAGCATTCTTTCTTATACAGATTGCCTTACTAATGGGCACAATAATACTGTAGACCATCATCTATTCTAATGTGAGTCGATTTGAACGGAGCAAGAGTACAATTACATCTGTGAATAATGACATGGACACTGTCACCAATACGTAAATATTGGAAGATCTAAACTTTAAGAATAGGGGTTTCTTTTGTACCATAGCATAGAGAAGAAAAAGATCAAAAAATGCAAAAGCAAGCCCTTCTTTTTTTTATGCTCTTCAGTGAAATTAAAGCTCAGAAAGGAAGAGGAGAGAAAATACATGGTAGATGTCTTTTCTTTTGATACGTATTGATTTGAATTTATTATTTCAGGTGCATATATCTTTGCTTCAAGTGTCTTGTTGTTCTTGTTACACATGCAGGTAGAAGATTATTTTGTGCCACAGTGAGGTTTAAGCTATGACATTATTTGCCAAGATTTTTCATTTGTATCTTATACAGCGTATCGCATCATCTCTAGAGTGTGCCAAACTTTATTCAACATCATAAAAAGAGCATTGAAAAACTTCTTAAATATACATGCACAGGTTTATTTACAGAAAAGAAGAGATAGACTAATCATTCTTGCTTAACAGTTCTTGTTCTTTCTTTAAGCTGTTGAGGTTGGTGATTTCTCTTTCAAGTTGTGCCTTATCGACATTTTTATCTTGCTTCATTTCATTTACCGCACGTTCTTGAATATCTGTGTATTGGCCTAATTGTTGCTTTACGCCTTCTTGTTCAAATTGCTTGACTTGTTCTTGGTTCTTGGGATGCAATGCAGACATGATACGAAAGTAAAAAGAAAAGGTCGAAAGTAACTTGATTTTTTATAACTTTGGATGAAAAATGAAATCAGAATGAAATCAATTGTTTATTTTCTGATTGGTTAGTCATGATGTAAAGCAGAATTCGTTTACAGAAATGCAATGATTTCAAAGTTACTTTATTTTTCTATAGCGTTCTGCTTTGGTTGATGTCATTTAAAAAAGAAACCTGTTTCGTTCATTCTGAACATAATCATTTGAAAGGGAATGTAAATATCTTGTATGAAAAAGAGAAAAGAAACAAGCTTGTTATAGCTCCTTTTTTTTTAACTGCAAGATATAGTTGAACTGTGCTATAGGACATTGCTATCAAAAGCGTCTTTTAACCATGGTCTATCCAAAGAACAGACACATTTGACCACATAAAGGAAGCGTGAAGTCTACTTAAGCATCCTCAAGCTAGTCAAGTGTCCACAAACCGTGTTTACTATCATCTATGATACTTCTTTTTGACACTACAAGACGAAAAATGGAGCTATCAACAAGCTTAAATATTCAACATGTGCGTCCAAAGCTCTAGTTCTTGATGAGTGTGTTTGCTTGCCAGTTATACTATGAAAATAGTACGCTAGAAGCGAAAAGCCTTAAAACGTTTTTCAGTATTTGCTCAGTATCTTACTAGCAAGTTTGCTGTGTTTTCTACATCAATAGACTCAGAAAACAAAGATCTATAACTTTTGTTATTGTGACAAAGTCTAATAACTGCGTCTCTATGTAGTTCTTAGCAAAAGTCCCATAGCGACGGAAAGAAGAATTGAATAGCTTCCCTTTTTTCTACCTTTTCAATCCTCGCTATACACTATTTTGTGTATGTACATGATATCTTGATGCCATTCAAGACGCATAAAGTCCAAGAAACGACGATCAAATCCACGAATGAAAACCTATGTATAGAATGTAACTGAATGAGGAACTACAAAAACACGCATGTGCTTCATAAGGAGCAAAGACCTTCAAAGAAAAAAAAGAAGAAGCGTCTCTATCGTCTCCAGAATAAATAAAAATGAAGAGAAATACACTTTTTATAGATGCAATACAAACAAGGCAGTATAGCCCATTCACCATAAAAAAAAACCAAAGTATCCAATTGCCCCTATTGACATTGTGACCGTATCGCAAGGATCTTTTTTTTTTATTTCTTTTGACTATGCAGCAACTTCAACAAGACGAAATCATTCGAAAAAAGTATTTAGCAAGAGGACCAGGGGATGCAGCTACAAAAGCTTATATTGCTTCTAAATATCTAGACGATACAGACGACTCTAAAAAAAGAGAAAGAAAAAGAAGACCGATGATCGATCGACCAAGAAACGTGGTCATATTGTTGTGGATGAAGATGATATGGGCTGGACACCAGTTACTGTAGAAGAGCCCAAAGCACCTGTCTTGATGGAAGATGATGGAATGGTCGTGACGACCAGTAATCCATTCCGTGGCAGTACAAGTAACTGGGAAACGATTCGTCCTGGCGAACAAGAAGAAGAAGAAGAGGAAGACGAACGACCTTTAGTCGTTGAAGATAATACACCTCGCATGTCCAATGGTCAACGAGCAGGGGTATTGACAAAAGAACAAATCAAAGCAGAAGCAGAACGAGCACGTAATGCAGAAAAGAAAGCCATGGAGAAAATGCAACAAGAAAGCCAAGAAGAGACAGTATATCGTGATGCTTCTGGTCGTAAAATAGATCCCAAGAAAAAGAGAGCCGAGGAAATGAGGCTTCGACAAGAAAAGATTGATAAAGAAGCCAGAAAGATGGAATGGGGCAAAGGTTTAGTACAAAGAAGAGAAGCTGAAGAAGAAAGAAGACGACTTGAAGAAGCAAAAGATAAGCCTATGGCCAGGTAAAAACAAACAATATCATTGGGTTATACTTATGCTTATCTAGATATGCTGATGATCAAGAGTTAAACCAGGAACTTAAAGAACAAGAGAGATGGAATGATCCTGCAGCTGGATTCTTGACTGTAAGCTATAGGATAAAATAAGCTATATTCTTATTTATTATGTAGAAAAAATCAGGTAGCACATCTTCAGGACCAAGGTTTATTAAGCCTACTTATAAGGGTGCATGGAAGCCTAATCGTTTTATGATTCCACCTGGTTATCGTTGGGATGGCGTGGATCGATCCACTGGATTTGAAGATCAACTGCTAATACATCAAAACCAAGCAAAGTCTTTAGCTGCCCGCGCTCATGAATGGTCAACAGAAGATATGTAATTCTCTCTCCTTGACAATAAATATGTAAACCTTATTAAAACGGAATTCTATCAGAAGCATAAATCAATTTTATAGTTTTATAAAATGTAGTTGTTTATAGGAGCTGAAAAGGAGAGACTATTTTAGGAGGGAATAAATGCTTGTATTCAACTTGAAAGTTAAGAAATGTGAACATCTTCATAGAACCCTATTCTATAGAGATTTTAATTTTCTTAAATGAATTGTTTATTATCTCTCTTTTCTATCTTTTTTTTTTTTTTCTGGGTCCGGATTCCGGTTAATGCAGGAGTAATTGAACTATAGTCAGTGTTGTTTTCATTATCTTTTTGAATAAGGGGGAAAGAGAGAGAGAGAGAGAGAGATTGACTTGCTTGACAAGTCAACAAAACATGTGATAGAAACCAAGAATTTTATTTTTCGTATGAGGAGTAACGTTGTCATATGTGGATATAGTTTAATGAATTAATGGCATAAAAGTCATAATCAATAATTTAAGCATATTCAATCATTTTAGGCATATAATTACAAGAAAAAAAAAAAAGGAATGAATCAATAAACTAGAAGGACTTAGAAATGATGTTCAACTGAACTTGGGCTAGGAAATGAACCAGAGCCGTAGTATTTCAAGGGTGGCAAAGATACATTGAATTCTTGTTGGAAATAAGAAGATTGAGGTGATCTGGGTGGAGAAATAGGGGGGAGATAATATGGGGATGGTTCAGGTACATGCCGACCGCGTGAGCGAAGTGCTTGACGCTTATTTTGAAACCAGATTTGAACAGTGCGGGGGCTCATGCCTAATTGTTTACCTAGTTCAATACGGATTTCTGTGGAAGGAAAATAAGTTTGGCTGAATATACGGTTTAGAACCAGCAGTTGAGTGGGTGAGGCTCTTTTTCTTTTGGCCTTAACATTGCGCTGTTGTTTTTCAATTCTGGTAGGAGGATCATTCGATAAAAGGTTGTTAATGTCCAATACTGGAGAACGGGTGGTTGGTTTTGATTCAATAGAATGAGCCAAAATGTCTGAAAGTGGAGGTAAAGTGCAAGAATTAGAATACATTTCAAAAAGAATGAAAACAAACAAACAAACAAAAAAAAAAAAAAAAAGAAAAAGATGGGAATTGACATTCGCTTTATATAGGTGTCAAATAAAAGGGATAAAATATGAATGTTGTCTTTATTGTTACATTCAATTTGACAATTCCATATATCATAAGGAGCAAGATAGATACGGAGAACAGAGAAGGGAGTGATAGCTTAAAGAAAATAGACAAGTAGGAGTGAAGAGGAGACAAAGCCTTCGTAGTCAATCTAAGGGAGTCAATCTATACAAAAACAAACCTTGATCTCATTGGTTGTGCCTTTTCTATTTTCCTGGAATTCACGCGCGTCGCGTCAAATCATCCTTTTATATATATATATTTATCTACGCGGTTTCTATTTTTAAAAAATCTTCTTCTTTTTGGTATTTCAATATGGGTAGACTTGTTCGTATTGAAGTAGAAAACTTCAAGTCATATAAAGGTCAACAAACAATTGGTCCTTTTCACCAGTTTACCAGTGTGATTGGGCCTAATGGTTCTGGTATGTCATGACGTGTCTATTGCATCTCATTTTTTTTTCTTTTGATCAGGCAAATCCAATCTAATGGATGCCATTTCATTTGTATTGGGTGTACACTCTAGTCACTTGCGTTCACAAAACCTAAAAGACATGATTTACCGTTCAGAAGCATTGCGTAAAGAAAGCGAAGGCAGTTCAGGTATGTCGACGCGTACACCTCGTAAAGCTTCTGTCACTGCTGTCTATGAAAACAAGCAAGGACGCGAAACTCGGTTTATGCGTAGCATCAACCAAAACGGACAATCTGAATACCGTATCAATGACAGAGTCGTTCCATACATGCAATACAATGCTGCTCTTGAGAAAGAAAACATTCTGGTCAAGGCCAAGAACTTTCTTGTCTTCCAGGGCGATGTCGAATCCGTCGCTAGTCAAGACCCCAAGGACTTGACGCGCTTGATTGAACAGATTAGTGGGTATGTATATCAATTCAAACGAATAGGTGCTGATGTTCTTTATCAGTTCTTGGGAACACAAAGATGAATATGAAGCATTAAAGCAAAAGATGGAAGAAGCGATTGAAAACAGTGCGCATGCGTTTAACAAGCGACGTGGTATTGCTGCTGAAATCAAACAATATGAAGAACAGAAAGCAGAAGCAGAGAATTTTGAAAAGCTGGTGGCTGAACGTCGTAGTTTGGTTGTCCAGTACTTGCTTTGGAAGCTTTTCCATATTGAAGAAAAACAAAAAGCCTTAGGCCAAGAAAGCAACACGAAGCACTCGGATAAAGATGAAGCACAATACGAAGCACTTGCCTTGGAAAACCAGTTTAAGAAAGCAAGAGAAGACAAGGCACTGATTCATCGTGAAAAGATCAAGTGTGAATTACACATTCGAAAGGCCAACCGTGAATTAGATGATCAATTGCCTACGTCTATTAGTTACAAAGAAAAGATCAACCAGTTAGAAAAGAAGACAAGACAAACAGAACAAAATATTGAGCGTATCAAGCGAGATGGTCAGCAACAAGAACAAGTGGTTGTCAGCCTTGAAAAAGACATGCAATTATTAGCATTTGCTGAACAATCGTATGAGGCATCTATTCCTGCCTCTGCATTGACTCATGGTCCTTCATTGACACCTGCACAATTGTTGGACTATGAAAAGAGAAAGCAAGAAGTGAGTGTCAGAGCAGTGGAAGAACAACATCAGTTGCAACAATACCAGCGTCAATACAAGACTGAAAAACAACGTCTGGAGGATAAAAAGTCAAAGATGGATCAATTACGTGAATCTGAGTCTCAAGCAGTGGATGATCTTCGCCAAGCCAATGAAGAAAAGGCAGCTTTGAGTATGGATGCTGAAAACTTGCAAGAAAGATTGACTGTGCGTCAAACTGAACTGAAGCAATTGGAGAATGAGCGTACCACTGTTCATCAACGCGAAGTCTTTTTAAATGAAAAACTACAGGAAACACTCAACAAGCTTATGGAAGCCAGTGTCACTCAACAAGAATCAGACAAAGACACTAAATTCAATGAGAGTGTTAGTGTGTTGAAGCAAATTTATCCAAGTAAGCCTTATCAGCATATATATATATATGAAGCAATACTGATAACTATAGATGTGTATGGTAAATTATCTGATTTATGTAGACCCACACAACGTAAATACGATACAGCCGTAGCAACTGTACTAGGAAGAAATATGGATGCCATTGTGGTTGAAAATGAACAAACAGCCACTGATTGTATTCAATACATGAGAGAACAACACATTGGCACAGCTACTTTTCTGCCTCTTCATTCCTTGTCGTTGCCTCCTATTGATGATCGTTACCGTAATTTTGTCAAAGGGGCTCGTTTGGCAGTGGATGTATTAAAGTATGACAAGCAGTTTGAAAGTGTGATTCGATATGCTTGTGGCAATACACTGGTATGTGATAACCTCAGTATTGCCAGACATATCTGCTTTGAACTCAATGAGAACATCAGAGGTAAGCCACAGTCAAGAGAATAGAGTCCTCATATGTCTATAGCTGTTGCTTTGGATGGTGCTGTGATTCATCAAAGTGGTTTAATGACAGGTGGTGCCAGTAGTACACAGACAACTAAGAAATGGCATGAATATGAAATAGAAGAATTGATGCGCAACAGAGATAAATATTTGGCAGAACTCAACAGTATCAGTAAGAATAAGCGTATGGGCAGTGCTGAAGATGCTGCTCGAAGTGATTGCTCAAGTCTATCCAGCCAATTGAACACATTGAATGATGAATTGGTAAAGGCTACTTTAACACAGTACATGACTGATACTTGATAGATGACATTGACACGTAGAATTGAAGGTCTTGAAGCAACCCTTCGTGATATTCGTGACAAGATCCATCAAAGCACTCAGCCTTACCAAGAAACCAAGGCTACTGTGGACCAATTGGAGTCCAACATCAAGCGCGTGGAAGAACAGATTGCCAGTGTAGAAGATCAAGTGTTTGAAGACTTTTGTGCTCAAATCAATGTGGCCAATATTCGTGACTATGAAGCCATGCAGTACGGTGTGTCTGATGAAGTAGCTGATCGCCGTGCTCAGTTCACCGCCCAACGTACTCGTCTTGAAACACAACTTGCTTTTGAACGAGAACAACTGAATGAACTTGTGGAGCGTCTCAAGAAACTTGAAGCCTCTTTGGCACATGACACAGCAGCCAAAACCAAGATTCAAGCTGATTTGGATGGTATGGGAGGTAAAACAGAACAACTGAAGCAAAAGCTGGTATCCTACCGTGTCGATCTTGAAAAGCAAACCAAGTTGGAAGAAGCCAAGCAGGTGGATATCACAGATCTAGGTCACGCCTTAGAAGCCAAGGGCCGTGATGTAGAAGCCATGTTGAGAGAATACAGAGCAGTCGAGAGTGAATTGAACAAGGTTCATGCTGAGCGTGTGGCTATCTTCAGAAAGTGTAAGCTGGAAGGTATCCAGTTGCCCTTATCGCGTGGTTCCATGGACGATATTATGATTGAAGATACGCGTGTCAATAATGAAGAAGGAGACACAGGCTCTGTCTCGGATGCTTCTTCTATCCTTGAACACTCAATGGACTATACGCAAAGCACAGATATGGATGTGGATGCACCCGTGTCACAATTGTCCATTCAATCTACAGACTGGGAAGTAGAAGTAGACTATTCACAATTAGGTGCTCGACAACGTACAGACGATAGTCCTGACATGGACAAAAAATTCCAAGACGAGATTAAGCAAATGGGTCTTGATATTGATCAGATGGCTCCTAATATGAAGGCTATTGATCGTTTAGAAGGTGTTTCTGAAAGACTCAAGATAGCAGAAGAAGAGTTTACACATACCCGTGCTGCTGCTAAACTTGCTAAAGAACAATTCAATCAAGTCAAGAACAAGAGGTAACATTGTGTTTTCTCTACATTTTACTGATACTATGTAGATACTCCAAGTTTTATGATGCATTTAGCCATATTTCTGAAAAGATCGATACTGTCTATAAAGACCTTACCAAGAGTCATACATTCCCGCTTGGTGGTACTGCTTATCTGTCTACAGAAGATGCAGATGAGCCCTATTTGGAAGGCCTCAAATATCATGCCATGCCTCCTATGAAGCGATTCAGAGATATGGAGCAATTATCTGGGGGCGAAAAGAGTGTGGCCGCACTGGCTCTGTTGTTTGCTATCCATAGTTACAAACCTTCTCCCTTTTTTGTTTTGGATGAAGTAGATGCTGCTCTAGACAACACCAATGTGTCTACTGTAGCCAATTATCTTCGTGAACATGCTACACCTGAGTTTCAATTTATTGTGATTTCTCTTAAACATACTTTATATGAAAGAGCTCAAAGTTTGGTTGGTATTTATCGTGATCAAGATATCAATTCAAGCAAAACAATGACATTACTGGTAAGTACAGCATGTTGCGCTTCATTTTATTTACTGTCTCTGTAGTTGGATCAATACCAAAACTAGTTTATCTATTTCAATAAAACTTTTTTTTCTTTTTGATTGTAGTACAAAACCCAATCATTTGGATTCCAAAGAGTTATACAGTCAGATTTGAAAAATTCAATAGATTCTTCAGCGGTTGCACAGAGAATTTTTCGTCCCACTATCCCAAAAAATATTCTGTGCCATTGCCGAGAATTTCTCATTTGCGTCTCTTTTCTTTACTTATCATTTTAAATGTCTACCAGTTTTTTTTTTTTTTTTTTTTTTTTTTTTTTTTGAATGAAGATGGCCATGGATATTGAAATGGAGGATGACGCTGATGAACTAGAGAGCCTGGTAACTTTGTCATGCTACGAACAGCGCAATCCAGGTACATTTGATCCAGCCAGACGTTGAAGAAGAATCAAGAGCAAAGCTGCAGTGACCAAAGACGTTGAAGAATCGGCCAATGCAACAAAGCGCCCAAGCAATTCATACACGGACAAGCAAAGGCATCTTTTTATTTGGTTACTTGAAGAAAAGTTGTTGACCGCCGTAGCAGCAGCTCGTGAAGTCGGTGTTAACACACGTACTGGGCAATCATGGGCCAAGACATGCAGAGACGATCCTGAGAAGAAGGTTCCTATGCCAAAAACAGATAAAAAACGCGGTCCTAAACCTACCTTACTAGCAACAGATCACAAAAGCCACATCATTAATTACATCGACGAAAATGCAACAGCAATCGTCAGCGACGTCATGGACAGTTTAACAAATGCATTCATGGACCTGAAGCTCACAAAATCGTCAGTACAACAATTTATGACAAACGAATGCAACTTCTCTTTTAAGAAAGTACAGCTACACGCAGTCAAGCGAAATAGGCCAGAAACCATTCAACAGAGATACGACTGGGCAATAAGATACCAAGGCACGGCCATGAACTTCCTTACGAATTGCGTTTTTATTGATGAGACTGCCTTCCACATCCACTTGAAAAGAAGCTACGGATGGGTTCCCAAGGGTAAAGCGCCAGTAGCTGTCGTTCCTGCTACTCGAGCCAAGTCAACAACAATTCTGGGTGCGATAGCTATTCATGGAGTTGTCGAAATAACCGTGCGAAAACCTAACCCGCCATCAAGCAAGAAACGACGACTTGCAGAAGATGGAGAGAAGAAAATGGGCACCGGAACAAACACCAATCATTACCTAGTATCTTTGCTGAGCTTGATGAATGAATTGGACAAATTCAAATCAATGAAAGGGGTTTACTTAGTGATGGACAATGCTCCTATAATTGAAGCGCTCATCAAGGAAAAAGGCTATAACTGCGTCTATTTACCTCCTTGCTCCCCTGAACTAAATCCAATTGAACAGTTTTGGGCATTTGTGAAAAACCTGGTCAAGAAAGACAAGCTCTTGGACAATGAAACTTTAACGCAAAGAATCACCGAAGCATGCCTCCAGATTACAAAGAAGGACCTTACTGATTTCATCGGCCATTCTGCAGGTCGCATCGACGATTGCCTCAACAAACTCCTTTTGTAGTTTTATCAATAAAAAAAAAGATATTGTGCTTACAGTTCTTGCAGGTTAGCGAAAAATGAAATACAGGACTTCCTATCACACCATCCCAAAATATGTTCAAAGTATTGTTTATTGAATTCGGGAAATAATGTACAAAGACTAAATCTACGCACGTGATTGAAGTCGGTCAGTGAAGGAGTTCACAGTCGTTTCTTCATCATCATCTAATTCCAAAAGCTTGCGTTTCTGTACACGGTTGCTCCTTGGTGTAAAAAATATAAATGGTGACTTGGAGTGGGATGAACCAGTCGATGGCGTTGGGCAAATGTCCTCCAAAACAGAAGCATGTTCAAGTTTATGGAGTTCTGATCTGACTTTCCAAGCAATGCTGACAAGATGATCCTATGGGGAAAATTCGCGCAATCCATGTCAGTCTTTAGCATTTTTTTCCTTTTGTTAAATAAAATCTTACCTTCAGAATAAGCAGACCACGCAGAGTATCTTTCATTGTGCCTAACGATTCAATGGTTGTAGGGATGACTAGGTCAGTGACCAAATGAGCAACAGTGATATAATCATCAACACTAAGACCATCATCAACAAGTCGCAGAAGGTACAGGTATCCAGAATTTCCCACAAAGTCCATGGCAACGGTGAATTTGATTCCAAACTTAGTGTTGAGGCTGAATAGGTTAGAAGTGTTCAAGCGTAGATTTTTCGATTGCTGGTGAAGTTTGATTGATTTGCTGACCATGGCCCTTTTCCATTCGTTGCTAGAAATATCCACTTTGACATTAGATGAGCTTTTCAAGATCATATCAATCTTTCGACCATAAACTTGGGACATATCACTGGTGTGGAATATTGCCTTGTTCATTGCGATAGCCACCTCTGATGACTGCAAACTTGTTTCACCGTCAGCAAGGATCACGCCAGTATCCGCCAGCAAGGTATCTAGAATCGAAGCGAATCGCCGGTAGAATGTTGCTTCACTTTCATCACGTTTCTCCGACCAAAGACATAAGTTGTTCACCATTTGTTCGATAATGGCCAAGTTGGTATATTGCTGAGTATTTCGGTTGTGACCACGGATCAGTGTCGCCTTGGTTACCATAATGTATTCGAGAATGCCATCAACATCTGAGTGAAAGTCAAGAATTCGTTCGATATACCCCAAGGTATCAGGGTCCAGTTGAGAGATCTTGGGGATGTAATCAAGTTTGGTTTTCAAATGGTCGGGCAAGGACGATAGGATGACCTTCGACATATCGGAATGAATGAGGTTGACGATCCCTGAAAGGTGTAATCTATTAAACAAAAGACGTGAGATAAGAAATATGACACATATAGACTACTTACTTGATGGCTTCTTCTTCAATAGATGACAAATGATCCGATAAAAGCTTGCTGGCGACAAATTGTTGTAAAGCCCCTTTGATCGATGTACCATCATAGTCCAAGTTTTGTAAAAAAAAGATTTCTTTCTCTGTTAATGATTGACCGTCAATCATCTGGTACATGTAAATAATAATAATAAGAAGAATGAGCATATCATGACCACCTCTTTACTTTTTTTCTCTAACCTTTTTGTACGTCAGTCTGTGCAGTTGGAAGTCTCGTTGATCAACACTAAAGATGTCATCAGCACCAGGGAAAAGAGAGCCGTCGTTGTCATCGATGGTATCGTCAGCATATTGACCAGTATCATCAACAAGCGGATTGGTCGTATCATCCATAAGTGAGCTACTGGTGGCATCGTTAATAGATGCGTTGGAAGACTTGTCAGCAAGTGCATTGGTCAAGGTCAAGATGCGGCGTGATGATGTGGCAAAATCTGCCAAAGCTTTCAAGCCTTCTGTTTGGTATCGTAAGCGTGTTTGTGCCTAATAAACAGTAGCGGAAGACATTAGTAATCTGAAGGAAGCATTCTTTTTTTACCAAGGCGGTGATAGCAGTCTTGACTTCTACCCATTTTTGTTCATTGTACACAATCTTCCTACAATAAAAAAAACGTTAGTATCTTTGTGATATAACAATCGTCCATTGTACTTGCTTTTGGAGAAGGTGAGAGTCCTTGTTTTGCCTGTTCAATTCTAGTGCAAATTGTTGTCGCCACCACGCAAACAGTAGATCCGGAGGCTTGCCTTGAAATTCATTGGAGACAGCGATAATGTTTTCCAGACTGCTGTTCACGAATCCATTGAAATCTGGATTCTTTTTGTTTCTGATGTAATCAACGAGAAATGAGAGATTCATTTGGTGGCAAAGGAAAACGTGAGAAAGCACAACGATCCTAATTGTGATGTTTTGATAATAAAGAGTTGTATGATAAGATAATATAGAGACAAAGGTAGATATTTTGAGACTGCTTTATAGCATATTTATACATGAAGAGATGTCGGAGTAAGTAGTAGTAGAGTTCATGCAAATGACTGAGTCTCTATTATCATAGACTACTTTAAATTAATTAAATAATGTAAATTATGGATTCCGGTTATAAGTCTTGATCTATTAAAAGATCCATTGTCTTATTCAGTACAAGAGGTTCTTTTATGCCTATTTCTGATGTAAATTGATTATGATGTATTTTAGTATGTAAATGAAGACTTATTAATGTCAGATCATCACACTAATGAACAAATGCACTGAGCTTGAATTTGTAGCAGTCACAGAAATCAGATGATGCTGAAAAAAACAAAAGTTGGCCATAATTCTTTTTCTTGGAATTATGATGCTTTTCCTCATGACAAAGGAATCCACTGATCTCCGGCCCAGATGGTAGTGGACCCAGTCTGCGTCCTAAGTGAAGTGTACTTGGAACCATTTCTCCGGCGATGGAACCTGACACTGTTAGCGCATGTCAAGATGGGAAAGGCGTTCATTGTTGTTTATCATGCTGATCATAAAGGTAAGAAAATGGAAATAGACGAACAATTTGATATTATAGAATGATGATTAACCTTTCTCTGCTTGCTGCATGAGTCTTTATTTTTCTATGCTTTGTTAGTTTGAACGACATGGGTGATTTCCATCATGACAAAGGAATCCACTGGTCTCCGGCCCAGATGGTAGTGGACCCAGTCTGCGTCCTAAGTGAAGTGTGCTTGGAACCATTTCTCCGGCGATGGAACCTGACACTGTTAGCGCATGTCAAGATGGGAAACTTTCATCTCCAATACAGTAGATTCTCTAAAGATTCTCCTTCACTGACCATCCTCATTCAGGTGTGCAGATTTTGACAATGTCACTGCTTCACCAATGATGTTATCTCTTAGTTGAATATCATTCTCTCCCTTCTTTTCATTCCTTCTTGTCGGTCAACTCACTCAAATTTTTCGGCCAATCAAATATGATGAAAACGGCCAAATCATCTAATCCAATCAGAAAACAATAAACTAAGCAAACATTATAAAAATCCTGTATTTCATTTTTCGCTAACCTGCAAGAACTGTAAGCACAATATCTTTTTTTTTTATTGATAAAACTACAAAAGGAGTTTGTTGAGGCAATCGTCGATGCGACCTGCAGAACGGCCGATGAAATCAGTAAGGTCCTTCTTTGTAATCTGGAGGCATGCTTCGGTGATTCTTTGCGTTAAAGTTTCATTGTCCAAGAGCTTGTCTTTCTTGACCAGGTTTTTCACAAATGCCCAAAACTGTTCAATTGGATTTAGTTCAGGGGAGCAAGGAGGTAAATAGACGCAGTTTTGGAGATGAAAGTTTCCCATCTTGACATGCGCTAACAGTGTCAGGTTCCATCGCCGGAGAAATGGTTCCAAGTACACTTCACTTAGGACGCAGACTGGGTCCACTACCATCTGGGCCGGAGACCAGTGGATTCCTTTGTCATGAGGAAAAGCATCATAGTTCGGAAAAAAAAAAAGAAAAGAGTAAATATTGGTGTTTTAGCTGATCTATTTTTGTGGGATAGTGGGACGAAAAATTCTCTGTGCAACCGCTGAAAAATCTATTGAGTGGAGCGCTGAATTTCTCCAATCTGACTGTACAAAACCAGAAGAACGACTGCGTAACATAAAGTATAAATTTAGAAAAAAGAATTAAAAGAGCGACAGCTATTTTAAACAATAGACGTTGTTGCCAAGGCTCTCTCTCTTTTTTTTTAATGAATGGATCAAAAAGAAATAGTCTTGATTCAAATTTCATACAAATGATTTGAGCCTTATTTTTATTTTGTTACTATGGCAAATCCGAGTAACAAAAATAGATATAAATAAAAAAAGTTATTATCAGCCCTTTTTTTTTCTTTTCTTTTCTTTCTTTCTTTTTTTTTTATATTATCATTATGTCTGAATCAAAGTTAAAGAAAATATGGAAAAATAGATTAAGTCAGCAAATAATAGGCAATTGTCTATCACCTACAATGGAACAAGACACTTCAATAGACCCAAAGAAGCCATTATGGACAAAGCACAGCTCTTATCTAGAAGAAAAGACACAGATACCCACTCGTTGTGAAAGTAAACATTACGAAAATAGGCCCAATTTAAACGCTCAGTTAGAACGTGCATGTAGCAATGAAAAAGTCTTGCTATTGACCAAAATGCTAGAAAAGCATAGATCTTCTTGAATAAATATTCTATCTATTTTATATGAATGTGTGTGTGTGTGTGTGTGTACATAATGCATGAAAATGGTAATTAAAGTGTGATTATTATTACATAAATTATTTCTTGTAACCCTTCTTCTTTCTTTGAATCATCTTGGTTTCTATAGATTTGTGTATAAGCCAATGTACACATATCATACTGTATTTCTTACCTTCAATGTATTGAGCATCTTCTTCTTCATTGAAACCTACTGTTTCCTTGTCTTCCTCCTTGTTTTCTTGTTCTTCCTTCTTCAAATCTTCGTCCTTATGGTTATCGTACTTATTATCCAACTTCTTGAACTTAGCAACATAGAAACCATCCATGTTATGCACATGAGGATAGAAACGACGTGTCAACTTGAGACTGGGATGGAAAGACTTGCCACGATAAGACACAAAACCTTCGCGACCAAAATCAAGTGTGGTAGAGACCAGCTTGACATTAGGACGCTTGGATAAAGCATAGTTCACGACAGCTTCATTTTCTTCCACAGTCACAGAACAAGTAGAATAAACAATATAGCCACCTGTCTTTGATTTGGCATCAACAGAGTCAATAGCAGACAAGATCAATTGCTTTTGAAGGAAAGGGATATCAATAAAATCTTTTTCAGTCTTGTTCAATTTGACACTGGGATCTTTGGAGATAACACCCGTACCTGAACAAGGGGCATCCAACAAGACACGGTCAAAGCCACCAATGACCTTGGGGAATTCTCTACCATCGTAGTTACAGACAACAGCATTCTTGACACCCATACGGTGAATGTTGGCAATCAGACTCTTAAGACGCTCCTTGGTGAAATCATTGGCAAATACCATACCCGTGTTCTTTTGCAAAGAAGCAATGTGTGTTGTCTTACCACCTGGAGCAGAGGCCATATCAAGCACACGCTCATTGGGTTGAGGGGCAAGTGCCATGACAGGCAAGAAAGAAGAGGCAGCTTGAAGCATGTAGTGACCAGCAAGATATTCAGGAGTGGCACCAATAGGTACTTGGGAATCAAACACTTGGAGACCCACCTTGCTCCATTTACCAATAGGTTCCAAGTTAACACCACGGTTAATCAAGGCTTGTGCAAGATCTCGACGACGGGTCTTGAGGGTGTTGGCACGAATAGTGACAGGACGAGGCACTTCGTTAGCTTCAAAGAATTCAATAGCTTCAGAAACAGGGAAGAGATTGAATAGTTTTTCGGCCAAGAACTCAGAGTAACCATAGTAACTGGCAATATCTTTAATAAGACGGTCAACATAGTCTTGACGGCTATGGTTGGGATGGCGTAACTTTTTAAAGTCGTTGAGAACATTCACAATGTCCTTAAGACGTTGGCTGACAACAGTAACATCAGCTACAAGTTCATCTTCTTCACCTTCAGGAAGTTCATAGCGTTCATCTTCTTCGAGTTCACTGTCTTGGTTGGCTTGTTCCTTCAATTCTGCTTCAGCTGCAGCTGCTTCAAGAGCAGCACGAGCTTCGATTTTACGAGAAGTACGTTCATCAAGACCTTGACCCTATAGAATCAAAATGTTAGTTTATATACTATTCATGTATGTCCTACCTCTGCAATAGTGTCACTGTCATATTCATCCTCCTCCTCCTCTTCTTCTTCTTGTTCTTCTTGTTCTTCTTCAGAATCAGAACCGAGGAAACTATTATCAGCCTTAGGGAAAATGTCTTTTTCTTCTTCTTCTTCTTCTTCTTGGTCCATTTCTTCCATATCGCTGTTAGCAGCATTCTCGAAATCACTCATATCAAATTCGTCATCTAAATCTTCACTGTTATCGTCAGAAGCTACTTCGAGATTGTCCCAAAGATCTTCAGCAGGTTCAGCTAATTTGGCCTTTTTAACAGTTTTCTTTTCAACTTGTTCCCCTTGTTGACGCTTCTTGTTGTCCTTCTTTTCAACAGGCTTAGCCTTAGCTTTGTTAAGCTTAGCCTTTTGTCTTCTAGAAAGACCTTCACGCTTAGGCTTTTCAAGAGGCTCAGGTGCTGGTTGCTTGTTCTTTGCTTTATATCCCATGAGTATATAAAGAAAAAAAAAGTGGACCTTATTATTTTTTTTTTCTATCAGACAGGTAGCTATTATTTTTTGTGCGTCTAAATTCAAACAAGTCACAAAGCAAGTCCTACATATGTGGCTTATTATATGGTGTATGCATGATTTTCTTTTATTGTGGTATGTCAAGACAAGGTACTTTACCATTGGGCAGCGTACCCATAGGACAAGGCTTCCAATCTGGATAGAGTGCCCAATGGCTTGTGTCGATATCCATCTTATCTTCTTGTTGTCTTGATACTTTTCTCTTTTTAGGTACCTTTTTATCGGTTTTTAGAGTGACAAGTTGTGATGCCAACTGTTCTAATTCTTGCTCAAGTCCTTGTTGGTCTTGTTTGCTTAGGGGCAATGTGTCTTGATTGGACTATAAGAGGGGTTAATATCTTTGTTGAGATGGTTTCGTTTACCTTGTCTTTGATGGACTTGACAATCATTTGATCCATGTATTTTGTAAAGGGCTTTATGGACTGACCTAACTCCGGATCCACTGTAGCAATACTTTGCAGTATAAATCGAGTACTAAAGAACATGAGATGAATATTTTATGATTCAATCAACGTACTAGTAATTAGGGCGTCGAAGTGAAGATTCCAAGATATCGTCTATAGTCAAATGGCTTAATGTACGATGTTTGCGAGGTTGTTTGAATTCTTGTACAAAATGCCTTAACCAACAGGCTAATAATAATAATAATAATAAAGAGGAAAGGAAAGATGTGAGTTATACGGTGATCTATGTTGATCTTACTCAATGTCAATAGATAAGAAGGTGCTTTGGTGACATCTTCAGCTCCATCTTTTGTAGCCTACATGAGAGTCAATAGATACCCAAGGACTCTATCTACTTACAAAAGCAGCGTATGGGTTCAATAAGACTTGGTTTATTTCGAAATCTAAAAGAACAGAATAAGTTGCTTGGTATAGAAATAGGCACTTACCATCCTTTGCGTCCAACTTATCTATCATACAAGACACTAATTGTTGCCCAAAATCAGGAAATCCATCATCCAGGCCTTGAATCAAAGGTGTCCAGAGTTCAATCAATCCCTTTGAGATCTGCATATGCTCTGCTGATGCACGCTTCTTTTTGCTGGTAGGCACTAGTCCGCCTACGCCTAACAGTAACGGAATAATCTCTTGATGTATCACATCATCATTCATCAATTCCACTAAACTCTGAATACAGGTCACATAAGGTGTAGGATCATTGTATTTCTCCTTGATAAACGTCTTTCTGCAATCTTTGTACTGGTTCAGCTTGACCTTGATCTCTGGATTATGCTGTAGCATCTGTTTCTGCTCTGTGCTTTTGAGGTTGCGGACCCAATAATGATCATGAAGCCAGGCAACAGCTTGCATAGCCCCATCACGCAAGACAATCAAACTTGGTAAACGCTCATGGGTACTTGCATGACGTAAATCAACAAACCAAGTAGGCAAACCCATACTGCGTGCAAGTACTTGAATAGACTTGGCAAATTTACCTTTTTGTTCGCGATCCACAAGGCCATTGACAAACCGAACAATGGCCATGGCGTACATGAGTCTTAGTTCTTTATGCGAATGGTGATGACCAAACTGTTCATCGCGAATGATGAGTTCAATAAATGCTGCTGTCATCTCTACAGAAGGAGGGATTTCACCTCTATTTATCCATGTTTGAACCTAATGCAAAGTCAATGAATGTTTTTTTTTTTGGAAGCCTATGAACATACGCGATCAATACCACGTTTGACCTGTTCTACTTGTGCCGTTCTGTCTGAGAATAACCAGTGGTAGACAGTTTCGAATTCTTCATAGTTTATCCAAGGAACAATACGTGTTTGGAACATAAGAATAGACAATCTTTTTTTTTTTTTCTTCTCTGAATCTCATGCATCTTTTATACCAAGCCACAAGAAACCGCGTCGTGTTTTAGAGATGAATTTCATTTATGCATTCATTTTTTTTGTATATATATGTCAAAACGTACTCATCAAGATCAAGACACTGTTGTCGAAAACAAGCGTATCCGTACTGACAAAGAAGAAGGTCATGCTGAAGACTGTGTTGACGATCTCTGTCAAGGCTGCGACGTAGGCGAGGTCGAAATATCTTTTATTCGTAAAGACGCTCAAGGACAAACGATCGATACCGAACCTTCAGCTCAAGAACTTCTTGTGATGGCTATTGAAGAATCCAATCAGGACATCAAGCTTCGTTTGTTTGACTTGGCTCTTGAGAAATATCAAAAAGAAGAACCCGAGAACCGTGTTGGGTATGCTACTTGTCTTGTAGAGCTTGGAAAGGGTATTGATGTCCAAGAGAGTATTCGTGAAGGACTTGATGTCTTGCGTGGTGAAAAGACCAAGACAGCTGACATTAAGTTGGCTATTTCAGGTGCTGCCATTGCTCTTGCTTTATCCATTCGCCACAAGCAATTGAACTTCTTTACTGAAGAACAAGAAAAGCTTGATCCTGAAGATACAGATGCTTTAGATGAATTAGTCGAAAAGCAAATACCTTCAAAAGAGCAATTGGACTTGTACAAAGAATCCATAGATCGTTTCAAAGAAGCAACCAAAGAGGAAGAACAAGTAGATGAAGCCATGTTAAAAGAAGCCCATACTGTCTTGAATGAGATCAGAACATTTGGTCAATTATTATCTCAACCTGTCCCTAATGACCAGACAACAAAAGTACTAAACACGGTGATTGAATTGATTCAACAGCTACCTAAGCATAAGGAAAATGATGAATTTTTAACCTTATGGGCTGCTTGTCTTTTAAACCAAACAAAGGAAGGTCAAAGTGAGAAAGAAAGTTTGGATACTATGAAAAAGATTGAAGAGCTATTATTGAAGGCCAACACATTGCATGCTGCTAAACATGAAAAGGAGAACCCTTGGGTTTGGGAAATGGTATGTCTTTTTGTTGTGTGTTGTTATTGATGGTGTTGTAGCTTGCTATGAACCGTATCAATCAGTCTAATTTGGCTGATGATGAAGATCAAGCCATTGACTTGTATGAAGAAGCCATTGAAGCATTCAAGAAGGCACAAGCTTTGAAGCCTGGTAAGTTCCATTCTATACATTTCTTAGGCATTGTATTCATATTTTTAGATGATCCTCAACTTGCTAATATGCTTCAAATGCTTATGGCTTGTGAAGAAGAACAAGAAGAAGAAGAGTAATAGACTAGTTAGATACTTGTATAGTCATAAGAGAGAAACAATTAGCCAAGATCCTAAACAAGTGTTGTACCAGGAAACGCCTAAAATAAAAATAAAAATAAAGCTTGTTTAAAAATAACCATTAGACAATAAATAAACGTGGTTTATAGAGTAACACAATACAACCATTTGAAAGCTCAACCGTAGTTATTTATAAAGTCGTATACCACAATTACAAATTTATCTGAACTTGTTTACTGATTAATTTGTGTAACTTGCGGTGTTGTAAAGGGAAGAGAGATTTCCATAAACATACTAAAGGCGGATTAGCAGCCCATGGTAGGCTCTAGCTGGAAGTCCTTAGATGAACCTGTACAAGCTCGGTAAAAAAAAAGAAGAAGAAAAAAAAAGAAAAAGTTTCGCCGGAATGAGGAGTCATATTTTCAGCTAGTAGAGTTCTTTCGATTCCAGATCAAGGCAAGAAATAGCTGCTTGAAAGTCTTAGGATAGGCCTATGGCCAAGATGTGCTTCTGTATGAGGCTAGAAACAAACAAAAGGTTTCTCCCTCTCATTTGTTACCAAAAAAGAAAAAAAAAAGACTTTGGACATTTTTGAGGAGCCAAGTAGACAACATTGTGCTTCTTTCCCCTTCATAGTGATGAACAGTATATAGCCATTGCTTTATTTTGGACAATTTTTCCATGACCGACAATTACTTCATTTGTGTTTTGTCTCGATCTTAAAACGAGCCACAACAAAATTTCCCTTTTGTTCTTCTTTCTTTTACTCCTTTATTCAAATATGCAACACAAGCAATTGATTTCAGCAACAGTGAATAATGATTTTTCGATTGTTACAATGACACTGGTCGCATTACTCTTGGTTCGGTTATTGCTTGTTTCCTAGGTTATACTTTCCTCATTTATACATACATTTCTGCATTTATTTCTATACCATCAAAAATCATCTTTCGAGGTTTCCGTACATATCTTTCATCTTTAAATAAACACGCTTATTTAGCGTATATAAAACGCCTTCTTGTTTATGCTTTGTTTGTTTAACAGTCCTCTGTTCAAAAACTCCTGGTATTGTTTCAATAGGAAACACAAGTCTGCCCTGATTAACATTACAGCCAATCAATCAAAAAACGATGATTTCATGTGTTACTTGTGCCCCTCACTCCCTCTTTCCTTTTTTTGTTGAATGGTCTACACGTCCATTGTTCCTCACCAAGTGTTACAGCGCAACCCAACCACAAACAGCGCCTATGTTGAAATAGACCATGATATTCATGAATTTCCTGTAGGCGGGCCTTACACACTTCAAAAGATGGGCCCATTTTATGTAGGCGATCTATGGGTCATGGCTGGCCAGAGCAACATGCGGGGCCATGGTTACTATCGAGACCCTTTTACAGGACATGAGCTGTGCAAGGAACCTCAACCCCATGTATTCTTGTATGATTCTTCAGAACGTTGGAGACCGTTTGACCGAGATCCTTCGCATCAACTTCATCAATCACCTCGATCTGTCCATCACACACTTCCTGATCCAACCGTACGCGATCCTCACTTACTTGAAACGCGAGGTGCTTCTTTGGCTGTTGGATTTGCAAATATGTATCGTGCCATCATGCCTGATGTGCCATTGGGCTTGATCGCCAGTGCTCATGGCGGTACATCCCTTTCTGACTGGCAACGTCCTGCTGAACTGAATACACAGACAGCAGATACGACACTCTATGGCGCCATGTGGGACAGAATTCAACAGGTTCATTCTGTGGCTGGCATCCTATGGTATCAAGGCGAATCAGACACATCCAACAAACAAGATGCAGACACCTATCTCGACAGGTTTCAACATTGGCTCTCTACCCTGCGCGCTGATCTAGAGCAACCCAACTTGCCTTTGGTGTTTGTACAGATTGGACCGCATCGTGTGAATGTGCCAGCCATGATGGAACACTGGAAGACTGTACAAGATGCTCAGTTTCAACTGATGGGCTCATGTCCATTTACTGCAGGTGTTGCTAGTCTTGATGTAGACCTGGATGATCGCTTGCATCTCTCAGCTTGTGGATTGTCCAGTGTAGGAAAGCGATTAGCCATCGCAGCCCATAAGGCCAAACAAGGGCAGGGCCATCAAGCCACGCCCTTACCTGATAAAGCTTATCTTGAGACAACGCCATCAGGACATACGAGTATCGTGGTTGAGTTCAAGTATCTACATAAACCCTGGCACCTGAAAGCGTATGAACAAGTCTTTGGTTTCTCTATTGAGTCTAGCAAGATAGCACTCTTGAAAACAATCGTGTGTGATGACTCCAAGGGCTCTGTGCGATTATATCTTTCAGATAAACCAGACACACCCTTCACCATTTATTATGGTATGCATCAATCCATGGTCAATTTAGTTACATTGGATGGCATGGCACTGCCTGCTTTTAAACTTAAAGTTTATTAAATAAATGGTATGTTTTTCTCTTTCTTTATCGACGAGGATATCCAGCAGAATTGCGATGATTGCTCAACACTAAATGGAACAAAGCTTGTGTATCAGGCTTTTGACTGTGTGACATACAGACATGAATCACAGGTCGTTCTCCACCGCCATTGTAGTAAGCAAGGCGAATGTTTTCACCCGAGATAATCTGTACAAGCTCACCCTATTACATATGTATATATATATATATATAAATTAGTTCATGCTTCATAGATACATGTATACTTACGTTATCTACATGACGAATTTCGATAAAGTAGGGATCAATGGCAATGATATAAGGATGCTCATACACAATATGACTTGGTGTACCTTCCCAATCACAGATAGTAGCAGGTCTAGATGGATAAGTAACATGCGAATAGTCTCAAACAACTTACTTTCTCTTGTCAGGTCGAGGCACAAGTGAGCCATTACGATTATTGACATAGAACGCAAAACGATCATAACACAACAAGAACTTGTCATTGATACGATACATGGCCAAAGGCTTCAATGGTTCTGTATGGCGTGTTACGAAATAGAATTCAGGATCTTCAGAATCAGGAATATCACGTCCTACTGTCAAATTCTCAGGATCAATCACTTCGAATCCACGCTCACAGACAATGTTCAATTTGGCCTTGAGGAAATGGATGTTGCTTGCTTCTGCACCCACATAGAAATCCTTGTATTTCTTGAACCATCTCAAATAGTCTGGACGATTACTAAAGATAGAAGGACGATGGGTTAAATGCTTTTCGTTTTTAGGGTCACGTAAATCACAAAAGGGTTCAAGAGCAGTAAACACACTGGTGGTATTCTTCTTCTTTTTGAACACAAGCATGTCTCGACCATTACAGAACCCGACTTGGAAGAAATTGACATGTTGAGCAATCTCGACTTCTTGACGGTCAATCGCACGGGGATTGGTTCTAGAGTCCAGAGTATCAATAGGATAAGCCTTCAATGCTTTTTCAGTCAAGACAACCAAGATATGGAACTTTTCAATCACGGCCATTTGTAATACACTTTCGCATTGAATGATACGACGTACAGAATGATCTTGTCCCTCCGTCTTGAAGAACACACCGTTTTCAGTACCGATGGCAATCTTCTTTTCGCCTGTTTGGGAAATAAAGGGTACAGAACAATTAATGCGTGTGGTTGTGCCTGTGGATGGACCAGATCCAGTGTTCCTAAAGTTGATATCGTCTAAAGGACGAAGTTCAAACACTTCAGAATCACCATGACGTTTCTTGAGTGTGACCTTGGCATCATCAATGGCCTTGACCCATGTCTGTTTCTCTTCCACAGAAGAACAAAAAAAGGAATAAACTGCACCCCCTCGAGACCCCAAATGATGAAGCGTCAACGTAGTGCCTGAAGAAGTCTGAGGTAGCGTGTAAGAAGAAGAAGTGCCTGAAGCTTGGTATTTCACAGAAGAAGAAGGATTGTTTTGAACAACCAACATTTGTAATGGAATAGGCTTTTTCCAAAGACGATATTCTTCCCCTGTGTTTGTCTTACGAAGTTTGGTCATCAGTAACATATGGTCAAACACAAACGCATAAATGTCGTTCTTGTCAGCTACATCCAAAGACCCACTACGACGCTTCAGTGTACCCTTATGGTAAAGACGACGGTTAGGATCGTTTAGTTGCAAGTCATACGTTTCGCCTTGTTTGAAACTGATGCTGTCACGAATATGCAAGATAGCTAAGCGTTTCTTGATATTTGTGGCTGTGTTATCAGCCTTCGTGGCTACAGACCGAATAATATCATAACTGCGTGTCAAGAAGACATGGTCTGGATGATCTTCAGGTGTCTTTTTCAAAAGAGCTTCAATCAACAATGGGTAACGCTGCATACGTGTAACTGGACTCAACAGATAATGCCAGATAGGCAAACGATTGGTACGGTCATGCTTAGCAAGTTCTTTGCAAAACTTGTCAAATTCAGGATTGTTCTTGATTTCTGCTTCAGCCAAATACTTGGCCAAGAGTGCATGTGGACTGTACTTGACATAGGCTTCTTCAAAAAACTGCATATGCTGAACAAGAATATCACCAATCGTAGGCACACATTGGCCTTCGTATTGACGATAACGAGCCAACATATCTTTAAACATGGAGTCACTCATCTGTAACAGTTCTTGGTAGTTATTGAACACAGTTTGGATAAAAGCACCCACACGATCAGCCTCAATGACGCCTGATTGTTCAATACCCTTAACAACGACTTCATGGAGAATGGTCAAGTCTGCCAAGTACTTTTCTTCTGAATAAATGGTTTCGTTCAACACTTCTTGTCGACCAATCTCTTTCTTGTCTAGCGCCTTGAGGAATTCTCGGTCCATTCTAGCAGACCAAGCTTCATGCGATACAAGCTATGTATTGTTAGTGCTCATCAGTGAGACCAAAATAATGTCTTACCCAACCACCTGCAGGAGAGCTAATGGATGTTTTTGTAGTATCTTGTTGTACTGTGGTTTCATCCGTCTAATAATAGATAATATCAGTCTCACATAGATATAGTCATTGCTCACCTTCTCAATGATAAAGTCTTTGCCTACATTAGGACAAGACTCTGAATAACAACCACCCATGCCAGGTTGACAAGCATAACTATAACAAGGTGTCAAACTAGGCAATACACCTGTAGGTACATTATCCACAGACACATCTTCTTCTAGATAATACGTATCATCTGCATTGACCGAATTAGAGATCAAGGATTTTTGCGAATACTGTGTAGGTGAGAACAAAGGAGGTTGAGATCGCATCAGCGTATTACAGACCAAGATACAGTATTCATCAGGCACTTGTTCCTTGAGTAGATTCTTGATGATTGTTACTGCTTCGGACCCTGTAAATGATTCATTGTATTCGCTGGCACACCATAATTCTCTAACATTTTCGAGCCCCTTGACTGCACGCATAAAAGCAACAGACAAGACAGAAATCAAACCATAATTAGGTTCCTCTGGTTTCTCTTCTTGTGCCTGTTTTTGTGCCTGTTCTTGTTGAGGTACAGGCTGTAACACAGGTTTCATGACTTGTACTTCTGTAGGTGCAGGAACAACAACAGGAGGAGGAGGAGAAGAATGTGTTTGTGTTGTAGGTGAATATTCATTCACGCGATGACCACTAAAGTACTCTTCTTCATCGCTATCTGTGTCGGGTGATACAGGAATAAAAGGTACTTCACCATCTTCTGTTGCATTCTCTGGTAGATAATCATACCGAGGACGCTCAATTGTCATGATCATATTCGATCGAAGTGAAGATTGCCCGCGCTTAGGTGGTTGCATAGGTGCAGGTGGTCTTACAAATCCCACAGGTGTACTGCTACTGGCTGTTGAAGGAGTAGATACATCAGATGTTTGGTGTTGAATGGTAGGTCGATAAGAGCTGTTGATCAACTCCTGTGTAGCATCAGGGTAGCCTGCAGGAGGATACATCTGAGGTTGAGGAAACATATGCTGATGGTTGGGTGAGCCAGGTGGTGTACCTTGACTAGGGTTACGTTGATGATGGTAACGAAAGATGTCACTATTACCAGAAGGCTGACGTCTGTGTTGAGGCAGTTGAGGGACTGGCATAGGCATATTTTGAGCTGCATACGTATCGTTCATAGAAGAGACTCGCTGAGGTAAGGGCGTATTGTTACTAGGTGGATAATAGTGTGGGTTTACTGGTGGCGGTGGATAACCATAATGGTTATTTTCTTGAGGAGGGTAATAATACTTGTTGGAATCATCTGCTGTCGTGTTTTTGATATAGCCATTCGCTTCTGTTCTTGCAGGAAGTGCTGGTGTTGGTGTTGGTGTATTTTGAGGATAATAGTAATAGTTGGGCTAACATGTATATAAACATACTTGCTTTGTTTTGTTTTGTTTTGTTTTGTTTTTTAGACTTACTTGTTGATACCCATTATTCTGATAATATCCTTGCTGAGGTTGACCTACAAGTGAGTTCAACATAGCGTCCACTTCATTTTGCGCATTTGTTCTGTTATCTTCCTCGTAATACTGAGGATGATATTGCTGATGAGACATGGAGCAAGATGAAGAGAAAAAAAGGAAACAAGAGTTAAATTTAGATTTTATAGCCCAGCATTTTTTTTGCTATAGATTGAAAAGGAGTTTAAACTCATTCGCGACAATTCGAACGACCTGCCTTTTTGGGTGAAATAGCTTCACCTGTAAAGATGTATGAAAGAGTTATATTAATCATAAAGTGAATATTGCCATTCTCTTTTAACTCTGTAAGTTTCTGTCTCTAGACGCGTATACTAAAATATCAGGCCATAATGTCTTGATTCCAAACAACATGACAAATGTGGAGGGGGGTTTTTTTTTTGACACTGCATAAAACTGACTTGAATTAACTTCAACTTCAAAGATCAACTACAAACATTTTTGTTTGTTAAAAGAATCAAGTGATACTCTTTTTTTTTTTGTATTTTTGGTTGACATTAAAGTGGAGAAAGTGTTTTTGTTTCTTTATCATACTAACTTCTTTTGCTTTGACATCTTTTATATCTAGAGACCAACTTCATGTTCAAGAGTGTAGTCCCGAAGTTATTAACATAATTCCAAAAGCTTTAGTTGACATTTAAGCCTACACATTCGGGGATAGTGAATGGAATACATTTTGACCGAGTTAAATGATTTTATCAACATTAAAGTTGAAGTTCATGTTAAATTTATTTGTGCTTTTAAGATTATGATAGGAGTAGGGATTATTTATGATTTCTTTGCTAATGTTTTCGCATAACGAAGACCACAGGCGTTACAGAGTTCCTTCGGCCCGTTAGGACCTTTACGCCACTCGGGTGAGTCTGTACTTTGACACTGAGCACACATTTTAGGAATATCAGGAGAAGTAACAGACTTTTTCTTTTGCTAACACAAGAGTAAGTTACACACATTAAACACACATATATATACACGTTTGATTTACCTTTCTGCGCTTTGGATTTGTGTAATTCTCGAGTTGTTCTTTTAATTTACGATTGGCCATTTGGAGTTGATGAAGTTCAAATTGCCATGAAGTACCTCTGACAGTCTCTAGTTCAGCAAACATGTTTTCTTCTAAATCAGAACCTTGTGTAGCTGTGGGTTCCACACCAGCTATTTCTGTACTGTCCTTGGCTCTGATTTGAATCAAAGCAAAACTAGGTCGACCCACACCAAACGAGATATCGCCAGGATAAAAAGTAGAAAACACAGGTACATAATCGCCCTTGTTGTTCTGTATTGTATGATGCAGGTTGACAATACGACCCTCACGTACTAAATCCAAAGCACGCGTAATATCACGTATATGATTATCACCTACATATTGGTAGAGTGTAGCACCTTGTAAAGCATCTGCACTGAAGCCCACTACATCTTCGCACAACGAAGTAACATGCAAGAACAGCCCCGTTAAACTTGTCTTGGTCCAAAACTCGGAGCCATTCGCAATATCTGTGGCTTGCACAATTTCCTTGCGAATCAGTTCGTACATGGGACGCTCGCGTCCTGCCAAAATAAGACATTTACGGCCTTTGCTTTGATCGATATGAATCTTGCCTTGACATTCCATCCACATATAACCCGAGTATTTACGACGCACACGGAAAATCAGATTGACGACTTTATCTGGGCTGCTTGCTGATTCTTTGATTTCTCGCATCACAGGCACAATATCTGAGGGGTGACAAATAGACGACAGAGGATGACCCACCAGTTCTTCAGGGTCGTGTTCCAACAAGTGAGAAGCAGAGCGAGAGCAATACAGGAAAAAGCCCTTCAAGGACAAGACATGAATAAAGTCTTCTGATTGGTCCAACAATAACTTGTTCCATTCTTGTTGCAGTTGTTGTTCATTTTCGCCTGAACAGTTGACAAGTTCGAGAACTTCAGGAGAAGCCAATGTCGATGTAGGAGTAGAAGCAGTAGTAGCAGCAGCAGTAGAGGGTAGTTCACGGAAATAATCATCGACAGGCTCCGAGCTGAAACCTGAATAATAAAAAAAAGATAAATAAATGCATGAAAAATAATTGAGTGTTACTTACTACTACCAGGAATATAGGGAGGAAGGTTCATTTGTTGATAATTGACCATATAAGTACCATCTAAAGGGGGGAAGTCAGCATGAGTGAGCCAGCCCAGTTCATACGTTACTTTTCATCTTTTCAAGAATAGCATTAGGCTGTTCAACAAGATCTACTTGTAAACCAACAAAAAAAGCGACTTGACCATCATCATTTGTAATGGGAATAACAGTGATTAAATTGACGAAAGGCTGATGATGGATAAGTACGTGAGCTACATGCATATATCTGGACTTACTTGGCCACCTTTTCTATAGTTGATGATACTTGCTTGATGTTCTTTGTTTTGTAACATTTGTGCCTTCAAGTGATAAACAGCTTGATTGTCTGTATAAGTACGACGTGAACCCACTGTAACTTGACCATCGGGTGCTTGAAGGAACCGACAATTTCGACCTACGATTTCGTTGGCTACATAACCTGTTAAATGCTCAAATGTAGGTGAACAATATACAATAGGGCAATCGTATTGGCGTGCATCTGTCACTAAGAAAGAACAAGACATGTCAATCGGACCTAAATTGATTTGAGGGTTGGGTCTAATTATGGATGTATCAGCGTAAATTCTAGAATAAATTTAGCTAACCTGTTCACAAGCCTCGAAAGTACACCAATCATATCAAAGCCTGAACTAGAGTAAACACCTGTTAAAGGCGCAGTGGAAGGCTGTTCAACTTGTACAGGCTTAAGATCAATGGTTGGGATTTCGACAAGTTGCTGGTCATTGATGATAGGATGTGTTAAGCCTGGAATACCCAATGGAGTAGATTTAAATTGTGTTTCTTGTTGCGGCTGCTGAGCCATTTTTCATAGAGAAAAAAATTTCTTATCTTTACAAAAGCGAAAAAAAGTGGAAAAAAAAGTGCTGAACTATATACAAAAAAAAGTTATTTTATAATCTCTGTTCGAGTTGCACTAAAAAACCGAAAAAAGATTGATAGTTTCCATAAAGAGGTTAGAGAAGTGAATGATTGGCTCTGATCAGCATCTGATTGACAATCCAAGAGCGTGACGAGTGAGAATGGAGCTTATGAGTTTTGTTTAGGGACACATGAAAAGGGCAAAAAGGTTTGGTGTAGGTTTGACAAGCTTTAGTGTTGTCCAAAAATTGATTTCAAAACGTAATGCAGGGGGGGATGTAACAAAGGAGCTATTTTCTCTTGGTTGATATAGGAGAAGCTTGTTTTCTCCTATCATGGCCTGAGCATATCTTATTTACCTTTTTTGCCAAAAAAGGAGATACAAAATATATAGGCTATCTTTAAGTAAAGAGAGAGGGAATCCATCCAAAGAAAACATATGTGTATACAGTAAGAACGGTAAATTTTGTCACTTCGAATGTCCATAACTAAAAAGTAAATGTTACTTTCCAAAAAAAAAAACTAATTGCACTAAGTCAAAAAAACAACTGTCCCTTTATGTCCTTTTGAAAGAGAAATATCATAATAGGCTAAGGTAAATTGACCTAAAAATGATATGTATTTTTGACTTCAAGACGCTTAGAATCGAGTTTTATTATAACATTGAATGATTTGTCGTTTAGAGTGACTGACAAAGCTGTCATCATACACTGTAGCTGGTTCTTCTACAATAAACCCATCTATAGTGGTTTTTTTTTTGTCCTTTGCTACTTTTCTTTTCTTGATTGTAGGTGCCTTGTTACTTTGAAGCTTCTCTTTCTTTGGTAGTGACTTTTCCATCACTAATGAATGCATATAGTCCGGTAACCAAAAAAAAAAAAAAAAAATCATTGATTTATTAGCTAATGCTAAAATGTTTGTCGGCGAAGTAGACTTTTCTCTCAAGGAACATAAATACATTTTTATAACTACATTGTTTTTTCATTAAAGTTCTAGACCATATCATTCAGTGATTTGGTATGTTTAGAAAAGAAATTAGACGACATTAATTTTGTGTTAAATTACCTACAGTCGATCTTCAGCCTTTAGTTTGGTATCTAATTTCTTTGGCTTTAAGTTTGTTTGGCTTTGAGTTTCTCTTTTTAAAGGCGTTTTCCTTCAATTTTAGGCTCGCTTTACTGTAAATGCGAAGTTAAGAGAATATAGTAATATAAATATTTTGACTGATTTTTACCTTTGATGTCTTGTAATAATACATTTTCACTTTCTGCTTGTACCCTGGTTTGGTCGTGAATTCGTTTAACTTGTGAATTGCGAGTCTCTACTTTACTCCAGAAAACTTCTGTAGCCGAGTTTTTTAAAATCAAAATATTGCCGAAGCGAAGGCTGAAAATGAGATAAATGCCCATCCTAAGTCTTGGTTTTACAATATTCGACACCTATTTTAGATAGAAAATCGACCCCCAAAAAAAAGAATGGATTGAACTGAACATTATTCTTATTAGCTACTTTGAGAGATATAAGGAAAAAAGAGGTCTTAAAGTTTATTACTATATTTATATGAAAAACAAAGCGCCAAGACAACTGAGATTGTTATTGTAACGACCAACAGCAGGGTGGAAATACTACCGAGCTTGTCTCCCTTTAACAAAGAAAAAAGAGAAAAGAACAAAATTTAAAGTAGCCTCTATTTGCGTCAATCACAGTTTGGTATTGGTTGGTCATATTGTGTAATGGTATGAATGTAATGAGTTGGAGATTATCTCATTTTTAGCAATTATGCAATTGAGAAGATTATTCAACTACTTCCACATATCCTTGTCAATATTTTACATATACTGGTTAACATATGTCACCCTTCTATCCTCTGCTGTTTCTCATAACCTAATGTAAGTAATAATATGAATATCACATGCTCTGCTTAATTTCTGGAATTTAATTTTTGCTTATTTAATATCTTATTTTTTTCATAACAATTTTTTTTCCAATAAAGTGTATAAAGGTATAATAAGAAAGAACTTAATGAGTAATTTCCTCGTATAGCATTTCTATGGAAAAAAAGTTAGTTTGTTTGTTTTTATACAAAAATAGACTTACGCTTTAGTTGTTCCTTGGTGAGCTGATCTTTATATCTATCAAAGTCAAAGAAACTTTCAGGAATAGGTGGAGCATCAGGTTCATCATCAGGGTCATGGTACTAAGTCAAAGTAAGTACAAGATAGATACAAAGATGGATGGACTTACTGGTTCAAGATATGGGTGCTTTAATGCTTCTTCTACATTAATACGCTTTGCAGGATTGAATGTCAACAGTTTTTCAAGCAAGTCGATAGCTATCATCGAATGTCAGTCATTAGATATAGACGAACAACTTTACCCATGGGATTAGCATTAGGAAACAAACGAGAAAAGGGAATTCTCTTTTTGAAAGGCAAACTACGAATATAATCTCGAGCTCTTCTTGACTTGATACCATAAAAGTCATCCATGGTAGGTGTACCAAGTACATCAAGAATCAAAGTCAATTGGTGGTGATAGTCTCTACCAGGGAAAAGAGGCTTTCCGCTCAACATTTCAGCCAAAATACAGCCCACAGACCAAACATCAATGGCTTTTGTGTATTCTTTAAATGTCAACATGATTTCAGGTGCACGATACCAGCGTGTAGCAACGTATTCTGTCATAAATCCGCTGTTTTCATCTGCAGAATTGGCAGATCTGGCTAACCCTAAATCACAAATCTATCCCCTATCATTCAATATGCCTGCGCCTTTATTTCTGTACGTACCTTAAGGTCGCAATTGGCGTTCAGCAATAAATTTGAAGGCTTCAAGTCACGGTGAAGTACATTAGCAGAATGCATGGCTTTTAAGGCACGTAATGTTTGATAGGTAAAATACTGGCAATGGTCATCTGAAAGGTCTTGAGTACGAATAACACGGTGCATGTCTGTTTCCATCAGTTCTTGAATAAGGTATCTATCTATGATCAGCAACAGAGGTCATCTCTTTTTTTACTTACACTTCAGTGAAATCGTCTAGTGATTTGGGCTTCATGATGTCGAGAATAGAGATAATCTATGCCATGTTAACACTTCATCTTGTAATGACAACTCACGTTTTCATGATTAAAGTACTTGAGTAACTTGATTTCACGTAATGTCCGAAGACAAAACATAGCATGATCAAAGGGTAAAATACGCTTAATAGCTACCATTTGACCTGTAGGCTTATGGACTGCAGAACTGACATAGAAGTTAGATATTTGCCATGATAATGTTAATCACTTACCATACAACACCATAGGCACCTTCACCAACAATGTCAATTACATCATATTGGTCACCACCATTAAAGTGTTTTAATCGTGACGCTATTTCATCCCTGCGCGACATTTTGTTTGTTCAGATGAGAAAGAAGAATAAAAAGAACAATCAAAAGTACTGGAGCATAGACAAAAGCTGCGTATGAAATAAACAGCTTTGATTGGGTAAAAACAAATTGGCTATACAGTTAATTAAAAATTGCAAGGAACATTATATTGTGTGAATAAGATCCAGACAATATTCCTGGTTGTCGTGACAACAAATTTCCGGGAAAATCAGTAACGGATCAAGATCTGAAACATTGCTTATGCTTGGTTAGAATGGCCCATTTGAGAGCATCTACTTTGCTTTATTTCACATTCAAGGAGATGATATATATAGATAAAGGGAGGCGAAACAAACACTAAAAGAAGAAGTGATAAGCCTATTTCTTTTTTATATCATTTCAAAAATAATCAAATATAACACACAAGACGTCAAATTAGACATAGCATCTGAGCCTTAATAAAAATGATGACACGGCTCTCATGCAACAAATAAAAACGCATCGGACGGATTTGCAAAGTTTATCCATAAAAATTCTTTTTCATTGGCTTGAATCCAGCTTACTAAACATGCAATGTATGACGCGAAAATATAGTGTCTCTCCCATGCGCATGCGTCTCTATATAAGTTTGTCTCGGTTTTTTTTCTACATTTTTCTTTTTTCTTCTTTAGTATTTATAAAATGGTTAACGCAATTGCTGTTCTCAAGGGTAACGACGTTTCTGGTGTCGTCAAGTTCTCTCAAGCTTCTGAAGATGCTCCTGTTGTTGTTGATGCTTCTTTCACTGGTTTGAAGCCTGGAAAGCATGGTTTCCACATTCACGAATTCGGTGACAACACCAATGGTAAGTCTCTTTATGCAAAACAAAAAATCGGTTAACACGTATCTATAGGTTGTATCTCTGCTGGTCCTCACTATAACCCTCACGGTAAGACTCACGGTGCTCCTGAAGCCGAAGTTCGTCATGCTGGTGACTTGGGTAACATTACTGCTAACGCCTCTGGCGAAGCTACCTTGAAGGTTGAAGATTCTCAATTAAAGTTGATTGGTCCCTTGTCTATTATTGGGTATGTCTATACATATCATGATTGTCATCACTAACATCTTTATAGTCGTACTGTTATCGTTCACGCTGATGAAGATGATCTTGGTCTCGGTGGTCATGAACTTTCTGCCACTACCGGTAACGCTGGTGATCGTTTGGCTTGTGGTGTTATTGGTGGTAAGTTTTCAAAGATAAAAAAAATTAGATCAATTGACTGATGACGTTCCCTCTCTTCTTTCCCATGTAGTTACCAAATAAGTCAACCTGTTCAACCTTCATACCAAAACCATGCATTTTAATATAAAAAAAAATATACGCGTTTTTTATGATTGTTCAAGTTCTTTTATCATGTCTAATAAGACTTGATCTGTTGTTGCTTTTCTTGAGAGCTGTGCTACATCTCGTATAAGCATTTCTTGATCTACTGTCAAGAACCGATAGTTCTTGAGGATATATAAATAAAGATTGTTGCTGATATATACATTCTGAAGTAATCCATAAAAAAACTGGTGTAATGCATCCAGCAGTTGTGGTAGAGGTGGGACTGCTAGGTTAGATGTGTCTACTGCGCGTTGTCGAACGTGTTTTTGTCTGTCTTTGTCTAATACACTTAATTCTGTTTCAATATAAATACACCAATCTGTACATTGTGCAATAAATTCAGGTGTCCAGCTGACTACACAGTCTGTTTTTGATTGACTTAAAAGGCGAGTATAATCCAAAATGGCATCTACCAGTAAATCCATCATCAGAAAAAATAAAAAATAAAAAATAAAAAAAAGTATATATATATATATATATGAGAGAGAGAGAGAGAGAGGGGGGGGGTTTATATTGCAGTATAATTTTTTCTTTTCTTTTTTTTCTCTAATATCTTCCGTCTAAAACACGAAGCTGTACAAACGTTTTAAGTGCCTTTTCATACACGCCTAAAAAGATACTGCCACCAACTGAGATCCACATCATACGAGGTCCAATACCTGAAAACAAAGCGCGTGGACCTTCTTCAGCTGCAATGCGTCTCATGGTCGATATAATACCATCGTATTGCTTAGTGGTTTGGTTCTTTGTGGACAGCATGATACGGGTCTTACAGACATCTAAAGGTGTTGTTGTACCAGCAGCAATAGCACCAGCTAAGGATCCCATCAATGCAGCCTCATAAGGTTCTGTATTGCGTCCCTTGAGAGTAGCATAGGATCGTTTAAAGTATTCATATAAAGGGAACTGAATACATGTAAAAGGAATTTCTCGCGCTACTGTAGACAATAATCCTCGGTACATACCCAAAATACCTTCAGTACGTAACACGTTTGAGACAGCTGCTGATGTCTTGGTGAATTGTTTGGTTTGCATACGTTGTTTAATGACTTCAGTAGGTACTCGGACTGTACAGGCCACCGTTTCACCACATGAAGCAGCAGCCATATGAATCAAGGGTGCATATTGTGCATTGTCGACTGTGGCACCTAATAAACGTTTGGTGGCTTCATATGTCACAAAAAACAAAGAGGCTATGATGGAATAAATATAAAACATGGATGCATTGATATGACTTGCCTCCTGGCGCGCTTCCAATCACAGCAGTCAATAGACCAGAGTAAATACCACGAAATCCTCCAGAAGCAATGAATCCATGTTGAGACTGTAAACGAGTTTTAATGGTATCTAACATTTATTAGACCTTTTTTTTTTTACATATATTTTTGTTACCTAATGGGAATAAAGCAGTATCTACAGCAGTACCAGCACAAGCACCTGCAACCAAAGCTTGTTTCAAGTTGCTTTGTTGTTGAGTTGAGCTGCTCATAATAAATTAAAAGAGAAAGAAAGAGAGAAAAAAAAAGTTTTTAAACCCCTTGTTGTCTTTTGTAAAGAAAGTATTCCGACACCATTCTTTACCAGGTAAATGTACAATACAATCCTTTTCTTTCTTTCTTTTTGGAAATCGTCTAATCTTAGGGTAAAATACTGTAATTGTTCTCCTGTTTGACACTTCAAACACGATTGCTTTTGGGCAAGTTTGATCTGTTCTAGATTAATGACAAGCAATTGTCTTTGTAAAAAATTATTCTAAAGTGTGATGTTTGGGTTGTGAATGAAGATATAATAGAAGATAGAAAGAAACAAAGAAATACAGTGAGACTGTTCAGTACTTCTTTATTACAAAAATAATTCTTTTCTCTAAAATACATCTTTTCCAGTGTGTCTTTTATACTACCTGATTTATTGACTAATTATGATTACTGATTATTAATTACTTAACACTTTGACAGCTTGTGCCCGGAAATTGGCTATGTAGATTCTTCTTTAATCCTCCTGGTTATCTAAAAGGCACAATTATGGTTTCCTTATTTGTAAATATCCATATTATCCCAGTTATCGTTATTTACTGTCATTATACAATGCTTACTTTATATTTATAATGTATAGTGCTATAAGTGATTATTCGTTTATATTATGAAAGACCATTTATTATATTTTGTATTGAAAGTGCTCAGATCACCACATGAAGTATAAAAGACTTAAAGAACTTTAAATATATCTTAATGCATGAACAAAGAGATAAAAAAAACCCCCCCCCACATAAACCCAGTCACAACCGCATTGCATAAGGGCCAATGATCAAAAATAAACCCTGTTCTTTTCTATTATTTCTCAACATGTCTTCCAGTATTGGAGCTAATTGTACTGAACTTAAACAAAAGTACGATAATTGCTTTAACAAGTGGTATTCTGAAAAGTTTCTGAAGGGAGATACTACACCTGAATGTGAAGATCTTTTTAAAGACTATAGAGCATGCGTTATGGTAAGTTAATGTCAACATAGACCTGGACTAACACTCTATGCAATAAAGTCCACATTAAAAGAAAAGGGAATTGATAAATTACTGGATGATTCTCGTAAAGAAGCACCTTTTCCTTCAACAGAACAAAAACAAGAACCATCTTCTGAAAAGAGTTCATAGACATACAATAAAGACTTTTTTTTTTTTTTTTATAAAGACTGAGGATAAAATACTCCTTTTTTTCTTTTTCTTTTGTTTCTTTTTCAGTATGGCATCAATTATCAATTCTCTTGCAGTTCCTTCAAGTTATCGCGATCAATTATATCAAGTAAAGAAAAGAAACGCGTTCATGTATTCATTATTCATGCTCTATATAGGGTTCTTCTAATCAACTCTCTGACGATCTCTCCACTACAGCTACACTCTATGTTGGCAATCTCTCTTTCTTTACAACAGAAGAACAAATCTATGAGTTGTTTGCTAAATGTGGCGAAATCAAGCGTATCATCATGGGTTTAGATCGTAACCAAAAGACACCTTGTGGATTCTGTTTTGTAGAGTAAGGAGAAAGACACAACCTGTGAACAAACTAACATGCCTTATAGGTATTATCATCGTTCTGATGCGCTTGATTGCATGAAATACACCAATGGTACCAAGCTTGATGAACGTGTGATTCGTTGTGATCTTGATCCAGGTTTTAAAGAAGGTAGACAGTTTGGTCGTGGTAAGAGTGGTGGACAAGTCAGAGACGAATATCGTACAGAATATGATGTTGGTCGAGGTGGTTGGGGTCACCGTATGCGTATGCAACTCGAAAACGAACGTGAACGTAACATCAAGGAGAACTATGAGGCCATCAAGGACATCCCTCAAGGTGCTGATGAATACAAGAGTCGATCTGGTACTGCAAACAATAAGCGCAAATATGAAGACAACAGTCAAGATGAAACACATAAGCGTCAAAAAGAACAGGTAAGATCAATGCATAGACAAGCATGTTTTATTTATCATGATGTAGAACCCTCGATTCAGAGAGAACGAAGACGAAGATGATGAATAATAAAGCATTAACGACTAGATGAAAAAGGAGGGGGCGACAGTGGTTGATGATGATATGTGGGTTTAGAGCGTAAGGGTTTTACGAGTTGTGCCAAAGGCTGAAGAGAGACTTTCTTGACAAATTGAGACAACAACTTGCTTGTGCCTTTATTAGACACTAAGTTTTCGAAATACTGTGCTTTATCAGAATCATGCTGACTTAATGAATTCAATGATTTTGTTCTTCGAAGTGAAGCCATGCTTTGTATCGTTTCTTTGCTTTCAAAAGATGCTGTTCTTATAAGCAATAAGGTCATCTAAAAGCAAGCAACTTACCTTGACGAGAGAATAAGGGACCATGATTAGGTGGCCATGGGCAATAGTTCAATGCATGTCGTTTCATATCAGCCTTGTCTGCCAATTCAATTGTCCAGTAGGTATTTTCAGTCCATCGTTCTGCTGTGATGTCTTCATCTACACACAACACACTTCTTTTATTGCTTGACTTTACATTAGGTTTCATGACAGGAAGAAAGGCGGTTAACAACCCAATTTGCTGTAGCTGTATTGTGTCTCCATACATCAATGGCTTTCTACGCCGTATATGTTCATGAAAGTTCAGCTTAAGATTGACTTGTATCTCTGTCATGTATTTGAGTTGGTTGTTGGGGTATTCAATCGTCCAGTCTAATCGTTGCTCACTCTCTGGACTGGATACTAACTGGAGTCCTCTCAATTTAGAGAAATCCCGGTGAGGCTCGAGTTGTTTTGAGTAAGGACGGCATGAGAGTGGCATGGTATGTGTGTCTACCCATGTATGCGTTCGGTCCTGTATTTGCCATGGTTCAGTCGATGAAGTCTCCTGCCTATCCGGTCTATTGGAACGACAAGCAGGATAAATATATATTTGATCAAACCCAGAGAGATGCTGACAATCTGTCTCATGGGACAAGTTCATGTTGGGTGTCCATAAACATCGCCAAAGATACTGTGTTTCAGGCGATTGGTCAATTTCAGCAGAAGCAATGGCTCGTACAAGAAAGTCTTGGTGTTTGCGTACATCCCAGCAGAGATAACTCTGAGTGGCTATATTATAAAACTTAATAGGCTGATAGATACTGACGCGTATATGGCGTTGTGTCATGATGCCCTGAATCAATTCAGTCCATTCAGGCATCAAGAATGCATGCATAGGCACTAAATCCATTCTGGACACAATCTCTGCTGTGTCCATAAAGTGCTGTAAATCAAACTCAGTCTGTGGATTCAATGCATGCCATTCTTCTTTAAGTAAATTCAAGTTGAAATAGAATCCATTCATGCTGTCCGTTTGATTTGTAAACTTATAGGTTTGTTTCAAGTGTGTCTTGTAGCCTAATATCAGTTTACGCGGCCATAAATAACCAAATGTGTGCCAGAGTGTCATTAGATTATGCCATTGGTCTTGTGGATCTTGTGTTTTTTTGAGTTGATCTAGGTGTGTCTGAAGTGCGCGTGTAGGTCTTGATATCTGATCTACTTTAAAAGACGCATGTTTACGTAACTGCAATAGATGAAGTGTGTTTACATTATTGTGTGTGTCTTTGGCTGCATGGAACATCAAGTAAAAGTCAGAGAATGTATTCATCATACTATCATCGCTTAGATGGGTAAGAGCACCACAATTCACTAAATTGTCTGCCCAATCCCATTCCGTAATCAATTCTGTCGTAATCGGTGAATTTGGTTCAGGATGGATAGTTATACAAGGTTTCTGGTTTAATACAAAGCAATTCTGGTCAGATAGTTTGCCGTTAGGACAAATACCATGTCGCCATGAATTCAATCGGTGTAATAGTTGATATATTTGATCGTCATTTAATACAGGATAAAGCATATGAGAAAAAAAAAAAGGAAAACGTCGGACAATCAAATGTTAGATCCAAGCATAGAGAAAGGATAACCAGTTTAAGAATCCATTTTGATGTGTTTCTATTGACTGTTGTTGCTTTATGTCTTCACTAAATATGAACTCTCTTGGAGGTCCATTGATTCTAAGTGCTTCTTGATAGAGTGCAATGGCTTCTTGCATATGTTCACGCATGTACTCTATTCTTTCTAGATTGGGTGGATGACTGGATCCAAACCATGAATTAACAACTGAACTTAGAAATTCACGTACACCTTGGTCTAAATCATGCACATCTTGTTCTGATGAAGAAGAAATAGACCTTTTGGCTAGAATAGCTTGTGGATCAAACACATGCTTTTTCTTTTCATCTTCACCAAGCACATTTTCTAAATCTGCTAGTCTTTCCCAAACATCCACAGCCACTTGAGGATCATAGCCTGCTTTAGCAAGAATCTTAAGCCCTACTAGATCAGCCTATAGCTTATTTTTAGTTGCTTTTTTTTTTTCTTGTATCTTCTTTACCTCTTTCTCTAATCGTCTGTTATAGGTTGTCTGTGTTTCCATAGTAATAAAAGTTGATATAGAGTCATTGATTTTCTGATTAATATAAGGACCTAATGATTCTGTCACCATCCAGAATACACCGCGTGTAATGTCTCCCAACATAAACATCAAAGAAGCAAATCCATGTTGTTCTACTAAATGGCGTTGTATAGAATGAGCAATTTCATGAGACAGAATCACAGCCATGCGTTGTGTATCATAGTCCAGATAATCAAGTAACAAATTATACACAACCAAGCGAGAACCAGCACACATGGCATTGACCGTGGTTGAATCCCAAATGACATCTACTTCAAAATGACGTTTTGGCATAGCAGACTGAGTATCCATAGGTTCACTCGGTGGTGAATGAATAGGCTGAATATGCCTTGATTTTAAATAAGGATTATCAGCATATTTTCGAACTGGATCTCGAATATCGTCTGATGCAGGTATAGAGAGATTATCGACAATGGTCTGAAGCCACATGACAACTTCACTATCTCGAGGAGCAACAAGCCCACTTTGTGCTTTTAATAAAGTGTCAATTTCAGCTTCCATAATCTCAGCTTCTTCTTCCTCTGTTAAATAGACCAACCTTAATCGAGACGTATTTGGTGCCTAAGCACATTGTTCATCATTGCCCCCCTTTTTTCTAAAAAAAAAACTTACTTGGTCCAGACCAACCACAACGAGTAAAGTAAATCCAAATAAAGGTATACCTGCTAATATTTTGGCCACCAAGTCTATCTTACCTCCTCGACGAAACGTATGTGGCAATAAAGTAAGCGAGGTTTTTGAAGATAAAGAGACCAAACTGACCAATTTGCCTGTCTTTAGGGCACCTAATATAAATGCTGGCATCGGCACAATCGGCACTCGATTCACTCGACTGGTATGAAACTGTTGAAAAGGTTGTCTTTTATAACAAGCAGTGCATATAGGTCGTCTTAAATAACTTGATTTTCTTAAAAATGATGTCCACATCAATTCTTGGTTTAGCTATCTTGTCGTCACACCTTACAAAAAAGAAAAAAAAAAAAAAGAAAAAAAAATATTTTATGGTAATTCAGGCACTTTTTTATCCGGATAAATTCGTTTGCCGAATTAAAGAGTCATCTTATCACACCATCTGCTTGCTTCTACACAGGCTTGAATAGCACCTGCACATTGTTTGATGGATTTGAATAGTTGGCTTAATTCAATGGGATCATGGCTGGTCTTGACTCTTTCTGTCAATTCATTCAATTTGTCAGACAGAGTGGCAACCACAGAATCAGAGGGGAATGTGTCTACTTTTTGACGTTTAGTGGCTTGAGAAGGGATGGGATTGGCAGGTTCTTGTTTGATAGGTTGATGTTGAATAGGTTCTTGTTTGGTAGGTTCTTGTTTGGTAGGTTCTTGTTTGATAGGTTCTTGTTTGATAGGTTCTTGTTGAATGGATTGTGCTTTTTCAATAGATTGTACTCCTTTAATAGATACTGGCTTTGGGGTTTCTTTTAGTTTCTTTTCTAATGCTTCTTGTTCAGTTAGGATGATATTCTCGCAAATGACACAATACATTTGTTGAGTATCTGGGTTACGGACTAAGGGAACCTATATATGAAGTGTTAGCCATGTTTATATCTACATAAAAAGATAGGTACCGCATAACATGATGTATTAGGGCAATGTTCATTTAATAAAGCCCAACGTTGAAGCATTTTTTGACCAATCAATTGAGATGCTTTTGAAGACTGTTCTCTTCTTTGACGACGTAGTTTTAGTTCTTCTTCTCCATCATCAAGAACAGATTCTTTTTCTTTTGTCTCTACTGGAATAGACACGTTCTTATTGTCTTTATAGTTGTGACTAGCACCTTGATTAGGAAGTGGATCGTGATGTGTACAGAACGAGAGTGAACCATCTTTAGATTTCATTAAAGGAAAATGACAACCTTCTTGATGACAGATAGAATCTGTCATGATCTAGTCATCGAATAAGTCATCACAAAAATATCAAATACTAGTTACCCATCCTTGTAACAAGAATGAACTCAATAGACTGTTGGCTTCTTTTTCACTTCTCAAAGGGCAGATGACATTGTCTTGAAAGAAAAAAAGAAAGAAAAAAAGACTAAAAAAGAAAAAATTTATTTCGACTTGTTTTGATGGATAGCAATCCAACCTTCTCGGCGTGGTCCCTTTTTCTTAGCCCATAGTTCTAGCAATCTGCCTCTTCCTATGGATTCATCATAGCCTGCTTTTGGTAGTAGTGTCTCTATCATTTCATAGATGCTTGGAGGTTTGGGCCCTGTAAATTCATCTTGAATCCATTCAGTCGATGGTCTTTCGAAATCAATAATCACATCAGAGGAACGTTGATGTCTCATCTCAAACCCATCTCCCTAGAGAAACATAAGTAACAATAGATAGCCGTCTGATTCTTACCTTCTTAAACATGAGTAAGATTTCTTTTGTAGCACTAAAATAAGGGCTTGGTTCATCGAGATGTCCATTATTAACAGACTTTTTAAACCAAACCAGGTTCTCAACATATCGACAATCTACAACAAAATATTAAAAATGCAGTGATACATCTATTTCCTTACCTAGTTGATACATAGTACGAACGACATCAGCTTGAATGAGCTTATGTGTCCAGACAAATACCATACCAGCAGACATGTGTCGTATGACTTTCTCCATCAGTTGTTTGAATTGACCTAGATTCAAATGACAACTGTCATCATGCTTGCCATCAGGCACATAAAAGTCCCATGGTGGATCTGCCAAAATACATTCAAGAGCAGATTGACTTGTGTCTTGTTGACTACACATAGAGTCTAGCACAGATAGCATGTGTTCCATATCATCAAAGGCATAGTAATGGGTTTTGGATGGATCAGGCAATGATTTGCTTAAGGGTTGAATGATTTTGACGCCACTAAACAAGTCATTTGGTATGCGAACATAAGAAATCAGGTCTTCAGGTGTATCAATCTTTTGTTTCTTGACACCCGTAAAGAAGCGAGAGAGGGAAGATTGTTGTATTTTAGGTGGTGTCTCTATATTGGCGATAGACACAGAGGGTTTCTTTGCCATGTCTCTTCGCAACAACATTTCTGATGTTGTTAATCCTCGACGCCATTGCTGTTTTTCTTTCCAATGTGCCATACGGTAATGCTTGTCTAAATAAGGTCTAAAAGGCTATCAGTTGGTAGTGAATGGACAGTACTTACTCTATAAATTGTCTGTAGTGTTCTAAACGGTCTTTCCAATCCTTTTCCCAATCTTTTGAGGACAAATGAGCTATTTGAGGTTCGATATCCATAAAATCATCATGAAGTGGCTTTGAGGGCATCTTCTTGACTAAATCACTGATGTTGGTACGAGGCATGGATTTAATGACAGTCTTTGGTTTTGATACCGGTCTTGCTGATAGTTTACTGCCATGGAATTCTTTGATCCATTGATCCACTTGCTTTTCTTGTTGCTTGACATCTTCGTCTTGCCATGCTGGACCCAAATCAGAGATAAGCACATGGCTTCCAAATGCTTTGTCTTTGACAACCTGCTTTAGTTTTCCATTGATAATGGTGTAGCTTTCGTCTTTCAATTTGCCATCAGATACAAGTTTTCGATAGTAATTCATACACTGATACCCCACCTAACTAAAAAAGTGAATCCACAGCCGATCGACATGAACTTACTCTGTGTGGAATGCCCATACTAAACACGCCCCATGCATTCCCTATTTTATACCCCTTGGTCATCCATTCATGATATCGTTGCATAAACAACTTGTGCTCCTCTGCAGACCAAGCACCATTTTGTTGTCCTTCACCTGGAACTACGAATCGATAATAATACGAATCTGGAGCCTGGATTCATGTAAGAAAACACAGATAAGCCTATATGTAGTCACTCTTACCGAATGTCGAGCTTCCCATGCTTTAATACGAGGCGATTGCCATTCTTTAACACATTCTTGAGTAAACATGTCTTGGCCTACTCTTTTTCTTTTGAGGCCTTTGTTGTCTGATACAGAGAGTGATTCCAATCGAGGCGTTTCTTCTTCTAATTGTTGTACAAAATCATGATCGAGTTCCATATCAAGCGGTTCTTGTTCGATCACTTCTTCTTCTTTCTATCATCTATTAGAATGCTATCATTAGCAAAAAAAAAAGTATGCTTACTATAAAAACATGATCGATACAGTCATGATCAGCCTGTTTGATTACTTTTGATTCTCGGTGATTTTGTTGCATGTTTTTTGATTTGGACAGACTGATGGGTTTCTTGCTTGAGCCTATCTTTGGCGTCATTGCATCATTCCAAAAAGACATGCTAAAGAATTAAAAAAAAAAAGAAAGTGTCTTGAAAATTACTCTTTTACCGCGTTTCTTATTTTTTTATTTTTTTTAAATAATGTCAACACGACTCGACATCAAGTGGCAAGGAAAGAAGTTTCCTATTGAATTCTCTGATACAAAAGAACTAGAAAACACACTTGTAAAAGAATTAAAGCAATATTGTCAGCGTATTACAGGTATTAGCCCTAACCAAATGAAATTAAATGCTTTTGGAGGTAAGACAAGAATTGGCTTCTATAGACTCATCTCTTGAGAAGCCTTGATGAACAATGATGAATTGCCAATCAGTGTCTATGGTCTTCGTCCTGGTTGTTTCGTGACACTCAAATCGCTACCTAAACCAAAAGCTAAAGTAAGTTTACTATGCACATCCATCGCACTCAACCCTATGGTTAGCCAACATCTCAACCTATTGAGAAAAACGAACAAGTCTTGCTAGACCAAATAAAAGCAACACAAACCAAGATTGACACTGATCTGGCTACTGAAGTCAAGACGTATGAAAAAGAAGTCAAGGCATTCATGGCACAAACAGACAAAGAAGCAAAGAAGAAACATGTCTATAAAGGTGCTTATCTCAACGAACAATTAATGCATGTCTTGTTTGATTTAGATGGACTGATCTGTGGCCCTGACTATACCACGGCAAGACAAGCAAGAAAAGAAGCTGTCAAACACGCACAGGCCTTGTTAGATAAAGTAGATGATATCAAATCCATGTTGTATCGATAAAAACAATGGTTTATTTAAGGAAAAAGAACAAAATCATCCTCTAGTTCAATACAGGTTAAGATGGGATTCTGTGTGATCCAATCAAGTTCTTTAAGCACTTGCTCATCATTGAGTATCAAATCAACAGATGGTATAGGGCCAAACAAAGCCATACTATCTGTTTTTCGTTTCTTTTGAGGTGATACTTGAGTAACAAACAAGAGAGAGTTGTCCGGGTAATTAGATTCAGGTGATGTATGAGGTGAGCAATAAACAGGTGTGAGTTTTTTTCGTTTCCTTACGGTGGCTGGAGGTGGTTTGCCAGGTGAAAACCCAACTGAGGAGTGGTTCTTGGCTGGACTTGATAGTTGGGCGAGGTGCTCAAGTTTGTTTGTGGTGTGCAAACATAAGGTTTTTGGTTCATGGTAGTAGCGTTGTTGGTCAATGAGGTCATATTTAGTAACTGGAATCAAAACGACAACAAAAAGGTACAAGGGGATAAAAGAAGAGAGTGGATATGACCCACCTTAAAGAAGTATAAAGAAGAAGAAAAAAAGAAAAAAAAGGTGGAAGAGAAGGAACTTGAAAAGATCCCTTTTGATTGGCTAAAATGTAAAATGAGAAACGTCACATCTCTCTTACAAGTCAATGAATAGATCACACAAGTCTTGTGTGAAATATACAATTCTTTGAATTTACTTTATTTTCAGGTATAAAATAAAAATTTTAGACGTTTTTTATTTTTTTCTGGATGAATAGAAAAATTAAAATTAGACGTTTAGCCTTTTTGATTTAGACTCTTTACTGTTTTAATTATTTGAGGTATAACTCCTTGTTTTTACATCTGCCCCAGTAAGTTTCGGCATGTCTAATCCATCCCAAGCAGTCATTAACACTTACTGATTGACAAGCTTCCACAATGCGTGGCGTGAGTTTCGAGTTGGTATCTAAAGGATTTCTTTTGATATTCTTAATTTTTGCCCAGCATTCTTCAATAGGATTTAAAAATGGAGAATAAGGAGGCATAAAAAGAGGTTTGTAGCCTCGTTTGTTAATAGCATCTACCACAAACACTGAGTGATGAATCCTACAGTTGTTCATAACAATAAACATATCTTTTTTGTTATGTTTGTCAAGAACTTCCATAACGGCCTCTATAAATTTAACAATATGATACGCAGTGGTATCCTTTTTAAGAGCCTTTGGTTTAGAGGATTCCAAAGTTCCTCCCTTTCTCTTTTTACCCTTAGGTTTTTGAAATTCTTCCTCAAGTTTTTCCATGTCTGCCCTTTGTAACGGCTCAACTTTAGAAAAATTGATGGTCCCAAACGGAGAAATGCAGCCGACAATAGTAACATTGACCCCACGTCTGGCATGAACCTCAGCATTAGCTGGGTCGCCTTTTTTCGACCATGCGCGACTTCTCATCATTTGAGTATGGAACCCAGCTTCGTCAATAAACACACAGTTCTTTTGAAAATCAACGCAAACTTCTTTCCATTTGCTTACTATTTCCGCACGTAGAAGAAGTGTTCTTTCGCAATTTCTGTCAGCGTTGTATTTTAAAGCTTGCTTCAACGAGAAATTACACTTCTCCGTTAAATGTCTCCAAAGATTACGTGGGGAAATTGTAAATCCTTCGAAGTTTTTAGACAACGCCTCTTTGGCCATGTCAATAGTTGATGAAGGGTGTGCATCAAAATAGTTTACAAGAGATTCCGTATGCTGCGGCAGGAACTTTATTGGTGTTCCTCTATTGACTTTTTTCTTTGATGAACTTCCAGGAAGAACATCTCCATTACCCGTATTTAAACTCTTTCAATAAAACGTAGCCACTGCTTCTTGGGATCATACACTTTTTGGTAGCTTTGGGCACACTCAGCCCCTCTTCCTGTATAAGCTCTATGAAAACTCGAATCTGCTCTGGCCCGTATGTTGTGAACATATATGAATTCATATACATAGATCAATAAATGATGATCATGGTAAAAGACCAGATCACATCTATGGCAATTGCAATGGATATATAGTCACTGGCATTCACTCATTCTACTAAAAGTACTACATCGTCCTCATAGTCAGAGATTATCAACCTAGTGACTCTGTTATTATTAATGTAACTCATAAAGTGACAGTTAGAGCTGACAAATATGTAATAGTCTATTCAAGTTCAGGTCAGATCATGCACTATTGGCTGAGCTGACAACTTCCTATAAAGGCATTTCTCTTCATTGCTCCTGATCTAACAAATCAATCCGTAGTCAAGAAGCTAACCCCAAAACAATATTTTGACCGAGAAGAAAAAGTATAAATACCTCGACATTTTATAGCAATTGAAAGATAAGATTTCTTGGAGAAATAAAAACCTATACAAGTTCTAACGGACTTTCTCTGTGTTCTTACCTTTTCTCTTATTGAATATCTACTCTCTCTTCATCTCACAACACACTGTATAATGACAGTAAATAACGGTAACTGGGATAATATGGATATTTACAAATAAGGAAACCATAATTGTACCTTTTAGATAACCAGGAGAATTAAAGAAGAATCTACATAGCCAATTTCCGGGCACAAGCTGTCAAAGTGTTAAGTAATTAATAATCAGTAATCATAATTAGTCAATAAATCAGATAGTATAAAAGACAACCTGGAAAAGATATATTTTAGACGACAATCAATTTATTTTTGTAATAAAGAAGTACTGAACAGTCTCACTGTATTTCTTTGTTTCTTTCTATCTTCTATTATATCTTCATTCACAACCCAAACATCACAACGGTATCTTTTTCCTGGATAACTTGTCTGCTTCCACATTCTTGATTCCCTGTATGTGTTGATAAATTACCTTCAATTGAAATTGATTGCATATGTCTTGTATCTTGACTGCAGTATCTTGAAGAATTGGTGAGGCAGTACCTCCTGACTTGATGGTGTATTTGATTGAAGTCTTGTTGTCGGTATAGACCTTGATTGTTTTGTTTCGGAAATTTGGTGCATGGAGCTTCAGGGCAAAATAGATGGCCATCAGTTCTCTTACGTTGATCGACCATATTCTTCCTCCGTCCAAAATCCGTACGTATTGATCCTCGTTGAGGCAATCCCCCATCCCGTGTCCGAACTGTCTGTATGGATGGTTATTGCTGGCGTTTACAATTGTAGCTGTCTTATTGGTAAGCCGTTCTTGGTCATCAAATTGTCCTGCCACCACTTGATCTCTGCTTTTGCCTGTGGTGACCAACGGAACTGTTTCTCCCAATTTCGATGATGTCCTCTCAATGAACTTGCTAAGTCCCTCTGTAGGTACCGTATGTGAAGTAGTGCTTCTGCTACCGCTGGTATCATCGCTGTCATTTTCCCCATTAGAGCAGCCATCCACCTGCATGATCTGGATTGTGGTAGTGTTGCTTGCTTCAACCTCTGCCGTAAGTTTTGAATCTTCTTCTCTGGTACTTGTATTGTCATCTTCTTGGTATTGAAAGTGAATCCCAAATAGTCTTGAGTCTGTAGTGGTTGAAGCTCGCTCTTGATCCTGTTGATAATGAACCCTAAAGATTCTAGATGATAAATTATGCGTTCCGCGGAACGTGTTACCCTTTCTTTGTCCTGGTCGAGAATACATATATCGTCGAGAAAATATACCAGATGAATTCCTTCTTTTCGTATTGGCCCTAGGGCGTACCGTAGAAGTTTGGAAAATATTCTTGGAGCTGTGTTGAGGCCAAAGTTTAGAGCTCTGTACGTGTAAGTGACACCTAGGTTTTGGAAGGCCAAAAACGGTCTTGAGTTTACATGAATTGATACGACGGTGTACGCATCCTTTAAATCTAAGTTGACGATATAGTCTCCTTTTTCTATGAGTTCCCGCAAGGCAGGTACGCCTTCCATCTTGAAGTGTTGAACCTGTATAAACTGGTTTAATTTCTTGCAATCCAAGATAGGTCGTCGTTTCGTTGGTTCTTGAATTGTGAAGAAGTTGGAGAGAAATTGGTTGGAGAAAGATGGATTCTTGCTCTCCTCTATGTTTCCTGCTGTCAAGAACTTCTGTACTGCTAAGGTCTTCTCCTGTTGATCTACTTTGTTGATTGGGTGCTGTGCTGTTTTTCAAGGAACTGGTTTGGAGATAAATTGTAATTGGTAACCTTCCTTGACTATCTGTAACGGCCAAGGATGTGAAGTAATCTTTTTTCAATTGTGAAAGAAATGTGTTATACGACCCCCTGGTAAGATGCCATCTTCCGCGATCGAATAATTTACCTGTATCTCCTTTATTAATTTGAGCTTCTTGTTCAACGGCACCTCTGAGATCTTCTGAAGCGATAGACTTCTTGTTGATTGAGTTGTCGACTGAATTGCTGATTGTGTTGTTGGTGATGTTGTAGATTGTGTTGTTGATTGTGTTGTAGACTGTATTGTAGACAGTATTGTATATTGTCGTATTATTGATGATTGGCTGCATTGTCGGTGGAATTGTTTGTTGATTGGTGATTTGTCGTAGAGGAGCCGAAGGTTCCACGGCTTCGTCCTCTGTGTTGAAAATTTCCAAACTGGGGTTTGTTAAAAGGTCTTGATCCACGTCCATTTCCTCTGTGGGAAAAACCTCGTCCTCTATTGTTAAAATTTGCTGCGCCTGATAAGAGTCTTTGGTTGAAACGTGCTTCATGTAAATCTTTGACGAAGTCGTTGTCGAAGAGGTTGGGTTTTTTGTCATTTTCTTCTTGTTCCAAATATCTGAGACTTGCTGGAAGTCGAAGTGCTTTTGAACTGTATTCTTTTGCTTCATGATCCAATTCTTTGGCGAAGGCAAAACCACATACAGCTGCTCTTAATGCTTGGGCCATGGCATTAAGAAATACTTGTCTAGATTCTTCTCTGGCAAAGGTGCATTCCCCTTCGATCGACTCCGAAAGTTCAAAGATCTCCATATTTGTTCTTGCTTGGATACGGGTTTCTTCGGCATACTTGATGATTGATGTAACAACTTGGTAGGTATCAACCTTCCACTTCTTGAGTTCATTGATGAATTCTTTGTTGACTTGAGGTGTTTTGGTCCACTCGTCATGATTGTACCTGGGGATATTTTTTCTAAAATGCTTGATATCGTCTTTGAGGTCAGAGGCTGGTGTCTCGTCCAAAATCTCTCTGATCGCTTCTGGTAACTGTCTTTCTTTATAATTAATTTCCCTTTGTTCTTCTCTTTGAGAATGTTGGCAACATCTTCCCTTGTATAAAGTGGTGTCTGTTGTTATTGTTGTTGTTGTTGTTGTTGGTTGATTTCTTCATTGTTGATATCACTCATAATTTTTACCCACGATGCGCGGCTTTGAAAGATATAGGGAAGAAAAGGGAAAATTTATTGGTTATTATATATACATTAAAAATAAAGCGTGGCTCTGAGAGCATTTATCACATTAGGAGCTGATGCGGAGGAAACTGAGATTGTTATAGGTACGACCAACAATTTTAATTTTTGTACTTGTCCAATAGAATTTCTGAAATTATTTAATTTTAGGGTAAAATACTGTATCAGAATATGGAATTAATTTGAACTCCGCTAAGAATTATGCCGACATGACAAGTATGCCATTTGTGTACTCAAAAAAAAAAATTAGAAAAAATAGAAACCACTGCTTTAAAATAAATGCTAAATATTTTCTGTAATGGCAAGAAGTAAGAAATAAGAGAATTTCTGATTTTCCCTGTTCTAAATTAATAAAAAAGCGTGATTTTCAATTTTTCTGTTTTAAATTAATAAACTAGTCTACCGGATGATAATTTTACTGTTTTGATTTAAGAAAGAGATTACTGCCTGGTAGATTTGCTTTTTATTTCAAAACAGAAGAACTAAAAAACAAGCTTTTTTTTTAATCTTGAGCAGAAGAATTAGAAAACTTCTATTTTTTTATTTTTTGCAGTGCAAGAGATATTTCTGATTTACATAATAAAATCTAGTTTTTATTTATTTCTAAAAGATATTTTTTTTAGTACAAAAATGGCATACTTGTAATTTCGGCATACTTGTAATTTCGGCCTAACTGCTAATATTTCTGCTATTCTGAAAATGCTTTTTCTTTTTCTTTTTTGCAAGCCCATCACACTAATCACAAAGGCATGAGGTCTACAAGTCTTTTCATGCTTCTTTTCTCTCTCTAGCTGCTTTTTTTGTAGAGCTATCACAATCTTTAAAAAGAGGTTTTGAGCACTAAAATTTATGTTTGGATCAGAAAAAAGAATAAGAAAGATATGTTTCAGCATCTAAATTTATTCAGTCAGCGGGTGATATTGCTCTCCGAGCTGTTAGTCCTTCCTTTTTCTCTGAAATCGGGTTTACAAATCAGCTACATCCTTCTCTTGGATACATTTTAGCAAACTCTAATCAAGCAAGTGACAGCTAAAAACCTTAATTGTAAAGTATCTGCCAGCCATCAAAAACGTCTTTACTTTCCTAATGACAGCTTCAGTACTTTGAGCTTTTTTTGGATGCTCTTGATCATCAATTTTTCGACCAGGTTCCCTGTTGAAGCAGAGTGATTACGACTGTCATAGCAACCATCGTAGTAGTCATCATAGTAACAATACACCCACAGCGTAAGCAATAGAACAAATCTCCCATTGAATGCAAGAAAAAATTCATAAGAAGATTAAAAATTCTTTACTCGTTGAAGGAAATTTTGGTCAAATCTTCACTCAAATATGACAGAAAAATGCAATCGCTCACGCTGTGGGTGTATTGTTACTATGATGACTACTACGATGGTTGCTATGACAGTCGTAATCACTCTGCTTCAACAGGGAACCTGGTCGAAAAATTGATGATCAAGAGCATCCAAAAAAAGCTCAAAGTACTGAAGCTGTCATTAGGAAAGTAAAGACGTTTTTGATGGCTGGCAGATACTTTACAATTAAGGTTTTTAGCTGTCACTTGCTTGATTAGAGTTTGCTAAA